CTGATGGTACTACATTAGCATCTGGTAGTGAAGATCGGTCTATCCGTTTATGGGATGTTAAGACAGGACAATAAAAAGCATAATTAAATGGTCATTCATCTGGTGTTATTTCAATTTGTTACTCTCCTGATGGTACTACATTAGCATCTGGTAGTTATGATGAGTCTATCCGTTTATGGGATGTTAAGACAGAATAATAAATAGCATAATTAGATGGTCATTCAAATTATATAATTGCAATTTGTTACTCTCCTGATGGTACTACATTAGCATCTGGTAGTGAAGATCGGTCTATCCGTTTATGGGATGTTAATACAGGATAATAAAAAGCATAATTAGATGGTCATTCATCTGGTGTTAATTCAATTTGTTACTCTCCTGATGGTACTACATTAGCATCTGGTAGTTAGGATGAGTCTATCCGTTTATGGGATATTAAGACAGGGTTATAAATAGCCAAATTAGATGGTCATTTAAGCGCAGTCAATTTAATTTGTTACTCTCCTAATGGTAATCAATTAGCATCTGGTAGTTCAGATAAGTCTATCCGTTTATGGGATGTTCAGACAGGATAATAGAAAGCCAAATTCGATGATCATTCAAATTCGGTTAATTCAATTTGTTATTCTCCTGATGGTACTACATTAGCATCTGGTAGTGAAGATAACTGTATCCGCTTATGGGATGTTAAGACAGGAAAATACAAAGCCAAATTAGATGGTCATTCAAATTCGGTTAATTCAATTTGTTACTCTCCTGATTATACTACATTAGCATCTGGTAGTTCAGATCAGTCTATCCGGTTATGGGATGTTCAGACAGAATAATAGAAAGCCAAATTCGATGGTCATTCAAATTCGGTGAATTCAATTTGTTATTCTCCTGATGGTACTACATTAGCATCTGGTAGTGAAGATAACTTTATCCGTTTATGGGATGCTAAGACAGGTTAATAAAAAGCCATATTAGATGGTCATTAACATAGTGTTAATTCAATTTGTTATTCTCCTGATGGTACTACATTAGCATCCGGTAGTTCAGATAAGTCTATTCGTTTATGGGATGCTAAGACAGGATAATAAAAAGCCAAATTAGATGGTCATTCAAATTCGGTTAATTCAATTTGTTATTCTCCTGATGGTACTACATTAGCATCTGGTAGTGAAGATAACTCTATCCGTTTATGGGATGTTAAGACAGGATAATAAAAAGCATAATTAGATGGTCATTCATCTGGTGTTAATTCAATTTGTTACTCTCCTGATGGTACTACATTAGCATCTGGTAGTTCAGATCAGTCTATCCGTTTATGGGATGTTTAGAAAATATAATAAAAAGCCAAATTATTAGATAATTCATCTAGTGTTATTTCGATTTGTTACTCTCCTGATGGTGCTACATTAGCATCTGGTAGTGAAGATGAGTCTATCCGTTTATGGGATGTTTAGACAGGATAATACAAAGCCATTTTAAATGGTCATTAACATAGTGTTACTTCAATTTGTTATTCTCCTGATGGTACTACATTAGCATCTGGAAGTTATGATAACTCTATTTGTTTATGGGATAATAAGACAAAATAAGAAATCTTATCTTCAAATATTCGTTATAAACATATTTTAGCATCTGTTAAACCTTAGACAATTTCAAATAGTGTCCTTCCAGAAAGTAGTATTTATTTTTCACTATTGTTAGCTGCCCCTTATATTACCATTCTAAAAATTGCCTAAAATCCAATTTTTGAAGCTTAAGGAGCTATAATATTGAAAGGAGAATTTGTTGATTTGAAAGGATAAGATTTAAAATCATTATTTAAATCTAAAGGCAGTTTGATTTTGGAGAATGAACACAATTGATCTCATTAAAAATATGCAAAAATAATTTAATATTAATCGATTTTTTGTTAATTGTTAATGTTTACATTTCTAGTTAGTTATGGTAATTTTTGAATTAAATGTAAAAACAATATATATATTATCTGATTGCAAAATTCTTTGACTGAGAAAGAGATATTTGATTTTCAATAACTTTATAACCATACATTTTAAGATATATATTATCACAATATATACTCATCATTCAAACAAAAAAAAGTTATCATAACTCTACCAGATGATTAGCCTAAATGAAAAGTTTTTTTTATTTATGGTAGTTTGTGTAACCTTATATTGAATGAAAATTTCATTTCATTTTCCTTTATATTTTGGGAAATTTTCAAATTCTCCAATGTAGATGCGCTACTTCTGAAGGAAGCTGTTGGAATCCTTATAAAATTGAAATTTATTACAATTCAAATGTATAACATATATTAATTCTTAACCTGATTGTCATAAGTGTTCTTGATTTCTCTGCTTGTCTTTTGACTTCAATATAGAAAAAAGAATCAATTAATAGGGTTGTCTGTATTGACTGTTTTTTTTGATATTTTTAATTTCTCTATAATAAATATCTGATATATCAATCCATCATTATTTAAGAAAATAATTTATATTGTCAGGTAATTAAATCCATCCTATTGAAAAATATACTAAAAAATCAATCAAATTGTACTGGTTCAATTTATTTATTACTATTGAAATTCTTAATTCAAATAAACATCCTTTTTGGTACTATTAAAAATTACTGTGCTACATCACATTATATCTGGTCTGGAAGTAATTTTGAATAAAGTGACAAACTAAATTATCATTGTTTTTAATTTGTTGTTGATATTGCCATTATTATTCATCTAAATGATACTTCGAGATATTTAATCTTTATCATATAATCTTAGAAAATACAAAGAAAATGTGGATATTCTTGCTAAGTAATTATTCATACTTAGCGATATAATGAATTATTCAGTAGTATTACAAATACCAAGCCTTATTGATTAAATTCTAAGAAAAAATGAAATAGCATATTCATAATCGAAAGGTTTCTTTACCTTAAATTATCATGAACTGTAGGTTGATATCTAAATATTTTTCTTGGAAATAAAAGGTTCTTCTTTTGTAAACTTGTGTTCGCCATATTCTTTAAGGGTGATTTCTCCCTAAAAGAATTATCCTAAAAATTAGTAATTGGCATAAACTCAATATTAAAACTGAGATTGAACTATAAAGTTTTACAACCTTCAGTCAGAACAAAACTGATCAAATTACAAGAATTACTAAATATCAGACACTCAATGGTAATTTCTCTATATCTATTAGCATTAGACTCCTACATAAAACTTTCAATAAGTGCAAGTAATTTAATCTCAATTAAGCAAAATTTGAAGATATTAAATTTTGCTAACTTTGTTACTCTGTTAATTAGCTCACATTTTCCCTCAAATTGTTACAAGCAACAATGGCAGGTTAAAAGAGTCAACTCATTTACCACTAAGACATTTTATTAATTTAATTTGTTTCTCGAGTTTATAAACAGAGATTGCAATTTCTATAAATCTATAAAATGCTAGGTTTGCAATCATCTAAATACACTCTAATTCTTAATATAAAGATGATTTCATGAATATTTATTGCAAAATGACTTACTAACACTTTTCCAAGTAGTAAGGAAATTAAAATATGCGATAAAGGAGCCCTTAAAACTATACTTTTTATAAATTGAGAAACCTGTTTTTAATGCAAAGAACGATGTATTGCTTGCTACAACATAAATCTGGGTATAAGACATGACATTAATGTCCTGCTGCGTTCTTTGTTGATCATAATTTATCTTTTTTTAATTGCGCAACTCCATTATTTGATTTAAATTGTGAAGATTCTGCAGCTGTATTATTTAAGGAATCTAATGATGTTGGATATTTTTATGAGACATAGATGAATCCTGTTGATATTGATTAATAGTTCAACACCGTAATTAAAAGATTTTATCATTATAAATCATGAAAGCGCTCAATCATTTTTACTACAACTAGAAATATAAACCTATACGAGTCTTAAAGTGTGACAGAACACCAATGCTATATTAATTTAAATTATACTGGCAAGTGTATTATTAAGACTCTACACATGCGTCATCGAATAAATGAATAACTGATAGCATCTAATGTGATCTTTTTATTTTGGAACAAAACAATTTTGCATGAAAGTCTTTTTTTTAAAGCAGTATGCTAAATTTATTAAGATCATTTTTCTAATTCATCAGGAAGACTGGAAGTTTGGCTTGAAAACTCAAATTGTTGCAGGAGGGAGGTTATATTTTATTTCTGAATTAATAGCCTCAGCTTTGAGAAGAAGTACTTAATGTTAACAAGAGGAGATATTTCTGGCTACTAATAGCAGTAATCTCATAACTTCAGCTCATTGACACACTTAATGATCTATTCTATAGTTGAATGGAAGTGTTAAGTTAATAATCTGGAGCATGGTTTAAAGGAACTTTCAGATAGAGCATCTTATACAGTAGGAATCTACTCAAAATAACATATTATTCTTAAACTTCTTTCGCATTCGCCTATTCAATATCAGCTAACATTATTTAATACAATCAACTCATTTACACCAATTGGTGTAGAGTTTGTAGTAACGAATTATATTTCATCACCTCTCAAATGTGCTTGCTTACTTGTGTTGCAAATATCATAGTTTAGATTTTTGAAAGTTTTCAGAAACTTCATTTCATGCAATTAACTGACTGTTATTTCTGTCAAAGTACGCTTTTATAACATGGGCATTACTAACTGAAAATATTTGTCAGTTTTTAATTCAGCTACTTAAGTTGTTATTCTAATATTTAATGATGTCGTGCTAGCTCAAATTCAGGTTTTAATAGAATAATAATAATATGAAATAATTTTCATTAATTGAAAACCACTTTGATCACAGGATTGTGTAATCTATCGCTTCATTTCAGAGACACTACGAGGTATACAGTGGAGAGCTTGGTTGACATATGCTAACTTTTTCATAAGGACTCTTTCCTACACTAAGTGTTGTTATGAATTGTTGTAAACCAGAGCTTAAACAGATTTAATCCACGTCTTCCAACAACCCTCATGGTAAATTTTTTCACATCTCCGTCCAATACTATGGGACTATCTCCACCAATTCCGAATACCTGCTACCAAGAACTATATAACACCCTGGCTAAGAATCTCCCTGTGATGAAAATTCTAATTCTGAGATAAACATAAAATTCTTTGTTAAGTACTGCTGACTAGGCTGGAGAAGACTCCAGCCTTACTTTTCTTGTTGTAATTCTAGCCTACTTGCCAAGTGCTTCATGCCTATAAACATGCACTGCTAGGAACACTTTTTATCTTTTGCATCACATGTTTTATGCCAGTAGTATGTTGATTTCAAGGGGTGTTAGATTCTGTAACTGCTGTTATTCATAATATATAAATTGGGATTTCATGTACAAAATGCATATTTACATTCTTAGTTGCACATCTCCAAATGCATCCGTCAGAATGTAAGTGTGCATTTCTATTATGAGTTATTTCATACTAGGCTTGTATTTGAGTGATGCAAAATGCTCGACTATTATTGTGATTCTGAATGAAAATAATGCATTTGAATTCTTGGGCCACATTAAATAAAATTATAATAATAGCTATTGGAACAATGCAGTAAACAATAATCCTGGACAATTTAAATATAAAGCGTTCCAAAGAAACACAAACATTTTCAAAAGTTGCACCTTGACTTGTGTGAATTGTTTTTGCATCAAGTTAAATTTGCATTACAATATCATCAAAAGTGTCTATTTATCATTTAGATTTTCAAAGAATTTTTTTAATTGAAATCTAATTAAAGAGCAAAAATTCAAAAATAGATACACAACAAACTTGTTGAAGAGATGATTTTAAGAACATTATATAAGCTTAACATAGATTGTTCTTTATAATATTTTATTTTTGTTATAAATGTGATCCTTAACAAATTAGTTTGCACTCATTTGATTTATTAAATAAAAGGGCATATATAGCACAATCAAACCTTCTTAAGAAATTAGAAAATTTCATTTTACACAAAACCATATACCATAATTGATATGGATATCTGTTGGAAGTGATGTTATAAACAAATATTAATACAAAGAGTATGTTGAAATATGTACAAAAAACTGAATTTTGGCTAATAAAAATAAAAAATGACAAATACTCCTTTTATTATATGTTGTAAAATTCTTTAATCAATTATTTTGAAATATTATAGAAATAAAATAAATGAAGGTAATATTCTACTTAGCATGTTTTACATCTGCACTTGCTTAAGACTTTAAAATTATTTTCACTGCCTTTGAAGGCTCTAATTGGAATGATAAGGGTAAAAAATTTATTAAAATAAGAATGGTTTTATTCTGATATATATGGGGGAATATTTGGTTATTGTGAAAACGAAATGTTATTTGGTGGACATTATGTATTTGGAGCAAATTCCTTAGCTTCTAGACAATTCATTCTTCCCCCTCATTATAATGTAAAAATTTAATTAAGATTTTGGAAGTATTGAAATTTTTAATATTAGAATTGATAGTTGGGATGGAGAATTCTTCTAATTAATAGCTGATCACTATGTTAAAATTTTCCAATTTTGGCCAAACGATGGAGGAGATTATTGTGGTCGTGGAAAGAAAGGAAATAATGATTAGGTAGTTGATATTGAGTTTAGTATTCAACATTATTCACAACTGTTTGCTTTAATAATGACTTCAAGTTTAGATGAACATGCATATAATGTAATAGTTTTAAGATAATAGGAATCATGGGGGGTTAGTAGATTTAAGTTATCGATTTTAGAATGTTTTGTAGGTTGCTTAAGTTGTGAAGATTCAACTTCTTCATGCCTAATATGGAGTAGCTTAGCATCATATTGGCAAACTTAAATGAACGAGGATGGATGGTTAATTAATGGCAATTAAATAGTAGGATTTAGTTATTGCGGTGGTATTTAAATTGTTGGAGGAACTTCTATATTAAGGCAAGGCGACAGTTTAGAAAAAACCTTAAAAGATTTACCTAACCACTATTAGATTCAGATTGTAGTTAAAATATGGGCTTTAGGTGATTGGTCAAACGAAAATTTAATTTGATAATCAAGTTTGGATGTCTGTACCAATTGAAAATAACAATCTTGTTACCTTTGACTGTGGTATTAAATAAAAAGTTAGAATTGTAAATACTAATACAAAAAATAACCATACTTAAAATGAGATGAATATAGTTTTTAAGTCAGATTAATCCTCATTGATAAATGCATTTTTGGGAATTTAATCTTTAGACATTTAAATAGCAAAATGCTCTATTGGTTGTAAAATTTGCTTTGGAGCAGAACCAACTATGTGTATCACTTGCATAAAAAAATGGGGTTTTTATAAAAATCAATGTATTCCTGGTATTTATTTAATTTTAGGTTAGCTCCTCCAATTGAGAGTGGTTATGTTAAAATTGTATAATTTTAGGATTAAAATATCAATATTTCTGCCGCATTTGAAATATCTATTGATGAAGTGAATCAAAATATTATAGATGAGGGGTAGCAAAAATTAATTGTGAGTTCGTATATTTCAACTCTTACATTTTAAATCTTGGTTAGATGTTAGGAAAACTAATAAATTGAAAATTATTTTAGGAATTGCAGTTAATGCAAGGCTGATTAATTTCAATTTTTAAATAATACTTCTAACAAAAACAACGCTTTAATATATAATGCATTGTTTATGTAAGTTGTAGCTTCTGAAAAAGAATTGATAATTAGAGTTTCACAAACAAAACTAGAAATCGTTGAATTATCATTAGTAGATTAAGTAGAATAAGAAGTTTTAATAATGAAAATTAAGATTTTATAGGGATGAAAGATATGTGATTTATTATGATTTCTAGATAACGGAATTGAAATTTCTAAATTATGGTTTGTAATCTTTGAAGCATTATCGATAAATTAATGAGGAAAAATTATTGATTCATAAATTGTAGGATTGTCATAAAATTTCTGGTTAAACAATTTTAAATGTTAGTTTAAATTAATTTAGAATAGGATTCATTCTAATATTTAATTTGATTTTTTCTATAATCCTTTTAAAGCAAATAAGTCCTTTAAATTTCGTCTTAAATATGTCCTGTCAATATTATTTAATTTAATAGCATTCAATTTTAAGCAAATTTCAAATAAATTATGTGTTATGATAAAACTCATATCTAGCTAATTTTGAAGATAAAACTTAAAAATTAAAAAAAAAATATTTCATTATTTTTCTTTCTTTTTTCTGAAATTAAATTCATGAATTCTTTATGCATCTTCACTTCATCTATCCATCTCATTGTAATATTCCCATTCTTATTTTGAAATTTTTTCATACTTTAGATTAGGTTGGAGAATTAAATTCATATTTTAACATCCATTTAAAACAAAAATGAAAAAATTATAAAATACCTCTCAAACACCATATTTTATGAAGTAGTAGATTCTCTACAGATAACTATTGATTTTATTATTGATATCGGCAATAGATTTAACCTGAATAATGAAGTTCTTTTCTTTATTTATTTTAGTTTACATTTAGTTATCGAATTATGACAATATTTAATGATGTATAGAAGCAGGTTCTTTTCAAATCTTCTAAAATTTAATAATACCAAGTTTTTTTTAAATCCTACCATAATTTAAACAAAAAGAATGCTACAAAAAATACTAAAATAGAGAAAGAAATTAAAAAATCCAGGTTAAACAGTTAGCATATAAGAATACCTAAATAATCTAGTAATTATGAGGATTATAAAATGATCAAAATAATAACTTTTCATTTTATTAGTTAACACCTTAGGTATCATTTATCTTCTCAACCTCTTATCCACAGTTAGCTTCTAACTTTTGTAAAGCTTCATATTAATGTTTTTCTCTAACTTTGACCATTTGATCTTCAACGAATTATCCCTAAGGGTGGTAGAGAACGCAAAGAGCAAAGGGAATTAATAATCATTAATTTTGCCAAATTATCAATTAATCATCAAGCATAATATTTTAATAAAGATCCTAATCATAAGATATGATTCCTCAATAGTAATGACTGACACAAATAGGGCTGAAATGTTCCTTTAATAGTTTTAGGACACATTTTACAAGCTAATACTAAAACTGGCATAGTGTTTAATTCTCCAATGACCTAATCTAAAACAAAATAATCTATTCGAATTCCAAGTGTTTCTTAAGGCTATCAAAGTTGTTAAGCAAGAAATAAGCAATACAATAATGTAATATATTCAAAAAATTTAGCAAATTTGACATAACTTAAAACACGACTGAATACGTAAGAGACTAAAATAAATATATTGATGAAAAGAGATTTTATTCTTCAATAAATCTAGGCTAAATTAAAAAACATAGTAGTTGAAATTGATGGAGATGACCTGAATATCATGATTAGCAAACTGGGTCTAATTTTAATGAAACAAATTTTATGAATACTTAAGAAAAATGTCAGATTTTAAATTTGCTTTATCAATTTACTTTGTATCATCATCTGAATAACCAATTCTGCTATATTTATTACATTACAAAAATGCCAGAGCAACAAAAATAGAATTAAAGATGATTTTCATAGTCACTATACACCAGTAAGGTTCGAGGCAGGATCTTATTTATCATCATCTTTTTGTATGTAGCTTATTACTAAATCTATTAATGCTTTACCCCGATTGATTCTTTCACCAAAAGGCAATTGCACCAATCAAGAAATTTGGTTTATTTTTTCATTTTGAATTTAACAACATGTCGATGTATTCTCATTAATAATTTATTTCATTAGTTATATTTTATCAATTTTATAAATAAATAAATAAAATAAATCGAATAATCTAGAATTTAACATGAAGATGAAATTCTTTCTTTTTCTTTATCTATTTCAATAATTAAAATAATGTCCACAGCATAATCATTTAAAGACCTAGGTAATTAAGCTTTCAAAGAAAACAAATTTGAAGAAGCTGCTAAGTTTTATTCATAAGCAATCGAAGTAAATCCAAACGATCATATCCTTTACAGTAATAGATCAGGAGCTTATGCTTCACTCTCTAAATATGAAGATGCATTAGCAGATGCTGAAAAATGCATTTCTTTAAATTCAAATTTCGCAAAAGGTTCTTTTTATGATTTCTAGATTAGGTTACCAAAGAAAAGGTTTGGCATTACATTATCTTGGAGAATTTGAAAAAGCTATTGATGCTTATTAATAGGGGTTAGCCAAAGATCCAAATAATGCATTACTTTCAGAAGGATTAAAAGCTGCCTAAACAGAATTATAGGGTACAAAGAACAATCCATTTGCTTCTGCTTTGAAGAACCCTAACATATTAAAACTTCTAGGTATTCTCTAGAAAGATCCAAGAACATCTGCTTTCGCTTCAGATCCAACATTTATGTAATTAATAGGTTTAATGATTGCTTAACCATAAATGGCAAGCTAATTTATGCAAACTGATCCAAGAATCTAAGCTGCCTTGTCTGTAATAATGGAAAACCCTGAAGCCTAATAGATTTTCTTTTCAGAATTTGCTGGAAAAGTGAAAAAGACAGATGGAGAGAAATAAGATCATTCTCATTAATAATCATAGAAAATGGAAGAGGAGCACACCCAAGCATAGCATGAATAAGAGCACTAATAACATTATCATGCTCATTAAGAATAAAGTTAATAAAAATAACATCATTAACCACCTCCAAAACCATAACCTTAACTAGAAGAATGGGAAGTGTAAAAAAACTTGGGCAATGAAGAATATAAGAATAAAAATTTTGAAAAAGCTCTTTAATATTATGATGCAGCACTTTAATTAAATAAGGAGGAAGCCTTGTTGTATAATAATAAAGCAGCCGCCTTTATTGAATAAAAGAAATATGATGAAGCATTAGAAGCTATAGAAGAAGGACTCAAAGTGTTGGAAGTCCATAGCAGTTTCTAAAAGAAGGCTAAGTTGTTGGCAAGAAAGGCCAAAATTTATTCTCTTTAAAATAAATTTGATGAGGCAATTCAGTTCTATGAAAAATCATTGGTTGAAGATCACGTCCAATCAGTAAAGGACGAGTTAAAAAAATTGTAAAAACTATAAAAGGATCTTGAGGCTTAAAATTATATAAACCCTGAATTAGGTGAAGAGGCAAATACTAAAGGAGGTGATGCTTTTAAAGCAGGAAAATTCCCAGAAGCCATTCAATTCTATAATGATGCAGTTAAGAGAAATCCAAAGGAACCAAAGTATTATTGCAATAGAGCAACAGCTTATATGAAATTAATGGAATTCCCTAATGCAGTTTCTGATTTAGAAAAATGTTTATCATTTGATCCTAAGTATGTAAAGGCCTATGTGAAAAAAGCGAATTGTCACTTTGTAATGAAAGAATTTCATAAAGCTAAAACAGTTTACGAAAAGGGATTAGAACTTGATCCCAATAATTTGGAAATGTAATAAGGCCTTGAAAAAGTGAGGTTTTCAATCTTGTAAGGAAGTGGATCAGAAGAGGAATAATAGTAAAGAGCAAAGAGAGCTATGTAAGACCCAGAGATTCAATAGATACTAAGAGAACCAGAGGTATTATAATAATGTAAATATTTAGGTAATTAATCTTTTGAATGATATGAAAGAGCATCCATAAGATGGATTGAAGGCTATTAAACAGAATCCTTCATTAGCAGCCAAGATTGAGAAATTAATTGAGGCTGGAGTTCTAAAAACAGGTTGAAATTTCTATAAATAAAAGTATTGTTATATGATGTTGATATTTTATAATTTCTATTTATCAGCAGTAAAGTTGATAATGTGGAGTTAACAAAGGATTGAAGTTGATTAATTCTTTTACTTTGACTCCTTTCTTATTCATATTGTCTCCATCTGAAATAATCAAGCCTAACATTAAAATTATAAATTAAGTTTTGCTCATTTCTATTGCTTAGGATAATGAATACTTTTGGACGATTTATTCCAAAACATAAATTTCTTTATTTTCTAAAAGATCAAAATTAATAATATTTAATTTTAATGTCTTTCTGTACTCTTAAGTACTTAATAGTCTCTTATATAATTATATGCAAATTGGATAAACACTGGGTTCAATTATAACGTTTTCAATTTGTTTATATATGGATTTAATTAAATTATCAAGTTTCACAATGCTGTTAATTAAAGAGTTATCTTACTTATCTTACTATTATTCACTTTTTTCTATCAAATAAAAATTTTCCTTTTTGTAATGGATTACATTTGGGGTTTGATAAATTTTGCTATCTTACTTTAATTCTTTATCCTCAAATTGATTGTTTTACAAATGAACAAATGAAGAAGTCTTTGAATTTTTATGAGGAGACTTTTTAGGTGTAAGAAGTTTAGTAGCCGGGCTGATGTTTTTATTGGATTTCTGAACATAGTTTTTTTTTTCCCATTTTTATCTTTGCGAGATTGGAGAGGTGGAAGCTTTATTTGATGGCAAAGAAATTGTTTCATATTTTTCCACATTCGCAAATTCATTGTAAATTAGATTAAAAATTTGATCTTAATGCTTTTGTAAATTATACTTGCTACAAAATTCTTACACTTTTTTCCATAAATTATCTCCTTTATTCAATATAAATTAGAGTGATTAGCTGTTGATTTACAAATCAATAGTTGTTAGCATAATTAATAATAATATGTTTATAAAACATAAATATTATTACATCTCTTTAAGAGTTGATATTTCTTTTGTTCTCCAAATAAGACTATAATCAAAGCTCAAAAATATATAATAAAAGAAAGTACTACAATTTTCTGATTTTATAAATAATTAGGATAACTGAAAATAATTGGAGAATTAATTTGTTTTTTTCATTTGAACATTACAAAAGAGATCTTTGATCATAAAACTCTATATAAGCTGATTTATTAGCTTATTATAGTAGAAACATAGTATTTTTATTACTTTATTTAACTTTTTCACTCAATAATTATTATTATTTCGTCAGGAAATCAACCTATATGCATTCATAGTTTATAAATATTAATTTATTTAAGGTATTATGAAATTCTAGTTTTAGATTCAATATTCTAAACTGGGGGAACTAAATGCTGGTGCGAAAATAGCAAAATCAAAAAGATTGATCATTATTAATAATAGTATTTATTAAACAAATATTATAAATTTCACAATTTTTAAATTGACTAATAAATGTTTATATTATTACTATTCCTAAAATTATATATGAAAGAACAATCTTGAACTAGGGCCTATATTATTATTTTATTTTCATATATAAATGGACTGAACAATAATAATAAAGTGAAATATTTAATTTAAAAAATTATGATTTCGTTGCTTTTAGAAAAAAAGGAGCATTTTAGGAAAGAAATTCGTCGACAAAAAAATGAAACGATATTTAAATAAAAGCGTGCATTATATTAGCAACCTTACAATAAAATGAACACTTAAGTCATATTAAATAAAATTCAAAAGTTTGAATATTGTGATGAATTAATTAAGGAAATAACAGACATGGATAATCCCCCTAAAATAATCAAGGATTTGATTTAATTTTTAAGCCAAACCCAATCTTTGGAGACCATAAAAGAAGGATTAAGGTGCTTAAATAATTAATTGTATTATTTTGATGACTTCGACAATTCAGAAAATGAATGCTTTTTATTACTTTAAAAATGCTTTTAGAGTGATGATTACTTATTAAGAAAGAGAACTTTGACGTGTTTGGGAAACTTATTGTATGAGTGTCATCAATTCATCATTCCAGCGCAAAATATATTTTTTTAAGAATAATTATTACATGAATATTCTGAGGAGTACTCATTTGTTATAAACATCTTAACTTAAATTGGTAATTATTCAGATATAATAAAATCAATTTAATTTTTATCAGAAATAATAATGAACAACCCCAATGACATTGACTTTGAATCTGTGAAATTTATTTTTGAAAAATGTTCTCCTTTAGATGCTGATGAATTGATTGATTAGAATTTTATTTTGCCAGCAGTAAGGTTATTATCTAATGCTAAACAAAACGAAATTGCTTATAAAGCATTACTTGCCATTTTAAATAAAGCAAATGATTCGACCAAAATTGGTTATTATTCAAGGGGTCTTAATTAGCTTATAACTTACTTTCTCGATCATCCAATAAAGAAAGAAGAGGGATTTTAATTAATGCTGTATTTTGTTTCAAAGTTTGATAACAGTGAAGAAAATTAGGTTATTGATTCTTTATTTTCAATGTTTGAAGGAACAAAACTATTCGAACTGTTGATGGAAGATTGTAATCCTAATAAACTTCTAATAATTTGCAATTCAATAGAAAATGGAAGCATGGCTATTTTTAAAGAGTTTTTAGATTTAAATATTATTAGCAAAATATTTATTCCTTTTTTAAGTTTTTCAGAAGACCATTCTTCTATCTAAATAATAATTTCTGCTATTGATTCTTTGCTATAAAGAGATGAAATGTCAGGGGAAAAATTTTAGTATGTGAAAAAGGCCTTTGATAATGAATAATTTAGGGGTGCTCTTGAAAGGAACATCTATAATGCTGGAGATCGAGTAGAGACAAATTTTAAGATAGAGAGTATATTGAATATATTAAATGATTTTTAATGATTGTTATTGTTATCTTAATTAAACCCATCCTTTAACAACTTAACTCCTTTTAACTTAGTAGATATATATCTGTTCTAATGATTAGAATAGTTAAATGAATCAATTTAACACTTTGCATTTATCGAAATCTTAGTTCTTTATTATTGAAGTCATTATAAAGTTTTTCTGATATTAATTAATATTATTTATAATAAATTCAAATAATCAATCAAGAAGAATATCTGGGCAAAGTTCTCTAATAACCATGTCACTGATTTTTATTTCCATTCCTTCTGCAACTCCATCCTCTAATGTCACTTCATCATAATTTACTATCTTTCCTCTAAAATAATCAGCAAATTTCTCCAATCTTTTGGAATCAGCCTTAATTAATCTGTAGTGAATTTATCTCATGTTGATTCGATGAATTATTTAATCAGGTTTTAATCCACATGGACAACCTGTTTCATCCCATAGTTCACTATACCCACCAAATTCTTTTCCGTGTGGCGGCTAATCACAAATATGAAAGATATATCTCAAACTTGGAATTTTGCTGCTATCTCTCCAAGTTATTTATTATGCTGCCACATTTAATCCATCTAAGGCTGCTTCTGCGCCATCACCTCCTCCATAACAATCTGAACTTTCAATGGCTTTTAAAATCTGTTTATCAGAACATAAATCATGCAACTCTGTAAGATAAGTTACTTCTTAAGGAGGATGATCACGATAACACACTAATCCAAATCTCACGCTTACTTACTCATTTTTTGATTATTTTTTTATTCTTTCGACTAACATTTAAACAGTGTGTGTTGTTCTTTCCAAATATATATCCATTGATCCTGTAGTGTCTACAACAAAAACACAGTCAACCATTCCAATTGAAGTTTGGTTGGCGTCAGAGGCTACTGATATATTTGATTTAGTCTTTCTAGGTCCTTGCTTAACTTATTATTGTTAAACCTAAACAATATTTTTTTCTGCAATTTTTGAACTCTTTTCTGTATCTTTAATTTCTGCTTTCTTCTCAACTTTCTTATGCACTTGTTTTTCATTCTTCTTCTCTATTTCCATTTCTGTATTGTTTTTTTTTACAGGTTGAGCTTATTTTTATTTGTTTTATTCATCAGGATTATTTTTTTAGACTTTTTAAGGCTAAATTGGTATTTTCTTTTCAATTTTTCTTGAAGGGTTAGATATTGATATTTATGACTATGCTTTAAGATCGTCTTTTGATTTGTTTTATTATTTTTATTGCTTTTCTCTTTTTACTTAAACCTACTTTTATTAAACAATTTTTTTAGGGGATTCCTTTTGTTTTTTTTAAACCTGTGCTGCTCTTTAAGCTCTTTATCTTTATTAAACATTTCTATTCCTCTACCTTGTTCTATCTACTTATTCCATTCTTTGCAAAAAGTCATTTCCTTCTTTAATTGTTCTTTCCATTGATTTAGATCTTTTCACCATTTAATATTATAAATAAAATATAAATAAATTTTATCTAATACTTCCTTGAATTTATAGCAGTTTTAGAAACAAATTTTAACAAACCATTTGACAATATAATTATAATCAGGTTTATATCAGATTATTATATGAGACAGTCTGTTATTATAATTTTAATAGCTATTTTAATTGTCATTTATTTAAGTGGTATTGATAATTATTTTAATTATGAATACACAGTTATCACTAGATTTATTGAGAAAAGAATTTTGCATCAATTTCATTTTTTATAATTTCTAATTTAAACTCAATTAAAATATATACAGAAGATATAAAAAATTATGGATCAAAAATGAAAGATGTTTTATAAATAATTTATATTACATCTTTTATTAGGATCCATTTCAAATATATTCTATATTATTTCTTTATATTACTAATGAATTCTTTTGTTTTTCCAAAAATCTTTCCAATTACTTTTTGTTATTGATATCCATTTTAAACAGTTATTTTAATTAGTATAAGGGAATTCATTTGTTAACAACTAATACAATATGACTCCTAAAGCAAATACTTCTGTCTTCTCATTAAGACTAATGACATCGTCCTGAAAGAATTCAGGAGCAAAATATCCTCTTGATCCTCTTCGGCAATTTATCTTTTGTTGTATTTAATTTGCAAATCCTAAATCACATATTTTGATGTTTAATGTGGATGAATTCACTAACACATTTGCCGTCTTTAAGTCACAGTGGTAATATCCAGACGATAAAATGTCATGATATCCTTCAATAATTTGAGTAAAAATATAGTTAACGTGATATTATTCTAGTTTAAAATATTGAAGGTATTATTGCAGATTATAGTCACCAAATTTTTCATATAATATCCATTCAAATTTTTCTTGGTCATGACTAAAAATGTTAAATATATGATATTACCAAACATAAACTATAATATATTTACTCTTGATTTTTTGGCTGGCTTAAACTTCTCCAATTCTTTCCTCTTGAGATGTTGCCTCCTTAAATACTTTGATAGCATAATACAAGTCTTTATAAGGCAATTCATAAATCTAATATTTTTTCATTTATACATCTGCTTAAAGTCCTTCATCAATTTTTGTTAGACTTTATTTGTTTTTTAGTTAAATTTTGACACTATCTAGTAATTTTAAATCTTTCATCAAGTTGTTTAAAAAAAAAATTATATTAAATGAATCTTTTTCATTTAAAAACTTATCGAATTTATGAATGAATTAACATAACACTAATATTTTATCTCATAATTTCTAAGATGTCAACTAAATATCTATACTTTCTGAAAATGAATTTCAACCTTGAGTATTTTTACATAAATCAAAGATTCCAGCAGATTTTTGATGCTCATAAAGGAATTTGAGAAATACAATTCAATACAATTTTGATTAAATTGTATTATAAAAAATAAATATATATTTTAATTTGAAATCAGATGAGTGTTAATGATAATGGATAAGAATGCAATACATTGGATGAATAACATAAATAATAAATGATGCAATTAGAAACCATGGGGATGATGTGTAAATATCAAATGATTTTCACTAAAATGGATGCTGCATTATTGAAAATAGCATCTATATTGAAATAAAAGTAAATTATCTAATATAAAGTCAGATAAAATAACGACAAGTCATATGCTCTTTTTCAAATTAAGGATAGATCAGTAGGACAGAAGCAATTGCTAATGGTCAATGCACTATCAATAGCTTAAAGAATGAAGTTAAAGTTAAATGGACTATTTATTTTTTGTGAAAAACATGCTTAAGAAAATTAATTTGTAGGTATTTTCAATATTAGTAATTCAAGCATTTCATAAAATGGTAATTCTGTCAAAAGCTAAAAATCAAGAACAGAGACTCAAGGAAGAAAACGAAAAATAGAAAAAAGAATTTTTATTCAAATTGAATTAAAAGGATGAAGACATTGATAGGTAAAGAAAAAAGAATGAAGAATTAGAGGGAATTTTATATTAATAAAAGCAAAGGGAGAGCGATTGCACAATCAAATTATAATAAAAAATGAAATTGATTCAAAGGTATGAAAGTGATCTTTTAGAACTAAAGAGATAGCCTTCTTCAACTAAGAATTCTAATTAAGAAAATAGAGTAATCTTATTATTTATTAATTTAAGTTGAAAGAATTAGAAAATAACAATGCCATACTAAGTTTATAAATATAATAAAATTCCTAATCTTTAATAAATTTTGTAAAGGAGATGAATGAATTATTGGACAGCCATTCTTTTATTTTGAATGAGAAGAACATTAGCAGCTTTCGTGCAAAATATAAATGAATTTTTATTTATTTTGTATCGATAATTTACAACTTAGATACTCAACTAATTTGTTCATCCAACTCAGTATGTTATAAAAATTCATGAAACATTACTTAATTTTTATCGATCAACTCTGCAAACTAATGCTCCAATCTCATAGAATTCAATCCTAATTCCATAGGGTAAGTTTCTAATTTGAGCATTCTGTTAATTAATTTATCATTGCATTAAATAAATCTGCCTTTTCTATTACTTATATAATGAGTAAACGATTTGACCATTTATAATTTTTCATTTGATGGCAGATGATTATTAATGTTTACAGTAAGAAATCCAGTTTTGAAATCAACCTGCACTAAAAATTATTGTTACTGCTATTTCAATTGTAATTCTTTTAGTTGTAGTAGGCAAGATAATAATTGCTAAGAAGAAAGCTGATATTTTAATTGCAGAGTCATTTCTTCATTTAAATTATTATTGTGATTAATATTGTTGGTCTATTTATTACTATTGTGATTAATATTGTTGTTGGTCTGTTTATTACTATTGTGATTCCATAATTATCGTGTCACATATTTATCAACTACATTATCTAGAGTTTACTTCAAATCTGGGAGGTTTTAGGTTCCTTATTAGATTATTTTATATTAGTTCGAATTACAATCATAGAGAAATTAGATCTAATCAATTTATTTAAATTTATACTTTTTATCTTTGTTATTAAGATAATTTAATTAATGAATCGAACAAATAGTACAAATTAGTTTTACTGATAAATTTTTTGTCTAAATTAATCTCTTATTTAACAGGTAATTCCAAAGATTCAGTTTTTAGTGAAACTTCATATACAATTCCAAATCGATGTTATTGCCCAATAAATAATTAATTGATGATAGGTGAAGCTGTGGGACTTTCAGTTTGAAGTTGATGAGAGGTTGGTGAAATAGCAACTAACCCAGTAACAATTTAGTTTAGATTGTCATATTCCACTGAATCCAAGGGAGTAGAATTGTCACTTAAAATGGTAAATAATCTTTGTTACCCCGATAATGGGATTCTTCTTCCATATTAGGCCAAAAATTAATTCACATCTTACACTCTATTTCCTACTCCTACTTTAACAATTTGAGTTTACTAATCATATTCTTTATGCTGAACCTTCCTAAGATTAATGATTAAAAAAGGGAATTTACAATAAGTAAGCCTCTTTATCTCCTTTTAAGATAAGTTTAGATTATTTTATAACTATTGTTTATAGTCTTCAATACTATCAACATCCATAGTAGTAACTTTAAATCCATATTTAGCTGCTTTTTATACTATTTTTTTGATGGCCTCCACTTTTTAAACATAAATGATTGCTGTAGGTGTGGAAAACTTTTATGCAACATATTGTTTCATGTTACCAAAATGTAGATGCATTCCATCACTCCTAGCGACTACATTACCAATAATCTAATCGTCGAACAACTCTGTACCATCATCTTTCTTAAAATAGGTTCTTGCTAATTTTCTGATGAATCGGAGCCTCCGAAAGTAAGTCTCTTCAAAATACTAATTGACAAAATATGAAGTTGACAAAGCACCACATATAATAGATATTCGAACGTATAAATTATACATTAAATTTATTAATTTTTCAATCTATCCCCCAAAGCAATGCACATTCTATGGAAAAATTGTACATCTGAAATATTCTGCTTGTATTTTGCTATAAAATATAGTATAGAAAGTGATTGAAAATACTACAAAAAGCCTTNTGATATTTTAATTGCAGAGTCATTTCTTCATTTAAATTATTATTGTGATTAATATTGTTGGTCTATTTATTACTATTGTGATTAATATTGTTGTTGGTCTGTTTATTACTATTGTGATTCCATAATTATCGTGTCACATATTTATCAACTACATTATCTAGAGTTTACTTCAAATCTGGGAGGTTTTAGGTTCCTTATTAGATTATTTTATATTAGTTCGAATTACAATCATAGAGAAATTAGATCTAATCAATTTATTTAAATTTATACTTTTTATCTTTGTTATTAAGATAATTTAATTAATGAATCGAACAAATAGTACAAATTAGTTTTACTGATAAATTTTTTGTCTAAATTAATCTCTTATTTAACAGGTAATTCCAAAGATTCAGTTTTTAGTGAAACTTCATATACAATTCCAAATCGATGTTATTGCCCAATAAATAATTAATTGATGATAGGTGAAGCTGTGGGACTTTCAGTTTGAAGTTGATGAGAGGTTGGTGAAATAGCAACTAACCCAGTAACAATTTAGTTTAGATTGTCATATTCCACTGAATCCAAGGGAGTAGAATTGTCACTTAAAATGGTAAATAATCTTTGTTACCCCGATAATGGGATTCTTCTTCCATATTAGGCCAAAAATTAATTCACATCTTACACTCTATTTCCTACTCCTACTTTAACAATTTGAGTTTACTAATCATATTCTTTATGCTGAACCTTCCTAAGATTAATGATTAAAAAAGGGAATTTACAATAAGTAAGCCTCTTTATCTCCTTTTAAGATAAGTTTAGATTATTTTATAACTATTGTTTATAGTCTTCAATACTATCAACATCCATAGTAGTAACTTTAAATCCATATTTAGCTGCTTTTTATACTATTTTTTTGATGGCCTCCACTTTTTAAACATAAATGATTGCTGTAGGTGTGGAAAACTTTTATGCAACATATTGTTTCATGTTACCAAAATGTAGATGCATTCCATCACTCCTAGCGACTACATTACCAATAATCTAATCGTCGAACAACTCTGTACCATCATCTTTCTTAAAATAGGTTCTTGCTAATTTTCTGATGAATCGGAGCCTCCGAAAGTAAGTCTCTTCAAAATACTAATTGACAAAATATGAAGTTGACAAAGCACCACATATAATAGATATTCGAACGTATAAATTATACATTAAATTTATTAATTTTTCAATCTATCCCCCAAAGCAATGCACATTCTATGGAAAAATTGTACATCTGAAATATTCTGCTTGTATTTTGCTATAAAATATAGTATAGAAAGTGATTGAAAATACTACAAAAAGCCTTAATAAAATGATTAACATAATTGGCATAGATTTGTTGAATCATTTTCCACAACAGAAGAAATCAAGAATGATTATAAAGAATTAAATGAAATGAGAAACCATATTATAATGAATGTTTAAATTAACTCTTCTTTAAAAAGTATTATTATCAAATCGAAGAAATTAGTTTCATTAAGAGGATCTTTGCAGATCACTTAAAAATAATCAATCCTTATCACAATACATAGAGTTGCAGCATTTAGAAAAATAAAATGGGTTTTAAACTGTAAAGAGACTGTAAATTAATTAATGAGCATAAAATATCATAATAAAACTTTAAATAATGAATAACAACTAATTCATAAGCTTATAAACAATATAATTTAAAAAAAGATGAATAAGCATTAATGTGATTGGATTAGACAAAAGAGTTATAATTAAAAAATATATCTTATAATTCAATAAAGTTGACATAGTAAATTATCTCTTTATAATATTATATTATGAGAAATTTACTCAAAAAAATACAAATTAGATTATTTTTTCAGTCATTAGACTTCTATTAGTTTAACTTTATATCTTATTTTTATTCATTACATTATATAGACATTATCTCATTAAAAGAAAAGATTGGGAACTTATGAAAAATAAATGAATGGGCTAAGAAAATAATTGATTTATACTTTTGCAATTTTGTTAATAATCTTCTATTAAGGTTTTATAACATAAATTAAATATTTAAGATTTTCGTAATTTATTAATTCCAGAATAACTAAGTTTTATTTTATCTTTTTCAGTATACATTTTAATTATAATCTCTGTTTAAGGATTTGCATTTTTTATAAGTTCAAAAATGAGAAGTAGATGTATCTATTTAGATGTTATCTGTGCGATATTTTCTTAGATTAAAAATTTGATTTGGTAATATTATTACAATTAACTCAGAACTTTTTAATAAAATTAACTGAGATTAATTAATTTATCATTAAATAGTATTTTCTAGCCTTTTAATATTTAATATTAAAAGAGGGATAATTTATATTAAATTATCAAGGATGTATTTTTAGATTTCAAAAATTTCCTTAAAACAGTCTATGACATTGACAATTATTTGAGATGATTGGTTTAGATATGATTCATGTAAAACTTATGTTAGAGCTTCTAATTTTTCAAGATAACATCTTCTGACTCTAATATCATAATAAAATTCAATTCTTCAAACTTATTTAATAATAAATGTAGCTTTATTTTCTTCTCCTGAAAGATTAGATCTACACAAAATTCAACATCCTTTATGTCAGTCTTATTCTAATACTCTTCGTGGATTTTGTAAAGATACAGTAAAAGACTATTATTAGTTTGTCTAACTGATGATTGATTTATGAACTACTTTGTCTTCTCCTCATTAATGAAATACCCATATGTCTTATTTGAGGATATTTATTAGAACTATAAGATCTCTATTCGGAACCTCAGAATAACAAAGGGTTTTGTTATAAGCTTCGGGATCAGTGCTTCTTCAAATTATTATTTTTTTTACCCCAATTATCATCTCTAAATTTAAATAAAAATGCTGATCTGTGCAAGTATTCAATTTTATAAATCAAATAACTGTAAGCAATAGACACAGCTATTGTAAGTGTGTACTGTTCTGGCAACAACTACCCAGAATTAAAGTAGTTGGTCAGTATTCTAATAATTGTGTACAAAATGTTAACTACAGTTGATGGCACAAAATCTAAGCCGAACCCGATAATTGCATGTACAATTGTAAAATTGCATCCTTTCAAAAATCCGTCATAGGAGTCAAAACCAGGTTCCATCTTATACTCTGATAGGATTATGCCGAAATATATTATAATTAATAATTTGCAAGATAACTTCTTCTTAATTCTGCTTATTAATAAGCCAAGAATAAAGGCGATCAATAATGAAAATGTTTAGTATAAATTATGATACATTTTGCTCTAATACTAATTGACAAGTGTTATTATTACTATAATAATACCTCCAAAGCATAAGGACTACATTAGAGGAAATTATATCGATTCTAATTTTTCTTTTTAAAATTTTTTTTCAAGTTGTAGATCTTAAAAGTTTAATCGTAATTTGTTCATTATATTATTGATTTGGAAATAAGGAAAAAATTAAAGAAAAGATATAATTTTATATTAGGTATGTTAATGCGTAAATATTGAAAATGCAAATTTTTATTCTTGTTAAATAATTTAGTGTCTTACAATATTTTAGTATTTCACATCAATTTATATAAAAATATTTGTTGAATAAATAAATGATTATTCAAATTGGGTAGTAAAGAAATTGTGATTACATCAAATAATTAGAGTAGAAAACAATCAAAATCACTGTTAATATTTTCATAAAAGTTTTCGATTTAATTGCAAAATATTAATATGAAATTTATAAATTTGTATTTGAGCTTTTATGTTAACTTAGCAATAAAGAGTTTAACCCCTTTATTTAAGAATGTGAAATAATACATTTTAATAAAATTAATTAATAATCGAATTTTCAAAATATAATCCTTTGAGAATTCTAATGTACTCTATTTTTATCACATCTCATCCACTATTTTTAAGTTCCATTCTCGAACCCTGTTATATCAATCTAATTAATAAAATAGAAATCAGGATAGTCAAAAGTGTAAATTCTACATAATACAGAAAAGTTTTGCTTACATTAAGAATATTTGATATTTACTAGAATAGATCAAAATAAATAAATCAAACAATTGAAATCTCAAAAAAATATAGTAGATTCGTTACTAGTATTATAACTAATTTTATATTAAATATATTAATTATTATATAGGAAATTATAACAGTAATCAGACGATATATTTTCTTTTTTGCATAAAGCATTTTCTTTTTTATAAATTTGATTATAGTTCGCTTTTTTTTTCTAATACTTATTGTAGTAAGGATTGTGATCTTCTTTAACGAGGTTTTTCATATTTACTTAATTGTGCGATGTTTTTTTTTTGTATATACCTCGCAATGAAAATAATTAATACTTATCTTCTGAACATAAAATGCTGTATTTTGCAATTATTTCAAATACATTTGATAGCTAATGCAGTTACGAAGTTTGGGATGACATCGAGCCATTTCTTTTATTCATCATTTACATGGTTTATTATATTAATTAATTATATTTATAAATACCGAAAAGAACATAATGTGCAAATATTAAATGTAACAATATAAATAAAAATATTAGAGCTTCTTTCAATTCCGATATTTTAACTAATTTAAATTTAATGATGAAATGAATATAATAAATAAACAATATACACAACCTATTTTCTAAAAAGTAAAACTAAATAAATAATCAAATTTTAACATTTTCATAGAATATTGAAGTGATTAATTGTAATAATTCATCCTTATCACTTAGTGCTTAAAGGTAATATTGATGTACGCTTTAGACATCTTCGCTTTGACTTTTATCATCTTCTTTTATCTATTCTTCATTTTATAGTTAAAAAATTAGAGAATTCATCTTCTCTATTTATTCATTTTATTTTATTAATTACTTGCATATTAACAAGAAATTCTCATTTTATTACTTCTTAATTTCCTTAACTTCTTTGTCTTTTTCATTTGATAATTACGCAAAAAATCTGAAATTCTAAAATTATTATAAAACTTATTACTTCTTACAAAGTAAAATAATCAAGATGCCTATCTTATGGGTATTGATTAACCTTTGTCCAAGAATTTCCTCTCGAATGGGAACCATGCTAAATTTAGTTAACTTATCTTTCCAAATTATTAATTTTAGTATTCTTCTCTGCTATTTATTACTAAAGCTTAGCTATTGTTATTTCATCTGAATTTTTAAAAGATTAATTAATTATGCTTGGTTGATGATCTAATTTAATTAAGGATTAATTAAAGTCAAAGCAATTTGACTTTGGTGACACCCAAAGTTTTTATTCTATTTCTAAAATCTGACTATTATTAGAAGATAATAATCCTTATGTTCTTTGGTTTTCTAAGTAACTTCTTTTATCTTATTAATTAGAATTTAAATATTCCTCTAATTCTAGTTTGTATTTTTCCATCTTCTTTTTATATTAAGTTGATTCCTACTCATATTCGTAAAGTTTTTTTCTAAATTTACTTATATCTTATTCATATTGTGACTGTCTACCCACAAGTTTTAGATTTTCTTCTTTTAAAACTTAGATTTCTTTTTTAAGGAGTTCAACTGTTCTAATTTCAGAATTATCTTTAGAATCTGATATTTCATAATCTAATGCTCTTTCTGTAGGTTAATTAGAAGACAATTGAGACTTTAATTTTTAATTTTTTCTCTTTTTCTTTGATACCTCTTTTTATTAAGTTTCCACTAAATTATTAAGATATTCAATCTATTCCTTATTTTTTTCTTAATCTTTGACAAACTCTTCAAATTTAAGCCAAGCTTCTTCAAAATCATTACAAATGACCTTATCTAAAAAAAAGTTAATTTAGTAGTTCAATTAATCGATAATTTCCTTATATTCCATAATTTTATTTTGCATTTCAATGAATATATTCTGATAGTCTGATTTCATTTATTCGATCTATTTATTTTGTTATTGTATTAGATGATCCTTGCTATACAAGTTTTCCTCAAGAGATATAATCACACTTGTGGATTGATACTCCAATTGGCTATAATCTGACAAACCATTTATTTCCTACAAATCACATTAGATAAAATTTGCTATCTCTAATTGTTGGTACTCAGGACATGATGTCATATATGATATGAATTCCTCTTTTTTCAGTTGTATAAGTGTTTCAAGAAAATATTTGATGAATTTAGTTAATTCTTCATTGTTATCACAGAATGCAATATCTTCACTAAATTCTTTTATTTATAAGTTATTATTTCTTCTTGTTTTTTGCAAACGATTTATTATTTAGTTCCATAATAACTTTTTCACATCTGTTTGAAAGCTACGATAAATAAGATGTATTACAAATCATCTTCCAATTATGCGAATAAAATTCCATCCTAAATGTCTCTTAGATGGTGAATTTACCTTTTAGGATAATTCAATTTGTTAAGCTATATATATACAGTAATATTTACTAAGGCTATGACACTTTTCATAAATTAAATAAAAAATTTTATCAAGATAAATTGAGGAATAAAATGGAAATCAATCAATCATTATACTCTTAGTCTTAAAAAGACAGGAGTTCCATTTTTTTAGTTAATTTTCCACCTTAATGTTATTTGTTACTTTATTTAGCTTCTATCTACATTTATTCGAATTTTTCTTATAAGTCGTTCTATTTCAATTTTAAAAATTTAGCTGCTTCCTACTAAGCCTCATTTTAATCATAATTGACATCAGACAAATTGTAATAGTCAAAATTCTGATAAGGAGTGTTTATACTAGAATCTATTGAGCTAGGTTCATAAATGTCTGGTTTGCATTAATTAGATTTTAATTAATTGTCGAGCTAATCAAATAAACTTAGCAATCCTTATTATTTTTCTCTAAATTAATTGGACACTTAGCCATTTACTGGTATGAGTTATTTAGATTAATGATATAATTCCATTAACTCATTTATAGTTCTTTGATCCTTGATATCGAAATAGTCTTCGGAAATCTCAGGAAAACTAGGAACATCATCTGAATAAATATTCTTTCCAAACATCTCAATAATAATTTAAATAAAATAGAAGTTTTTGTTTTAATTATAAAATATATTTATTAAAATTAGAGTCTTTAAGTAAATTAGCCATTATCGAATTCTGATCTACACAAAGAAACTGATTAGATTTCTAAGTACTCTCTAAATGTACCTTAATGTATAATAGCTTCTTGAAAATTATATTTACGAATTGTAAAATAGAGAAATACCAATCAGCTATTAAGAGGGGATAATTAAGTAATAAAACTTGAAGAAAAAAGAAAGATTATTAGCTAAATTAATTTAATAAAACTATTTGGATGATAAGTAATGTAATAAATATTTCATAGGCCATATTAATAATAAGTTTTCTAAAACGTATAGAAAAATAAGTAGCAGACATAAAATCAGAAAATACTTACATATATATGACACTTTTCAAATTATTTATTGAATTAAAAAAGTAGCATTCAGAGAAACAATAATTAAGTGAAAGATGAGAAACTATTTATTAAACTTTGCTTTTTTTTCAATTAGAATGTGTATTTAGTTGATTAAAAACATGACTGAATTACATCAATTAAATAAAAGCATCCACTTTATAGAATTTAGTCCTATGCATTGAAGTGATATTTTAATAAAACAGGATTCTACTTGAAATTTTAAAGATTTGTATTACAATTGTTTGATTAAATTGGTCTTAAAGGAAACAATGATATTATTATACTCAGTGCTATAGATTTCAATTTTAATTAAGTTTGATAATTGAAATTCCATTAATTATATATATTTATTAAATTAATGAGTGACTCAATAGACCAATTTAATTAGTAATCCTGCTTTTAAGAGGATAATTTTCAAGGGCCCAATATAATGATGGTTTCTGAAAGAATTTTATTAGGCGATGGAGATCTCTATTAAAAATCACCAGATAGTAACTCTTACACTATGCGTGATCCATCGAAAATATAAGATCTTAGCAAAGAATTGGTTGAAGCTGTTCCACTAGATATGCACAAATCATAGAAGGGATTGAAGAAATCAGAATATTAATCAGCTTATGCGATTGAAGAAGAATTGGAAATTAGTGGTAAACCACAATTTTTAAAACTTATTATCTCTAAAAGTCTACAAAATAACTTCATCAATAATTTGTGGAATAGGAGCTATTTAAGAAAATTACATCAGCTAACACCTTTTTAAGTTGAAGCATTAGACGATTTATAATTTGAAAATGAAATTTTCTAAGAGGGAGATGATAATAAAAAAAAGGAAATCAATATTTGGGAAATAATTAAAAAGTTCTTTATCTAGTTAGACGTATTCACACCGTATAGCAAATTCATTTTCATTTGGGATTTGTTTTAGATCTTCACTTATGTGTTGATATTTTTTTGGTTGCCATACAAGATTTCATTTTAATTAGATTCCTTTGGATAACTATTAAACTACAAGCCAAACAATCAAATGATAGAGATTATTTTATTGACCATATTAAGTTTTGATGTTGTTGTTGGGTTGAATTTAGCATTTATTCATAAGGGAATTATAATAACAGACAGAAAGAGAATCATAGTTAATTATTTTAAGCAATATGCATTTGTAGACCTTGTAAATATAAAGATGTATATTAGAAAATAAGGTTTCAATAAGTACTGTGACAATACAATTCTTCATTTTAAATGACAGTTAGCAAGATCATAATATCGACAATGACTTGACTCTACAAATAATATTTTGCGTGATATTTTATATATTAAGAATGACGAAAATAAATAAAATACTAGCACAAATACAAGAGTAAATATTAAATAATATTAAAGGTTTTTCAATTTAAATGGATCCTTGAATGACCTAGTTGGGTTGCTAAAGTTAACAATGATAATTTTATTTATTGCTCATATTTGTGCATGTGTTTGGCATGGAGTAGCCTTCTATAATGATTCGTATTCTTGGTTGGATGCTTATAATTTGAGAGATTAAGGAAATGCATCAAAATATAATAGAGCAATATATTGGGCTACAATGACAATGACGACAGTTGGATATGGAGATATCACTGCAAAAAACAATGTTGAATTATTGATCAATAATCTGACAATGTTTATAGCTTCAATAGTTTTTGCTTATTCAGTAAATAGTATAGGAATCTTTGTGTCCAATATGTATAAAGGAACTATGGAATACAGCAGGAGTGTTACTCTAATCAACACTTTTATGTCTAAAAATAAGATTTAATTTTAACTTCAGACAAGAATTAGGAGTTATTTGGAATATATTTGGTAGGAGGAACAAAATATGAACGATGATGAAGTTTCTTAAATCATTTGTAAATTAAGTAGCCATTTATAAGATGAACTCCAATTTTAATTAAGAGGAAATATACTCAGAAATTGTAAAGTAATGGTCAAGATATTTTCTGAAAAAATGATCAAGTGTTTATTAGGATAAATGGAAGAATAGAGTTTTTCACCGGAAGAGAGGATCATTACTATGAACTAAATTGATGATAGTTGTTTATATATAATTACAAAAGGAGAAATTGAATTGATATTTGAAGGCATTAATAGTCTTAATGAAAGAGTCAAAAGGAACAGTTTGAAATATCTATCTTAAGGTGATTTCTTTGGTGAGCTTTCATTTTTTACTGGAGAACCTAGAAAATGCACAGCCATATCAAGAGGATTCACAAAAGTGTTTAAAATAAGAAGAGAAAACTTTTTGAAGGTTTTGTCTTCATTTCCAAATGATTATGAAAAGTTTTGTGAAGTGAAACATTAATTGAAATAAGGAGATTTTAATTCTTTATAGATCCAATGTTATAGTTGTCAAAGCACTTCTCATTTAATTGATTCTTGTAATTATCTCCATTTTTGTGCAGACAAGGAAGCAATTCTAAAAAAAGAACTTTACCCTCATCATTAATATCGTTCTCGATTAGTTAGTAGGGGGGCAAAGGCTTTTAAACACAAGTGGAATCAATATAAATATTTAATCTAAAGAGCTAAAGACTTTTAAACTGATTTTTATTAATAACCCACTGACAATGAAAATGATGAAAATGAATAACCTTCACAAATTGCCAATGACAACTACACTTATGAAGACGAATCTAAAAGTATGAAATCAATAATTATTATCCTTAGTTGAGATTGATGTACCTTCCACACTGAATTAAAGAAGCAACTCAAGATCATTAAGTAGAGTAAGTTAGAAACCAAATCAGGTAATCATAGAAGAAGATGAAGATTAAAAATTATATACTAGAAAGGTCGTTAATCCAAGGGGAACTTTATAAACAGCTGGATTTGGAAATGCAAGTTTAAGGGAAAGCAAAAAGTTTGATTTAGCGAAGGAGTACGAAATTGAATAAGCCATTTCTGAAGAATCTTCGTCTGAGGAAAAAGATTAGATTATCATTCCCTAATCTTAGAAGCCAAGTTAAGAGAGAACTCAAAAACAAAAAATTACTTTCATTAGAAATCAATCTTCAGAAGACATAGTGCCTCGACAAGCTTCTCTTCGATCAAGGACATTTACTCAAAATAAATTATAATAAGAAATCTTGAAAAGAAGCACAACTCCAGATAAGTTGAGTTCAGATATTGAAATGTCTCCTAATTACAATATTACAAAGAGGTTGGCAGGGAAAAAACATTCAACTACTAAGACTTTTACAAAACAAGTTTAAGAGGCTACAGAAGGCAATCAGAATTTGACTTCTGTGATGGATAACTAAACTTACTTACCGATTATACCACAAATATACTCTCAATTTGATAAGATGTAGATATTTACTCATTTTTTTCCATTTAGTAATTACGATATTGTAATCAAAAGATATCAAAAAATATAGAAGTATTTTGGTAAGAAAAGATAGTATCCCGAGTCTTCAAAGTATTCGTTCTTTTTTATGACAATCAAGAAAGGTTGGAAATTAAGAAAGTTGGGTCAAAAGTTATAAGGATTGAAATTAGTGGATACGATAAAGAAGCCATTTGGGAAAACTATATAGAGTGGCAAATATAATAAAACTAAGAATATATTGAATAATCTTGGAAATAATGGATAAGTAATTCCTTATTTGAAGAATGCATAAGTAATATAGGAAGAAAAGTTATGAGAATAATCATATTTTGAATGAACATAGTATTATGTTAGATTTATCAAAAATTTCTCTTTTTTTTTGATACTTTTTATTTTCTTTAATTTAAATTCCTTTATTATCAAACAATTGAAAATTTCTATTCAATTTAATTTAATTTAGATATTTATGATTAACTTCTTGGGTCTCTTTAATTTTGTTTGATAGTTTTTATTTAGATTAACACTATTATTCGTTTTCAACAAAAGCAGATAATTGTGGCTCTTGAGACTGTTTTGTTCTATTTTTCCTTAAGTAACCCTATTGTTTCAAATAGAGTTTTAAGTTATTCTACTCATCCTTAAAGATACAATAAGATTCTTACATTTCGATTTTAATCATGCTTGATTCTTGTTCTCAGAACTAGACTATGCTAAATTTTTCTTTATAAGTTTTGAATGTCCCTATCTTCATCGCTCATTATATCCAGCTATTTATTCTGATGATGAAAGGAGTCTTAAGAACTGAAATAGCGACTTCTGCATGAGGAAGCCTATTGTTAGGTAAAATCCTTTTTATGCGACAGAGTTTAAGTGACAAAATTCTAGATTGATTAAGGACTTGATAGAGGACTTCGAGAATTCTATATGTTTTTTTGGAGAAATTAGCTAATAACCATTTACATTTAGAATCTTTGGTTTAAGGTATTTTCATCTTCATCAGAATTTTTGTACTTCTTGACTATTTTGCTAAAGGTTTGAGCACACTTTTAGATTTTGGAGAAATCGTTAGCTTTAATGATTTCTTATCTCCTATCTATGATGGAGTCAATTAATTTTAATCTATCCTTATAGGTTTGAAGAGATTCAACTGCTTTCTTAATTTAGGATTTCGAGAATACATCGGAAATTTTGTTATAGGTACTTTTTAAATTATTATTCATGAAATAAATTAGTTATATTATTGTACTAAATTCTATATATAGCAATCATCATCATTTCAGTTTCCTCCAAAAGAGTTTCCTGCTTGATATTATTTATGATTGGAATTATTGTTATTTTTACGATTTTCATCATCAATTAAGTTTTCGTCTCCTCCCGTATCGTCATCCTCATCCTAGACCTTGTCAGGATCAAAAAGACCTAAATCATCGGGATTGACCTCAGTGTATGGGTGTGGAAAGCCTTTTTCAATTTAATCTGAAGGAGAAACAAAGGACTTTTTCAAAGCCAACTTATGTTTGACTTCCTTAAGAAATAGAATGCTCAAAATAGCTAAGGCATATAAAGAACAAGTTATTGTAATACCCATAAATCCATCAAACCTAAGATATAAATGCGCAATATTTACTTAGTGGCATCCTTTCCGTGAATAACCATGCTAACTATTTGAGCAATAAACGAACTTCCCATAGTAGCTCCTGAATACTATAATCCAATACAGAAGGAGTCATTCAATGGATATATTTGTTCACAACCCCATTCCAATAATAAAGGAATTGCAGGCAATATAAAGAATCCTTACAGAGTGGCCATGGCAAGCATCATTACATAGTTTTACAGGTAACATCCCCATAGAAATCCATAGAAGGTGAATATAGTGCAAAATTCTAGAATAATAATAATTGGTTTGTATTTCCCCCAACTTTTGTATATTGTAGGAATAATCAATGAACTTAGAAATCCTCCGATGACTGGCATCACTGATAAAATGGCAATATCTGATTTCCCATACCCGTAAGGCATGAGAATGTATACCAGAGCTACTCCATATCCCTTATAAGAGCCATAAAACAAAGTGAAGGAAATAAATATCTGGATCTACAATATAGAATTAGTTATTTTACAAATTTAGTATCCTTTAACATCTAACAAATGCTATCAGTGAAGGAGATTATTTGAGTTGATCCTTTGGCAGCAGCCGATGGAGGAGTTTTGGGTTTGGTTTCAAAGAAGATCAAGAGTGGAATTAGGAACACTGCAGAAAACAATGCCTCTGAAAATAGCAAATACATAAATCTTGAATCTCCTGTATCGAGTACATCTTATGTTGAATACTTGTCAATAGTAACTCCTGCAAAAAATATAGGTGGGATGATATATCCTAATATTCCACTAAATGTGACTATGAAATTCAACATAGTCATCAATTTAGTTCTCTGATTGGATGGAAACCATTCTACAGCAACTGAAGCCTAAGCGTTGAGAATTAGGGGCCTGCCCATTCCACATAATGTTTAACCAATTAAGACATATATGAATCTAAATTTATTTTAAAGTTCTTACGACTATCTAACTAAGCATCTTGAAAAAACCCCAAGCAAAGTCAAAATAGCACCTACTTTCACAGACATTGCACTTCCCTTATACATAATCAAGTAACTAGCAGGAAACGTAAATAGTGGATGCATAAATAAATATAGAGTTGCAGAAAGAGTGATAATCGAAGTATCTTCACGATAGATGTAACTTAACTTTATTGAATTATACAATTTATACTTCAATCGCTATAGGATTGCAAGTGGCATAGACTGCTGTATTACATAATTCAGCCATTGTGAACAAAAATAATATCACATATCTCTTTTCATAGAGTCGATATCCCTGTGACACACTTGATTTAAGATCAGCCGAATTATTTACTGGATCTGATTGATCAGGACTTTATTCAGAACTTTAATCCTTCATAAATTTTTATAATAAATTTTATTTTTTAACTCTTAAATCATTTAAGTAAATATGTTTAAATTATTTTATAAATCATAATTCATCATGTTAATTCATTAATTCGTCAATAAATTATTTCATCTGATTTGCTAATCTTTATTTATTATATTTTATTTATTCCACAGAGTTTCCATCCTTATAGAATAAAATCAAAGTTGGGAATCCACCAATACTTACCGTTGGAACCTGCTCTTGAGTCCAATCCATCTCTGCTATCAAAACATCCTTACTCCCTCTGTACAATGCTGCCAGCTATTCATACTCTTTAGCCATACTCTTGCAATGTCCACACCAAGGAGCATAAAATTTCACTAGAACATGCTACTTACTCTTTATTACAATGTCCTGAAATGACTCTGATGTTACACCAATTACTTTTCCGTTATTGATGAAAGTTCCATAATTATTTTTTATTCTCAATTGTTCATTGATGAATTCTACTAATTTTTCTATTGATCTCTATTATGAATCGTATTTTATAATCTCTCTTCCTTTTGGACTAACAAAGAATATAGAAGGATAAGAATTCATATTAAATCCTTAGAATTAATACTTTGTCGCATCTGTTCTGCAGAATATTAATTTATCTTAAAAAAGAGGAGTTAATTATTCAAATAAGAAGTTAGCTGCTTTAGAGTGTTCGCTATTTGGCGAATAAAATAAGAAAAGCACTGGTTTGTCATTATTCAATATCAATTAATCGAAATTAGTATTATTTATTTCATTACCAGATGTTTAAGGGAAAGACCCTGACTAAAATTTAGTAAATGGAATATGTTCTTCAATGTATTAGGATATGGCCTCAGTTGACAATTCTCCTTTGTATATCACCAAATTCACCAAGCCATCCTATTTCAAATAGATATAAACAGAAGGAACTTCTTCAACTATTATTTCCCTTATTGGCTTTATACTTCTGTTTTACTTGGCAAAAACCAAATTGTTTCTGTGTTGATACTTAATTGATAAATCAGAAAACGCATCATTAAAACCAAAACATAAATCGCAAGCATTCATATCATTAAATAAGATGACGTGATTTGGATTCTGATTAATCTAAATCTAATAGTTTAAAGGAGTCAAATCATGAACATAGCCATCTCCTTCCCAAAATGGTTCCTAATATATTTATACTTATTCAACTATCTTTCTAAATGTAGGAATCGAACCTTCATCATAAGGTAAGCTCACTGTAAACTTTGTATAAAAATTATAATAGTAAATTCTCTTGTATTCCAATGATTGACCAACAAAATATTAGAACCTCCTAACAGTCAATTCATTTTTTGTATCAATCAACACAAATCTCAACTTACCCTTGAATTCTGCTGCTACTATCTCATAATAGCTTTTTATAAAGTCATTAAATTGATTGGGATCCAACACCATACCAATTAATGGAAGTTCTTCAGCTTCTGCTTTTTTAAACTCTTCCTCAGTCAAAGAAAACACCAAAGGGTACGCATTTTTATCAATGAAATCATAAAACTCTTCTAGTTTTCCATTAAAATATATTTCTTTGGCCAAAGCCTTATTGGTTATAAAGGCTTCATGGTGTTTAGGGTTTATCTATTGATTAATTATGCCAAATTTAATTTAAGGCATTCTGATGGCAATATCAGCTATCTCATTAGTAGTGTAATAGGATAAGACTGCAATATTGGACCTTTTGATGAATAAGTCAATCTAATAGTCATATCACTTCAAATACTTCTTTTTATAAATTCAATTAGGTGATTAAGCCATACTAATTTTGTAATGCGTACTCGAATAATAATTCCAAGTCTTCATCATTAGGAAATACAGATTTCTCACCCTCATTATACATATAGGCAGCTGGATATGATTAACTATTCATTCTAATTGAAAGTGCTCGATTTTCGCAAGCTATTACTTCAGCCACATATACTTCATATTCTTTTAATCTTTTGGCCAATTCGATGAAAGTGGATTTTACCTTTAAGCTAAAATAGAATTTATTTGTTACCATAAATTACAACCATAAGTAGTAAATAGAACAATTAATTTTGGATATTTTGCTATTGCATAATCGTAATTGTTTCTATCCAATAGTAATAGACCATCATTTTCATCTATCTTTTCTTTGAGTCTGCTCTAACAATCAATTGAAAGGAACAAAATAAACAAAATGGTAATCACTTTCATTTTTATTAGTATTAGTAACTTTAATTTAAAATATAAATTCCTATTTTGAAAGGAGATTTAAAAATATTCTGAAATTATTAATATTCATAATCAATACTATGGTAACTTTTCCTCTTATGACATTGAAGCTGCAACATACTTCTTCGATTTCTTTTGAGCCTATTGTAAATTTTGTGAATTTAAATTTCCTGAATCAAAAGCTGAATCTAATAACTTAGATTTCGAATCAAATAACGCATTGGATTGCAATTAAATATTGGGTATATCATCGAATATCTTATACTTTCTAGTTTGTGTTAAGTTACCTGAATCAAGTACCTAATCTTGTTTTGGTTTTATTGGATGCAAATGTTCATTTAGGAAATCATCAGGGGGTTTGTTTTGAGTTTCCTGTACTTATCCAAACTTATGATTTTTTTGAATAAATTAAACTTCTTCTGATTAGTTATTTTAATTCATATTGTTCTGCTCTTCTTTAAAAAATTGTTATTTAGGCAATTCCCCTTTTCTTGAAGCAGATGGTCTTAGATATTTGTCCAAGAGTTAATCATTATCTTTGGAGGCTTCTGGACGATGTGTGGGTCCAAAATCCTTTGGAATTGATTATTTAAAGCCAAAGAAATTATGTGATTAGGTTTTGGTAAGCTTGAAGTCATAATCATTTTGATTTTTGAAATTCTGATTTTCAGGTTGTTTCTATCTGAAGTTAGATTAAGTTAAAGTGGCTTCTGCTTTTTTTCCAGTATAGAATTCATAATTGGACATTTCTGCCTTCTTAAGTTGTCTAAATTATGGTACTGAGGCTGCTGACTATAATATTTCTTCTTCTTGAAAGGGCGGTGGTACCAAATTAATCTAAGGGATATCTGGCAAGATTTGTTGTTCAATTGGTTTTGATTTTAATATTTCAGTAGATTTGATTATGTCTGGAGAGGGTTATCTAATTGTGATAAGTCGATAATCTGGTGATTTACTAATCATTACTTTAAATGGCAAGAGAGGACAATATTTAATGAATGTTTCAGAGGGTATATTCTCTTCTGAACATTTAATCCTTTTTTTCAAACAAAATATATCTTGATTGTTGTATTGAAATTTTTATTTGTTCATAAATTTGATTAAACTAATTTAGTTATTGTAAAATATACTTTTGAGTGGTTAAGAACTTTTGATTGTCTTCCAAGAGTTAACAAAATTGTTTTCCATTTTCTTTGTACTTTTCAAATAAGACCATTCTTATTGGTTCAGCCTATCTAAAGTACATCACTTCAATCTTCAATAATCGTTACAATTATTGTAATATGTCTGATACAATTTGTTCATTGGTATTGTCATGAATTTTAGTGTCTAGAAACATATCAAAAGGACATATGAATTGATAAAAGTCATCCCAATTGATAGTTTAATTATCAGAAGAATATAATTAAAATAAGCAATCCAATTCTCTTTCGTTTATGTTTTGCATAAAATTTCTGAGTTTAATAGAAATGCACATTTACCTGAACAAATTGATAATGTCACATCGCATGATTCCTTTTGAGTTTGTAATCAATAAATTATAGATTGTTCTGGCTTAGAAATGGGGAGTGATACTCAATTTTATTCTTTATTCTTCTAACTGATAAGTATTATGGTCTCATACTTGACTTTCGAAATGGCTGGTCATTTTTAAGAGTTAAGCAACTTTGGTTATGTATTCATTTGCTAACATCTTTCTTATTTAATCAATAAAATATTATGATCAATCAAATTAAGAGTCATCAAGAAATTTTTTCTCTTGCAATCCTTAATAGGTAGTAAGTCCCATTTGATTTTCAGGCTTCGTATACTCTTTGATTTTCTTTCCCTTTTCGTGGATCTAAAATTTAATAATAGACCTACTTTGTCTATTTCCTCAAGAGCATCAATTAACTTTTATTGAGTAGCAAAATGAATGCCTTCCTTTTAGGAGATGAAATTAGCCGAAGAAGGTACAAATTGATGAAATGGTTCTTCTAAATCATTTTATATGATCGCATCTATCCTTCTTACATTGGAGATGGTTTATTCAAGCAATCTCCGAAGAATGGGATTTTTGCTGGCTGCCTATAAGATTTCTTCTTTATTCAGTTCTCCATCCCCATCTTAATCAACTTGTTTGATCATTTCTCTGATGACCATTTTGAGTTGATATTTGTCATTTTCATTGATGATGTTTTGCTTCAAAATGTTAAAGATCTCTTTTTCACTGACCTTGCCTGAGCCATCCTCATCACATAAGTCAAAGAAGACTATTCTAATTAAGGATTGAACTAATTACTTTTTAATTTCTCATCAATTGTATCATCCTTCAACACTTCCAATCCTACTATAAGTTCTTTATAATCTACAGTGCCACTTGAATCCTCATCGAAAACATAAAATAATTTCTCTGCCAGATTCTTGTCTGCTCCCAATCCGAAGGAAATAAGCAAGCCTTAAAATTATTCTCTATTCAACCCTTCAGGAAAATCCTTTGCCTATTTTACAATGGATTAATAATTTTAAAAGATCTGTCTGATGGCATCTTTCCTATTCTTTAATAACCATTAAATGGTTTTCCATTTCATTTTGAATTTAGATTTTGGGGCTATCTTTTTTTTAAATGATTATAGATTAAAGCCATAATCCTTCCTTGCAACATTCAACATAATACTAATAGAGCCACTAGCCACAGGTAAGGCTTGCTAATTAATTTTGCTTTGCATGGAGTATTTTTGTTTGTTGCTTGTCTTTTTATCATAAATGAATCTGTAGATCTATTCCATTCTTAAATGTTAAGGTGCATTGCATTTATGCTTGAACTCTAATCTAAATATAAAATTTACTAAACAGAGCTTGGTCATGTGAAGTTTTAATAATTTCATCGAAGTCTTCATCCTCGATTGGTTTGGCTTTGACGGGTTTGTTGATGACAAATGATCTGATGGGTTTTGCAGTTGCGATTCTGGTTTGGCTGCGATTGGAGGAGATGGTTTGTTAAGGGATGGTTCTGTTGCTGTGAATGGTATTAGCTGTGTTAGCTGATTGTATCCTGTGGTAATATTGAGTGGCTTGTGGTCTGAATCCTGAGATTGAGAGAGAGGGTTTACAAATTTACATAAAATTTATAAATATAGAATAATCAAATAAATGAATATGATTCATTGTGATCGTCAATGTACACACTAGCCTAATGTTTGGAGTTGTCCAAATCTATGGGTTCGAACTTGATGATATCGACATTGCCCAATTGTGTCACTTTGTGAGATCTGAAATACCATGTATAAGTACTGCTTGATTGCAATGACAATTCTGGTTATTTGGATGAAGTAACGTAAAAAGATCAGAATCAACCCCAGGGAGTCGTCGACCTCGATGATATTGGTTTTTATCTGGCTAAGTTTGCTTATAAGATGGAGAGTTACGAATGCAATTCAAAGAGGTAATAGAGACTTATCAATATTAAGATCAAGATGAATGCTGCCAAGTCAATGATGTTCCAATATTCCTTAAAGAAATACTAGTGCTAATGATGTGAAGAAGTACTTCTCTCTCTGCAATTATCCGTATGCATATGTCTATCATGATTGCGAGTGTCAATATTATCTCCGCTTGGATTACCATGTTCTCCTTGAGACTTAATTAATTATCACAGCTTACTTTTATTCCGGGTCAATTATTATCTAAATGTTAAAAGTTCATACATACACTAATATCATAATTGAGAGCAATACCTGCACCACGGAAAACATTAAGTAATGTTTGTGCATTCTCAAGTTCGTCATCAGATGCTTACAATTTTATTTCATTTTAATTATATTATTATAAAAACCTATGCTTTCAGATTACGAATTGCAATAACAGGCCCTCAAATAAAAATTGGCCAAGCAACAAGCCTAGGAATAAATCAACTCCTTGGAAGCCAAACTCCAATGTAATGTATTCCCATATTCTAGAAATCATTTAAATTTAAAAAGAAATCGAAGAACAGGATTGTATTACTTTATCTATCATTTAGTCTAATACTAAATTAAGTGCGATGACTTACAGAAGAAACGAGAACAGCAAATGAAAGAAATTCAGAATTTAAGGGCGTCCTAAGAAGCCGATTTATAAAGGTAGGGTATAATCTACTAACTTACATTAGAACAAGGAATATGTATAATGAAATGTGGAAAATGGCTGAGCAATTCCAAAAGAAACAACAATTGTTTATCTATCAACAGAAGCTGGACAAAGATTAATTGAAATCCTTCTAAGTTACCTAAACCTCCAAGCAGTCTCATTATGAAATGAATAAGGAATTGGTTGTCCCGCACAATCCCTTTGTCTTATTATCCTAAGCGCAGGGCTTTCTGGATTCCCAATACGACGCGTATTACGAAACAAATAGTCCAAAACTATAAGAAATTGTAGAAAAAGAGAGTGTGTATCCCAAAAGTCAAATCTAAATAACTTTTGTGAGTTTCAAACCAGACATGCCTACTTTGGAACAATTCGAAAAAAGAAGATTCGAAGGAACTGTAAATCAAATACCATTATCGATGCAATTGCTAATTGACTTCTATGACTTTCCAACCTATAAATCGAACACACTCATCTATGAAGATTGTCCTACCATCGAATAAATTAGAGTAAGATAATAGTGTAATCGTATTAGAGACAAGTCGGCTATGATTAGGAACTGAAATTGGCATACGAGGATTATTTCACGAACAAAACCTTTGGTAAAAAGGCTTGCTTTGTATTTGAAGTAGAAAATGACTTGAAATTTGTGTATTATCTTCTGTTTAAGAATGCCTACATCAGAGTATTAGATGCGATAACAGGTGAAAATTACGGGTATTGCCAAATACCATTGAACTCATTAATAAGAGAGGACAAAAGTGACATATTCTCAATCCAAGAGGTCTAGGTACTGAGTTATGATTGGACCATTACATATGGAATCTTCACAATTACCATCCAAAACATTGGAATCAGCTAAGAATCTAATTTTGCAACAGTTACCAACTTTGATCAAAATGCATTCAGTTAAACATTGAACATTCAATCATTGTTATCAGTCACATAAAATGTCTATTTTAATCAGGTTATGGACAACAAATCCAAAATTTAAACCTAATATGTGAATTTATCAAAGATCACCTCAGATTCAGCAGTCAGATCAGAAGACAGGATGAAAATTAGAATTTCCCAACTTAAACCCCAATCATAGATCTCACAAGCACGTAAGAAAATAACTTCAGACAAACCCAAAGATCTTACTGAATATGGTCATCAAGCAGTTGTGAATATGAAATTAAATGATGTCGACGAACGCATACGAGTGAATGAAAGAATTAAGTCCAAAAGGTCGGATATGCTTACTTATTTGAGTACTAAAGATGACTTTCTAAAATTATAAGCCGTAGAATTGAGTAGGAAATGGGATCGCTATTAGTTTTTAAGTTCAGTTCTACCATCTCATATGATTCCAAATACTTTACATCTGCCTGTAGGGGAGAAATGCATTTAATTTATTGAGTACTTAAATGAAACTGAGGAGGATAAAATTATTACTGTAGAAATATCGCCACCCATAATTACATACTTAGTGGGTGGAGAAGAACTTGAATCTATTTATGAAACAAAAGGGATTGCATTTCATTCCAGAGTTGAAGTTGAACAGGATTCATTCAAATGTCATGCATAATAGAAATGCATAATTGCCATCATATTCTACACACTAATTGAATTTACAACTGAAATAGAGATAGCTGTCTATTTGAAATAGAAACAATAACCAATCTGTGGTTCTTTGTATAAAGTATTACCTAAAGCTTAAGTAATTGATATGAATTTTGATTTCTATCGCCAACCTAATTCATAAATCGAATTATTTTTGCCTTAGGTTTTCTGCTTTTGTGAAATTAAGTATAGGAAAACACCTATTATCATATGTAATCGAGAGGAAGTCACCTTCGGAATAAATCCTGATGATATGAGAATCAAATTAGAGCTAAAAACTGCTGACATTGGTAAATAAATTATACTATTGTTATTCTTCTACAGAGATAAACATTGTCATTATTTGCTATTGTCAATATGTGTCAAGATCACCAGTTTAAATCTTATCAAATTATCAACGGTGATTGGTTAAGCCACATAATGTTCAACCGAATTTCAATCTGACAAAAAAAGACAGATCTACTTCCACAGTTTGAATCAAGATAAGATTTGGTTCGAGTCCCCATTTGATAAACCCGTCTGGATTGAAAAGAATCAAATCACTGTTATTCCTTTTAAGGTATTTTAGATGACTTCAAACTCCCACATAGTCAAAGTGAATGCTGTTGATTCGACAACCAACGAGATGGTTTATTCCTGGCTCTTCCAAATCAGTTCCAACATGCCTCAAATTAAAAGAGTGTTTACATTTGATTGCTATTTTAGACAAGCTCACCCTTTCAAGATCGCCTATTCCAATTCTATTGGTAAGGTACTGAATTTAAATATCGTCTCTTCTTCTTATTTATTGAAGGTTTTTCAATCTCAAATCAAAGTTCCGATTGGTGGGAGGGCTGAAATTGAGCTTGCCTTTATGAAGGCCGAGGAATATCCAAGTTAGGATTTTAATGTTGTGGAGAAGCAAAGAGAAATCCAATTATTCATTTACGAAATTAGGAATAACATTTTTGAATGCTACTTATTTTAATTCAATTTATATGACAAAGAAAATGATAACATTCCTTTTGAAACTATTGAGGAGTTTCGTAAACGACCTTTTTCAATATAATCTAAAAAGTGAAATAAATATGATTTGATTTTTTACACAATTTATTATTTATATATAAATTTAAGTTTTTTAAACAACAATGGAATTCAACTCAACCGGCATCATTGTTCAACCTCATCCCAGTATAAAGAAAGAAATTTGGAATCAATTCGTTTGCGAATACCCTCGATGTTCAAATCAATACAAATTACCTGAAAATTCAAAGGATAGATACAGATTCCTTTCAGCTTTGATGATAGCCAACATTTTTGATACTCTGACCAGTTGGCAATAACTAAAAAAACTCTATGATGTCTATGAGTTCTTGGGAAGGATTGCAAATGACAAAGACTATCCACCATTAATGTAAAAACACATTTTAAATTTGATGAAATCATTCAATACTCTGATAGCCAATTTACAACCCTTTGATGCTCGCAAAATTGATAACAACCATCAACACTATCAAAAGATATAAATAGTTTAAGAGTACCTCCAAAAGCAAAGGAAATACATTTACTCTCTGTTGGAAAATGAATAGGGAATCAACACTCTCTTCAAGTTATCAAGAGGAATCGCTTTGAGTCTTTATCTTAAACCCGATTATGAAAAGATTACTCCAGTTTCTAAATTCATTACCTCGCCAAGCAGAGAAGAGATAATCAAGAAATTGAGTAGTGATGATTTAGAAATTAATTCAAAGAATCATTTTATATTGGAGGACTATGAAATCGTGGCCATTTCTCATCTACTTAGTTGTCCCATCCACTTTTTTATTAACTATTTTGAACCAAAATGCAATTATCTCATCAAAAGAAGAATACATCAATAATAAAGTGAAGAAAAGACTATTGCCTTTTTCCTAGAAATACAGTAAACTAACTTCATGGTCAGAATTCTATCCTCCACTCCAGATATCATATATATACAGAATATTATAAACTAAAGGAAATTGCTATTTCAAACTAATCAACCAAAAGCCATTGTGGAGTATTTGTAATAAATCATAGAAAGTATATTAAATCAAGCCACGCACGATTTTTCTAATCTCAATAAATTTTGGATTGTTAAGATGCTGCAGATCATTAAACAAGGAGAAGCCTAAACACTCATTGCCAATAGATAGGCTATTAAGATAAGTGAATTATTTACAAGGGAAAGCTATAATTTATTTTAGCTCTTGAACTTGGATCCGAAGATGCATTAAGAGTTTGTCTTTAATTCTGAATAGAATCTGAATTAAACTGAAGAACTTATTGAAAACATAATCATTTCCTAAATTACCATGATCAGAGATTAAATCACTGAAATAGCTAATAGTTCGAAGAGACCACCATCTATCTCTCAAAATCAAATAGTCTCAGGTGACAAAGTCTCAGTGCCTAGATATCTAGTTAACAATTCATTGTTTCAATAGCCTAATAATTAGACTCCCAATTACTTTTAACAATAGAAAAAGCTAAATCTAGCAGGCAGATTGATAGCAAAGGATTTGGACAATGATTTACCTGAGAATTCTGATTCCAGTGAAAGAGATCGCAATCACCATTTTTAAGCTCATTCCATATAAAATATACCAGTCACTTGCAAAGAGTATGATACTGAAGATGAAATTGAATTTAAGAGAGCAGATGATCAATAATCAGCAGAAAAACAAGTTTAAAGGATAGTATAGCATCCTTCTGAGGAATATCCCTTGGTTAGACCACCTAAATATTCATCATAAGTGAAAAACGATGTGGTCTCTTAAAAAGTCCATTAAAATTCATATAAACAAGTTTAATCAGAAAGGAAAAGACAAAGGAGTGTAGAAAATACAGATTTTGAAGCTAGTTTAAATTTATAAAATGACTATCTTGTTTCTAGTTAGAATAGAGCATCTATAATCAGAGCTCAATCAGATTTAAATGCATTGAAACTCTCAGTGAAACAAAGAGATAGTCTAGACTTTGAGCCTAAGAAGTAGATTATTAACTAAGTGAATAAAATGAGCAGTTCATAGATCTTGAGATCAAGTGTTAGGTATGAGTAAAAAGAGATAGTCAATGAATTATATTAAAGTCATATTTCTGAAGCCATGAATGAGTCCAAAAGTGAAATCAGTATGATTTAGAAATGGTTTTGTCCAATTTGCTTCACAGAAATCTATTAACCTGATCTAATCAGAAATCTCCATGATGATCATAAGGTTTGCAAGTCTTGTTTGGAAGATTGGATCAAAGTAAAACTAATATTTAAATAAGGTAAAATTTAATGCAGGACAATGGAATTTTAAATTTTTTAAATGTCCAATTCAACTTATTGAAGGGGAAACTATGAAACCCTGTGAACACATTATTGAATAATAGGAGATTAAAAATGCCTTAACGTCTGACGAATTTAGCAAATTAACTGAGAGAGCTATGAAACATGGCATCATTGACATTATATGTCCAAATCAATCTTGTTAAGCAAGTATTAAGGGTATGCCTCCTTAGAATTAAAATGGGTTCTTATGTCCTAGATGTTCTCATAAGATTTGTTGGGTGTGCAAGTAAACAAAGATGTTTTATTATTACAATTTAGAAATTCGGATCATGGGGATTCAAAATGTCCATAGAGACTTGATGAAATAAAAGTCGCCTTACAAGATGAGAGAGTTAGTTGTTGTCCTGGATGTTTGGAAATCTATATGAAAAATGATGGATGCGAACATGTCTCATGTACAAACTGTTTGATAGAGTTTTGTTTTGCTTGCAGTGCTTAAAGGCCTCCTATTATAGCACATGGTATTTATGTGTAAATTACATTAGGGGCTCATTTTCATAGGGTTGGTTGCTAATACAGAATGCCTTGGTGGAAGGATTAATAAAAGAAAATAGAGAATTTGGATGATGAATATTTACCTGATGAATGTGAATATTGTAAACGAAACTAAAAACCATGTCCTCGTCCTATGACTTTGGCTGATTTTAAGAATTTAGCTCATTTAAACTTTTGAAGTATTTAAAAGTTATCAATCAGTACTAAATTTAATATTCAGTTATATTTTATGTGTTCATCTATATATGTTGGAGTTTAAGAAAGTTTAAATTTGGAATAGATTTTAAATTATAATCATTAGTATATTTTCAATACAGAAGTTATGGGATTTCTACAAAGCAAACAATCACTCTTAATTAGGCCTTTGCAATCTTCACAGTAAATATAATGCCCACATGGTATAGCCACATATTCTCTATCCTTTTCAAAACATATTTAACATTTCTTGTCATCCTTCATTGACTTTGTTAAATTGGTTTATTGAGTTATCTTCATCTCTATTTTCCATTATAGTTGCTTTATCTCTTTATTTTGAGGAAGATCTTGCAATTCCTCTTGTATTGTAAACAATTTATCAAGGTTTTTCTCTATGGCTTGTAGATTCTTGTCTGATGGTTGCAGTACTTTAATATTTTCGATTATGGCATTTTTAGTTTATAAAAGAAGCTTGGTTGATATTTCGGATTAGGTTTGTTATATTTAAACCTATTGAGTCTTATCATCCATTTGGGATAGCACATTCATTATTCTTTTCTTGTACTAATCCAATTTGATGCTCTATTCTGATTTTGTAGTTTAGTTAGCGAATGTTTTACTTATGTCCTTTTTAAGTCTATCAATACTTGTGTGAGGAAGCTAAGTATGATTATTTTATTTCATATATGTAATAAATAAATATATTGCATTTATTATCCATCGAATCTGGGAAAAGAGAGCCTGCTTTGATAATTGAAATTATATATATATATAAATCATAAACTCATTGATTTTCATCTTTGAAAGAACTCTTTTTGAGTTTTTCTAGTTCATATTTTAGCCTTTGATTTTCTTCAATCAATTATTGTGATTTTAGATTCCAATTCTACTATAAATTCGAAACAAAACCTTTGATAAATCATCTAACTGTGCAAAGGATTACACTGAAAGGATGTTGAGTTATTTCAATAGATCCTATCTGATTTAGTCTTATTCATCCAATTTTTAGATGTTAATCTAGGAGTGTTATTTATTCTCTTCAATTTATCTCATCAAATTCTAGCTTAGATATTGTATTACATTTAATTTCTAAGTATTTTATTCACTCTTTTTCTTAGAGTCTTGTTATGCAGAATACATTTCATAGGTGGGAAGTGTTATCAACAATGCATAGATAAGGATTTCGTAAAAGAATTCGACTCCCTTACAAACTTATTAATTAGATTACTTTTTCTAACGCCACTTCATCATTCAAAGGCTTAAAGAAAAAATCGCTACTTTTTTTATCAATACCCATAAATTTGCTGTCTATTTTTTACTAGATTTCAGAATTTCATTACGTCCCATCTATGTTAAAAGTTTCCAAGACGAACATAAAATTTCTTGATCCAAGTAGTGTGTCCTGATTGAGCCTGCTTTAAATGCGCAGCCTTTGTTCTTGCTATCACTGGCCTAGCAAAGACCCTGACAATCAAGGAGAAAACTTTGAATAAGGGCAACATTCTTATTAACTATAATAATTTAGATAAATAAAATAATAATCAATTAACATGGTTAAATAGTTTTGTTCGAAAAGCTATAAAGAATAATTTATACTCATACTTTTTGAAGGAGGCGGAGAATTGCTATAAACAACTTATCTTTCATTCGACAACAACCTGGATCGTTCCATTGTACTCACAGTAAAGGAAGATTGGTTGTCATGAGTCAAGTCCCCTATTATATAACCATATTCTCGAATAAAGTTGAAAAATTTCTAATCCAAAGGCTTTAGAAGTTTAATTTGTATAATGTCACTTTTATTTCTTGGACTCCTCTCTTGTTCCTGGAACGTTGTTGAGTTCATTTTAGAAAAAGATTGATCTGACTCTAAACCTGAAAACAATCGTTTTTAAAGTGAAACATCCTGTTTGGACTGTTGAGATGAGGATCTTTGATCCAAATTTGACTTAGTGGCATTTTGAAACACTTTAATTTAAATTCCCTAATTGTCGTCCTCTATTTGCATTCCTCTTGTATTTCTTTGTTAAAGATTGTAAATTTATTGAACTTATTGAATATTCCTATTTCCCTGATTAGTTGGGTTCTTAACAGGCTTAATGTCATATTCCTATAATGTTTTTTGTTGTATTTTGTTCGATGCTGCAAATCTCTGTTAGTACATTAATTTATTTATCTGAAATAATATATTAAAAATTTAAAGTATTGTTAAACCTGTAAACTTACTTTAAATTCACTGAAATTTAACAAATTACTTAATCATTCTCCTCGACCAGTCTGCACTCCATTAATTTCAATCACATATCCATTATAATAAGAATTAGAATCTAAAACTGTAGACTCGATTCAGACAAGAATTCCATTTTTTTATCACTCATAAAATAAATAAATTTAATCTTAAATGATTCGTAATATTTTGAAATTGGGATTCTCAACAGCAACGCTAAATGAGGAGCCAAAAAGCAGATTCAGCTTGTTCAAACTGATTGTTGGAGCTGCCATTGGAGTTTACGGATTCGATTAGGGCAGGAAATATCGGGAATATTTCACTAACACTTTCCTTACTAAAGAATAAATCAATGAATTGGTGATAAAAAATATAACCAAATCCAAAGATCAGCAACTAATAGCCCATCCGATTAATAGAATTAACAATATCAAGAATAAGGAAAAGGTAGTCATTGTTGGAGGAGGTAATATTGAAATTTACAATTAGGAATAATTGGAATCTCACAAGCATTAAAATTATTAAGGATGGGATATAATGTGACTGTCATTGAATAAGCTAATACAGTTGCATCAGAGTGCAGTGCCTTCAATGGAAATGTGTTTAATCCCATGTACTTTTTACCATTAGTCACGAGAGTAAACACAAATCTAATTAAACATTAGGATAATTTAATCTATATGATCAAAAACATATTTGAGAAACCAGAGTTAACTACAGTCAGATTCAACATGAATGCTTTCTTAGAAACTAATTTTATTTAGTGGGGAATTAATAGTTTACTATTGAGTATGACAGAGTATTCACATCAAATATACAATTAGCCATGCTTAAATTGAGAATTCTAGAAAACAATTGAAAATTGGATCCTTGACTTTGCAGGACATTGAAAAGCTAAGACCCTCAGGATTATTTAAAGGCCATTTAGTGGCAAAGGGATAATTAGGGTTTTTTGCCTCGGATTAAAAAGTTGAAGCCTATAGAGATAGGTTGGTGTTGTTGGGAATTCCTCATATCAAAGTGGATTCCTTTGATCAAATCGAGAAATTCACGAGGTCAGATCTAAAAACTGAAGAAAATCTGAAACTCTTCAATAGATTTAAAAAAGCATTGATTTTAGTTACTGAATCCAATTTGGAAACCAGAGAATTAACATAAACAATGCTCAAGTATTGTTAAGAGAACTTTCCAAATCAATTCGCAATTGCATTTTAGACTTCTGCTTAAAATTTTGTATTAGATGGAGACAAAAATGTTAAAGGAATTCAAACTAATAAAGGGTATATATGCATAGAATAATTATTGTAGTATCGTATTGGGAGATAGTTTTGTTATATGTTTAGCACACAAAAGCAAATAACTAGCACATAAATTAAAATTAAATCTACCTATTGTACCTGCAAAAGGTTGGGCCATGGGTAGAACTGCCCCTTAAAATTTCAATTAGACTTTAGTTAAGGAATTCACTTTGAATACTCCCAACTATTTTGCTACAAATCTAAATGGGCATTTAAGATTGGCAGGCTGTGCAGAGGTTTGCAATGATACTCCATCGACTGATGCAAGTAGTGAATGGGGAGCTATTTAAATATTAAATAGGTTCAATGAGCAAAATGGATTTGACTTTAAAATGAGTGATTTTACTGTTAGAAGTTGTTTCAGACCACTAACACCAGATGATGTTGCAATAATTAGTGAAGTCCCAGGGTTCAAAAATGTATTCATAAATGCTGGTCATGGGTCAAGAGGTATGAGTTACTGCTTTGGGGCAGCAGATATCATGAGCTAGGTTATGGAAGGATCCAAAGAATTTGAAGATTACAGTGTGAAGAGGTATTATTTTATATGATTTATTAATAAATATTCGTTAAATTATGCAAAAAAAGAAAGGCCATTCCAAGAATCTATCAAAGCAAGCCATTGATTTAATTAATTACTACAATAACTTAAGGACATCGATTACTAATGAATTTGCAATGATGAATTTAAATAAAAAAATGTCAATATACATTGCTGATCAACGTAATTAATTTTGCAATTCTAATAGCCATTGCTGAAGAAGATGTTGAGGATTCTCCAATTGGACTAAAAAGGAATTGCTCCAAGACAGAACATGTTAATATCAATATTTATTCATAACCATACGATTTAGATGAAGAATTATAATAAGATGTAAAATAGTTAAAACAAACTTTGAATTAAAGTATTTATCAAAGATAACTATTAGGAATAACTTAATTAAAAAGCATAATAAATCAATCGGAAAAAATGAAGAGTATGAAAAATTAAAATAATAAAGAAAATTAATGTTAAAATAATCAAAATCTTGTCAACAAAACATCCACCAAAAAAAGAGTTTGAAAAAAAAAAATAATTGTTTCAATTTAATTATAGAAGTCATTTTTAATTAAAGAAATCCTCATAAACTATATAAATATAATAAACTTAAGAATCTCAACCATCATAATCAAAATTATTAGCTTTATATTTTCATTTTAAATTTCTTTTGACAATCATGACTAATTTATTGAGGTTTTCTCTTAATATTAAGATTTAATTATGATAAATATTATTTATAATAAAAAAGATCTAATCATCACATTCATTCCAATTTTTAATTTATAAATCTAAATAAATAAATTAAATATGATACCATTCTTGAAGAAATAGTCTTTCTAATTAAATTACTGAAATAATAACTTGAGATATAATTATAGATTTTGGTTAGTTTTTAATTTTTTCCATTATGAATTATAAATAACGAAGTAAGGAATAATTTCTGATGTCAAATACGAAAAGTCTATATAGAAGGTAATACTAGGAATTATTTTAAGCTTCTATAATTAATCCACTTAAGGTTTCTTTAATTAAATAAACTTGGCTTGTCTTAACCAATTATATCAGTATATTTTATATAAATTAAGTTAAGAAATAAAAAAAGCATTTTAAAAAAATATAATTATTTAACTTAAATAATCACTTAATTATCCTTGCTAAAATGAGAATATAAATGAAAAACTTGACAATTATTAATTCAATTAACATTATAATTTGATTAAATTATTTGTAACAGTTTATAATTATCTCTAGTTAAATTTAACTTATTAGCTTTGAATTGCATTATATCAAAACATTCAGTTTTTAATTATAATGAAATTTTTTAATGACCTCAAATGGAAGTTTGAGGAAAAAGATTTGGAAGAGAAATATTAGATAGATAAAGCAAAAGGAATAAAGAAGCCTGTCTTTTAATGTATACTTTTGCTTTCTTTCTGTTCTAATGTCACAGTATTAGCACTACATTTTTTTGTTTAACCTACAGAAACTTGGTATATTAATGCCATCCTAACTGGACTGACAATAATCTAACTTATATTCATACTCGTACTCAAACAGCTCCAATATATATAAATTGGATTGACTTTCAGCAGTATTACTATAGGAATTTTATAACTCAATGTTGACCCTTTAAATACAACTTCATCTGAATATTATGTCTATGGCTGCATATTTACATAATTTCAGGCAGTTTTATTTATGATCTCTAATTTAAACCACGCATTTTTTTAAGTTATTTGCAGTCTGGCAATCAGAACTTCAATTACAACATTTTATTCAAAAAGACCAGACTATCTATCTATAATTGTCGGTATTTTTGGCTGCTTTTTAATTGTTATTACTATATTTGTAAATGATAAAAACTCTAGAAGATATTTTATTTAAAATTTGAAAGAAAACAATCTAAAAAAATTAGGAAACTTTTTGATAAACAAACCATATCTTAAAATATAATTTAATGAAGATCAATAAATTTTTTAATTACTTAGTCAAAGTCGGATCAACAAGTTTCCAGGATATAATTCAGAGCTATGTGATGGTTGTAACTCAAGACAAATCTTAAGAAATTACAAATCAGATATAGGATGGCTAGAGTAGATTTTATTAAGTTAGCCCTAATTGACTAAGTAAGGTTGTACATTAATAGTAAAGTGTGAAAAAATTAGATTCATAATTAAGGTTTGTGTTATCGACCCTTAATAACACTAATATTTAATTTTATTTTAAGAATATCTATAGACAGTTGTAAAGGTCTTGGAATAGGAGAAAGAACAAATTAAATTAAAAGATTTCTTAAATTAAAATTAAATATTTTATCATCAAAAGGTATTTAACCTAGGGGCATTTAGTGTATTATTCTTAAATAAATAAGTTCTTAAGAAAATTGAATTCAAAAAACTTTTATAAAAAATAATAAGAATTTACTAAAGTAAATTTTTCCCAAATATTCAAATCGAAATCTAAGCTAAAGAAGCATAAATTTATATTTGTTCTTATTTACATTAATTAAGAATCTTCTTAATTTAAATATTTGAAATAATTTCAGAAATCACTTTAAAGGATTCAGAAAAAGTAGTTGTTCACATAAACCAACATCTCAATAATATTGAGGTGAAGTTAGAGGGATTAAATCAATAGCTTTTTAAATAATAATACATTTAAAATTATTTTATAAGGAAAATTTAAAGTTTATTATTGGAAAGTAGTTAATTTAATGGAAATGACTCAACTTTTTTACTAATTAATTATCCATTGGGGACATTCTATTAAAAATTAAGTGAAACTAATTATTGAAACACCAGTAAGATCATCAAAAAAGGGAAAAATAATATAAATTTTTTAATTATTTCTATTACAATTTAATATAATTAAAATTTGATTAATAATATATAGTTTAATTTTGAAAAGACTAACATCTAGAATGCTGAACATATTCTAATTTTAATTAAATTATCAGAATATTTAATATAAATAAATTATAAATAGAATTTAATTAATAATCCCTTTGGATTCCAATTATTATTTGTTAGTATATAAATATATCTATATTTAATCATTGTCTTTTAGACTTTGGGATTATAGAATTGGAAGTTTATGGTGCATTTTATGAAGAAATATATTGGCTTAAATATTTTTGAAAATTAGAATTTATTATTATTAAACGATTTTGTCAATAAGAATTAGATGAAGGTTAAATAGTTGATATAATGTTCGGAAAAAAATGAAGGATGTGTTGTTTAAAATTCCTTTATCTATTAAATTATATTAAGTGTCTAAGAGTCATAAATTTTAGGCCGATTTTCAAAAATCAAAATAAGGATTTGAAATACATGATTGGATTGCAATGTATAGAGGTAAGGGTTTAGGAAAATAAAGATAAATAAGTTTGATAAAGATGGGAAATGGAACTATGATATTTCCAAAAAGGATTTGAATGAATAGATTTAAGTTAATATAATTTATATAATGAAATAATAATAACCACTAAAAGGAATACCAAATATCAGATCACAATATTATGTTGCTGCCTAGGCTTTGAATTCTTAATTATCTTCTAAGATTAGCAAGACCAAGTCAAGTTATATAGATGATTCAAACAAAAGTAAATATCAAAATCAAAGTCATTAGTCAAAGATTACTCTTATTTTTAATTATCTACTCAGAAAACCTAGCCAAAAAGCACAGCCAAGAGAGTAAATGTAAGCCTAGATTAACCAAAACCAGATGATTCAACAGTGTTACCTCCTTTAAGAAAAGAAATATTGAGATCAAGATAATCGTAACCTACTGTGACCAAAAGTAAATAACAACAAAGAAATAATTCACCTTTACTTCCATTAGAGAGCATTCCTGTAATAGAACCATCAAAAATTTCGCAAAAAAATATCGGGATCGTATCAGCCTATGCAGCAAATACTCACTAAGGTCTAGTTAGATAATATAACGAAGACCGAGTTTCTATTATTTTAAATTTAATGAGACCAAATTCGAATACAAGTTAAGGATATTGGCCTCAGAGTTCATTTTTTGCAGTTTATGATGGTCATGGAGGACCATAGTGTGCAGACTTCATGAGAGACAATTTGCATTAATATGTAAAATTAATGATATGCAATAGATTATTAAAGAGGATTGCTTTCCCAATAATCCTAAGCTTGCAATTGAAAGAGGAGTCTCAAAGGCTGAGAAAACCTATTTGGAAATGGCCGATCAGAAAGTGTTAGATAAATCTGGTTGTTGTGCAGTATTTGCACTGTTTGTAGACAACAATTGCTATGTGGCAAATATAGGGGATTCAAGGGCAGTCATTTCCTAAGGTGGAAAAGGGAAATCGATTACCGTTGATCATAAGCCTTCAACTCAAGAGGAACAATAAAGAATTAGTAAATTTGGGGGATAAATTTATTAAACTTAACTTTAATAATTAAACGGTGAAATATAATTGGGACCACATAGAGTTTTGCCAGGGAGATTGGCTGTTTCAAGAACATTTGGAGATGCTGAGGCTAAATTGACTAAGTATGGAGGGATTCCTAATGTAATTTCAGCAGAACCAGATATATTTTAGTTATAAATTACAGATTAAGATTTCTTGATTTTAGCATGTAATTTTTTCATTTGATTAAGGTGATGGTATATATGATAAAATGAGTAGTGAGGAAGTTATTCAATGCGCTTGGAATGTGCAAACATCGAATATTCATATTTTCGGGGGCAAGGCTGTAGAAGCCATAATGAGATTGTCATTATAGAGAAAAACCTTCGATAATATCACAGCTGTATTTATTGGTTTTCCTTAACTAGAGAAAAAGTTAAAAAATAAATCATAAATTTAACAATGATACTGTATTTCAATCCATTATCTTTTGTTACATATTTTAATCTTTATATTTATCAATATACTTTGGTTTGAGTTCAGTTTTTAAACGAAATCGTTTTACATTATTACTCTTTTGATGGTTTTCTCGAATTAAGAACTTCAAGTTCTTTTTAATAATCATTAAGCTATATCGATAAATGGTTTTTAAGCGATATTATTATAAGACTTCATTGATATTCCACTCTGGGTCAAAATATTCGTAATTTTTGATTTCATCAATGTCAAAATTTTAGGTCATAGTTTGATGCACATCTACTTACTGAGCAATCGCTTAAGATTTAATTTTCCTTGCTTGCATCATTTAGTAGTATTCAATTAAGAATTGATTATACATAGTCCTTTGCTTCTAATTCCTTGTTCTTAAGAATTTGACTTTAGGTCTTCTTAATCTTAAAGATATGTAGTGAAATTATGAGCAAAATTTAATGACATGCCCTTTCCGATTGCAACCGTAACATTTGATATCTAAATCAAGAAAGTCATTATTTTCTAGTCTTTGTTTTATCATGTGAAACTTTTAGAATTGCTCATAATTCAACTGCTATAAAAATTATTGTCTAGACAATTTGACTAAATTCGTTGTTTCGGTTGTAATGAGTTCGGCCGTTCTTGGAATATTGGAGAAGAAATTAACAATTCCAAAACATTATTCGGCATATTCAAGATGCACATTATTAGCCATGACTGAGACTTTACCTTGAACAATATAAAAGATATGGTTCTGATCTTCGATTTTGGTTTCTGGAGAGAGAACTTAAAATAGCAAATGGAAATACTATATTCATTAAGTTTGATGGCTCTAGACATTGTGACTGGAAGTGCTTTAAAGAATCTTAAGTTCATTTGAGTGATGACTTGATTTCTTAATTCTTCAGAGAGATCACAGATTACAAGTGAGGATCTTACCTCATAATCATTTTCGACTACCCATTCTAAATAATTTTGAATTTTATGTCTTAATTGGCCCGAGCAACCATGGGTTTTAGTATATTTGTTGATGATTTATTGTTTAACAATCAATTCCGTCAATTAGGGATCTTGATATTGAAAGATAGATATCATGCTGTTGGCTGTGTATCCAAACACACCTGAAGCCAAAATCATTGCGAAAATAGTGTAAATCTATTCTTCTGCAGTGTATGGATGAACATCTCCATAGCCAACGGTGATCATTGTTGTAATTCTTAAAAATCATTTTTCATATTATACGTGAAATAAAAGGATGTTAAGTAATCATAATCATCTTGATTTGTCAAATTAAAAATACATGCACTCCAATGAGCTATAACTACAATTATAAATGTTAATTTGATGAATTCCATAAAGGATGAGAAACCATTCCCGAGAAATGTCTCCAATCTTCTGATCAAGAGCTTCAATTTAAAGGCTTTAATCATTTTTATTACTTTAAGAAACTTGAAGAATCTCAACATTCTAATCATTTGCACGTTGCCTCCCTATCATAATCCTGATACTTACTTCAACAAAATAATCATATGGCAATGAGCTTATTAGATCCAGCCAAAACCAGAATTTCAGATAATTGCATATGATGCTTGATCTCTTTAACACTATTTTACCGTCTATATAGATAGCACAATTGAATTGAATGAGAATATCCACTAAGAAGAAATCATCCATAATTTCCATGAACAAAGATGTTCTCTCATCATCAATCTCGAAGGATAGCATAAGAGGTATAATCATCATTTGAATTACTATAAATAACATCGAGATGATATCCCAAACTAGTCTAAAAGGATGGTTGGGTTACCAAGGAGGAGGAATGAGAGTTGTTTTAACTTTTTGTTTTGTTTCTGTTTCGTTTTTTCTCAGAAACGTATGAAAGTCATGAGTGTAATCTTCCCTTAATTATTTTTCAATATTCATAATAATAAAATAGTTTAAAAAGCACAATTTATGAATAAAATAGCATCAAAACAAAGCAATAACATTAATTTAATTTTCATCCTTTCCAATTTGATCAATCTATATCACAGTCTACTTTACCCAACTGATATTGCACAGCATCCCTAGCTAAGGTTAATGAGTAACAGTTGACTACTAATAAGGCATTAATATTCCTAATTTAAAAGAATATGATTTAGATGATGTCAGGAATAGTATATCGAACAGAATTTCATAAAATAGAGGGTTAATTAGTTGCTAAAAATTGGTTTGAAGAATAATTAATGTTGGCCTTGGCTTATGGTGAACTCATCTTATAGCATTTTTAGATTTGACTTCATATTTATGGTAACTATTATTTATTATCCTTTTAATGTATTTTAGTTAAAGAAGGCAGGGGATTGCTTTCATTTGAATTAGAACTTAAATACAATATACAGATGTTAAGAAATGTTTTTAATTAGCCTTGATTCTACTTAAATAATTGTTTCTGCTTCTGAATTAATTGTTTGTGAAAGATTATTTCAAAAAACTTGACATTATTTCATAAACTTTTTAATATGCATTTAAGTCTAAATACATTTCCCCTTGATAAGAACATGAACCCCGAACTTTGTTCCTCTAATGCTTTTAAATGAACAGCATCTCAGGCTTAATTCATACCATAACCAAGATATGAACTCGCCTTTAAATTAATGTTAAAGTCATTATGCTTGCCTGATTCATATTAGTTATAATCATCATTTTTGAGTGCATTCAAAATGAGGATTCTTTTACTCAAAGGTAATTAAATCCCATCAGCATTCCCAATATACATTAAATCATAACCAAAGATGCGATGTCATCTATGAGTGCAGCTGACATTTTCATCCAACAAGTAATTATTAAAAGATCCAAAATCAACTCTCAAACTCAACAACTTTGTAAATTTCAGTTCTCTTTCTATTCCTATTTCCTCTTAGAATAGAATTAATCCATTTTTCAACCCTTATTCAAGTGCTTTATTATTTTTATAGCATAAATAGTAATATTATGAATTTATTAATGTTTTAGTTTTATTAATTTATTTATACAAGGCTTATTTTGTCAATAAAATGTACTAATTTAGATCTTCCATATATTATGAACCAAGTGATAGTGGCAGTGTCAAGTCGGTTTAGGTGGGAAATGCCAAATAAGATTAAGTTAGATATCTCACAGATCAATTATAAGCAGTGATTATGTTTAACGAAAAGCTTGAAAAAGAAATTAATACCTTAAAACAATAAAATTAACAATTAAAATAATCAGTTGTGGATAAAGATAGGTTAATTTAAGAAGCACAAGAATCCTCATAAAAAACCATTAGTAAATTGCAGTAATATAATTGTTTTTACTTTTAGTGTTCTATTATCAGAAAACAAAAAATTGTAAGAAATTGTGATTTCTACAAATAAAAACTTAAAAACTTCTAACAGCAAAGTTCAATAACTTTAACAAGAAAATAATGTTTTAAAATAAACAATGCAATAATAAGAAGAATACCATGTAGAGGAAATGAAAAAAAGAGCCAATGAGCTTGAGGAACATTATCAGCTGATGTAAAACATTGTTTCTGATCTAACATCATAAGTTTCATAATTATGTGAAGAAAAATAAAGATTGTAAAATGAATTAGACGAAAAAAATAAATTACAACCAAAATGAATGTTTATTATTTTGATAAAATTGATTAAAAATTAATAATAGTGTTTTTAATCTTCCGAAATAACTAAAGAAATTGAGTAAAAAAACATAAATTTAAATTTATATTCCTGTAAACCAGAATTGTTACAAGATGTCTGAATTTAATCAAATATATAAATGAAAGTTGATAACTAATTTTCCAATTCCTTTTTATTCTATTCATCTCATAATAGAATTATAATTAATTTTAGTCCTGATCTAATATATACAACAATATGCAAAATAAAATTTGAAATAAATAAGAATACAAGCAAAGCTGCTTCAAAATTATCACAATTTTCATTCATTGCAAATAATAATCTAATTTTCTATCAAGTTCCCTAATATTATTTAAATTAGTTAAATTCAATATTCTTTTAAGTTTATCTACTATTCTTAAATACACCTCTTAATCCACTATTAAACAAGCTCCTTTATGATTCAATTCACCTTTATTACATCTAAAATATTTGCATAATGTAAAAACTATATCCTTAAATTACAAATTAAATCTTACTTCATTTAATTATGCTTATTTTTTATGCTCTAAATAAGATTGCAAAATCTATTTGATAAATTTCCAAACTTCCTTTAAACTTGGATCTGATTAGCAAAAGTAATCTTGAGGAGCACATTAAATAACAAGATCTTTTAAACATCTAATAAACTTTTCGTTCTCTTTAAATTATTATTTTAGTGATTTCACTCCTTCGATTACCTCTTGATTTAAAAGACTAAAGCTTGAATTGATATTTTTGCTATCAATAGTTAAGTTAAGTTCATCTGCTAACTATTTAAAAGTTTTTTCAAATTGTGTTAAATCGCACTTCTCAATTACAGAAATCTAATTGTTATTAATTGATAGATTATTAAATTCAAGATTCTATTTGAGTTCATGCAGTTACTGTCTAAATTAATCTACTTTAGCCAATAAGGCTTTATTTTCTCGTTCAAGTTATTAACATGAACACTCCTTTTTAGAGATAAAGTTTTAAGGGGTTGCTAGAAAAGTATAGATTCACTTCTTACAATTAATAAGATGCTTTTCTTGTCTTGAGTCTGCTATTTTTCTAATATCTTTTTGCCTTTTTTTCAGAGACATTACTTCTTTATTTTTTTATTAGATCTCCTATCTACACTCCTATAATTATTATTCATAGATTTCGATTTATCTAACTTGCTATTAAATAATCTTATTTTTCTCATTTCTCAATAAATCAATTTATTAAGTCATATTTTTCAAAGTGTTTGTTAATTATTTTTAGAGTTCATCGATTAAACCATCTTTGGCTTCTATTTTTTATTACAATTCGCTGTAAACTTTGCAAGGAGACGTTTACGATTGCATCGAGAGTTCAGTTACTTTTGAAAGATCCACACATTCTTACAATTCATTAATGACACTACTAAATAGTTAGATGATTAGAAATTACTTTTAAGATTTCCTTGTAACAACAGTATCGCAACTTTCAAATCTGAATTTAGGTGATAAAAATCCAGGATCATTTTCTTTTTATGAAATACTATGTTATCGTTTAGTTTTTAAAGGCTATATTTAAGACTAATCTGCATTAATTCCGAAAGTATTTAAAGCTTTTGTGAAATAATCATGTTCATAAGATTTAGATCGTATGTGACCAGGTATAGATTCAATTTTATTACTTTGAGATTCATAGTTTTACAGAACATTAATTTCTGGTTATTTGGTGTTATATTGAAATTGCTTCTTTTTCTAAGGAACATGTTTGAATCTATTGTCGCAATCTGTTTAGTATTGGACTTTCATATTTTGTATTTATTTCAAATTTATTTTACAAAAATTTGATCAACTGATATTATATTATTTTTTATTTAATATTCATTGATTTGCCAAACCTCCTACAAAGCAAGCAGCTGTAATTCTTGCTTGGGTATTTATATTCAATTTGATATCACTAAGATCCTTATCTATATTCTCCACATAATCTATAATAAAATTAATAATCCCTTGAACACTGTATTTTTCTAAATGAGAATCTAAAATCAAGAAACTTATATCATATCCCTAAATTGTTAAGATGAAAAACTTACTGGGATTGGTTTCCTTCTCAAAATTTCAAAATAATCAGCTCTCACGGCTAGATACTTGGCGAATTTCTCGCCTATTAATTTATCAACTTCATCTAAGGCTTTAATTGAAAAGCTTATCTATAGATTCTATAATATAGAATTACTCTTGTCGAATTAATCGAAGGTTCAATAACGCATTTTTCTTTTTCACCTCTACATAAATATATAGGTGACAAAACTAGTTGTCTAGTTTTTGATGAATAACTAAATATGATAGAAATGATTATTATTACCCATTCAATTCAATTTCTGGCTTGCTCTATTTTTCAATTATTTCTGATGGAAATGCTCTCAAACATAATGTTGCCTCTAATGTTTTTCTGATGGCATCTGAATAAACTTGAACTGCAGCTGCCATTAGTATAATGTTTTATTAAATTTATATATATTTGAGAAATCAGATTTAAAGAGAAATTTTAATAATATGTATTACAACTATGTAATTGATTTAGTTCTCATAAAAACTCTTTTTTCAATAATTATGAAATTTAGAAAATGGAATAAATGCTATTAAATATATTCATATAAAAATATAGAATCAGCTACTTAAATTTTAATCCCTATAATAAGCATATATTCTATTTCATCAAGCTAATTATAATGTGATAAACATATACTTTTCAAAAATTAAAAATTATGAATTAATTTTAATATGGGTTTGAGAGAATTAGAAGAAATTTAATGAGAAGCTCAAATATTGATCGATTGAACATCAATATTGGATGGTTTTTAAAACAGATAGTTCTTTTGATTCATAAATTTTTATAAAAATTGAGTAGTTTATAAAAGTTGGAAGATCCTGGTTCTTATAAGATTTTATAGATTTAGAATTATATATCTGATTGCCATTAAATTTTCTAGTAAGTATTAACCAAAGAGAAATAATAAATTATTTTGCTAAATAATTTCTTAAAATAATAGAGCTTTTTAATGATTAAATACAAAATTATTAAATTGATGATAAAATTTTAGAATAATTCAGAACAATATAGAATTTGAGAATAGAATAAATTTTCATTAGGTACAAAATATCCTAATTACTCCCAGAAATCCTTGTTTTTGAGTTTCCAATAGGTTTTCATATTATTCCTTATTCTAATTACGTTTAATGGTTCTTTAACAAAAACGATTATTTGTTTCTAATATTTTCTATCCTAATTTTTTAAATATTCGCATTCAACTATCCAATAAGAAAGATTAAAGCCTTACGATATATAATTAGATAAAAATTAAATGATTAAAATCACTATCTTATTGATTATAGGAAGTTAATAATATTAAAAAACTTTAAGAAATAGAATAAAAAATAATAATCCAATATTATACAATCTGTTAGCCCATAATCATAAAATTATTCAGATATAAAATGTTTGCCTGCAATAATTTAAAGATGTAAGGAATTAAGTTTACTATAATATATGATGTTTAAAAAGCAAGGTTAGTTTTCAAATTCTTCAATGAAGAGAACTTTCAATTCCATTTGACAATTAGGAGCTCCAAATACTTAAAACCTTCATGAAATATATATAAATTAAATGAAAAAAAGTTTCCAAAGGGAATCCAATTCTTCTCCATGTTGCTACATCTAATATTAACAATAAAGGAAAAAGTTCCAACAACCAGATGTATGTGAAACATCATTAATATATAATGAACCTATTGTGTTAATCTTTTTCTCATTTATTCATCAATTATTTTAATATAAGTGGTTATGACTCAATTTTATAAATATTTCTTTTGCATTAATTTTTAATTGATAAGCAAAACAACAGTAATATTATTTTTTTATTTTAATAAATTCTAAATATTTATAAATCTTAATGAATATTATGAAAAAATATCATTTATTGTTCTACCCATCTGACAATATCTGTAATATTTTTTGTTAGTTATTTTCTGAAATTAGCTTTCGTATAACCTTTATTGAATTAAAAAAAAAAAATTTATTTAACAACTCCTCATCTATATATCGTATTCTAACAAGCATGCTTAATACTTTACTATAAATCAATTGAAAATAAAATTATCTGAAAATAAATAATATTTGGAACATTTATGCAATTCCAATTACTTAACAAAGTGCTTTATTATAGGAAAAATAATAAACAAGCTACGAAATATCATTTATTGATTTAGAAATGACATTAGGGATATTCATTTCTTATCTACAGACAGCCAAAGAAAGATACAATAATGTTGCTAATAGTTGCTGAACTATTGCTGCTAACAGCAATCTCTTTATAAATACTCATTTAACTTCTTCAAATTGATCCAAATTGATGCTTCTAAAGGATACTAATTTTAAATACTAAATTGCTCAGTATTAATCTCTCATTTCCTTATTTAAAAACTTAAAATCTCCTAAGCAAAATTTACATTATTTAAAAAAATATGGGCATTTGCTAAACCAAAAAACAAATTTAAAACACTATGAACACCAATCCAACTTCGTAATATTCATCCAACCCTTCAATTCTAGAAAAAATAACTAATCCAAAAAAAAAAAATTAATAACCTCATATGAATATTGTTGTTTCATCTGAACCAAAACAATACGATCCATAAAGTAACTAATTGTCCTTATTCAAGATCCTCATAGATAATTTAATGTTATTATAAATGGTGTGAGATTTGAGATAATCAACTCAATTGAAAACTGTATTGTTTCTAATGAGGAGTTAGAGGAGTGAATTATAATCGAAAGATGTATCATGTATATGATTGTATGTCTATTTATTTATAATTAAAATCAATTGACATCTTATTTTATTATATTAAAGATAAGAAATCTGATCACAAGATATATTATCATTACAAGATGCCAAATAGAAAGAAATCAAGGTCCTACTGCATAAGGTTTCTTGAAAAGTAAAGAAGAGACGAATTTTCTAAATTGTCAAGTTTAAATTGTTTAATTATTTTCTATTTTGTTTCATTTCATAAAGTTACTTGAATAAAATAATTCAGAGATCAGCAATACTTCTTCTTATCAACTTTTATCTTCCTATTAAACTTTCATCGGCTTGTTACTATTATAACAAAATTATCTAAAATATTTCCTAAATGAATACTTATGTTTAAAATGATTTTTTTAAGTTATCTAATTGGTATGAGTAAGCCTATTCTAACCTCTTCTTTTAGTTCTCCATCATTTGACTAAATTACATATTATTGGTTTGGGAATGCACTTCTAACTTATCTAATAACACCTCTTACTCTCTTATAGTATTATTTTAAGATTAAATTATTAGACTTTACTTGTATATTTCCTCCTTGAGTTCATTGCACTTTATTGTGAGCTAGACTTAAAAATAATAGATTACTTATTCTACAGATATACGAAACTGTACAATTTAGCTTTTTTAATTTTCTAATTCTTTCTCATATTCCTAAACAATAATATCATAGTTATTTTTGAGTGACTTTTTTTACAGTTAGTTTTCGTTAAGATTCTACTCCTATGAATTTTATAGATTCAATAATTCTGCCTTCAATTTTTAAATATCCTTCTCGTATTAGTCAAGTATTGATGTTTTATCTAATATTTCTAATTTTAACAATTAAATTTATGAAAGTTGATTATTTATTTATTCGTTAAGCTTTTTTTCTTTTTGAACTAATTCATCAATTTTAATAAGAACCTCCTACTTCTCTTTTCCATGTTGCTTTAATAATTTTGAGTAATAGCTCTAAATCTCTTCTATGCGTGATTAATGTTATTCGTTTAGTAAATCCTCTCTTTAAGGCTGCTCTGACTTTAGCAAATTAATTTCCTCTTGGTATTTATTGATCAATGAGAGGATGTCTTGTGATTCCTTCTTAAGATTTTAGATCTTTAAGGTGCTAATTTATTCTTCCTAATTTAACTGAGCTCTATATTTTGAGTTGGTTTGAATTAGCGTTTCTATTTCAGCATTTTTTATTGCTATTATTTCTTTTAACTTGTTAATTTCCTACTCATTTATTCTCTGCACTCCCAGAAATCCTTGTTTTTGAGTTTCCAATAGGCTTTCATATTATTCCTTAGTTTTTGTTCTTACCAATTCTAGTTGCATTTAATGGTCCTTTAACAAAATCGATTATTTGTTTCTAATATTTTCTAATTCAGATCTTAAGTGAACACAATCACAACTCATCTTTATGATAATAATATATGATAATTAAGTATAAATTTTAATAATTAATTGTTAATTTTTGCAAGTCAAATATTCATTAACATAGAATATATAGCAAGTTATATTCTAGAATAATGAGATCGAAATATTTTAGAGTTATAATTATTGGAATGTTGGAAACAATATAATATTTTAGTTAAATTTTTTTTTTTTAATAAAAATGGTAGGAAGTTAAGAAAATGAAAATGCAACAATTAAAAAATAATTCCTAAATAAAATTATTAATCACTTTTTTCCCCTAACACATTTAGCTTATTCATATAGTTCATTTTGAATTGCAATCACTACAAATTAAAAAAATAATCCCTCTTTAAACTCAAGAGAAATTGTAAAAATTTTTGGAATCAATTTATATTATTATTAAATATAGTGATACAAATTATTACATTCTTCAGAAAAGTTCACGTCTATAGAGTTCTAATTTCATATGAATTTTTTAAATAAGTTAGCATCTCGAATAAATATTAGATATACATATTTTATATAAAATAATGACGTCTTAAATCTAAATATATAAAGTTGATTGGAATATTCATATAGTATTATTCTAGTATGTGATAACTGTTCATAATATATACAAACGTATTTTGTAATCAAATTAAGTTTATAATATTTATAAATAGGGAAACTTAGGTCATCAAACTCAAAATTGATATAATCTCACGATTAAACTGACAATTTTTGCTGGTAATTATATCCTTTGAGTATTACCTCTTGGATATTCATAAAAACATATTAATTATTATTTAAATTGATCATTGTTTGAAACTTATAATTTTGTTAAAAAAATTACTAATATCTCTGGGCTTCACTATATTATGTTATAAATTAATTTTTAAATTAAGTAAATTAAAAAATAACTACTCAGAAAATGTGCAGCAAACTCTAATATTTCTGCAGAAATATGGAGGATTTTAATTTAAAAAATAGAATTAGGTTAATAATTATTCTTTGAAGATGATAAATGAATGACACTTTCATTTTAACTTATTTTGCAAGTTCTGATTGAATATTAAATTTTCTGAGTTATTTTCGAAAATTAGCTGACATTATCCGAAAAATTGTATAAACATAATATAAATTCTCTATATTAGTATCTGTAAAATATTACTACATAATAATAATTAATATTTATTTAAAAGTATGGGAGTTTGTGTTTCGAAGGAAAAGAAAAACAAAAGCTTCAAGTGCGCTACAAAGTCTTAATTAAACCTTTAAAATTTTATGATAACTTAAGATAAATAAACGACTACTTTATACCACTCAACTAAAATCCAAGCTGAAGTTTAACCAAGAGAATATGATTATACAAGTGATTAATATGTATATTTTTAGATCCGCATCGATAATACAATGTATTCTTAAATGGAGTGGTTTTTGCAGTAGTGAATTCTGTTGAGAGATCTTTCAACGAAGAGCCAATCAATAATGAAGGTTGATAAATGTATTTATTATGTTCTATGAATAATCTATTATCGTAGCTTTGACTTTCATTTTCTCACTACCTAGAATTCAAATTTTTTATATGTTTCTACTTATTATATCTTTTAAATATCAAAATTATTAAAAATATTATTATCAATCAATAGAATTAGATAGTAAATTAAGAAAATAAAATATCTGTAAGAGGAAAATATCCTAAGGTTAGAGGATTATCACATTATCTTTATTTTGAAATACAGATAATATCATTTTGAATATTTTTCACCAAAACATTTGATAAACTCCAAAAATACCAATAAAATATCTTGTATATTCTGTAGAAAAATAGCTATCTTATGGTTTCTCTTGAAGTTAACTTAGACTAACGTTAATTTCATTCAAATTCTAATATTTCTAATGGTTTCCTTCCCTTTTATGATTCCTCAAAGCATCCATTATAATATCTACGTTAGTTTTCTGGAAAAAAGAACTTATCTCTCTTACTATAAGGATTAATGATATTTCTTGAATCCTAATAAATGAAAAGAGCTCAAAATAAGTGAAATTAAAGAATGGTATTCTATTTTTAATAAATCAATTACTTTATAATTTCTGTTGTTAGCAAGAGTGATGCTTCTGAGGAAAACACTGCTAGGATGACATACAAAATGGGATTGATTATCTTTTCATACTTCTCTTGATAATAAAGGGGGAAAAATATTAAGAATACTCCTAATTAGAAATTAAACGCATTGATTATGTAGGATTATTAGAAATGCTCTGATCTCAGAAGATTTAAATCGTCATCCTATGTGTTATACTTTTCGTAGAATAATATTCTTTCATAATTCTTTTCGATTATTGGACATGATATTTCATGACAACTACGTGGCTTCGTTGTTAAGAAAATACATATCTGAATTCCGACTATGATCGTAAATATTAAAATTCTTAATTTCTTCGAAAGTCCTACAATTAAAATATTTATTCCATAAGGAAGAAGGGCTAGAAAATTTTAAAAATTCTTATCCATTAAATATAATTGATTATTTATTAATCTATAAATTAATACATCTCTCATCATTACATTTCGATTGGTTGCAACAATGATGAGCAGAAAGTCTGGAAGAATATGAATTTCTAGCAAAAATTAATATATATATATATTCATATAGTATTTATTTAATTTCTTAGAAATTATTATGTTGGATGACATTACTAGTTCAAAGAGTTGTTTGGAACAAGATCTTGGACCTGATAATCAATCACATTTCTTAGAAAAGTATTTTTATGACTTAATAACTGATAATTGTGATCAAATATTAACAAACACCTTATATAGATCCTTAATTGAACAAATTTCAGATAAGAAATAATTGGAAACTATCTTGACTAGATATATCTAGGATTAGATTGAGTTGCAACAACGATAAAAGATTCATTCCAAATACTTTTTTGCTAAATCAGCAGTTCCTTTCAAAAAGTTAATACAACAGTTCAGACAATTAATGATTCCAGATGAAAATATAAGTCATACAAGTAGTACATTAAGTTAATCCTCTGAAAAAAAAAATAAAAGTGGATTTTTCCAGACTTCTGAGTTTATAGAATTGTATGAAAATTAATCCTTTTAAGAAATGGCTGAACTAAACAAAGGAGAGCTTATATACATTGATGTTAAGTTTCGTATTACAAATTCATAACTAAAAGACGAACTTTACAAAATACGATCTCATATCTTGAAATAATTACTTTATTAAACTAATACTGATGAAAAGTACATATATAAAATATTCATAGTTTCTTTTAAACTTTTAATGATTATTATCGATTGAAAACAATTACAGTTCTACTTTTTGTTAATGGGGACATTAATTTTGATTATGAAAAGTATTTTGACTTCAAGGAATTGCAAGTTGGATAGAAGAAATTCTTGATCAAACTTAAAGTAAATTCTTTATTAATTATAAAGGTTTGTTATGTCTCAGCAAATAGACTATACTCAAATTTTTGTATTTCAAACAACATTATCAGTCATACGATTACATAATAGAATATGGCATTTTATGAATTGAAGAGGTATGGTTAGTGCAAAGTGATAATAAATAAAACGATTGGAGAATTAAGAAGAATGAAATAGAAAGCAAATTACAGCATTTTTAAAGATTATAAATTTTACATGTTAGCAATAGGAAGTATGGCAGCTGTCACATTATTGTGGAATGCTTTTTCTAAAAAAGGGAATTACGATAGGGAATTAATTAGAAAATAATGAGTATACTGTTAATATTTTATAAATTTTATTTATTTAACTGCTAATAGAATGAACTAACCAAATCATGTTATTTCAGAGAATCTCGTGATTTCATAACCACTTTATGACAATGACTAAGCAGCATAATCCATTTATGATAAGTACCTGAAAGACTGTTCTTTGATACCAATCAGATTAATTGAGGAATCGAAGGAAACTTAAGAAAGACCCTTTGCAGGAACAAGGCAAAGTAGTTAACAATAATAGAATTAAAGGAATGGACAAAATGTTTAGGAATTTAGTTCTTTGGAAAGGGAATAAAGAAACAGAAACTAATAACAAATGCATTAAGCAAATTATTAGTAAGGTCAATAATATTAATAATATCCAAATAATCAAATAAGATATCCTCATTAGAATATGTATTATCATCAAAGATAACAGAATTAGTTGTAAAATTATTATTATGACTAATAATTCCATTATCACTAAAATAGAAGAAATTACTAAAATCATAGAATGGAACAAGAATATTATGGTCATCATCAAATGAGGAGGTAAGAGTAAGGCCGAAGGAGAATGCATCCTTAGCCAAATTATGGGTTGGATTAGAATGAAATTGCAGCTTTGAGTGAGATCGTATATAAATAGAGCAGAGCATAATGTTGGGATGATGAGAACAAGAAATGCAGCATTTGTATATCACATTTTGAGGAAAACGAAAAAATTAGATTTTTGCCTTGTTTGCATAGGTATTATTGTTAACTTATTTTTGATTTCATTCAGGGTGTGTTGATTCTTGGTTGGCCACTAAAGGATCATGTCCCTTGTGTAAAAAGTATGTCCGATCCTTAGTTTAATAATTTTCATGATACAAAATCTACATAATTACTTAAAAATAATGTATTATAAGGATAAAAAAATATTGATAAAGAAAATACAAAAAATCATTTGTTTAAATTCTCAGGGAAAAATTTCGTTTTTTAAGAAACAAATTTTCTTTTAACTTTTACAGGAAGTTGTAATTCATCCTCTTCTTTTATCACTTCTGTGGCTATTCTCCCATTTTACATATTAATTACCTTCACACGTTTATAAAATTCAACTTTTCTTTAAGCATTTAAGTCATCCAATTGGGAATTCTCAAGATTGTTTTATAATATTTGAGTTTCTAAGTCTGTTTAACTTTAAGTTGAGTTCTTTACTTTTCTGTTGAATCTATTTTGCACTGATCTTTAGGATTCCTAATTGGGGAAGCTCAACTGCTCCTCAATCATTTTAATAAACATATGTGATTCCCTTCTTTATTTGTGGAGTCCTGGCAATATGATGTGAGAATCACTGAGAGAATTTTATTGAGAAAAAATATTTTGTAATTAGACTTTAAGTTGATTGTGTTTTGATTCGGGCATCAAGTTTAATGGTTTATTAATTTGCTGTGATGAGTTTTATTAAATCTTCGGAAATCGGATTGTAACTTCTTATACTCTATCAGTCTGTGCCCCTTGTTGATAAATACCTTCTGGTTTGTCACTTTAAAAGTTTTCGGTTTAGCCATTTTTATGATGTTCTAGATTATTCAGAAATGAAGCAGGCTTTTAAAACCTAAATATTTAAGATTTGGGTTCGGGACTATTTTCAACTGTAAAGTCTGGTTAGGATGCAATTTTATGATGTAAAGTTAGCATAATTATTAATTTTAAGTCAGAAAAAACTTGAAATTTATAATCTTATCATATTAAAATAGTATTTGGATGATAAGCTTATTTATAATTTCTATAAAGTTTTATCTTAATTTATACATTCAATTTAGAATTTTTATGATACATCCTTTATAAAATTCCAAAGACATATATAATAAGTTACAGAATAATCCTAATATTAATTATAATTATTAATAGTTCATTCACGATAATATATATAAAGGAAATTTAACAATTACAAAAATTATTTATTAACCATTATAATAAAATTCAAGAATTTTGTTCAATAATTTCATTATTCACACCCTGCTTATTCGATCTCCTTGATTTTTTATTCTTGATTTTATGTCTTCTTTTTTTGATACTTTTCGTGACTTTCCCTAATTTCTTCTTAACAGATAAAGGATTGGGTCCCTTTGCAGGTTTCTTAATTTTTATAGCTAGTTCCTAGGCTAACTTTCTTTCCTTCTCCATTCTCTTTTCTGCTTATTATTATTTAATTTCCTTTTTAATTGGCATTATAATCTATTTCTCTTATTCATTAGGCAAGTATTTTATTTCTTTGAGACTCTTAATTCTCATCTTACAAGTTCTAGATGGTTCTGCCATTTCAAATAGATTGTTTTAAAAGAGATAACATACAGGTACATGATCTATTTACAATAAATTGGATCTTAATTCATCATCTTATGTACAGATCCAAAAATAATTATTGTCTCCTCCAAACTCCGGTTTTGGTTTGACAATATCTAATAAGCATTCAGCTGGACTCACCCCCTCAATATGCTTGCAATTAATCTTAGATAATCCTTGAGCATATTTGAAGACTCTTGGAAATAAATGCTATAAACTGGTTAATTCTCTGAGCACACAGATAGTTGTGTGTTTCCAAATTTTAGCTTTTGTGTGTTTAAAAAGTTACTATGATATATACATGAAATAAATTACTTTATCAAGATCAACATTATGATCGAGCATTTACTTTATAAAATTTCCATCAAAGACTAATTGATAAGGTGGCTGAAATGAAAAGTTTATTCTATAAAAGGATAAATTCTTTTTGAAGCCTTTAGTCTTTTTAGCTTTCATTAAAAATTAAAATAAATTATAATAAAATTAGATGGATCAGCAGTCTGAAAGAGTTTTTGAAATTAAAAAATGGAATGCAGTTGCATTGTGGAGTTGGGATATTAAAGTTGACAATTGTGCCATCTGCAAAAATCATATAATGGAAAAATGTATAGAATGTGATGCATAAGAAGGATAAGGAGAATGTATTGTTGCTTGGGGAACATGTAATCATGTATCAAAGGTTTTTTATTTAAGGCATATCATTTTCATTGCATTGAGAGATGGTTAAAGAATAGATAAACATGCCCATTAGATAATCGAAATTGGGAATATTAAAAATATGGATGAGCGTGTTCTAAAATATATAATTAAATATAGCAATCGTTATTATTATTTTATACATATTTCATATCTAATTTAAACAACTCAAATAATTTTAGCCAAGATATTAATAAATATTATTAAATATGAAAACTAATTAAGTTTGAAGTAATAGAAGGTATTTATAGCAACAAGAATTATTTCTTTATAATTATGAGACTGAAAATGAATAAATTTTAATTAATGAATTCATATTTATGAATTGATTATTAATTTTGAATTAAAAAAATTCTTATATTTTTTCCCTCCTTATGAAAAATCGTTGAAATGAAACATAGTGGGTTTTTAAACACAGTAAATGAAAACTAGGTAGAAGCCAAAATACATAAGGACTGATGTGTTCTCTAAGTCAAAAATTAAATTCTGAAATTTTATAACTTAAGAGATTAATAACCATCTGTTTTAAGAAAGATATAATAAAAGATGGACAAATTCTTTAATTTAACTTTATTGTATGGTTTTTGATTTAGTGTTAAATATTTATGGAAAATAATATGTTACAAATTAATAATCATAAAAAGGGTACTAATGGTTCTTAATAAATTTGCAATAGAATTTCATGTTTGCCTCTTCTATCCTAATTTTTTACAAGGTACTTGATCGCAAATTATAATGAATCTTTGCAATCTTAATTTAAGTGTTTTCCAACATATGAAAATTACAGAAAAACGTCATTATTCTTTACATGAATAGAGCCTCTTTTATTACATCCTTAAAATATTTCGAATAAGATTCTATAAAAATGATATTTCAATGTCTTGATATTTGAGAGTTGTTACAAATCATAGACCACTGATATTTTTTTATATAAAAATAGTTATTAAACATGTTAAATAAGAGATTCCAATTTCTATTCGGATATATTGAATTTGTTATTTTTTAGTAATTTATAATTTAATATCTATTTATAGCATATATTTCTTAGGAAGCTTAAGCTTTGACAGTCGTTACGACTAATAGATTTTTGAAGGTGTTAAAAAAAGAATTAATATAACTTAAATTAGGCCTGTTTATATTTCGTTGGGCTAGACTAAATTTATTTTGAGCTACTTCTCAATATATCTTCAGTAAATTAAACTAAAATAATCGGTTGCTAATAATAAAAGATTGAATATGTGATTGGATATTGTACTTTTTTGTTACTGATCATAATAGTGTTTGATCCTTATTCATTGCGAGAGATTCTTTGATTCTATTTAAAAAAGAAATCCTCCAAACTTAGCGATTGATGAAAAGATGTTCGGAGAAAATTCTTAAGCTCATTAGTGTTGTTACATTAAAAATTTAGGGATTTTGATAACTTATGCTAAAATTCGAGTTTTTCATCATCGAAAGAAAACAATAAGAATGGTTGATTAACTATTTTAGGCAATATTTTTTCTAATGAATTAAATAAGAAATGATACCCCACAAATTATCCTTTTGGCTCAAGAGAAAATTGTTACGACTCTGAAAATTTAATCTTCTCGAGCAATAACATAAAAATAAAATTAAAATGAATGTGGCTCCGTATATGTTATAAGAACGTTGTGTGTCTATTAAAATTGTATTGATTAGTTTATAGCTGAAAGTAGTAACAATTAAAAAGTATGACTCGAAAACATCTAGCACTAAAATTATAAGTATATTGCAAATAGTAAAGCTATTAATAAATAAGGGTAGAGCTTCAAGAGAAATATTTTTCATCAGTACCTATTCATAGGCCATCAAGGAGTAGTTGAAAAAAAGTAAGGCAATTTGAATACATGCTCTTTTATAATTTACTAATATAAGTGACAAGATAATATAAATTTATGTAGCTACGATTGCAGGTATATCACTATAGAGCGAGTAATAAAAATTTAGAATAAGCTTTATTATGCTGATAATTAGCATCCCAAAATGGGCAATCTTAAATATAGGCATTCTAAAATGTTGATTTCTCTATGATTAGTATTGTAATTCAGATTAAACATCAAGGAACTTTAGACTATATTTCTTCATTTACTTTTAGATATGAAACAAATTAAATGAATTATTATTAATAAAGAGAGTAATCGTACATTAAATTTTATTGAACTTAAACATAAATCAAATGATAAAAGACGATACCTCAGGATTACATTATTTTAGAGAAATGATTATATTTTATTTCATAATTTAAGTTCTATTAATTATCTAATTATAGGAAATATTCGTTTTATTTCATTAAATTTGAATATTATTACTTAAGTATTAATTTGGAATGCAATAAGAAAAATGTTTTTTCTATATACATTCTCAAGAACTAATTGAGGGATTTAGAATTTAAATTAATTAATTTATTAGTAAGAAATTATACTAAATTAAATTGAACTAAGAATATTATTTTTGAAATATCTTCAAATATGGAACATTGCAAGAGAATAAAGTGCAAAAAATTTCAATTTATGAGAGATAGGAAAATAATGAAAGTTTGGCTTAAGAAATTTAACTATTCTGATTCCCAGGATGATAAGGGATCTAATAAATTACTGCAGCACTTTATAGAATTTTCATATAATTCGATTATAAAACAATAAATTATAGAAATTTACAAATAAACCACCAAATTTAAAAAACTGACAACTATATTAATTAATCAAACAGCTATTGTTTTCTATCTGAATGTTGTTTTTCTTCTTTTCTATTGGTCATTAAATAATTATGGGTCTTAGATTTTTGTAATTTGATTTTATTCATCAATTACGATTAACGATGATTGAAATGTTACTTGTCTCTTATTGCTATTTATTATTTATTTTATTTTTCTACTAATGGTTTCTATATCTGTATTCTGTTACTCATCAGTTCTTAGGATTTCTGATTTTCTTAGGTCTTCTTTTGTATTTTTGGGAGAAGAGAAATGATTTTTATGAATTGAAGAGTTTTACAGACTTGGCAAGTGGCATTCACTTTTTGTTATTTATTTATCATTTCCAATAGCAATTCTCCTTCTGGCTGTTTATGGATATAGGTAATCAACATAAATATCCTAGTATCCTTTTTCTTAAAAAAAGTTAGCTGGCACACTATCAAGATCATTCAAAAATTTTGAGGGTCTAAATTGTTTGACTAGAGGTTTCTAAAGCTATAGATTTTAATTAGAATTTGTAATATCTGCATAGCTTATCTTTTTACTCATTTTTATAAATAATTATCAATTTATTAGTTTTATGAGTAGGCAAATTGAATGGGAATTTTCATTCAAATTCATATTAATAAAATATTAAAAGAGAAGAAAAAATAGTATTATAATACTATATTAGATAGACACTAAAGCCAAGCGAAATAAAAATGATAATTTAAGGTCAATAAAATGATATTTTGTGATTGCTTTCATTACAATAATTTTTAAACCAACTATTGTTTTTTCTCAGGATCTTAGTTCAATAAAACTCTTCTTCTTTCAACAAAGTAGAACACTTAAGCCCAAATGATTTTATAAAAGTCATAGAACTCTTGCATTTTTGTATCAAATTCTTGGTAATCTAATGGTTAATAATCACTTGATACAATATTTTATATCTGCCTATTAAAGTTGAAAGTCCACAATTTGATTTACTTTCGTTTCATAAAGTTGCAATTATTTTGTCAATATCTAAATTTTGGGCTCCACTTTTTCTTCTAAAAATTTTTTATTTTCAGAAATAAATTTCGATTGCTCCTCATTTCCTTTAATTGGTCCTTAATATATCGTTTTCATCTTATTTAAACCATCTTGTAACTTGCTTAATTATGACATCACTTCCTTTTTATCATTCATTATCTATTTCTAGATTAAAGATGATGATAGATTTTCCTGATTCATATATAATAAATTAATAATATCAATAGATATTTTAATGCAATTTTATCAAAATGTGTAATAAATATAGGGATTAATTAAGAGGTGATCATCTGAATTACCCTCACAAATTAAATTCTATTTTACATAATCGTATCAAATAATAATAAAATTAATGTAATTCTTGCTATTTATTTATATTTCATCATATTTTCAAAGACTGGTTGGCATAGATTAAAAGTTAGAATTTTTTCTAAATTTTAAACTATTTCCAAGTGTTTATTTTTTTCTTTTTTGATATTCTGAAGATATAAAGCAGGCTGAATATTTAAGAGGTAAAGCAGAGAAATCAAAATTAAATTGATTGGAACTTTTAAATGAATGAATTCTTGTACCCTCACCGAAGGAACTTTAATCTTATGGACTTAGAGATTTGATAATTGTAGGAGTTCCTTTTTGTACTTGTCCTTATTAGGATTATCGATAACTTTGTGTACAAATAGGAGATTAGAATTTAATAGCAGATTTAATACGATTCAGCATTTGTTTTGGAGTTCGAAAAGGATATTGATTAATATAGAGTTTTTTTTATTTATATTCCTCTTTGCTCAATCTTTATTAAATTGCCATTTCTTCTATTTTTTGTGGTGTCAATTTCATAAAAGTAGTTACTTTACTTTGCATTTGATCATTTTAATTGTTAAATTTAGCTTTTTAATTTGATTTTCTTTTATCAACAATCGAAGGAGAGAGTAAATTGTGAGTTGACTTAATAATTTTAGGAGATATTAAAATTGACTTCTATTTATAGTCTTCAGGTTGAGTAGTAGTTTATTAGTTTACTGTTAAAGTGGGTTAAGTTTCTGCAATTATTTTATCATGTTTTGATTAGATCCTTTATTTTCCTTTGAAAGTCTTTACAAAAGACTTGTCATTGGTTGTTAAACATTGAGTGCTTATAGGTCTATAATTAGCACTCTTCACTCTTCTAATCTAAATGGTTTCTGGAGTGTTAACCAAAAATGGAGATGCTTTTTTATCCTTAATCATGATGTATATGATACCTCTAATTAAAAATAAGGACAATATCTCAGCATAATTTCCATATCATCATTGACGGTAATTTGGTCTCTAGATATAAAATTCATTTCCTTATCTTTCATAATAATTTATTTCAAATCTTTTGTTTTCTCTACATATTTCTGATAATCGAATTTTAGATCCTCTTATTGTATTTATTAGTTTTCTACCCCAGCCTCCAGAGGATATGCATATTTTTGTTTCCATTTATTATAATAAACTCTTTTTTCATCTCTCACTTTTTGGATCGCATAAACGATATCTGGATAACGTTATTCAATTCTTTTATAATCAATTCTATTCAGTTTATATAGGACACCCTCTTAACTTTAACAAATAGCTTTCCACATTCTCTTCTCTTGATCTAAAAACTCTTCCAACCCAATGGATTCATTTTTTCCTAATATGCATATTTCTGCTTCTCTTTCAAAATAGAATATCTCATCACTTCCATTCTTTGTAAATTCTTTCTTGACATTCGAAACCATCTTAAATTCTCCTTCAATAATAAAATATAGACAATCTCCTTTATCCCCTTGTTTATAAATGACGTCTCCATAATTATAGACTTTTCTCTCCATGATCATAAATAAAGCCTTAATAGCATTTTTTGATAAATCCTTCAACATTACATTGCAACTTAAAGTTTCTAGTAAATGCAAAAATTGTCTTTAAGCCTTAGTAGACATTATTCGGTCAAATGAATCTTTGTCTAACTCCAGAATGAAACAATCAGTTATTGCAACTATGTCTGCTCCTCTTGGTTTTCTTTCCTTTTATATTTTAAGAAAGTACCAATAATGCCAATTCACCAAAATATTCTCCATCTTTTAATGTTGTTATTTCTTTCAATTCCTCATGAAACTTATCTTTCTATTTCCCTTTTTTTGTTGTAAACGACCCTATTACAGTTACTACTCTTTTTAAGACTTTGACTTCTCCCTTGATTATGATGTAGAAAGTATCGCCATAAGTGTCCTGCTTAATGATAACTTGATTTTTGCTGTAAATATGCAATCTTGCATTTTCGGCTACGTCTTCCAACATTTCCTCATAATGATCAGTAAACTGCTCTTGGAAAAACTTTATATTTCTTAGAGAATCCTTCAACAGTGTAGTTTCATTGGAGGTACGAAATAAAACTGGTTTTAAGCAAATTTCAACGATTTACTAATATTGATATCAAAATTACTTCGAAAGCAGATTTTTGCTTGCGTGTTTGGATCTCAACATATTCTAAACTACTAGATCTCTTACTTTCAAATTGATCATGTTTTTGTTGATCTTCCATATTTTTAATATAAAATTTTATATTTTCGAAAGCAAATATAGAGTTTCAGAACTTCTGAACAATCGCACTTGAATTATAGGATATCTTGATAGTGTTTATTTGAATCATCAACCTAAAAAAAATTGAGAAAATTATTTTGTCATTATTAACATGCAAATAATTTATCCCAATGTCTTATATTTAATTTCAATAATTTAAATTAATGGAATAGTAAGCTGCTGCAACTTAAGAGAAAACTCAAAATTAAACACAAGCACCATCCACTCAATAAACCTAGGCTCAACCACAAAAACCAAGAACAGTCCTATCAGAAATCAAACTCTAAATTTTATTATTGGAAAAGGCAGTCAGCTCCAAAGACATCAAAGCAATTCAAAAAGTATCCATCTTCGTTAAAAAGTTCAGAAATGTAATACACACTAATTAATCCTTAGACTGTCAAGTCTCATCATTTGGCCAAGCTCTATAATACCTTCTTTCCAAATGTAGTAGTTTAATAAGGGAATGATATCGATGCCAATTTCAACGAAGATTTAGGATTGAATGCTCAAGTTGTTTAAAAATTAACTAAAATAATTGAAGTGAACGTATTCATTCAATGCCTTTATCTCATTTGGCTCTTCTAATAAAAATAATAGGAATCCTACGAATAGTTAATTGTAATTGGAAAATAATTGCTATAATAAGTTCAATAAAATAACAAGAGATATTTAGATACTCTCTTAGGAGTCATCTATGAATATTTATCAAAATCTCATGAGAAATTAGGCAAACTCGACTAAATAAGAGAGTAATTATATGTCAATAATATTAAAGTGTCTTATTTGAGGGCTATAGAAATGCTTGTTAAAATAGAGATGAAAATGGTTAAGCTATTTTAGTAAACTTAATTTTGAGAAACTTCATTCATTACAATTAGTATGAACAGAGTTACAATTTCTTAAAAAAGACAGAGTTCCCTGAACACGCTTTTGGAAACTAATAGGCAAGATTCTTGTATTACACTGGACTCATTCATGCTATAAGAGGAGAATATCAAGAGGCTTATAAGAATCTTACTCAAGCAAGTCATAAAGCTCCAGATAATACAGCCTTTGGATTTAAGGTTTAGGCTATCAAAGTGATTGCTTTAGTAGAATTGTTACTAGGTAATGTCCCAAATAGAGATACTTTCACTTCTCCTGAATATCAATAGGCACTATATCCTTACTATAGAATAGTTTCAACAGTCATCAAAGGTAATTTAGGAGAATTTCAATAAGAAGTAGCAAGATCAGAAAATATATTGAGAAGAGACAAGCTTTTCAACTTAATTTAAAGGTATTTAATTTAAATCATCTATAACTCTAGACTACCATAAATAGTTATCAAGGCTGGTCTTAGAAGAATCAACTTATCCTATTCTAGAATTTCATTAAATGATATTCATTAAAAACTTAATCTTCCAGCATAATGCAATGCTGAATAAGTTGTAGCCAAAGCCATAAGAGATGGCACTTTAGCCGCTATTATCGATCACGAAAATTAGATAGTTATAACTAAAGAAACTAACGATCTTTACGGAACTAAAGCTCCGTAAGAAGCTTATGGAGAGAGAATCAATAATTGCTTAGGACTATACAATCAAGCTGTTAAGGTATATATTGCGTATAATTATTAGGCTTTATAATATTAAAATCCTGAATATGATTATGGAGAAAAGTAAGCTGATGATGAATTAACAACTGATGAATTATTAAGTTTAGCTGAGCTTGAATTTTGAGTAGCATAAAAATGTATAAGCACCTAATAATTATAATTCATTTTTAATTTATGAAATTCACACATGGTTCTTTGTGCAATTAAATAACCCAAAGATTGTTTTGCATCTCTGATTTTTCAACTAAGTTATTCCAGATTAATTTTAATGCAGCATCTTTGTCTTATTTCATTTCTCTGCCTTCATAAGAAATAGTTACTGATTCCTAGATTGTCACATCAACTGATCCTTAATTTTGGGTCAATTCAAGTATTTCAAAGATAAGACGCTTCAATTGAACTACAATAGTTGTTATATTCTAGTTGTTTGGATTGAAGATTTGTAATCTGTTGAGTTTGTAAACAAAAAAATCATTCAAAAATAATAATTTGGTAGTATCAAATAATTTTGTTTTCCATTGGTATTTAAGAATTTTAAAATCCATAATTTATTTTAAACAATTATTTCTAATGAGCCATAAATTATTTTGTTAATTTGAGATTAAAGACATCTGTAAATTTTTATAAATTCTTTTAACTAACTTCATTCTTAACTCCTCTTATTTTTTGATTGTCCCCTTCAATACAACTTTACAATCATCAACCTTAATAATGGGATCATCAAATTTGATAATAAATGTAGAGGACAAGGATTTCATCATTGAATAGCGTATACTTTACTTAGTTTTATTATCTTTTTATATTTCTATCTTTTTTGAATGAAATTCGTTTAGACTCTGATTGTTATACAAATTATATAAAACTTTCTCTATTGAATTTTAATTCCAATGCCATTCCCTTAAAAATTCCTTTAATTACTTTGAATTATCACATTAAAATGGTAGTTTATTTTGAGATTTAAATATGAACTCTAACTTTTCTTCACTGAATGTAAATATTAAATAGGGAGTATCCACAATTTTAGGAAAAACACTCTCTAAATATATTACTAATATCATACCCCACATATAATCATATTGACTTAAAAGAAAACTAGTTCTATTCAAAACGTTTAGTTTATATGAAAAAAAGCACATAAAAAACATCAGTATAAGTGTTGTGCAATAAATGATATAAGATTTTTAGGTTTCCATCAGTATCGTATAGATTATTTTAAAAGAAAATGTTGATAAAATAATTACTAAGGACTCTTTGAATTCTGAAATGAGAATTATTATAACACCACACATTGTAAAGTTGCTTTAATACAAGGATAAGGCTTAAGGACTAGTATCAGTTGTAATAATAAACTCGTAGCCAATTAATAAGTATGCTAAAACTATTAGCTAGATGTTTATTTTATGGATATTGAATCTCAAAAACACAAATGATAACAATGAATATACTTGGCATCCAATCAATATTGGCATCAACCCTAATTCATTTTATAGAACTAATGTAATTAGTTTTGATGTCGACACTATGAATATGCAAGCAGACCCAAATTAATATACAGGTCTACTAATAGTATTAATTCTTGATTTTTGATATTCATCCTCCAATTTTTTGTATTTAAACATTAATGTATATTTGTTCATTCTTAATTTCTTAAGATAAATTAAAATTTATTTTATACATAACTACATATATAAGCTTTAGAATAATTTTAATCATCTATATAAATAAATTTTAGTCTAATATATAAACAATTTTGAATCATTTGAAAAATATATGGCCATAGAAATATTAAATTTTTATTATTTTCAAGCCACCTTTTAGTCCAAATTATCGACATAAAAAAAGATTAGTGTATACTGAACTTTTATTATTATAACTGGATCGAGAGTAATCCTTAGGAATTTAAAACAGATTTCAAAAAAATTAGAATATTTATTATGCTCTTTACATTTTACATAAATTAATATTTTCTTTATATCAAAATGTTATAACTATTTATATTTATTATCTATTCTTTGATCTTATTTGTTTAATGTTATGAATTTGATATGATTTGCTTGATCAGATAATTCTCACGGAATTACAGAATTTGTAATATGATGCAAATATAAGAATTTAGCTTGTAACTAATACATGAATCTATAAATATATCAACCAATTCGAAAATAAAAAAAATTAAGTCTTATCAAATTGGTTTTCTACAAACAGGACATTCTTAAGTCTTCATCTTCCAAGCATCAATACAAGATTTGTGAAATGTATGAGTGCAATGTAAAGTCGACAAATCTGTTGTTAATTCTAAAGTGCATATACTGCATTCGTCTATAGTTTCTAAATTCTTGAATTAATTTTCTATGTAAGGAATACAGTCAACTAGATGGTCATTCAGAAAATTTCGAACTATGTGATCACCACAATATGGGCATGAAATTAATCCATATTCATCATTACACTGATGATCTGCCTACTTTGGTAAAAGGCATGCACTGCAAATCTCCAATGAAAGCTTATTTATCTTAGTGAAGTCTTACTAAACTTCTTATTTTTTTATAAAATTAGGTTGGTTCTATTGCTATATTTAAAAATCTAAACTAATTTTGCCTCTACTTGAAGGTGGCTTTTATTTACTATTGAATAGGAAAGGGGGAGAAAAAGGAAAAAGTGCTTACTAATTTTATTAATTCTAACTATCTTGCTCTTAATGTAATTCATTAAGGGATTCTTTTTGTTTATCTAACTTCCTTGTAAGTATTTACTAACTTTACTTCATTTTTTATGTAAACTTCTGGTGCTCCTGATTGTTTTTACTTTTAAAAAATAAGTATGCAATTTATACAAATTATTCTGATTTGGAATAACAAATGTAACATGATTCCTTTTTTACGATTATTTGGTATCATTAAGAAGATTTAGAAAATTCTAATAAAATTCTTAATCATCCTCTTCTTATTTGGAAGATTTCATAATAAATATAAATAATATGATTTCAATCAATAAAAACAATGATATTTAAAATTGCCATAAAAAATATGGACCTCTAATTAAATCCAAAGGCTCACAAATCTAGAAATTTCATAAATTCATTAATAAAAATTTTCATTTGCAAAGTAATTCTATTGTATTTTATGAAGGACAAGCTGGAAAATAAATAACGATTAAAATGCTGTGTTGAAAAAGAGGTATGCGCTTGACCTTTATATTGAGTGCAGAATAGAAATCAGAAGAAATTTTGTAAAATCTTCTTAAACTTGTTCTATATTAATTTATATAATAACCAATATTTCTAATATATCTTAAACTTCTTTTTTATAGTTATTTCATTTGATTTCAATATCTGCATTAAACCATATTTTTCTATTTCTATTTGACTATTGTAGTGAATTGTTGAAAATATATCAACTAAATTTTAATGATTACTTTGCATATAAATATAAAAAGTCGGGAAATATTATTTCTTTTTAACTTTAATTGTATTCATTGTTATCAAGAAACTGGATGTCAAAATTAGGAATGAATGAAATCTATAATAGCAGAAAATACTGTATTTTTTCTTCAACCTACTAATCTACTTTAGGTCTACAATAAATTCAAATGAATAAAATACTAAAAGATATAATTCCTGGTATTAAAGTTACTTATAAATATATTGGCTAAGAATTCTATTTTAATTATGAATTATTGTAAGCGCTTTTGACGTTGAATAAACCAAATAAAATATTTCATAGAGTAAAATACATGTAGATAGAATAATCTTCATCAATCACAATTATAATTAGCCAATAATTAGACAAGAGATTTAAATAATTCAGGAATAGTATTTTAATAAATTTCTAAAAATGTTGTTTCAGTAACAATGTTTTTATCATGGGTTTGTTTTCGATTGTACATTTCTGATAAATTCCTTGCCTTTTCCTTCATCATAGTAATAACCATTTATTTTTGTGGCCTCTGCTTTCCCCTCATCTTAGTTGAGATTGTTGTATTCATTTCAATAGGTCTTCTGATACCTTAACATCTAAGATATTTAAAGATGATATCTGCATCTTTTTATGCTGCACCTCCAGATTTGAATAATTCAAATAGATCTCTTGTATTTAAATAGGTTTTAGACAACACATCGTAACAACTAAAAACAAGCTAGATAATTTCTATAATCTTGAATATTTGATACATTGCTAACTCATCTCTCTAATTTAGAGCAAAAACGATCGATACACTGCCTGAGTAATTGAATATGGCATCTACATAAGGTTGATTAATCTTAAAATGATGGCCTAACAGCCTAATTGATGAGCAAGGTAATTGACTAGCTAGGTATTAATGATAGCATACTTATGGCTTTGTGATTTCTTAGTAGATGCTGGAATTGCAAAGCTATTTGAAAATCTCTTAGATGAAAGGGCTATCTGGATCTAATGATAAATAACCAACTTTGGTTGTTTTTAAGCGATTCTAAAATTATCTATATTTTTAATAAGTATTCTTTCTAGATCTTAATCCTTATGAATCATGTTGACTATTGCACATTGAATACTTTTGTATTGGTTGTTAATCTAAGGGGGATATTTTTGGTAGTTCGTAATATTCAAAGCAATCAGACAATACTTCGATTTTTTCTTTATTCTTAATAAGAAATCTAGGATTGTATTCCAATTCTGTTTAGCAAGCCAATTCCACATCATATTTGTTAATTGAATTGGATTCATTACATGAGTATTGATTATCTTTTGCCTTTACTCTTGAGACCATCATGCTTGAATTTATTTGTGATCGATCTGCTCTACTTGATCTCCCAGTGATTATAGTTATTTTCTCTTCTATGCATCTCTTGAATATATTTGATATATCGTACATATTTTAATTATAAATATCAATTCTAAAATAAGGACATGAAAAATGGAAACTTATTGTGAAAATATGAAGTTAAACATTACTATTAAAATATATAAACCACTATCTTATCATTATAATTATGATATAATAGGATATAATAGTTGAATCTAATGTGATTTTTAAATTAAAGAAATACGTTATTTACCTCATTCGTTATAGCTCTATTATAATTGATTAGTTATAAAATAATTTCTTCTTTTTAAATGAAATGATCATTTTGATAATGAATATTTGTAGATTTGAATAATAATCTGTAATTCTATTACTCAAGTAGAAGAACAATAAAATGAAATTTGTGATATAAAAATTTGAATGAAATAAACAATCATTATTCTATACTCTTTAGTAAAGCTTAGATTTTCTCGTTGCTCTAGATTTAATTAATAAAGTTTTTGTCATCATTTGTCAATTGATCCTCAGGTTTGGTCATCAAATCTAGGAATCGTTATCTAATAGCTTTTAGTTTATCAGTTTTAGTTATAGTTTTTTAATGAGAGATGATTTCTTCCACTAAAATTTTCTTCCTCATTGCCCAATCTCTATCATCTTCAATATAAAGCATTTCTTTCTACAATTTGAAATGATTTTTTATTTGATGTTTATTGAATTGATTTGATTTTCTCATAGAGGCTTCATATAAATAATTGCTTATAGATTAATTGAATGGGGGATCAATAGAATGTGGGTCATTGCTTTCTGACCAGATCTAATTTAAGTGATTTAAGATTTTTATAGATTTAGACAATTAGTTTTCTGGCAATGAAATTGTATTAGCAAAAGTAACGTAAGTTATTTCAATGGTTTTTGACCACGTAGATATTATTCTAATAGGAATCATTGAATTTAATGCGAAACTCTAATAATCACAGAAAGAATTACTAATGATACAGCTTCGAACTTTTCAGAGTGATTTAGTTTTGAATTAGTACCACATTGCATGATTATACGGTCATTAGTAATAATGCTAGAGGTGGTTCTTCCTGCAGATACCCATAATGCTGCAATATTCAAAGGTTTAGGTAAAATCTATTATAATTAATAATAACTTACTTCATTTTTTAATTCCGAATTACCAAGTTGCCCTCGTTCACCCCATCCCCAAGTATAAATTTTGCTTCTAGTCTTTGCAATGACATGCTTGAAACCACAGCAAACCTACAAAACCTTTTCAATGTTAATCAAACAAGGTTCATGTCTATATCTTCGATCTCCCAATCCCAATTCTCCTTCATAGTTTTCTCCCCACGAATACAATTAGCCACTCTCACACAATGTAACAATAAATTGATTTCCACATGATAGCATTCTAGCTTTCTATTTGATAGGTATATGAACATTTAGATTAGTTAATGAAAACACTTTATTGTCACTTACAATGTACTTTTTGGATGACATAGTGCACTCCTTATTAACATAATGTGGTTTGTATTTTATTTATTTATTTTAATCACCATATTGCAATAAAGAGCCATCTGCAGAAGTTACTAAGATGAAATCATCACTACAACTAATGGATTTTATTCGAATGAAATCTGGAAAGATGTTCTTTTCAACAGTATCAAAAGTATCCTTATTTAAAATCAATTGTCCACTGCCAAATTCAAATATGGCAGTTCCACCCAAAGTGACACATAACGTACTCTCTTCAGTAGCGAAGTATGATTAAATAGGATGGTCTTTTCTAAATTATTGAATAATGATATTAAGCAATGTTCTTGAATATGAATAATTTGGATTGTAACACTAATAGATATCAGAAAGTATATCAATATCAATAGGTACAGAAAATAAAGCAATCTTTGGTAATCTTGGTCTCCATTAAATGAGACATGTCTCTAATAATGGGTGCATATCCTCATTTTCATTGTTTTCATTTGTCATAATCCATAAACTGGAAGCATCATGCTTTTACTATTAAACATTTTTTTCCCAAGGTTATACGAACGATTCATAATTCTTTTTATAAGCCATCTGTTTCTCTAGAAATTTTCTTGCAAATCTTTAAACACATCTTGCTGCTGCTCTCATTCTTTGAAACATAGTTGAAAGCAATTTCATTCTGAAATATCCTTGTATTAAAAAAGCAGCATCATGAGCCCTTCTAAATTGACTTCTTGCTATAAATCTCCTGATTGCTGCTTAAACTTTTATAACTGAACCTTCCATTTTAATTTTTCTTCCTGCATTCTTTATTTGATGAACTTACTTCTTATTTGTTTTTCTGACCTAATTCCCTCTAAAATTAGATTATATCATGACAGCCTTCTTGATCAAGATCATTTACCAAGCATCATCAATAATTTTTTAAAATACATTTTTAATTTCCCTAATTTTTCTCTCTTATTTTGATTGCACTACATATCTACCGAACTTCTGTATTTTACTTATAGCTAATTTCTTTCTTGCAATATTCCGAAGTACATTATATCTTTCAAAATACAACTTCAAGTCTAATGCAGACTTTTCATATTTTTACTGCAATCTTCTTTCATGCAATTTTCTATACCAAGCTTAAATGACTGTGGCTGCTTTTACTCTTTTTCTAACTAATACCTTAAAACGAATTCTTTATGCTAAAGTACGCAAAGTCATAGCAATTCTCATCATCTTTTTCAGATGTTAATTCATCTTATAAATTTTATATGACCTTTGCAATTTCGCTGCTCTTTAATGTTTGAGAGTCACTATCTTCTAATACGAATCTTCGATCATTTATAATCCTTGAGTACGAATAAATATCTTGGTCTTTCCAAACAGTAGTTATTTTGAATCAATATGAGGCATGTGTTGTTTAAACATATCTAAAACTAACTGTCTAAAATTAAGATCTGGCTTCTTTATTAATTTGCTGTAAATTTCGTTTCTTGTCATATCTGCATATTTTTTATAAAAAAATTAGTAAGGTCTTCTTATACTATAAGATTCTTTCCTGACCTTTAAGGAATCCAAGACACCAAGATATCTGATTTATTTAAGAGTCATTTCAGAAAATACTTGATTGGGCTATTTGCTTTCATTCGGTTTAATGCATCTAATAAAATGAACATCACATTAGTGCAATTCAGTCATCAATTCAATCATTTCCTTTTTAATCTTTTATGAAATAAACTTTTCTTTCTTTCCTTCCATAGTATACAATTATTTTAAGAGTGGATTTTTAGTTTGACTTATTAACTATATAGTTTAAACACTCATTTCGTCTTTGTTTTTTTCTCGAAATCCTGTTACAGTATAACAAACATCCTTTGCTGTATGCACTAATATAAATGCAGGATCACTTGGCATCTTCGGTGTCTTTACTAATGGATTTGCTTTATGAACAGTCCTTATTTTTTATAGAAATCCATCATCAGATGATTTTACAGAACAGGATTCATCCAAAATACTGAATAACCCTCCTGGTTATTTGTCTATTAATTCAATTACATTAGCATTATCTTAAAATTCCAATTACCCTAAATAGTCCTTTAATCCTTCCTCAATGAAAATTTTCTCTTCCTCCTTGAACACATATTGAATATACAATTGATGTAGCTTTTCATTCGTATAATTGATCATGATCTATTCAAAACCATTTTTATCGAAAACTTCGAACCCATAAATATCAAGTAACCCCACAGAGATCTTAGACTCTACCTTTGGTTTTAAGACTTTATTTAATTGAATAACTAACCAATTAAATAATCTATCATAAATATCCTTGGCCAAGGAATCTCGTGTAAATTAACATTCATCAAGTGTCAATGGCGACAATATGGTTTATTTGTTGATTACTCTTGATTTAAGAGTCAAGGCCTAAGATAGTTGCTAATTTGATAATTCTAATAACCGCTCTGCTAAACTTTCAGTAACTGAGGCTGGCTAAGTATCTGTTAGAGTACTGTTGTCAAATTCAAGATTCCCTAAATGTAATACTGCGAGGACTGCTTAGACTATATTTTCAAAATCGGACTGCATTCCTAAAATGGAAAAGCTTTATTCGATTTCTTTGAACATTTCAGCATCATCAACATTCGGAATAGTATAGGTTTTAGATGAATTTAGATAGTTAAACTCCTCCATTTTCAATGTTACTCCAAATTTATTCAAAAGTTCTTTTGGCAGACCTTGCAAGAAGAAATAAAAGATATGAAAATTTCTTTCATTTTTACCCTATTGATTAATTCTTGACTTCTCCATCAAGTAATTAATAATTTCAGCCCCCTTTATTTATCTAGTCTTGCCATCAACCATAATTCTGACGTACTTTCCAAACCTTGAAGAATTATTGTTTCGCACAGTTTTCGCATTACCAAAGGCTTCTAATATAGGATTGCATCCCAAAATCTGATCCTCTATTTTATCTTTTGAAGAACCATCTGAGGCAATTGACGTTAGTAAATTCATAGAAAATTTAGCATTCTCAGTTTTTCCAGCTCCACTCTCCCCTGAAATAACTATTGCCTAATTCTTATCATTCTCAAATAATTGCCTATATGCTTATGCTGCTATAGCATAGACATGGGGAGGTAAATCCTTGATTGTACGATTCTTTTTAACGATATCATCAATGTATTAATTTCTTATGTCTACACTCATCAAACCATGAATCTATTTAAATGGGTTTATGACTAGCAATGTTGGTCCTACATATGTAAATATGATATCCTTCCCAAATCGATATATTAGATTATTTAGTAATTCTGCATCATTGAGGATTTCCATGTTTACCATATCATCAAAGCCCTTGTTTCCCAATATGGTTGGGTCTGCCCTTTCTAACACTTGTGTTGGTTTGCATTGAATCTAACCACCCGATTCCAACTTGATGGTAATTAATTTTCCATCCGTATTTAGTATGACAGCAGGTGAAAACATAGGGTCTTTGTTGTCAAGGTCCTGCCAACACAATGCGTTTGGGACTACCGAAGACAAACTTACTTATGGTTATGATTTTTTTGCCATATATTTAATTATATTTATCAAATGGGTTCTTCATCAGAGTCGTTGTCATCATCATCAGCATCTGGGTCTATTATTTTAGAGTTTTCATTTTTTATTATATGATTTATGATAGATGAGGAATTTCGCTTTTTGGTTTCATACTCATCTTTGAAGTCTTTAAAGTGATATACCAATATTTCCTCATAAATGCAATCTACGATATTTTTTAATCTAATACCTTTGAGTTGTTGAAGTGTCATGTTGTACTCTTCAAATTCGAAATCTATCCTTTAGACTGGAACTGCAATTGGCTATGAAGGATTACATATGAACTAATACTTCGTCATCTGGACAATGTAAAGCAGATAGATAAGGATGTCTTAGCGCATCCTCGACAGTGATTCTTTTTTTTGCATCGAAAGTAAGTAAGCTTTTCAATAGATCGATGGCAAGATTAGAAGCATTGGGAAACAATTTATTAAAATCCTTTCCTGGTCGTTTAGGGAGTCCCTTTGCTATAGTTCTATATTTTTCTTTAGGTATCATGTTCAATTCTTATTCAGATGGAGTACCTATTACTTCAAATGTCAATTCGATTTGATTCTTGGTGTCCATTCCAGGCAAGAAGGGTTTCCTTCTTAACAATTCCGCGAAAATACAACCAACTGACCAAACATCGACACTCTGTGTGTAATTTCTCCATGATAATAACAATTCTGGAGCTCGGTACCATCGAGTAGCAACGTAATCAGTTAAAACTCCAGCTTTTGCCTTGGGTTGATAATACTCAGAAGTTTTACTTTTAAATCTGGTATCAAGGCTCTTGCAAGTCCAAAATCACAAATCTTTAGATCGCAGTTGCTGTTAACTAATAAATTACGAGGTTTTAGATCTCTATGGACCACATTTGCAGAATGTATGTATTTAAGTCCTCTCAATAATTGATACAGGAAAAATTAACAATGTTCATCTGCCAGGTTTTAGTCTGACTTAATGATCTGGGCTAAATCGGTCTCCATCAATTCTTGAACCACGTAACTAAATCAATATCATTAATACATATCCTCGAATTCTTCTCTTGATTTTGGAAGCAGTATTGTATTGATTCCAATAATCTAGATATAAGTGATATGTACATTTTCGTGTTATAGCAATCTTAGTAGACGCAATTCTCTTAAAGTTCTCTTTGTAAATATTTTATGTTCGAAAGCTTTTTCAATCTTTTTTATCGCAACTAAATTATCCTCTGAGTCTAATGTATTGTCTCTAGCTGCTACAACTATACCATAGGCTCCTTAACCAACTAGCGATATAACACAATAACTTAATACTATTGTCTAAGATTTCATATTTATCATCAATCTCAAATCTAGAGCCTAAAATTGTGCTCACTTTCAATTTGCTCTTTTTATTGCGATAATTTGAATAATGTTAAATTATGTCATCTGGAAGTTAGCAAGGTTTCATTTACTTTATAATATTAATTTTTTATTTTTTGATACAAAACTTTTTAAATCATGCATTAATATAATAAAATTTTACTATATTCGCATAAATATAAACATTCTCCATAATTGAATACTAATCCTTCACCTTGATCAATTATTACCCATTTAAATAAAATTAATAAAGAATATTTTCATAATATTAGTAATAAAATTAACTAAGCCTTTTATATTGGAATGATAGACTAAGTTTAATTGTTTTTATTTAATAAATTATTTCATTTAATAACTAAAATACTGTAGAATTTAATAATAAATTTTTTGCTCACAATCACTCCCCTCATTTCTAATAAATTCTTATCTATAAAGTGATCTATGAGGTATTCTGTTTTGAATCATAAACCATTTTGTAAGGTAATACTCACTTAATTGAGTTTGAAGGTATTAATTTTTGATAAAATTATTTTTATTTAAAAAGAATTTTGTCCAACTTCTTTCCATGAATATATTTCTACATCTATAATTAGATGATAAAACCAAAGCAAGTACTTCTTTTTCCTTGAAATTTTATTATCAAATATTTGCACTAAAACTCTCAATTTATATAAAAATTTGTAGATTTACTTATTTTTATTCTCAAAATCCACTTCTTTACTTTATAACATTATATAATCAAGAATTTATCCTTTCAAAAAGATGCAGTTTAATGATTTTAATAATTTTCTTATATAAATTTTTTTTGATAAGACTTTTATTCAAACTTCTGAAGTACCTCTCAATTTAAACTAAGTCTATCTATTAATTATTAATGTTTCTTTTGCAACAAAATCTATCCATACATTTTGAATACCAAATTTATCTGTTCTATTATCAATAGCATAAAAATATAACATCCATCCTACCGGGCTCTATGTGATATTAAAAGTGATAATTCATTTAATACTGAAAATATATTATTTCTTTTATTTTAATATACTGTATAATACAAATTTAATACAATTCACAAGCATTTTATTCATATAAATTGAATGGATCTTTCTACAACAGAGAATATCTTCTATCCATATTCAGAAGTATTGATTTATTGTAGTATTTCAGGATGTCTTTTCATTATTCCAAGAACTGGAATAATATATTACTAATCTAACTATAAGAACTTCTTAAAAACATAGTTTCCAAAAGGATGTGTTGCAAATGCTACAAATAAATAACTACAATATTAAATGATATTTTACTTGTTGTCCTGATCTGAAGCTAACATAATATTCGTAATAAATTTTATATCTTCTTATTCAATTACATCAAGAAAGACCTCTACAACATTACTTCCATATTTATTGTAAGATAATGTTTAGAAGTTACTCTTAATTATTCTTATCAGTTCCATTTTTTGCTATTTAAAATTGCTTTTCAATATAAACTAAATTATGTAGTTACCAAATTCACAAATACAAAGCTATTATGATACTTCCATAATTTAGTCCAACAATGATTAACTATATTATTTTTGAAGCATAAATTAAATTATCCTACATCCATATGTATGTTATGACATAGAATATACAGATTGTTCTATATGTTTCTTCATGTATTCACAAAGTTTGTAATCAAAATTCTCCAAACAACTTAATAATACATAGCAACCATTGTTATCATTTATTAATTATCTGACTTATTATTTTAATTCATCCATAAATTCAATTTAAAAATGATGATCCTCATCTTTTAAAAATTCTATCATTCTGTTTATCACTCTAGAAGCATACTGATTTTTAGATAATTCAACACAATAACCTTGGAGTTGATGGAATAGACTAAATTTCCATTATTTTTCACCTAAATCGATTATTAGCTTACAATACCTGACAAAAATATTTTTTAGACCAAATAATTTCCAAATAAATCTTTTGATGTCTTAATTAAGTTTTTTTCGATGGTCTCAAAGATCATACTTCTTTGTAAAGGGGTTCCATTGTCAAAAATCTTTTGTAGATTTCTTGATGCATTCTAATTCCCACATATTTATTCCTAAAATAAATAAAATCGAATACCAAACAATTTCTAAATTGATAATCGTCTTGTCTCAATTATAATTGAATTTGATTATCTTCTTATAGAGAAGGATGACTGTTAAATGTCAAATAGAAAGTTTAAGGTGGATTTATAGGTTACATTGTTTAGTGTTTTTTAGGTGAGAATTGAAGTGACTTCAAATCATGATAAATTTTAATGGAAGGCTTCTTCTCTTTTTATCTTTAGTTAATTCTAAAATGTAAAAATAGTGTATATACATATAAGGTTGTGTGTTTGTGGAATTGTAAGTAAGAGTGTCATACCCATGATTTTCTCCAAGAATTTCAATTTATTCGTTGGAGTTAATCAATACAGGTTAAAACTCTTTGGCGTTCAGTGATAATTTACTCTTTTTTCGAGTCTATTTCCTTTCATACATTTACACTTCACTTTCATCTAAGACATTATCATTATATTCACATACCACTAAGTATTGAACCAATTAATTGTTTTTCTTCGGGATCCATATTGAGATGTTGTTTTTAAAATTACAAAATAAGAATATTTGTTCCCTTTTATAATAATTATTTTAATATATAATTAGACATCAAGCACTCTTATTTCTAGAATTCTGGTGCTCAATTATATTCCGATTCTCAAAAAAGTCTAACCAATCAAAAGAAACCTTCTACAAACCCAACAATTATATCTTTAAATTCTTCTTCCTTTTAAATGCAATTAATACTTTAATTTCTCATATTCCAATCCTAATCTTCTCTTTTTCTATTAAATTAAGATGTGAAATTATTGTTAAATGCCCTATAGTTTCTAAGGCAGAAGTAATAGAATTTCATTTTCTAATCAAATCAAGCATTTTTCTAGTGGTACAAATCCATTTTTAGTTTTGTTTAGTAATACCTCATCTTGATTTATGCCATAGATTTTAGGAAATTAGAATTAAATCATATATTGAAAAATAATGCTTCCTAGGGAAGAAATAAAAATCTTATAAATCTATGGAAGTTCCAAAAGTCATTTACATTAAGAAGTTAATACATTCGAAATTGTTTCATGAGCTGGATACTATATACCTTGAATATCCATCTCTTACAGTCTTCATTTCTTCTATAAATTCAGATTTCGTCAAACTAGAAATAACAAACTTGTAACTCAATTCTTTTAACAATTACTATAAATTCTTAAATGTGATTACGTTCTATGGTTTTATATCCATTTAGAGTATAATATTGTTACTTAAAATCTGAAACTTTATAAACGTCAGTTAAAATGTTTTCATTTCTCATTCTTAATTTTACATAAAATATTTTAGATTATAATGCCAAATTTTCCAAAACAAAAAAAACTGTTGCTATAATAATACTGATCAATAAATTTTGTATCACTCAGACTAAAGAAATAAGGAAATATGAAAATTGCAAGCATATTGCAAATCATCCTTGATTTCTAAATGTTGTGTAAATTAGGCCTTAATCAAGTTTGATTATTTGGATTGATCAAGAATAATTCTGCATTTAAATGCAATAGCTAAAACTTTCTGATTCAAGTTTCGCTATCACTTAATAACTAGTACAATTTAGAATTGGATTCAGTTGTTTTAAGAGCATTAGGAGTAAAATAGGTTCTAATAATGGAAGATCTTCAACAAATGATTTTAAATGCCAATTCCTAGAATAAATGCTTAGGAGTGTATTTTATGGATGCAGACATTCTAATAGTTTGAAGTGACTCAATATTGCAGCTCTGAAAATAGATTTGGCTTTTGATTGAATTGAATTCGAAGAATAAATATATTAACATAATCACACTAATCTTCTATCATTTAGTAATTTCTTTATGTAATATACTTACCATGCTGTCACTCCACAAATAGCCACGGTTTCTATGAATGTCAGAATCATCAGTTGTTTATTTATCTTTTGTACATCAGCCAAGGCACCTTTAGATTTCAACTCATTCAATTTGGTGCTATAGAAAACGTCTCTGATTTTTTGTAAGAGTCCTTGGACTCCATTTTCAATAGGATCAATGTCATTTTACTCTATTTCTTCTAAAAAAAACGATATCAATGCAAGATGTACCTTTGTCAGATTTAGCGACATCAATAGCGAATTGAACAACTTTCGACTCTTTTGCTCTTTTGTTTTGAAAAATCAATTGATAATCTCCTTTTTCAGTGGCATTGAAACTGAAGACTGCTTCTTTTTTCATCATTTTGGCATAGATCATTGAACCGGAAGGATCAATAACTTTGAAGTCAATGGTGTCAAGAGTGTAGATTGGAATAAAGAAGGTGCCTCTGATGTTGGTGGGAGTTTTCTTGATTGTTTCAATGAATATTTCCTCGCCTCCCTTTTCGATTTGGAATGAGATCATATCATCAGGTAGGAAGCCTCGCATATATTTATCCCAATCTTGCATGATTTCTTTGGTTTCCTCTATGCTGCACCAAGAGAGTGTGAAGAGACCTAATAATATTGGAAACATAAATATATGAATCAATTAAATTGGAATGTACTCTAACCACGTATATGAATTTTTTTCATTTTTTTCTTGCATTCAATCATATCAATAACTTTATCTTTTTCTTCCATGCTTTCTTCACTATTCAATCTCTCTTGATCATTCTTGTGTTTGCCTGAGGAGGATCGTAAATGAAGTAACTAAAGTAGTAACAATACTAACCTGAGGATTTTTTTGGGGAATTCCCATACATGGATTTTGCTTATTGGGAACCTTAAGAGATTTTTTGAATGCCATTTAATTGAGAACTTTTAATCTGGAAACAAAATTGAGGAACTCCTATAATTCATTATTTTCAATCTGACATTAAACTGGAATTTAGACTAAAATTAAAAATTAGATTACGTTTCAGTCTTTTGGTGGTGTCCTTAAACTTCATCAGTTAGTCATAGTGTCTTTTAGATTCTGAATAGATTTCATACAAGCTCAGAGCATCAGAGTTGGGCAAGGTGATATATTTGTCGATTATCTTTTCCACTTCAAAGCAAATAAAACTCTAAAATCTCCACACATCAAAGTAGATGTACTTCTGGATTTCAGAGATATTCATTTCAGATTTCAAAAGAATTGCAGCACTATTAATGAGATTCTGCATTTTGTAATGCCATAAGAACATCAATTTAGGTTCAACCTGATCCTTATCGCTGAGGTAAGGATACGAGTTACGACAAGCTGCTCTATAAAGATCGATATTAGCAGCCAGACGTTGAAGATAACTAAAATAGGCGTAAGTAAATTGTGTAATGTTTAGATCCTCGCTAACGTTCATCTCTGTATAAAATTGTTCGTTCTTCATACGAGTCATTAAGTCAGGTTCTGTCACCAGATTATCTGAATCTTGTTGTTCTATTTTTTTCATCCGACAATCTTTCAGTTTTATTGAAATCTCTTGAGTGATGTCTGTACAATGAAACATCTGGTGGATCACTGCCAGTAATTGAATCAGAGCTGTACTTCCTGGGCTTGGCTTGTACTCCTGCAGATAACTGAAGACGCTGTCAATATAACCTAATTGCATTTAACAATTTATTACTATCATTTGTTGTCAGGTATTGGGCCATCATTTTTGTCATCTATTTTAAATCAAATTAAACATAAGGACCCATAATCGAGTTTAGAATCTCTTAGAACTTGTTCAATTCCGTTTAATGGATATTAACGGCCGATTTTGAATGAAATAGAGATGTGAATTTGCTGAACAGAGACATTAATATATATAAATTAAAATAATTAAGGTATCCCATTTATTTTGGTTCTTTTAAATATTATATATATTATCACTATACCATCATATTTATTAATATAATGAATTTCTTCATCATTTGTTCCCTCCTCGTGACCAATCTTTGGGCTCAATCGAATTTGAGACCTGCCCAAAAGAAATTCCAATCAGAAGTAATAGAGAAAACCATCTCCAGAGTATTTATATAGAACCCATTATTAGATCTCCGACAAAATGAAGGATAACAAACTTAAATATACATTTATAAATTCATTCCCAAACACCCTTGATACCACTGTTACAAACTATGACCCCAACACTCCCGATGCTTTCATAATCACCGGAGATATAACCGCTATGTGGTTAAGAGATAGCACCAATTAACTATGGACCTATATGGAGTTTGTGAATCAAGATAGCAAATTATAAAATTTGGTTAAAGGAGCAATAACCCGTCAAATAAATTAAGTCTTAATTGACCCATATGCTAATGCCTTCAATTATCAAAAGAAATAATCCGAATGGAGTTCTGACAATACAACCAGATGCTTTTTAGGTGTCAATGTCCATGCAATGTCGGAACATCTTCACGAGAGGAAGTTCGAGATTGATTCATTAGTGGCTGTTTTACGATTATCTGTTGGTTATTACAAAGAAACTAATGATACATCAATCATTAATTTCAAATACTTAAAGGCTGTTCAAAGAATCCTCAGAACATTTAGAGATCAACAGGCAGATCAAACAGAACAATTTTAAACCTACAGATTTCCTTACACCTTTTAAAGAAGTGGAAGATCCACTGATACAGTTATTAATGGAATAGGCGAACCCCTTAAAAGAACTGGATTATTAAGAACATTTTTCAGAGCCTCTGATGATTCCACTATCTATTAATTTAATATCCCAGAAAATGCTATGGCTTCAGCAATCCTAAAATAAATAGCTGAGATGTTAAGCGATGCCAAATTGAGTTGGTCTCTGAGATAAGCAGCTCAACCTTTAATTTAAGAGGCCCTGGCACTATCATCAGAAATTAAAGATGCTATTTATAAATATGGAATTAAGGATGGGGCCTTTGTATATGAAGTAGATGGAATGGGTAAACAAGTATTTATGGATGATTCAAATCAACCTAGTTTGCTTTCTCTTCCAATTTATGGATTCATTGAAATTGACGATCCCCTATATCAAGCCACCAGAAAGAAAGCACTCAGTTCAGCTAATCCCTATTATTTTGTGGGAACAGCAGCAAAGGGCATAGGTGGTCCTCATATTGGGGCTAATTACATTTGGCCTATGGCTATTGTAACTCAAGGATTGACTACTAATGACAAATCAGAAATAAGAGAATGTTTGAGAATGTTAGTAACAACCACTGGAGGCAAATGGTTTATGCACGAAAGCTTCTTCAAAGATAATCCTACTAGTTTCACAAGATCTTGGTTTGCATGGGCAAATGGATTGTTCGGAGAATTGGTGTTGAAGATAGATAAAGAATATCCAGAATTATTATAAGAGAATTATGCTTGATAATATAATAATATTTCAGTGCTATTTAAGTAAATATGCTCTTAATCTCATAAACACTTTGACATCCATTTTCTCTGGTTTGGTAGTCAAGTTGTCTATCATTTCTAGATGGGCCTTTAATATTCTAGCTTTGGACTGTTAATAATTAAAAAGTTGTTCTCCCCAATTTGAATCTTTAGGAATGATTGGAGCCGAAATCTTTTTGTATAAAGCATTAATTATTCTTCTATATAAAACTATGATAGTTTCTTCATTAATTAATTCATCTCCATCCAATAATTTAACGTAAGTCCTAAGGAATTTCACTAAATCTAAATTGAATTGGCTTTTCTTTATTTTAAATTCAGAGGTTAATTAATTGAGACTGATTCCTCTTGTATTTAAATTTAACAGTTCTTTATATGGCACGTAATGCAATTGAACTAATTTTTCAACATTTGTCAGGAAATCGTACTTCGTATTGCAATCCATATAGATCCTGAATTTCACTCTGTCATACTTATTCTTACTCATTGCAAATCCATAATACATCAGTAGATGCTCATTGCCTAAACATCCATACAAATTCAAGACTTGCTCTCCTTTTTCAATATCATCCACTGCTCTTGCTGTAAGATAAGCTGGACATTTAAGTGTTGATTACTGTATATCTGTATACCAGTCGTGTTCACTTTCATCCAAAGATTATTCATAATAATCTCTTAGATAATCATCGTTTACTGCAGCTTAGACTTTCGATTCCTTGGTATCTAATTATTGTGATTGACTGTTGCTTTGTTCAGTAGTAGGCTCATCTTCATCTTCTGAATCATCTGGTATCATCAATTTAGTAACCCAAATGTCTGGTGCTCCTGTTCTAAGTAATTCCTATAACAATTTCACTAATAAGTTATTCAATATTTTGGAGCATCTTACAGTTTCATTTACTTTTAGACTCTCTATTACTTCTTAATCTTCCTAACTAAACCAATACTTGTTTTGAGAAATGTATTTGAATTTCATATAATTATTTTGAATGTATTCCTCAGGCTTAAAATTTTCTTATTCCAAACCAAAGATTGCTTTATTCTTTCCATGATTTATCATATCTATCATAGGCACTAAAAATGAAAAAGGGTATTCGTTGTTAACACTTAGTCTTCTATTCATGCAATATCGATATGCCCAATCATAATCATCAGCATTTAATCCTATTTCAATTACCTCTGCTTTTGCTGCTTAATACTCCTCCTCAAATTCTTGTTTCAATTCTCTTAAATAATCAAATGGAATTGGCTGATCACAATCTAGTAAACAAATGGGATTTGCTGAAACATCAAATATTGGTTTTAGTTTTCCATGTCTTTAAGTTGTCAGATAAAGGATTAAGGTTTGGAAATCACTTTTTTTGTTACCAATTTATTGCAATGATGGATAGATATGAGGATTCTTCTTCATAATATCTACGCATTATTCATTTTAGAATACTGTGAATGCGCTGATTGCAAAAGTATGGGAAACTTTTATTAGAAATTCTCCTGATTGAATATTTTCAATAGCTTTGATTCCAAACATACCACCGTAATCTTCCATTTCTACTTTATTCATCTAAATTCCCTCTCTTAGATATTCAATGTAATTATTCTTCAATTATTGCATTAGGATGATAATTAAATAAATAAATAAAATATTTTCATTTTTAATAGTTGTTTTTCCATGAATAGATTCCCTCGTACTTTTTATTGCTACTGCTTTATTCAATCTTTTTCTCTTATCCAAATTTCTTCGATGGCGCACTTTCTAATTATTTCAATTAATTCTATTGTTTATATTAACCTTTAATCTTCTCATAGGACATTTGACACTAACCAACATTTATACAATATAATTTACATCAAAGAATGGCGAAGTCAAAGGATGATTCAATTTATGGACATCTTTCTGATTATCCTTTTGAGTATCCGTGTTTATATTACGTAGTTTAGACTCCTATAAATTGTAATATTTGAGATTTTACCTTAATACTCATATCACCAAAATCTTTATAATCTCTATTGCTATCAAAATTGGACCATTTAATTTAAGGGGAGAGACTACGCTACGGTCTTAACCACTTTCTTTCTTTGCTTCCCAATTCTTATCCAAAAAGATCAGAGAATTATTAATTTTATTTCTTAGACTAAATATTAATCTCATTCTCTATTATTTTAGAGGGACTCTTGTGAGCTGAACCATCATAATATTATTGTTGTAACTCTTAATGCTTCCTTTGTTTGGCATAATCTTTTTCGAATTCTGCCTTCTCATTCACAGATGTGAGTACTTTACCATAATGCACATTTGTCCATTGGACTGATGTATTAATTAATTATTAATTTTCGGGTGATTTAGCTACCACATCAATATTTTTAGTGTTCTCAAATACATTACTTGATAGATCTACTTGTTTTCGTTATTTATCGTTTCTACTTATAGACTATTTATTAATGTTGTAGTTATTCTTAACTTAATTGAACTTCTCCTATGTTTCTTATTCGCTCTAACCAACATCCTAAACAAAATAGAAACTTTGTTTTGGTTAATCTTTCGGCCTATGAGGAGATGAGGATTTCAGATTTGTAGATTAAGGATTGAATTATATGATCTGCGACATTGTATCTTAAGGAGCATATTGTTTTCTTGGAGATGACGTCTGATAGCCTAGATTACTCTTGCCTTACTAATTTGAAGGGGAATAATCATTTTTCATTTTTTAATATAATAATTATTTTTTTTCCATTGCTTTTTGTTCGCAATAATAGGAAATCATAATGTAATTTTAATTGACTCAACTTTTCTGATACAAATTTCCATTCTTCTTGATTTAATTTTAAGAAAATTAATTTATAATAATATTTCAACACAAAATCAAGAAAATTCATGAACATAATGGCATATAAATTTAGAAAAATTAATGCTTCCTCTTTTAATTAATCTAAAGTATTAGAAGATTTATTTTAATTTAATGAAAAAATATATATATAATATTCATTTAATTAAAATCAGATCTCTGGCTAATTTGATTAGTTTACTTTTTAAATTTTCGTTCACTTCTTAATTCATTTAAAGTCCATTACAATAAAATATTTCATGGGTAGTTGAAGTCATACGATCTTACTTAACAAAGATCTCTCCTACAAGTTCATCATTTGGAACCTCCTATTTGTTCTTCTTGTTTTGATCCCAATACCATTTGTAAATCTTCTCCTTTGGTAAATTAGTTGCGTTAGCTATTTCTTTGATTGTATTTTATCCCCATTGCTATTGTCTTAGATAAAAGTCATTAAGTGTTTCGATCTGCTTTTTTGATTTTTTGAAACGGGAACATTTATTCTCCTTTGACATTATAATTAAATTAAAAATTGTACAAATTTCATAGCATTTAATTTTACTATCTCAAAAATTACTAAAAAAAGTGTTCTAAAATGTAATTTATTCAATTTTGATTTATTTTATAACAGAAAAATAGGATTAAAAATTTATATTTATTAATATTCATTCAATCCTAATTTTGTTCTTCCATAATTCGTTTTAATTCCAATTCATAAATTCCTATTTAGAAAAATCCAGATCTAAAATTAAAATTGACTTTAATTTTATCCATAAGCTTTTATTGTTGATCCTGATTCTTAAATCTTGCCCCTTTCTATTTAATTTTAAAGTCTTTAGAAAGACCAATTAGACAACAAGTATAAGTAGGATGGACAAAGAACCCTAAATAAAAAGAATATCTTTTTTAATTAATAGTAGATTTAGTCATATAAATAATAAAGTACTTATTATTGTATTCCTTTAAGAAGGGAATAAACAAATAAATTTATAAAAGGGAAGAGAACATTAATATATTAGATATGAAAATTTTATTGTAAGCATTTCATCCTCTTTAATTTGATCCTGCACTTCTATTTCTTATTTATTAAGAAACACTCGGACAAGGTCTTGCAAATGTTCCATTAGAATTTGGTCTCCAAGGTTTTTCAAATGTTTGGGTGGCACTCAATTTTTCGAATGTATTTTGTTTTGTTTTTATATCTGGACCACCTTCTTCCATATATTGAAGCACTTCAAAAGTTCCTTAAAATCCTTTTTTATTTTAGTTTGATGGTCTGAACGGATTTCCTTTATATAGAGGTGGTTTTTTTACTAAAGGGAGTTAATAAATTATTACATATGGTATATCCTGCTCCATCTAATAAGATACCGTCTGCAGTAAAGGGTCTATTTCCATGGCTAGTAGTGACAAATCTTGTTGTTCCAGGTAGTTATTTGCTTTTGTGTTGTATTCTCTCCTTTCTCTCCATTTCTTCTTATCTATCATAAGGATCAGGAATGTATTCTATCTAACTAAATAAATTATTTGTTGTTGTTCTGCCTAATCCTCTTTTAGCAGGGTTGGTCAAGAAGTTTCTGGCTTAGGTGATGACATTCCCAGCTGAATTTCGAGTTTTAAAGACCTTATCATTATATTCCTTCATATGTTCGAATTCCGAATGTTTACTGAATAAGTTAAATTTAATACACGGATTTTTAGTGGTCGTTTGGCTTGAAGCTATGGGGATTTTTAATGGCCAATTCTCTCTCTTTATCATAAATTTATTTAGCCTTAAAAGAATCTTTATATGGGTCATTTAATGTAGTATATCCAGGCTCTGAAAACAAAGCAGGTTCATGCTTTTTTTAGAGTTTTTTATTAATTAGAATTGCTTTTTCTTTGCCTTAGCCTTTTGATATAGAAAATATTGAATACTTTTCAAGGCATCGTTATATTAATCCCCCAATAATAAAGGTGGTGGCTAATTGAATAACCCATGACGCTCTCTTTCATTAGGTGTAAATTATACCTCTGTGAGATGTTTTCTAAATCACGAATGTAATTGTCATTGGAAGGAACTCTATACTGAGTTGACATCAAATATAAATAATAATTATCATAATTTTCTTTCATATTTAGAATCATAAGCATATCTATATTCTGTAACTTTGTTATTCCCTCTAATACTCTTGTGAGTTTTCCACCCTTTTTGATCGCCAGTACTGTTATTTTATAGGAAACCAGAATTTTGAAACTTCTTGTTTTTTAATACTTTTTCGGTTTGGCGATGGGTGGGTGAAACCAAAGTTTTCGGATTCTTAAATTAAACCTTAGTGGAAGTATTCCACTTTTCATTAGTGATAGGAACATGACTGAAAGCCTCTCTTGTGATTGCTGAAAAAGGCCTGCCAAAAATATTTTCTGATTTGGTATATGGAATATGTCCAGAGTAACCAGGAATGGCTGAATTCTTAAGGAGGATTTAATCTTAATTCTTCATGGTTTAGTAGCTGGTTCTATAGAAATGATGTTTGGTCCAACCATCAAGTAATTCAATATTTATAGATAATTGCATAATTATATAAATCATTCAAGTTATTCTCTTTCATACAACTAAAAAGGTATATAATAATATATTTACAGGTCTATCTTGATCCTCTTCATAATTGTCATCTTCTTCTCCTTGATAATCTTCATCTTCTAATTCAACAATGTCGTCGTCATCCTCGTTAATAATTTCCTAGACATCAACATCATCTTCTTTGTTTTATTTCCTATCAAAATACTGCTTTCCACTTATCTTCTTCATCATTTCCTCTACTTAAGTAAAATTCTTCTCTCTCTTCTTAATATCATAAATCTCTTAATCGAACTTCTTCTTCCAAGCTGTAAAACTTTCAAGTGTAACAGGGGTATTTGTTGCAAATTTAGGCATGGGTGGTATATAGATGTAGTTATCGTCAGGCTTTGAGTTTTATTGATCATATAATTCTTATAAGTACATTGATTGATCAAACACATAATCCTAAATTGTCAATTATATAAAATACCCTCAATGCTTCAACAACTGCAAAGACTATTGGTTGTGAATCTGCTTCTTTTTCATGATGATCAATTACTTACTCACAAACTTTTCTGGCTCTTATTAAATTATCCTAAGTGAAATTTCTACTCAACCCTTAAATCTCAAAGTGAAATCTTTATGATTTTAAGGGGTAATCATCTGGAAAGGCAATGAAAATTTTGCAATAGACTACATTGTCATGATAAAATTAATCAGCTGGCACAAATGGGGCAACAATTACTTAAAATGAATAAGGATGCACATCTTTTAATTGCTCATAGTCTGATAAATAGATAGAAGATAATGCATTTAGTTCCTCTTTTTAGAAGTGATCACATTATTCATTATGAGTTTGGATCATAATTAATTATTTTATTAAATTTCATACAATAATAGAATAGATAAGGGATATTTTGTAATGTACCAAATATATATGAAATCATGCCTTCTTCTTTAATTTAGCAGCTTATTTGGTGGCGATGTCGATCTTCTTTAAAGCATTAGCTCTTCTTTATTTAGCATTTAATCTCTTGGCTCTGTATTTGGTGTGATCTCTCTTTGGATTTTATTTAGCACCTCTCTTGACTCTGTCACTATTCTTTCTGATTTCATCGTGAATCTTCTTGAACAATTCTTAAACTGATTTGACACCAGCCTATTTAAATTAATATAATATATTACAGTCTTCAAGGTTTATTCCCAATTGTGGAATTAGACATCAAACTTAGATCTACCATCTTTGTTTGTCTTCTTCTCCTTTTATAAAAGAGCCATGTATTTATCAACATGAACACCAAAGATTCTGTCTTTGTGAACATTGGCATCATATTTTTCTTTCTTGTCATTATCGACAGAGAATCCTGGGAATCTTCTGTTGTTGTGTGGGATGTGAATACCACCATCAGCAGCTCCCTTTAAGGCAGCGAATACTCTGTTACCAAGAGTTGATCTAACCAAACCAATATCAAGAACAGCAAAGAATGGTCTTCTTTCTGGGTTTTCCTTTTCAGCTACATCATACAAGTTTCCATCAATGGTTTTATTGCCTTCATAGAATTTATCCATCTTCAATGTCTTAAGTGTTCTTCTGGCCAATAATAAACCTGTGGCATAGGCAGCAGCATAATTTGTCAAACCACTTGTCAAACCGAATCTCTTCAATTCAGTTGATTCAGCAGCAGCCACTACCTTGTCACCCTTCAATGTAGCATAAATGACTTAGCAGATGATCTTAGTATTTGTGTGTCTAACAACAAATCTGTATTTTGGGGAATTGTATTTATCCTTGTCTTAGACTATCAATCTGCTTCTTGCATAATAGTCAGTCTTTCCTTCTCTTCGTCTTCTGAATTTAGTTTAGAATCTTTTGAAGTATGGTGTTCCTTTAACAAGCTTAACAAATGCCATTAATTATTAAAAAGATTTGAATTTTTCATAAATTATACACAAACACTTATATATAAATGCAATTATTCTAGTGGCTGTTTGTTAAACTCCAGAATTCGTCGAATATGTTAGTACTCCAATTTTCTCGTTTTATATAATTATTCAAAATTTAACAGACCTCAAATTGAATCAATATTAAGTTGAAAACTATAATTTTAAAATTGGAGATTTAGGAATTATCTTAAATTGTGTTTAGATATGGGTTTGCTCTACTATTTAGAAATATTGATAAGTTTTGATAATGAAGAAATGTAGATAATAATATTTTAAATTAAATCTTGAGAATTGAGTAATTCTTATGTTTTCGCAATAAGTGATTCAATTCATTTCAATTGTATTATTGGAAATAAACATTTTAAATATTCAAAACGACACTTATCATTTTTATATTTTAACATTAAAATGTTCATAATCACGGAATAATAACATCTACTGTTGTAAAAATTGGCCTAAACCCGTAATGATGATAAATAAAGACTAATTAGCAAATAAAGCAGATCTCTCAGACCCTCGCTTTTCTTAAATGATATAAATAGCATTGTAGATAATTCTTTGCCTACTATTTAATAATAAAAATAGGTCTAGCATTAAGAATTATCTCACAAACCTGAAGAAATCATGTAAATCTAGTCAGAACGAGAGTATGTTAAACTACCTAAGATTGGCAGATTTTCTCATCTTCGAAAATCGACACAAACTGAAGTGAACGAATTCTAATTTTTGTCACATCAGAATTCTCCTATTCGCAACAACTAAGATACATAGTAATTAGAAAAAAAATATTTTTCGAAAACACCCTTAAAGAACACAGGAACTCTCTTTATTCAAGGAAATCAAAGCACAAAAAAAAAAAGTGTTAAATTCAATCCATAAATTGAAACAATTAATGAAGCAGGCTTGATTGGCAGAGAATTTATCGAAATTACTTAGAGACAAAGCAGATTCAAAAAATAAAGTGTTAAACTTCACACGCAAGTAAACTGATTATCTTAAATATCTATAAATAATTATTGTCACAGAAAATTCTCAAAGTTATTAAGCATCTTCTTCAGTATTTACCTCTTTTTAATCACTTTATGAACCCTATTAATATTCTTCATTCATTAATTATTCGTCACTCTGTTTTTATTATTACTCCCCTTAACCTTGTAATTACTCAAACTATTATAGTTCTTGAGACTCATTATTATTAACGATAAAATCCGATGAAGTATCTTTAATACATTCAGCATTCTAATCAGCTTGTAAGTTTATTTCCACATTTTCATTCAGAGATAATTACCCTACTTGTTCTTCTATTTTCTAATCTGCTTCCTCTTGTAATTATTACTTTTAAATCTCTTCTTATCTTTTAATGAGTTCCTACTTTTCTTCTCTCAATTCTTTTAAGATTTTAGGTTCTTCTTTAACTTGTCTTTGTGGTACCTCCTCATCATCAACTTCCTATAGCTAAGTTTCCTAAATAGAAGTAGATTCTTGATTAAGTTTTGTATCTTCTTATTCTTACTATTATGCCTCTGGCTAAACCTCCAAAGTAGATTGATATTTAACAAGAGATTTAATGGCCTTATCATTTGAGAGTAAATTAATCACATCATGCAATTGTTGATTTTTAGATAATCTTCCTTTGAATTTTATATCAATAATTACCTTAATCTTTGAAATGATTCTCTATGGCCATATATAACATATACTTTACACTCTATACTTTATCTTGAGCTAATTCTACAAAAGGACTTAGAAGATAAGTTTCAAAGATATTATCCTCTAAATTCATCATTTTTGAACACATCTAAATAAATCTATTATATATAATGTTTAAATACGATTATCTCTGATAAAACACTGAAGACTTTTAATAGCCAATCATGCTTTCGATGATGCAGATCTTGTATTGTTCATACAAAGGGGAATTTTTGATTCCTTCAAAAAAAGAATATATTTTAGAAGATGCTATCTTTCTTACTTATGCTACATTGTCAGTGCACAACTTAAAAGCAATAGGCATAATCATTTTAAATATAATATCTGCTGGAAATATGTGAGCCATCTCATCTAATTAATTAGCAATTGATTCTCTGATTCTCCATTTCTTTTTATCTTTCTAAATAAAAAAGAATATTTCCAAAAACCCTTCCTTCTTTTCATCTGAAAATATTTTCAAAAATTATGACAAATTCTTAACACAACCCATCAACACATTATCATTAGGTTCCTTAACAAAAATGGTCTCTAAAATAGGAAACAAATCGATTTCAGCTCTCTCTGCTCCAATAATTTTAGCTATTTCATGGAGACTGGCAGCCAAAGTCTTACAGATTCTTTCATTTTTTTATTTCCATAGATGGTTAAATAATTTATGCAACTATTACCATCTTGCCACTCCAACTGTCTACAAAACTGCAGGAAAACCATACGCACAGGCGAACATCACTTACTATTCAGGAAGTAATTCTCTTATATCCGAATCAGCCATTTTCAAATAGTTTTCAATTAGTTTTGGTTCGATTTTTTCTTTCTCAATAGCTGCAATAAATCTAGCTAAACATCTGTACGCTACTCCCTTCACATATTTATTCGAATCACTAAAATAGAATCATTTTTTCATTACTTTTAGAATTACAACAACTGGGGTGTAAGATCAGTAATTTTTTAATTTTAAGAAGACAATTCTACGATTTGTAAGAAATGCTCAACACATGCTGTCTTTACTTTTGTATTTGTTTCCTTGCATCTTTTCATATAGAATGGAAACAATTTTTTATTATAAAAGTCCTTTCCAACTACTTTTGCAACCAAGGGCAACTGGTTTACTGCCTCTTTCCTTACATCTTGCTTTGAATCCTCTCCAAGAGACATTACCTCAAAAGCTATAAAAGATTCGCTTAATTATATCCCAAACATTGATGAGAGCTTGCCCATTAATTACAAAGCCACTATTCTATTATCCTGATTGAGGTCATCATGTGCCATCTTTATTATTATAGGCAATAATTGATTTCCCTTTTCATCTCCTTGTAAATGAAGAGCAATCTTTGTTAATTATTGACCTGCAAGCTCTTTGATTTTCAAAATGCTATTCAATAAGAAAAAGCTTAAAATTTGTATCACAGGTTACTAAGCCTATTATGCTACTTCATAGATCAAATTGAGTTAATCTATAAACATTATCTAAATTCTTTCATCTTCAGTTTTCTATATTAATTATTACAACTATATTACATATTTTTCCATAATCCCAGGCAATTTATCAATTGATTTTTATCCTAAATTTCTTACACAATAGCTAATATGCTTGGTGTAATTCTCCTTGTCTATGTTGGTCATCTTGTGGATATTAGATAATTTGTTAAGAAGCTATTCTTAATCATCATCCAAAACAAAAGAGTGAATATCGCCTTGCTTCTGGTTCAAGAAAAAGGCCTCTTCTTTCAATATTTAATTCATTATAGACCTGTCATCTGATTTCAGTTTGGGAGAAATTTTAATGTTATACATATTTTTTAAATTAATATTAAGCTTTTAATGTTAGCATCATGAACTTTTCTTTTTTGATATGTACTTCTTTTAAATTTGAACCTGCTTTTATTAACATTCCCTGACATAGCTTCATTACATTATTTCCTTTGATTTTCAATCTATTTATTCATTATCTCTTTTTTGATCTTTTTTGTTAATTATTTGAATTCTTATGAATTTTTTTTCTATTTAGTTTTTATCTTGCTCCAAATTCAATTATTTATTATACAAATTGATTTCATTTCTAAATTTCCTGAATATAAACAAGGTAGCTCTGCTTCAATTTCGGAATTGTGTTGTCCTTATTGAATATTCGGACCCAATTACTTTAACTCATCTTTTTTAAATCCTTATTTAATTGAGAATATTACTTGATCCCTCCTCTAATTTCAAAAAGTCTACTTTCATCAAATCTCTTATTTGGTTATCCTATAAATCAAATTCCATGGCATCGAAATCACTTTTAGAGAATATTCAATTATGGTTTTATATATGGATGGTTGCCTTTTTATCCACCTTTTAAATAAAAGTTAAAGTTTTTATTTCTCAAAGTCACTATAATCTGGTTTACCTTTAATTATTTAAGGAGTAATCCCAGAGGTTTGTGTAATATAATTTATTACTTTAAATCTTGTTTTTAATATTAATCCAAAGCAACATAGCCATCATAATTAATTTTTGTAATTCTAGCAAGCATTAATACACTAGCTCAATATCATTTTCGCATAGAACCAATTCACAAACTAGAGCCAAAATTGATTTTGTTTGATAATGACTTCCAGAAACAGAGAATCTAACGTTAAGATTTTGCATAGCTTCTGGTATTGTTTATAGTTTCTATGATTCTTAGGTAACTTATTTAGTTTAAACCTTATTTAGCATAATTTAAAATCTAATAAAATAAATTCTACAAATTATTTATTTAGTGAATCAAATAAGTCTATTAATAATTTTGAATTATTTGAAGATTTTTAAATGAATTACATTAATAAGATTGCATTATTTAAAATATTTCTTACAATTTATGTTACTCCAGAATCATATATAATCATAGTTTAATTAGTTTATTTAAAAAAAAAATTGAATAACTTAAATTTTATTATTTAAACAAATTGATCGACCTGTAAGAATATTTAAAAATTAACAACGTTTGATAATAACATAGAAAATAAATGTTTCAACTAATAAGTTGATATAATTCTAAACTAGCTAAAATTTAGAGCCTTTCAGTTTCAGTTAATTCTTCTTAAACTCTTCTCTTAAATCTTGATAAAGATCTATCAACTGAATATTCCATCAATTTTTCTTTATTTTAGTTTTTCGAAGAACCCACATCCCTCATTTTTTAAGAAACCTAAACTTCTTCATTTATGGATTACTAAATAAATAATCAAATTACATTTTCCTTAAAAGAAACTTCTTCCATATCCTTAGTGATTTTTTCTTCATCATCTTTGTCCTTTTAATTAAACTCAATCACTCTCATTGCTATTTCTTGAAATTATCTTTTTTTTTCAGGATTATACAATTCTCTTTCTTCTCTAGTACAAAGATCTTAAGCTTTGAATTCTTTAGAGATAACCTTCCTTCTTAATTCAAAGTTTTTATCATCCTTCATATGTAAGTAAATTAACTTGCATCTATCTACATAATGAGATTCTAGTCTTCCCTTGTGTTGAACATTCAATCTGATATGAGCAAATACTTCTATATCTAAAGCCAAATTTTTTATAAATTAAAATAACATTGTATCAGATAAAGTAATAATTTCTCTTTCTTATTGACTAATAGAATGTTATTATTTATGCCACATGTCTTTTAATTCCTCAACCCCATAGAATATCACTGAAAAAAATTTCTCTCTCACTTCTTATCTTTTCTTTTCAAAATTAGATATATTTTATTCCATTTATCTGTACTTCTCAACCCAAGCCTTCATCTTTTCAACACTGGCAATTGAAATGTTTTTATAGGGTTAAGAGGATAATTTTATTACTTCGTTTGTATTGATTTTAGCTGTCGGAACCTCTTTATAAATTGATTTGTTTTTAGAATCTTCGCATCCTGTATTACTTTATTATATAACATGAACCTAATTTTGAAAGTACCCTTCTTTAGTTTTGATTTTCTTTACCATTTTATCTAGATCTATTTTCCCTTCATTTAATTCTATCTCTTCTTCTCCTTCCTCTTCAATTTATATATTATTTTATCTTTCATTTATCTTATTCTGATAATATTTTTAGTCACTTTGATTTGTATTTCTAGACTGTAGACTTTTTCTGATGTGTTCTGGAATTGAATTATTACTTATTTGCTCTCTACATGTATCGCAATTAACTACTCCATAATCTAATTTATTTATCAAGCATTCAGCGTGGAATGCTTTTTCACATTAATTACAAAGTACAAGAACCTAGTCAGGATTCACATATCGACCACAAAAACAGGATTTAAGTGCAGGTAAAAATTCTCTTAGAACGTACTATTGTCTCATCACATATCCTTTTTTTTATTTCATTTAAATATATTCGTGTAGCTTGGATAATAGAACCTTTTCTATGATATCAGTTATTTTCCCTTTTTTCAATTATTCAGTCTTAAACACCTCAAACTATCCATGATGTGGCTATTTACCTAATAAAAATTAATAAATTAAAATAGCACAATTATATTGATTTTTAGAATGTGAGGTTAAGTAAGAATTATAAATAATAAATACAATAAATAACGCTACCTGTTGGCAACTCTTCACCCAATATATATTCAAAATATTCGAACCAATCTTCTTCCTGGCTTAAATTCTCTATTTTTCCTATTCCAAATCCTCTTCCCTTTTTAAATTTGACAAAATCCGAAAAAGTATAGTTCTTACTCATTAAATTATTATTTTATTAATTGCTTGTTTGCTCTATTTTGCTTAGTCTTTAATATTTTAATTCTCACACAATATAAACAACTCAATTTTAAGTTAAATTTTGGATTATATTTGTTGAATTGAAATAATTTAAGAAACTAATCAATTAGTTCAATTTATAAACTAACTAAACTATATTAGAATTAATATTTGAGGTATAACAAAGTTATTTAAAATACATTCTTATTTAAATATTCTATTATTGTATTTCTATATTTTTAGATTTATTATTATAGAGAAGGGCACATTGATATTAATGATAGTCTTTGATTCTTATTTTGTAAAGTTTGATATGGTTAAATGTAATAGATAGTGAAATGTATGTTACATCAATTAAATACTACAAGAGTTATTAAAATAAATATTTTGCAATAATTTTATATAAAATATTAATCTTAAAAATGAACATGTAAAGAAAAAGCCATTCTCCTGAATTAAGAAAAGAGTTAGCATTAAAATTATTAAGAAATGAAAAGCATCCTTTTGTCTCCAAATAATCTTAATCCCCAGAAATAAAGATGACCAGATCAACAGTCTCTTAGAAGCGTAAGGCCCAAGATCATCCTGTCAATTCCCCAATCATTGAAGATCTATTGAGACAATGTAAACTACTAGAGGAATTAGTTAAGAAGTCAAAGAAGGTAAAAGTTCTTATGGATAAGAGTAGATTATTGATGAAAAAGAAACTAAAATTTAACTTTTACTTCAATTACTTAAACAAAGAGAAAATTGTTGCAAGGAGTTATAAATGTAATCACACAAATTAATGGAAGAGAGATAAATTTTAATAGAACACATTACACAATTAGAAAACTAACTCAATCTATAAGAAGAAGAAGAAGCATGTATGATTTATTATTTAATGTGCAAGACTCGCAAGATGGATTTTAACAACATATGACGAATTTAAATGATTTGAGACACTTTCTTAATTAAATTCGTCATAGTAATGAGGACATCCCAGTTTTTGTTGATGTTGATAATCTGACGTATGAATAACTTCTCCAACTTGAAGATACTATTGGATATGTAAATAGAGGTTTAAGCAAAGAACAAATAAAAACTATTCCAAAAATAAGCTTTGATTAATGTAAAACAGATGAATAATTGTAAATGACATAATATTAATAATAAGATGCTCTATATGTTAAATTGAATTCGAGAGTACTGACAAATGCAGAGCTCTTCCATGTTAACACATATATCATTCAAAATGCATAAAACTATGGTTAGGAAAAGAAAAACATTGTCCGATATGCAAACATGAACTGGAAATTAATGTTCCAATCTAGTATCAAACGGAAGAATAAGTAATGGTAGAACAATGAATTAATAAATTATATATCTTATAATGCACAATTGATTATTTTCATCATTATTTAAATTGAGTTTTTTGCAATCAAATAAATTAAATAATATTATAGGTATAATTATTTTTTTCTATTTTCAAAAATTAATATTTCTGTTATAAGGTGATCGTCTTAAGGAGTTTAGCATTTTCACTATCTTGAGATAATAAAGGTATCACTTGTATTTCTAAAGATTCAGTTTAAAAAAAATAGTTATGACCTTTTTATGAAGTTGATGATTATTTTTAGGCTTACTATTAATAGCCTTTAACAAGTTTTCCTCTTTGGTGTTAATTATTAAGCCTTTATTTATAGTATCCATTTACAAAGAATAAATTAATTTTATTACTCCAATAGAATAGGTATTCAGTATTTTGGAATCTTTTTTATTATGTTATTGATTATGACTATAAAATTACTTTTAAGGATTGCATCCCCCATTAAATTCCTTTTTAGGCTAGGTCTAAAACATTAAATTCAGTTGATATTTTTCTAATTCAAGCACAATTATCAATTAATATTTATCAATCTATTCCAATCAAGAGTTTTAAATTATTCTTATAATTTATATAATATCAGTATCTAAATTTTCAAGTCTTTTGTTTTTCCGCATAAACTTCTTAAATTTGTAATTTTGTCCTTAGTTTTACATTTTAATAGAATAATATTCTACAAATTGTATGCTATGATTAAAACTATATAACTAAGGATTAATATTTTAATTAAAAAGTGTTGGCTCTATGTCTGCGAACTGAAATGATCTTAAATCATTAATTTTTAATTTTAATTTGGCATAAACTTCATTATTATTAATTTTCTAATTTTACTATTTCATATATCTTAAATATTTATTGAATATTTTCAATTACTAATCTCTTATTAACAATGAAAATCAAATACTTAGATAAACTAATTCTAATTTTTATGAAATTATTTATAACAAAGATAATTATGGCATTATAAATTGCATTTTGCTAAAGATATTCTATTTTAAGGAAGATTTTTCAATCTGCTTATATGGCATAGTTTTTCAATAAGAGTTATCTCTATTTGCAAAATTGGTGTATTTATTAATTGAATGTTGTAAACTTTAATAAGGATTTTTATTCTTTGGAGTCTATAATGTGAAATCAAATTTATTGATAACAAAATAAATGAAATTTCTTATTGTTAATGGTTATCATGCTTCTCGGAACAACTTTAAGTTAATCGAATAATTCAAGTAGTTAATATGGGATGTACAAATATAATTTAGTTAGATTACATAATAATTAAAAGAAGTTGCGGATGTTGAATTCGATTTTGCAATTGCTGATAGGCATTCAGTACAGGAATATCTCTTTGAACCTGAAACATCTCTAGTTCGACCAGAACATGGATTGAAATTCGATGCTCTCGACATGATCTTCATAGCCGCATCTCCAAATGTTCGTCCATGGCATAATAGAATGAGGAGTGTAAGTGAATATCATTACATAAGATAATCACGCTTATTCGAATGTGTTTAAAAACAAAAAAACTTTTATTTATGACTTCTTTTGGTGCTTAAGCGCTTGCATATTTATGTGCCACAAACATTTAAAATGTATAAAATAGTAATTAATTGTATATAGTATATAAATATAACTAATGGATATGGTGAGGGATGCAAGCTAGTAGATTTTCCAAAATATACAAATTAAGCCTTAAAAAATGGGTCTGATGACTTCTTTTTGGATTCCACAACTGGTGATATCTATTTCTACAGCAAATAAACTGATGAATGGATACCTAAAGCCAATGTAGGAATTCATCATCGAAGAGATGCTATGGAATATTAATCCATAGGGAAGTTTGTAGTTAAATCTCCAACTTACAAACCTAAATAATAGATGCTCAGTAACTAAACTGAAATGACCTGCATTATCAAAAAATAGTTCTTAAATTATTGGTTGTTTAAAGATGTTTAAATGGAATTCTCAATTAAATAATCTAATGCATGGGACATACACACAATAACATTCGTTAACCCAGAAAAAGTTTATTTTTGTTTATATATGATATAGAGATTTTCAGTTTTAGCAGAAAATAATTTTCGAGGACCTCTAATTCTATAATGTGACAATATTTTAGCCTTGCTCTTTGAAATCGAAAGTAAATCCAGAGATCAATTCAATATCATTCAAAATTTTATTGAAAATGGAATTAAAACCATAAGATATTCTAATCATTATGTATAAGTTAACAAATCAATTTTAGAATCAAATCAGCATTACCTATGAAAAATATTTTAATAATTAAAAAGGTATCAAAAATATAGAAATTGTATTTGACAAAACTTAGAAAAAAACAAATAAACTAGATGATTCCATCAAACCGAAAGGTATGGAGTATAGAAAACTGATCAATGCACAAATTTAAGAATAAGAAAGGGAGAAAATACATTCTATTCAAGCAGGACTTACCAGTAGAAATAATAAATAGTCAGAGTAATTTGTTTTCAATTAAAATTTAGTGTTGTGTCTCATAATAATATCATGTAAAAGAATTACAAAGTGAAAAGAAGAAAATCATTTTCCTTAAAGTAATAATAACTTATGATGCTTTCTTAATAAGTTCAGAATCATGAGTTTCTTAAATAAAATCCAAATCTTGATAATTTCTTGTCAGATTAATAATAACCCAAAAGTAGTAGGCATCTCAAAATCAATACAGAACCAAAACCACAACCTAGAATCAAACAAGATGATGATTTTGACTATGACCAGAAAGCACATAAAAACCAATTTAATTAAGTTTAAGTTCGAAAAATACTACACCCCTCCTTAGATGAGTAATTCTTGGGATAGAAAAGAATATGGATTCCAGGATTCTTGAATTATAAATACACAGACATCTAATCTGGTCTTCCTTCTACAAGAAAAGGCAGTCGGCCTATGACTGATCGCTTTTGATTTCTTAATTTAATTTAATTAACTAATAAATTATCTTTATTAGTATTACTTTAATAAAAATCATTAATGCTTTGCTGATAGTGTGAACTATTTAGCAATCGATTCTTAAAATAAATTAGGCTAATGTAACATAATATCTTAGTCAATCTAATACTTCTTCTAAGCAAAGATAGTGTATTTTTCAATAACAACTTGTATGGTAATTAATTATAATTAATTTTTTTTAATTAATACTTAAACGATAACTTTTATTATGAATCAAGAGTCTATAGATGAATCCCTGGAAAGATTGTAATTCATTGTATTATTCTTCTTAGTCGAAGAGATAGATAAAATATTAGAGAAAAAATGGCAGAGCGAAATTAATTATTTGAGAAAGCAGCCTAAAATTATTTATCCAGTTTATAAAGAGAAGTTGAAACTATAAAAAGAACCAGGTATTATGATTAGCTAATGCATTAGACCCTTGGCTGAATCAAGAAATTAGGAGTTTAGAGAATAAATAGTTAATTTATTTAAGAGATATGAAGATGGAAGTCTAAGATTAAAACAAGCAATTCAAAAAACCAATATCGAAAAAATCAATTACAATAATTATTTAATTAAGGTGTATCCAAATTATTTCACTGATGAAAAAAGAAAACTAAAGGAAGAAAATTAACGACTAATGGAATAATTGCAAGTATTAATTTATTTAACAATTATAGGGATTTAGATAATAAGTAAGTAATGTTCCTTTATAAGAAATATAAAACAATTAGAATGAGCAATATGATTACAATGAACTATAAAGAGTTGATCAATATTTGGGATAAGATTACTTAGAATAGGATTATTAAAACTAACAATACCATATTCAAGAATAATAAAGATAGTAGTTTCAGTAACCTTAAGGTCTCTAAAATTATTCAAATTAATCAAAATAAAATCTAACAAAATAGCAGGAACAAGACTTTTTATCAGAATTTTTAATTCCTTAACAAGGAAAAAAATGATATAATTTTGTACTTATATATATAAAATTATTTTGAATCTCAGAAACCATATTAGCTGATTATAACAGCATAGAATAACATATAGTTTTATAAAGAGAAATAAATTCTATGATTTGATATTATTAAATTGTATTATTTTTAAGATTCAATAATAATTCTGACAGAACTACTAGCAAAATAATTGAACAACTAATTGTTACCTTAAAAAAATTATTTTATCGAAATGGATGAAATGAAAAACAATATAATTATATTTTTCCTATTTAATAAGGTTTCATTGTCTTTCATAATCAATTAATAATTCAGATTCTTAATATATTCTTTAATACTCATTACTTATCTGGAGTATTTTTATGAATTATAGTAAATGGATAAAAGATTCATAATGGCAATAAACAAAGTTATTAAATCCGGTCGTTGCAAAGTGACTGCTATTTATTAAAATGATTCAATGACATATTAGTATAAAAAATATCTTTCATTTTCAGATGCTATGGAAGTAACAAAGCCTTTAATAGATAAGAATGAGGGTGAGATTTGATTGATAAAAATTAGAAATTTTTATGATAAATCTACGATTTCTTACTTAATACTGCTCTTTGTTTACTTGTATTTAAAAATCAAATCCTAAGAGAAATGCATTAATAATTAGGAAAAACAAAATCATATACATGAATTTCAGAATTTATCTTTTATTAAAATTTAAAAATAATATCGATTCATTGTGAATTATTACTTTAATATCATTTAAAATAAAAATTAGCATTAAAAGTATTATGTATCTCCATTTTTTATTATTATTAAATGATGACGACATTTTTCAAATTTTATTTATTATAAACCTTTTGGTAAAAAACTTGAGATATTCTTAAACAAATTGCTTAAAAACTCTCATTTATGCAAGATTTTAGGTTTTGAGCAGCTAAATATGAACATTCTAGACGATTTATAAATTTTCGCAGTTTTTCTATCTATGAATTTACGTATTCATGATGGCTTTATCTTTATTTTTTTAGATATTTATTATAGAATATGTATGATCAAAAATTTATAATCAAAGAGGATCAAGCTTAGAGAAAACCTTCTTTTGCATGTAATTAATTCCATATTTAGAATTTGTAAGCATTCTTTTGTAGTTTTGCTTAAATTCCAAAACGGATGAATGAACTTTGATATTATTTCTTGGCGGCCTCTCGGTAAAAGGTTGTTAATAGCTATGATTACTAACTGACTTTAATGACATAATATTTTAAACTTACTTGTTTTTTATTAAGATCTGCTAATGACATGATGTTTTGTAACGAGAGTCTGCATTAGGCAATCAAAGGAAGTTTTTCAAAAGAAGATTTATCTCTCTTCATTCTTTTTATTTTAATATAAAATATATTGATTTTCTCAATGAAATTGAAAATGATTTATAGGATTTTTATAAATTCAAAACCTAGTAATATTTTATTATTGAAGCATATTTCAAACAAATAAGAAGAAAAGCTATAAAAAGAGAATAATTTAATTGAGTTCTCATAATCTATATAGGTATTATCACTGAATTTCAGAATATTTGTAAAGGTCACATAAATGATGAAAAGTTTGATCCTGAAATCTAATGGCTTTTTCGCTTTTGAATAAGTTTTTATGAGTGATATTTAAATATCTATCAAAGAAATTACGATTAGCTTAGGTAATAATAGTGCATAAATCCTATTTATTTAAGAGCAATAATTTAATAAAACTAATATGAAATTAATCATTAAACTGTCTTTGAAAAATTCCATAAATCATCTTACTAGCATTTTATCTGTTATGTACTTTTTGTATAAAGTATTTTAAAAATAATATTTATTGAAACTATAATTTTTTAGTGTTTTTTGTTGATAGAACCTTATTTTAACTGACTTAAAAGGTTTAAATTTTAATTTCTGAGATAGATATTTACTAATTATTAAGCCAAATGTTAGATTCTTATAAGTTCTTCTATTGAATTAAAAAGTAATAAATTTAAGGATTTAAGAATGTAATATATAAAGTGTATTTTAAGGATTAATATATTAAAGAATAAGTTGATGTTGATATAAATTGTATGTGTAGGTTGAGGATAGTAAAGTTTGGATATTAATTAATATCTAAGATAACATTATAAATAAATTAATTAAATGAATAGCATTGATAGTTATCAAAGCAAGGCAACAATGAATGCATAGTCAATAATCTCTAAAATAGCCACTCGAAATGGATAAGCAGAGTAAGCAAGTAGAGTTATATGTTAGCAATGGCTCATTGATAGCAGCTTTGGATGAGGAAACTGTCTCTGCAGCTTGGAATGCATTCGGTAATTATAAATTTTGAATTGTGAAGGCCTTCATGTTTCAAGGTAATTACGAATGGGAAGAGGAGTAGCTGTGAACAAATTTGGAACATTTTCTTTTAGTGCTCCAGATGTTATATTAGATGGAGTTACCAATCCAGTAGAAAGAGACAAATAGCCGCGTTAGCCAGTGTTTCTTGTTGCAAAGGTAGTCCATTGATTTAATGTAAGGAATTCGTCAATGGATTCAATCTAAAAACTGCCATAGCAATAGGTCGATAATTGAGACCTTATAAAGTGCAGACATCTGGTAAGATTTAGCATGCGATTGTGAATTGGGCAGAAATAGCATTGTATGCATCTTAAAATAAGGATTCAGCTAAAATGGCTGTTGAGAGAGTGATTAAATCATTATCTGATATTGTTCGCAATGTAAATATTCATATAGATGATTTTAGAGGGATGTTGTTGAAGTTGAAATTCCATGTGTTGGTACATTCTTTGTGAAATCCCATTGTGCAGCTGTACAATTTTTGGATTCACTGATGGATAGTTGTAAAGTAAAATATAGGATAATATTTGTTTATAGGAAATCACCAAAAGACCATTGTCAGAGAGGAAATCAAAAGGAGACATGCGTTTGACACAGTAATACTTGCAGCAATTGAGCAAGAGTTAGCATCCTGAAGAAAGCAATCTCATGATTGATGAAGGTGCCAGGAATTACCTAACTAATTCTCTTGGAATTGAATTACCTGACACTAGACCTAAAACTGCCAAAAACTCATAAGTATAATCTAAAAAAGGGGGACTAATGAGTAAAACTGTATCATATTATTTTCAATAACAATTTTAGTTAGAATTAAGACCGTCTACTCAACAGATCTCCAGAATGGGATTTTAAAGATCAGTAAATGATAAGGTGTATGCTTTGGAAAGATTAAAATATTACATAAGGGATCATGCACTGAATATTGAAGATGTAATGATTGAATCAATAATGTTAATTAGTCATTTTTAGATCTCTGTTAATAAGCATTTGGCAAAACTAGTGAAAGAAAAATAAGAATGAATTTTGATGATTTTAAGAGAGCTGTTATTAAAATTGATTTGCCTCTTAATGAAATACAAATTATCACTTTGTTTTAGACTTTAGATGTTAATAATGATGGTTTCGTTGATAAATTTGATTGGCTCAAAGCTATTGTTGATAAAAGTATGTATTATCATATAAACCAAATAGAAACTCATGTAAATTATATCAAGGATGTTGTGTTTAAATTCTAAATTCATACTGATGATTTGTTATAGAGAATGAATTTGCATCGCGATCATCCTCCAGTTAATTTGTAATAATTAAAATTTGCTCTCATGCATTTAGATGAATCTCTAAATTAACACAAGGCACTTAAGGTGGCTAAGGAAATTTTGGATGGAAAGGAAACTATTAGTATGAATGATTTATTAGCATTATTTAATACTGTTGAAGAAGATGACAAAATGTATGATTTGTCATGGTTTAAAGATACTTTGCATAAAATGAGAGATCATTTAGTGGATCCTTAGAAAATGAAAGTCTTGAGATCCTCTTTTGAATACTTCGATGAACATCAAGAAGGTAATCTAGATACTGCCAATTTTAAGACTGTCTTAATGGAAAGTTAGTTGGGATTGAATGTTTAAGATATCAATAGATTGGTTCGTTATCTTCCAAAGAACAGAGATTCCTTAATAAATTACTACGACTTTATTTAAATGATTATGGATGTTAACAAATAAATGGATTAGAAGGATACTGCTAAAGATCTTGTTGATTTTGCATAAAAAATCAGTAAGTATTTAACTTAAAAAAAATTCACTGTTATATAATTTTTATAATAAGTAAAGTCAGGCTATGGGTCCTGCAATATTGAATCTACTGCCTAATATTTAGAAAAGAATCTCTTTACCTAATTGTCTCATGATGAATGCTTAGAATATTGTCGAGAAATGGATGTTGATGGGAATGGCGTTGTTAGTGATGAAGATATGAATACATTCATAAAAAGATATTCATATTTCAATGTCAGAAAGGATCAATCTTAAATCGAATAAATTGTTGAAAACCTGAAGATTAAACCATAAGTTGGAGATACTTTCTCAGCTATTGAAAAAACTTGTGTTTAATCTAAATCAATTGATTTGATTACCATGGGACAGAAGAAAATGTTTTAATCTTTGGTTGATGGGATGAATTAATCAAAAAGTTTGTTCCCTGTTGAGGAATTACCAGAATCTAAATTCGATTAAATACTTAAAGATTTAAGAATTAAATTAAATAGAAAAGGAATGGGATACGAAGAACTTTTTACATTCTTAGACACTGATCATAATGGATTCTTATCTATCAGCGAATTTTATAATATTGATAAAATTATGACTCTAAGTCAACCTGCAAAAGATGGATTCTTTGCTTTTATGGATAAATAGAGAATTGGTTTGATCGATCTCAATACTTTTATTAAATTTATGGGCAAATCCATTATTTAATAGATGCCATCTTTATCTGAAGATGACTGGGATTGGGAATTGGAAATCCTATTCAAAATAAGAAATTGGTGTTAGAGAGAGAATATCACAATAGAAGATGCCTTTAGAACATTTGATAAAGATTTCGATGGTTAAATAAACAAAGCTGATTTAAGAACTTTCCTCAAGGACATTTTGAAAGTCGAAGAAAAAGAAATTACTGAGGCCAAAATCAATAGATTATATAAGTTAATGGATTAATATAAAAGAGGAAAGATTACATTAATGGATTTTAGAAGATTTGTAGAAGAAGGATTTTTTTATGGTAAAAATAAATAAGTATTTGGATAAACAACAAATTTGGCAGCAAAATAGCAATCTGAATCAAGATCATCTTTCGACTGGAAAATGAATGCTAGATAATAAATTGGATTAATCATCAGTAGACACTATCCAAGTGTAAAAGAATCCTTTGATATTGTATCAGGATATCGTAAGAAATTAGTATTCTAAAAATTTAAGAAATGGATTGATGAGAAGAATGTTCTTTCAGGATTTGATTTAACTGAAAAATTAGTATATGAGATATTTTCAGATCTAGATTCTCATAAAAAAGGTTATTTAGTCGAATCTGATTGGCTAAATGCCTTCGCTCAATATAATTGGTAAGATTAAATGATTAAAGAGATCTAAGATGCTCTTTCAACTTACTTTTCAAGCATTCAAAATGCAATTCATTATTTTTAGATGGAACACAGCCATGTCATAACAAAAGAGAGCTTTGCAAAGGCTTTGTAGACTTTATTCCCAAAGAGATTTGTTGAAGGTGACATTGAGACTTTATGGACAAGAGTCTAAAAAAATGGATCTTTAAGCAATCATGCATTTGCACTAATATTTGGAAAAGGTGGCAAAGCCTATGAACTTCCTGAAGGACAATAACAATAATAACACATTAGACCTATGACTTAGGGGTAATAATTTATAAATGATTTCATAGTGGTTTAAGCGAATTACCTTTGGACGAGAGAAATCAAGTGAACATTAGTTTATTAGATAAAATCAGAAGATTTTTGAGGAATTCAAATAAGAACATTAGCGAACTATTTAAATAGTATGATTCAGACAATACTGGATTCATTACTAATTTGGAATTCCGTTAAGTAATAAGAAGTCTAAATATGGGATTGACATTTTAAGATATTGATATATTGTCAGCCATGCTGGATACTGACAGAAATAGCATGGTGAATTGGAGAGATTTTGCTAAGAGATTAGATTTTAGATAAGCAGATAATAAAATATTAGAAAGAGCAGGAATTCATTTATAGAAAGTGAATGATCATATTTATCATTATTTGTTGTCTCCTAAAGACGCATTTAGACAGATTGATGCCTAACATACTGGATATTTGAGTTTTGATAAATTTAAGGATATGATTGAAATGTTGTATAGATTGGCTACTGAAGACATTCCTCCATTTGCTATTATTAAAGATCTATTTGAATTTATTGATAAAAGAAGAGATGGTTTACTAGATTTAACAGAATGGATGGATGCCTTTTCTAAGTTTTCAAATCCAAACGAAAAGAAAAGGTACCTTTTATTATAATTTATTTAGACCAATGAGTGCTAATGTAAGAGCTAAAAAGTCATCACAAAAATCATTAATGGCTTAAACTGATAAAGGATGGATGGCTAAATAAAGTGCTTAATCTCCTTAACAATTTGAGGGATTAACAGATGATGGGTTGATGAATGCAACAAATAAATTCAAGACTTTTTTGAGAAGACCTCCAGCCAAGCAAACTGCACTACAATATGTTGGTAAATCTTGATTTTATCATTAGAAAATGGAATTTGGGAAAGCTCCAAAGAGTTCGATCGAACAATAAATGCTATTGGAAAGAACAGGAAGTATCTTCTTGAAATATTTAAGCATTTGACTTAGAATGGTCAAATTCCACTTACTGAAGATGTAATTATTGAGATATATCTTTGTAGTTGATTAAATAAGAAATGGATAAAATGTTGAGATCTTAAGGGATTGTTGTCAGGGATGAATAATGGCCTTAATTAATTTCTTGGTCCAAGAAAAATGGCCGCATTGATTATAAATTCTTGCTTGAAGTATATAAGGATAGACTAAACGGAATGGATACGCAACCTAGAATGGGGGATGAATGATGAATATTTATTAAAACAGCGGGCAATGTTATATTAATAATTAAATAAAAATTTTAAAAAAGCCCTTTCAGCTTTTTAAATCACAAGCCTTCTCCAAGATAGAACAAGTATGCTTTGAATATTAACCCATCTAGTGAGCAGTACCAAAAATAGAGTGTATAAAAAGTCTTAGACTGCAAACAGCTCTAAGTGTCTCTTCGTTCCCAAAAAAAAGGAACGAGAATAAATCTATATCACACCACCTTCGAAACACAAGGTAGCACTCTTTTATATTATTTTAGAATCCGCTTTCCAATATTGAAGAATTGAACATTGATTCTAATTGTTCTACCGATAGCAGTCAACGCTTAGAAAATCTAAGCCCCGTCTACTATTGCCCCAAAGGCAAAGAACCTTGTGGTGAACTTTAGGTTGTCCTTGACGGTGACGTGATCTAAGTGATATCCTAAACAAGGAATAGGAGAAAATCACGAAAGTTCAGTGACCAAGAGACCTATGCCATGAGTAACTTCATAGCTGGTCCCAAATGTCTGGACATCCCATGCCCTTAGTTCCTTTGATCATATATATATCTATGGAATTATCTATAAATCAAAACACGTCAATTATACAGCTGAAATAAATGCCCAATCTCATTGTGAAGTAATTTTACGGATTCAACTACGTTTGTGCTGCATATGATATTATTCTATACTTATCTACAATATTCACTTCCTAAATGTTCAAGAATCTGTTTGTATTATTTTAGATCAATTCTTTTATTTTAAGGCAGATTCCATTATCTCTATTTTGTCGATAATTTACTAAAATCAAAATTGGGACTTGATCATGTGATTTATCACTTAAAACCTCACCAAAATATGAGATGCATATAATACTTAAAGCAGTTTCTCACTTCATCCCATCTCTCAGATTTATTTCCATCTACTACAAAAATTATGCCGTGACATTCTCCATAGTATTTTTTCCAGATGCTTCTTTGAGTTTAAGACCCTCCTAGATCCCAATAAGTTACTTTATATTTCTTATTCATAGATCTATTCGAAGCCATGTAATCAATCTCAGTGATGTTCAAACCAACAGTTTTCGGTATTTTATCAAATTGTATAAATGGATGTTTTGCAAGTTGTTTTAATTTATTTAATAAAGTCTATATCTATATTAAGCTCTTACTGTTTTGCCTGCTCCATCCAGTCCAATAATTAGAATTTTATAGATAGGAGGATCGAAATATTTTTGCCAAAATCCTTTAATTAAACTTATCATTTTTATTATTAAATAAAGAACTTTATAGATTATAAATAATTCTTCGTTTTATAGATCAACATTAAACCATCCTCTTTATCCTAAGAGTTACCTTAATTATCAGAATTCCTACCAATTCATCAAATATAATTCTTATAAAATTTATCATAAAGGAAAAATTCCCATTTTTTTTTATCTTGATTATAACATATTTTTTATGTATCTACAACTAAGCAGCTTCAAATGGATAAAATTTTATCTCCAAAAAATATCAATTTTTCAACTACATATTTTAGGCCGAAAATTCTCTTGTGTCAATTCCAAAGCTTTAGTCTCTTTTCCCTTTGAATCTTTTGTATAATTAGTCTACCATGATTATTCAATCTAACCCTATTTTTATACTTATGCATACTACTATTTGTGAAGTTAATTGTAATGATAAATTTCACATCCTAACTACTGAGACTAGAAAGAGAACCGAATGTTTTGTCAACTATTGAATTGAGGAGGAAATCTTCATTATGGTAAACAGAGCTGAGACATAAACTCGAATAATTTGATTAGGCAAAGAGGAAACATATAAAAAGTTCGATTATATTTTTAAGCAAATAGAATTATTTATTGAAATATAAAAAATTTTCTTAAATTTCAATCTATTATTCCATATCAAATATGAAAAAAGAAAAATGAGCTATCACATAATTTTGCATTTAATATATGTTATTTTTCAAGTCTATCTAAATCATATTCTGCAGTTGAATCAAACTATTTTAAATAAATAATTTACTATCTTAGAATTTTGATTATTTGCAAGGTGTAATATTAACTTTAACCTATTTTTCTTCTTTGTCTCATATGAAACGAAGAAATTAGGAAATGATGCCATAGAATTTCATAAATTAAATCTAAATTAGGTTTGCCTGTCTCTTTAATCATTTACCTTATATTGCTTTTGGCCTTTACATCTTGAAGCTAACGAATGCATGTATCATTTTGGAGTTCCAAATAATTCAAAAATTAATTTCACTTCCCTTTATCTTTTATTAATCTTAATATCATTTTTCATGCTTCTTCGATCTAAGAATTTTAACTCCCTTAATGTTATTTTTGAATATAATATATGTTCAAACTCTCACTAAATTTTTTCATTGCTACTTACCTGTCCTTTGATTTATTATTTATTTCAATAGGAGCATTATTAACTTCAAGCTTAAATATATTTTAAAGTAGGAACCTTTATTCAGTTTTTATGGTTAATTTTCACATTTAGCATTCTACTATATTATCTTTTATGGTAATATGAATTCTAGTTACAAAGTTTATAATTTATAAAATTCTTGTAATTTATTTATGTATTTGATAATCTCTGCCTTATTATTTATACTAAGTTCTTAATCTACTAAGCTACAATCAAAGATCAATTCAACCAAGAATTACCATATAAATGTAAATGAGGATATCATATTACTATAATTTCCTTAAGTTTCTAATGTCTAATTATTTACAAATAATACAGACCCATTTTGTAAATTGATTGAAAAGAATATTACATTCTACATAAAATAGCTTCCAATACTTGAGAATAATGAAATTAATGAGTAATCAAATATAATAAAATTAGACAAGTTGATAATTAAGTATATCCATTTAATTTAAAGTAGTTTATTTGTATGACTTAAATCTAGGATGGGATAGTTGCATTAACTACGGATTTCATTATCTCTTTCTTTTAACTTAATTATGATGAAATTTAATCGAATACTAATAATCAATTTGCCAAAGAGATTTGGACAACAGATTTTAAACCTCTTATTCCTGATTCTGAATAAATGATAGACTTCGCTTAAATTGTCTTCAGTGTCACTTCAAGCTAAGCTTTGATCATATTTGCTTCATCTGCATACATATTGGATCTTAAATAGGATAAAACTAAAATGTAACATCTTGATGTTATCAATGTTGGGGATTGGATCCCAAGACCCACTCGAGTATTAACTAAATCAATTGATGATATTATATTTACATGCGTTGGAGAGAATGGGATTGATATCTACAAGTCAGCGTTTAATTCTTTGAGATTTTTGGGGAATCTAGATAAGACCAGTTTAAAATTGGATTAATTTAATTTGAAAGATTTTACATTGATTAAGCTTAAAGGACTTTCCTATAGATGCTACTTTTTGGACTTAAATGGGAATGTGTATGTCATAGAAATTTAAACAATCAATTATGAATTTGCATTTTAATTAGTAACATAAATTAGCTCCTAAGGTTAAGGAATCTCAATTGATACAAAAAACGGTATTAATGTTTTTGTAGCTTATTCATCTTCCCATCATTATTAGGTTATCGAATACTACATATCATTGAATTAATCCATCTATTTTGAATTAAACTCATATAAGACAAGAAATTCAATTAAAAGTTTAGACGCCACTGATGAATTTGTAATTATATAAGGAATTAATCATCATAAAATTCTATTTAGGTCAGATGCTTTACAATAACAATCGCAAAAGTAAATCTTATAAGTCTAAACTTATTAGTTTACCAGTATTTACATATATAGGACTGAGAGATTTCGAAATATTGTAATTATAAAGTGATATTCAATCATCCTTTGAGGGATTTGAGATTTTCATAGGAATTACATCTACTAGCTTATTTTTAGCCAAATTTTATATTCAACCATATGAGCTAAGGTGTTATACTGAATAAACAGAGTAATTTTATATGCTTAGTTAGTTTAACAGTAACTCAGTTCTATCAACTTTTGGCTAATACAACAACTTACTTGGAAATTGATAATCATGTTGATTAAATAGTCACTTAGACTTAATTTAGTTTTACAATAGAATTAATAGATTCTGAGGATTTCTAATACTTGAATTCAACATCCTACATCATAATTGGAATAGTTTCTTTTTTATTATGTATTCATTTTATGTATCTTAGTGAGTATATTTTTTTATTGGATTCATCTATAGAAAAGAAAAATAGATGCCTTGGAGAAACAAATTTCATTGGAAAAAATGAGAAAATATTCGATAATTTATAAATAATGAAATATTACATACAAATGGTTTAGTATAATAGAGTATATTTTTTAACCCAAATTAAAATATCAATAATCTTAAATCAGTCTAACCAGTTCTCTTTAATATGTTCTCCTACAATGAATTTTAATTGAAATCAAAATTTGGAAACACAAATATTAATTAATGATTGAATTATTCTTACTGTCATTGGGACTTAGTTGGTAAGTCTTCGGCAGTTAATACGAATTTAAAGTAGAAATAGGGTAGAAAAAAACAGTGTTAGAATTAAACAATGTTAAAAATGTATCTCTGTCTGAAGAAAGCAATTAAGAGTTTTGTTGGGTTGAAAATGAACATGTTACTTTACAAGAAACATTTTTAATGAACTAATATGAACTTGATAGTATGAATAAATACTACTATTTGCTTGCGTCTTAAAAGGCTATTTGGGTACTTATGAATGATTAGATCTTAACTTAAATAACACATGATGGAATAATAATAAATTAGAGAAAAATTTCAGACAATGTTAGCTACTTTTAAGGCTTTTACAATGAAAAAAGTGAGAATCCAGTTTTCTTGGTTGATTACCACTTTTTGGATGACACTTAAATTGCTATTCAATCAGGTTCTATAAAAATATGTGATGGATTTCTGTTTGTTGTAAATAAATACATTTATGTTTATGACCTCTTAAACAATACAAACAAATATTTTGGGTAAATTGATTTAACGAAATTTTAAAATATTGTAGAATATGATATAAAAAGAATTGATGAAAAGAAATACTATTTTTATTTGATGGATAAGAATTATGGATTAACAATTCTAAAGATACTATTGAGATACAATAATATCAATTCTAAAGTAATATACGCTGAAATACATCCTGCAGAAAATCCCAAATCATTTTTTTGTAATGAGTACAATAGTTGTTTTGCTTTGTATTAGAATTCTAAGTATAAAATTTTGAATTTTAAAATTAACTTCATTGACAGCAGCATTTCCATACAGGAAATTTTAGAGCAAGAAAAGAAGATACTAAAATTAGTGAATATTGGGGACATGATGTTTATACAATCCAAGAATAATCATAAGATCTATCTCTATAATTCTTAACAAATTCAGAACATCCAAATTTTAGGGTTACAACAAATATCTGTTGCGAATTCTTCGTTGATTTATATCATTACAAACACAAAGTTAATCAAGTTTGGACTGAAGATTTCTCCCCTTAAGGTGCTTTGTTATTGTGATGACAATGATGCTTGTCCATAAAAATATGATTATGGGATCAATTACATAGATAAGACAAAGCAAATAAATTTGAAGTTCACAATTGAATTTTAGACTTCTTTGGAGGATCAAATGAACGAAGTTTTAGTTATCATTTTTTCAATAGTAATTCTATTTGGAAGTAATTTGGTCACTTATATTTTTTAGTTTTATTATTGATGTTTTGGATTTATTCTTTGAAAGCTTAGCTGTTATAGATTGAAGAAAAAATAAAATAAGGCCAATAATATATGTAGAAAATCAAATTACCAATATTTCATACCCTTGAAAACCTTGCTTTTACATTTCGAGGAGTTGAAACTTTGTCCAGAAGAATCTAACAATAAGAATCTTAGGAAATGTAAGATATGTATTGAGACCCTTAGATTTGAATTTATCTATATATTATAAATTTTTAATTCTTAGATTTGACAAAAAAATCAAATTAATTGATTGGAAATATTTATAGTTTAATGAAGCTCAAACAATAAAAATAAATTTAAAAAATAAATGAGTTACTAGGCTCAACACTAAAATTAATCTCCTAACTACTAAGATATAAGAGAAAAATACCAGATTTAAGGTGATTACAGTTAATCAGACGCCTATAGAGTAAATATTAGTATTATTGAAATAGTAACAATAACAATCGAATCCTCATATTGGAAGATATACATAAGTAATTTAGAGAGTATATAATTAAGGCACCTCATGATAAAGGTTCTCATCAATTTTCTCAAAATGATTTGTCTCGTGAACATCGTATTACTAATAGTTAAAATGTTGGGCATCATGATACATCGCACGGTCACAATCATTCTGGAAATGAACACCATGAAGGTCATTACAACCCACTTTAGATGCCTTGTAATTGGGAGATTGCATAAAAACACGCATTATCAAGAAGGACTGCAAAAGAGAAGACAAAGGACCCGACTAAAACTTTAGCAGGTAATTGGAAATTAATAACATTTCAGTTGAAACTTGCCCTTGTTGCGGCTTTGAAGTTGATAGAGAAGATATCCCGTTTTGCTCTGATCCTATGGCTTTATCATTTTTGGGATCCGGCTTTACGTTATTCTACAATTACTTAAAATATTGCATTATCATACTGTTTATACAATTGATTGTGAAATAGATTCATAACCTATATACTAACTATGAAGGGACATATTGTAGTCACATAAAAAGGGAAAAGATGGAAGGACACATTATAGAAGAGCCATACTGTCCAGATAGCATCTTTTTAAGATTGTCTCTAGCTAACAAATTAGAGTAATGAAACATACTAAAATTAGTAATCGAGAAGCCTTAGAGACTATGCAAGTCTTAAATTTTATCAGCATTTTCATAATCATGTTTGTCCTCATTTACTTTAGAAAAAGCCAAAGGTAAATCGACACTACTATAGATGAAGAATAATTGACTCCTGCAGATTATACAATTTGTGTTAAAAATATTCCCACTGGTTTGTCTGTTGATTACAAAGCTGAATTAACAAATTTATTTTAAAAATATGCAGTATTAGATTCTACTAAAGAAATAATTGTTAGAAAAGTAGTATTAGTATATGATATTGAAGAAATCATTGAATTAGAGAAAAAACTAGATACTTTGATTGAAAGAAAGAAAGAAGCAATATCTGAACATAATTTTGATTTTCATCATTCAAGTGTTAAACAAATAGAAGAAGAAATAGAACACCTTGAACATTAAATTCATAAGATAGAAGAAGAATATGAACTGCATAACACCAAATTTGCAGGCATTGCATTTGTTTCTTTTGATGATGAATCTATGAAATAATTGGTGTTATAAGAAAATCCTCATACATAATTAGAGAGAATCAAATCTCATTGGAATAGAGGCAAACTATCAGGTCTTGGCAATGAGGATCTATCATGGCAAGGATAAAAATTGTTTTTAGAATAGGCTCCAGAACCTAATGATGTTGATTGGGAGTTCATTCACATCACAACTAATGAAAAGATATTTAAAAGAGTGAGAGCCTGGATCTACTATATATTGTTTGAGAGTGCAGCCTTCTTTGTTATCTATTTAATTTCCCATAGACTCGCACTCTTGGGAGATGAAGCACACGAAGAAGAACTATAAGGGAAATTAGATGAAGATACCAAAAGAAAGATCAATATTATGTCTTTTAGTATATCTATGACTATTGTCTTATTTAACAAGTTTGGAGTAGCCAAAATAGTACATTACATAGTAGATGATGAGAAAATATCAAATAAGACAAAGTTTTAGATATCATTTGTGTATAAATATGCGCTCGCTCTATTTCTGAATGCAGCCATCATCAGTTTTCTAGTAGACATTGTCATATTGAAAAATGTCAAAGGAGCTGGAGGCTTTATTTAAAATGAGAGTCAGATATTTGTACTTAATGCCATCTTTCCTCCCTTCATTTGGTTTGTTGACCCATGGAGTCTGTGCAAGAATATTTGGAGAAAATACATTATTTCAAAAGGAGAAAAAGCTTTGCTTACTCAATAAGAAGCTAACAAACTTATGGAAGAACCAGACTACCTATCAGCAAAGAGATATTCAGATGTTATGAAAACGATGTGGTTCACATTTATGTATGGTACTGCCATTCCCTTGGGTACTTTATTTAGTGCATTTGGTATTCTAATTTATTACTTTGTTGACTATTACAATATTTTAAGAAGAAGAACTGTTAAGGAATCCATCAGCATTCAATTATCCACAGGTATTCGCTTACTCCTAATTTATAGAAATGATTGAAATGCTTGAGTACATTATCTCTTGGTGTGCATTCGGTGAAATGATCATGACGTACACTTTCTTTCATGAAGTCAGCAAAATAGATATTCTGTTAATCATATTGGCTGTTATATACTAATAATTGCCAATGGAAGATATTTCTGAGTACCTCTTTCCAGTTGAAAACAATGAAGAAGTATATTCCATCTATAATTAGATAAAACCATATGCAGAAGGTAGTGCCAGTTTTGATACCGACTATGATAGAGAGAACCCAGTCACTAAACATAAAGCTTTAGCTGAGTGGAACTAAAAATAGAAAAGTGAAGAAAATCCTCATCACAAAGTTAAAAAAATCTTACAACAATAAGATGAATTTGGATATGTTGCAGATGGACATTATGGACGCAGATGATTTATCTTAAAATAGAATTCTTTATTCAAAGTTATATTAGCATTTTAAGATAATCAAAAACTTTTCAAAGTTTTTTTTATTTAAATAACTTTTTCTATGTCCAATATTAATTCATTATTAGGCTTTAATTGTAAAACCATTAACTCTATTATACAAAATAATTCCCATTAAATTTATTCAGAGAGAATGATGAGACAAATGTTTAAATTTCAAAGCATCAAAAATGCATGAGCATAGAAAATAGTATTGTGATTAGTACTTCTTCAAGAAGATGAAAGACTATTTTGAAAGAATTATTGAATTCTAAAAATTCTGAAGGTTTAAAAATTCTTCAATAATACCTAAAACTATTTAACAATGTCTGTAATTTAAATATTTTATTGATCATTATTCCATAGTTTTATATTTTTAAGGATTATTCTTAGCTCTGAAAAGTGGTCTCTTAACAAATAAAGTCAAACGAATTCACTACATTCTGTGTCAGATCGACTACTATTTAAAAAAAAAAAAAATTAATTTTCTAAGATATTTCTCATCTTAATCTAAATCCTTAAAGAATAATGATTATTATAATTGGTTTAAGTATTTTGAACATATAAGTGTTATAAGTAAACAAATAAAATTGACGAGAGCCAATTTCAATAGATATATAAATTTTTAATATAAGTATTATTAGTAATATCTAAAAAATATTGCTTGATAGGGAAATTTAAATTAAAGGTTGATGTATATATATTTAAAAGTCTCGATTTTCATATTTAACAAAATAAATATAAAATATAGAATAAAAAGAAAGAATACTTATGTTTTCTTAGTATACAAATTTATTGATAATAATTATGAAATTGTATTATTCTTACACAAATACATTATCTAGAGGAATTGTAGAAATAAATTCGAATAATATAGTTTGCTAACAAATATTTAATTTTTATGTAAATTTTGCAATTAAATAACCGCTAACTCCTTATATTAATAGATTTCTTTTCATATTCTTTAAATTTCAATCCATCAATAAGAATGCAATCCTGTATTAAAATTTAAGTTATTTTTAATTAAGCTTCTTTATTTATCGATGACATATTATCCAATTGGAATAAAATTGGATTTTAAATTAAATGAAAATTCATAAGACATTAATAAAGGGTTTTTTAAAAATATGGTATTATATATGTACAGATTAGTATTTATTAAACTAATTAAAATGTGTATTTAAAGTTGTAATTAAAATTATTAATAATTTGAATTAACTTTCGATATTCTAAATAAGGCCCTACCAATCAATAGTTATGAGTTTTTCAACTTATAGATTGGTAAAATGAAATGGCATATTCACGATTTAGTGACCATCTTAATCAAACTTCCTTAAGGTGATACATTATTTATGCGTGTTTTTTTATTATCATATGATTTATAAAATGATTATCAGAAAATTTTTTATTATTTAAATTCAGGTCGACAGTTAAAGTGAGAATGACTTCAATTAAAAGTGATTTTGTTCTTAAAATCTTGAAATTTGAATACAATTTAAAGTGCTTATAATAAGCTCTACAAGATTTTGCCGTATCTGATAATTTTTCATTTTTAAAGAGAAAATCTTCCTTCTTAATTGATTATTAATCATATTGATGCATTGTACAAGAAAGCACCTTCTCTTTGATAAAAGCTACTTTATCTCATTTAATCAAGATAGTATGAATATTGGTGAAGTAAAATTATGTTTATTAACTCAGTCTACCTAACATACGAAGTATTCAATTCCCTTAACACTTTAAACAGAAATCGATTGGAAGGTCTCCTCAGAAAATTTATTATTGGAGGCATTTAGTATAAATTGGAAAAATGAGTAGAGATATTTTTACGCAGACCACAATGTTCTACTCAGAGTCAAAAATTATCTTGGGGGAAGAGTAATTTTTAAAAGAATAGATATTTTCTACAAATAAATCGGGAAAATAGAGAATAGAAGCTCAACTTCGGTATGTCACTTCCCTTTATTAGTTTATAGATATACACCATATAAGGATTTGATGATGATAAAGTTTATGCTTGTAAGGAAGTGAAGAAATAAAAACAACACTCAAATAAAGTACTATTATTCTTTCAATCTTAGTTATTTCAAAATGAAGTTGAAACTTTGAAGTAACTAAACCATCAAAATATAGTAAAGTTGATAGAAGTCTTCGAAAGTGAAAACTCCTATTTGATTGTATTGGAATTATTGAAGGGAGGATCTCTCTCTCAATGTCTGAAGTACTGCAGGCTGACCCTGAATGAAGTAGAAATAATAATAAAAGTATTATTCGTTTTTAAAACTAGTAAATTCTAGAAACCCTATGTTACCTCCACGAGAAAGGCTTCGTCCATAGAGATCTTAAACCGGATAACATACTTTTTCGCGAATTGGGATAATTCTCCAATTTAAAACTAATCGATTTTGGAATTTCTTGTAAGATTCCAGATTTGGAGAAAGACTCTCAAATGAGTTTTGGCACACCTGGCTACATAGCTCCTGAAGTTTTAAATTATTCAAATAACAAAAGGATATCATAAAAAATAGATATATTTAGTTGTGGAGCCATACTATATTATATGTATTCATAAATATTGATTTATTAGGTTAACAGGATCAAGGTTGATATCTGGTGTTAACGCGTAAGAACTCTACTAAAATAACAAGAAATATACCCTCAACAATCAAATACTTCACAAAGTCAAAGCTGAAAATTATAGAGATCTATTATCAAAGATGATAAATGAGGATCCTGATTAAAGAATAGATGCAAGACAAGCTTTAAACTGCTTCTAATTGATGAACATCCCAACAAAAGCTTCCCTATCTACTTCATTGCATTGTTCCCAAGATCCCATTCAAAAATTACCCAACTTTAGAAAGTTGATAACCAAAAGTTGACTATACGACCTAAATATTATTATTATTAACAAACCAAATCAATTTTCTCTCATTTCTAATAGAAATTACGAGATTGAAACTCTTCTTATATGTTCTAAATTGTTCTATCTTCAGTAGAGATTTTTTAATATAATTTATTTTATTCCTATTAATTAAAACTTCCATAATTTAATTCCTAATTGATTTTAGGAATTAGTAATTGTATTTGTTTCTCCACTTCAAATCGCATTTATAAATGTAAAAGATATCAATAGATAATGACTTTTCCTATTATTCTGAGCGATTGATTATTTAATTTTAAATAATCAGAATAATATTGTTTATATTAATTAATAAAATGATGTGCAAAAGTAAGCATTTCTTCAGAGATACTGAATATTTCATTTATGAATAGGAGAACTCCATTCAAATTGGAAAAGTATTTCTTATATACAAATAGTTAGAATGAGAAATAAATTAAGTACACAATATAATTAGAGTTGTCAACTATAATTACTTGGGTTTATGGAGATCGAAATTGTTTCATTGGATTCAAATTTAGATGGAAATAGAAGATGAAAACAATGATTTTGGATTAACATAAATGTCTGAAACTTAAAAGCATTTTTGATGGAAAAGTCTCATATAATAATCTTGTCAAAATGTTTAATAGTGTAAAATCCGTCCGAGAGCAATCAAATAATACAGTAATATGAGGATTTTGAATGTTATTATAGATTCTACTGGTCCACAGCTGTATTGATCAAAGACCGTACTAGATGAAGGTGACACCGAATAGTATCAATTATAATAAACTTGTATTGATGACATCTAATCATAGGACTTTATGTTGGAGTTAGATGTGTTAAGCCTTCAACACAAAAATATGATATCGGTGTCACAATATTTCGTTGAAAATGATAAATTTCATATCATTTTTGAACATCTAGAAGGAAGGAGCTTGAGGGAGAGGATGAATTCGTAATACAAAATGAAAAAAGAGGAAATTATAGTAGTTTTAAAAGTAGTTATCATTTTATTAAAAACAGTAACTTCTGAGCCTTCTAATCACCTTGCATAATAAGGGATATATCTGTATGGAGTTGAATCAGGATAACATTTTCATATAGAAGGATGGCCGAATCATTTTGACAGAGTTTGGATATACTACTAAATTGGGAGAAATAATGAGGACTAAAAGAGGAACAAAAGATATTGACAACATCAACGATTTGACATTTCAACTTAACTTAGATTTGCATCAAAATAATGAGGAATTCGATAGATAATTTTGGTTTGCGTAAGACATATATTCCCTCGGGGAATTACTGCATGAAATGTAAGACAAAATATATATATACAATAGGTTAACTGGTAAAAGTCTGCAAAAAACGATCTTTGATAAATATAGTGGATTTCAATCCAGTCAAAATACGATCTCAACTTTAAGAAAGAGAGTTGGACTTAGGAAATTATTGGATAGGATGCTAGAACCTGATCCTCGAATTAGGATATCAGCAGAATAGGCTCTTTACTTTATTAAGGATATGGAATTCGGAGATGATTCGTTTGTTGACTTTTCTGATTAAGATGAAAGGAATAATTATTAGGAAGTTTATTAATTTATTTCAAAAGTATGTCTTTAGAATCTCTGATATATATATAAACTAATTGATTTTCATTTTGTAATACATATATATATATATAAAAAATTGAGATGGTATAATTAAATATTATTATATGATGAATATTGTACTAAAATAGGATGCTCATGATCTATAGAGGTTTGGTCTTTTTGCCTTGAACACTGTTCTGAATTTTTTGTGGCTGGCTCTTGGAACAGTTTTCACAATTGGGAATTTGATTGAATCACCCTAACATTATTATCATTTGATACTCTATATTGATTAGTTTTTCCTCTCTTGATGTCTGCACTCTTAGTTAAGACTGAGGTTCTGAGGATGTGAATAGTTTATGGTTGGGCTCTGTGATTTCCTGCCATTTCTTGATCTAAAAGAGAAGTCAATGCAAGTATTTACATAATTGTGAGACAGCTCCATTTAAAGTGGTGTCTCTGAATTCCTTGTACATGTTATGAATAGTTGTTCTAGATTAGTATTTGAGCACGATTCCGTAAGTTTTAACATTGGTGTCTCTTCTTTCGAATAATTCTTAAACTGCTAAGATCTAACCATGAGATGGTCTGAGCTTATTCAATCTTCTCAAATTCCACCTAGCCATTTTAATTTAAGCAATACCAGAATCTGCTTTTTGCAGCAACTGTATTTCTAGCAAAGATTCTCATGCTGATAACCTTTGGATTTGGATCTTCTTTTGATGGGAGTCTTCTTCCAGAAACCAAATATTATCTGGTCTACACAATAATTGCATTAATATTTTACTTTCATTTGGAGCGAGTTATCTTATGGATCCTAAGCTGAGTTTTTAACCATTTTGTATATATTTTAAAAAAAGATTTAATTTATCAAGTAATTATCATAAACAATAGAATGCATAATTTGCTTTGCAGCTATTATTCTGAAAATTGGGCAAACTATTCTTGATAAGATGATCAATTAGTTGAACAGTTTCTTAATGTCTATAGAATTTGTCATTTTCATGATTTCTGAACATTTCAATGTTTCTCATTATGGTATCACCTACAACAAAATGCATATTAGCAATCTTTATTTTTGAATTGCTTTTAATATATTCTACAATTTAGTTTCTCATTCTAATTATATTTCATATCTTATTACTTTTCAGCCCTTTGTTCTGGACCCATGAGAGAAGGACCTAAATTTAATTTCTTAAAATGCTGTTTCGTCTTGACTTTCAGATCCTCCAAATATTTCAACTGCTTGACTCTGATTTATAATTGTTGCATATCCTAATTGGTTCTATCAATCAGTTCCTTCAGGTTCAACTATTGCAAATCTTGAGTTGAGCCATTCCTAAAGAGATCCTGTAATTTTTAATTAACATTTTGAAGATTAGCTGGAGCATACACAAATAGATGACATAATCTAGAGTTGTCATCGTCAATTAATAATATCTTATTGATAAAATTATCAACTTCAATGACAATCGACGGATCTGAGTATAGGATGTCGATATAAAAGTAATTAAACACTTTATTTTGGATTTTAAATAGATTTTGGATCTTTGATATGTTGACCCACAAGTTGTTCTTGTTCAACTCACTACTTAGGGTCTCTTTGGAATGATAAGTTTTAGGTGAATAAATGCAATCAAACCAGTCGATTTGAGTACTCTGAAGTGAATTGAGTTTCTGATTTGGATTTAATTGTAACACCAATATCGATTCAGTCCTGATCTTCATTATAAATTGCTTATTGTTTAAAGGCTTTATCTATGGATTTTGAGAGTTACCAAAATAAGTACCGTTGTATTCGCCGAACAGCTATCATAATATTTAAATATACAAGGTTATAACTTATTATACATATCTTGTTGAATTGACACAAATTTCTGAAACCTTTATATAAAATAAACACATCTTCAGCCTCTACATTTAAATTGATAATTTGAAATGAAAGGGAATTTAAATTACTCTATCTAATTTAACTATTGTTACTTTCTTTCTGATTCAAGATTCGTGGGGGAGGTTTATGCATGAATCAACTTTCTTAATTGTTATTTTGGTCTGGGAATGAACTTAGGTCTTTTAAGAATTATGTTGGTTGGTTTTGATATTTATGGCAATTCTGTAACCTCATTTACAGAAAAAGTTCTACTGGTGATTCCTTTATCTTCACTCTAATTCTAAGATTATTATTATTTTGACTAATATGAAATCCTCGAATTTCTTGTTGCTGCATTAATAAGATTAAGAAGTCTTACAAGTTGAATAATTTCTTATTGGAGCATTCTTTGTTATCAGCATTCCTGATAATTCATCCTGTCTTTTGGGATATTGTTTTTTTTTTGAAATGCTCAACATAATTATTTATAAATGGAATACAAATTATTATTGTTAAATAATGAATAAAATTAAATTTCCATTCCAAAACACACTGCTTTAGCAAATTCTTCTTCCTTTTTATCAATGCACCAACAAGAATATTTGTTAAAATTAAATTTAATCAATTTAAAAAAATCCATAATATATGTTCCTTTGTAAAATAGTTATTTATGCAATAATTAAGTATCAAGCCTTTCCCTTTGGAAGAGATAAGTAAAATGCTGTGTGCAATTGATTATTATTGTAATTAATTGAGATGCTTAATAAATATTACTTAATCTAGTATAAATTAATAAAGATCTTACATTAAAAAGATTTATTCAATATTAATGATACACATTATTTACAACATTATCACACAATAATAATTAATAAGTTACTTACAAATTCAAAAATGGGTACCACCTGTTGCCATGCTAATTTCTAGAGTTCCTCATATGGTAACATGATTACGTTATAGATGAGAATTATGCTTAGAATAAGGATCGAGTGCACTGGTACTGCAGAAATAAAGTGTTTCTTAACAAGAGTTGAACCAGATGGTAGCTCCACTTCCATTAGGTAAGGAATCACAAACACCAACGAAACTTGAAGCCATGAAACAATAGATTCACTTTTTATAATTGGAGTCTATCGAAGCTAGAAATGCTCTAGTAGAGGTGTAACAAAATAAAAAAATAGAGGAAAAAGATCTAACAAGGAAAGTATCCATTGATAGTGAATAACAAAATATCTATATAAAGGAAGTTCGAAGTCCTAATCAAACGGAAGTGAACCTACTGCAATTGAGTCCTATTGAGCTCGACTCTGGCTTTAATTTACCCTAATAATCTCCATCTCCCTAAAAGAAAAAGTGTAGGAGGAAGGAATCCTTGAATGTTGAATAATATAATAATACAACTTTTACTTCTCCTAGGATTTACACAACCAATAGATAGATTTAGGATTCAAGTGCTAGTCCAACCAAAAAGTCAATTGGCTCTGTCAGTTCTTTAACTATTAGAATGGGAGTGGAGTTATTTGTTAACTTGAAGAAAGGCTCTTTGAATAAGGTTTACACAATTGGATAAGTGCTTGGATAGGGAGCCTTTGGAAAGGTTTGCAAAGTCACTCATAAAACAACCGGTATTGTCATAACATTTAAATAGGTTTGATAAGAGCAATGAAACAAATAAAAAAATCTGAATTAATAAAAGAGGATGAGTAAAAGTTATTTTAAGAGATGAACATCTTAAAAAATCTAGATCATCCCCACATTGTCAAACTATATGAATTGTATCAAGATCAGACCAATTATTACATGATAACCGAATACCTGTCGGGTGGAGAATTATTTGAGAGAATAAAGAAGATGCAGGTTTTTACAGAAAAAAGAGCAAGTGAATTGATACATTAAATCTTACTTGCTATCAACTATTGCCACGAGTAAAAAATTGTGCATAGAGATTTAAAACCAGAGAATATTCTTTTTTCTGGTCCTGAGCCTGAACAAAATCTTAAAATCATTGATTTTGGATGCTCTCGCAAATTTAACACATCAAAAATGACCAAAAGAATGGGCACTGTATTATTAATAATTATGAAATTAGCCTTATTATATTGCGCCTGAAGTCTTAGGACAAAATTATACAGAAAAATGTGATATCTGGTCTTGTGGAATAATCCTCTACATTCTTTTATGTGGATATCCTCCGTTTACTGGAAAAACCGAATAAGAAATCTTTGAAAAGGTTAAATCAGGCCGACTAAGATTCCCAAGTATTATGCATTAAAAACTTAGATGAGGAATGGGATCTCATTTCCAAAGAGGCTAAACAATTAATTTCAAAGATGATTTAAGTGGATGTGAATCTCAGATATTCTGCATCCTAAGCGTTGAGTGATCCTTGGTTCTAAAAGCATGCAACAAATTTACCAATCAACAAAAAGGCACTAGATAATTTATCTAAATTTTAAGCAACCAGTGAATTTAGAACCGCTATTGTTCAATATATCATATCTTAAATGACAAATCATAAAGAAATTCAAGACTTATAATATACATTCTAATCTTTAGATGTAGATAAAGATGGAGTTCTAAGTAAGGAAGAACTCATTCAAGGTTACAAGAAGATTATGAAGAATTAAGAGTAGGCTGAATAATAGGCTGAAAGAATTTTAGAAGAGATTGATAAAAATTTATCAGGATAAATTGATTACAGTGGTAAATTGTAATTTTATCTTTAGAATTCATCATGGCTTCAATAAATCAATCGAAAATCCTTTCGTAAAAAAAGATTGAATAAGCATTTCGCATATTTGATTTGGATGGTGATGGATACATAACAAAGTAGGAATTAGAAGATGTAATGGGAACATTAAATCAAGATGTTTGGTAATTGTTTCTTTAAGAAACGGATCATAACTAAGATGGAAAGATTTCGTATTAAGAATTTCAAAAACTATTCTTTTGATGAATTAAAGTTAATTAATAGTATATATAATCACTCAATTCTTCATATTGTTAACCTTCATTCTAGAGGAGAAAGGAATATAATAATAGTTGTACAGATACTTTGAAAACATTGATTAAGTATTAATGGATAACTTTGAGATCTGGGAACTTACAGTTTTAAGACATATTAGAAGTAATTTAAAAGTGAAAGTTTTATTAGTTATTTATAATAACAATATAATTTGAATGATAATTGTAATCATTTTTTAGCCTTTTTCTTTTTCTTCGACTTTTTTTTCTTGTTCTTTCTTCTCTTTCTTTTCTTTGTCACCTTTTTGATTTCTTCAAGAATTGCATTTTAAATTTCAATAGGAACTTCAAGTCTGCAAACTGTTTTGTACATTTTGATACACTCCAGGAATTTCTTTGCGGCTATTTAATAAATATCATGATTACAATCATCATACAAAGCATTTCCTCTAAAATCATACACTTGGATAGAATTATTTTTAGTTAATACTTCACATATTTTTTCAATAAGAGGGACATCTTCAGACTCACCAAATTGATTATTGGCTATATTCAATTCCTCTAACCATTCATTAGTCTCTAGAGCTCTAAACAACTAATACACACTAAAATGAATTCATCAATTACCCCTGATTTCTCAAATAATTTCCCTCTAAAAATAAATATCTTAAATCGCAATCAACAAAAGATAAAATGTCCTAAATATACTTAACGCTTTCTAAATCTAATCTACAATAGTTTAATGACAATTTTCTAATTGTTGCTTAAGAATATAAAAAATAAGAGTTTACTATTCATTTCCAATCCCTTGCTTAATTCTTTCATTCCCTCGCAGCCAATATAATTAAAGTCAAGAATGAGTTCTTATAATGGAACCTTGAAAGCAGGTGACAAGGCATAACCGAGATGGATGCAACCTTGTGGAGTGATTTCATTTTCTGTCAAATCCAATACTTTAGTATTCTACGCTTTTTAAATATAATTGGCCAAATATTTGACACCTTCATTATTGTTTAATCCGAGACCAGCTTTCACTAACCAGATGTTGGCCAAATGCTTGTAACTATTTTTGAATATATTAATTTACTTTAGATCCATTAATGCCTCAAAAATACCTCTAATTGCATTGGGCCCGATTTCTTCGATAATATGAAGCTAAATTTGAGTGTTATGAATTACAGTAGTTAAATGCTCTTGATTTTCTATTGCTTATGCAACTGCTTAAACAAATATTTTGTTTTGTGCCACTCCAAGACTTTAGATCTTTCTATTGTAAAATCTCATAATTTGGGTAGTGGATTCATCATTATCCTCTCCTTTTTTGCCTTTCTTGCCCTTTTTGGACATGAAATATATATAATAAATAAATTATATATTAATCTTTAACCACAATCCTGTGTGAATTATTAAAAGACATTGAACTATATCGACACAAAATAAATATCATAACTCTTGATGTTTTAAAAGATAAAACTTAATCTTATAAATATCATTTGGCAATCCTTCTTAGAACTATTAGTCCATGATTTAGAACCCGCATTACTTGATTAAATTCTAGTATATTCTGTCAGATCTAGTAATCGACGCGTCTTCTTCATCATATTAATAATCTTGAGATGAAATATTCTCCTTTAAAATAATAGGAGACTTCTTGTATTTTGAGAGCATGTTACAAAAGTCTTAATCTGTAAGATACATACTAATCCACTAGATCCAGATGCAATCATAATGAGTTTAAGGTTCAAATTCTTCTACTGACATTTGATAATATTAACAATTGAATTTGCTGAGCTTTCTCTTAGATTCATTTACAAATTTTGCTTCCCTCTCAACTAAATGTATCTATAATCAAGGAGATCTCTTACTTCCTTAAAATATTTTGTAAATAATTATTCGGATATTCTGCCTACTCCTGCTCCTAATTCCAAGAGAGTGTTAAATTATTGGATGTTCTTTAAGAGGAACAATTCTGACTGTTAAATGTCTACATTATTTATTTCATCATATCCACCCAACATGCTACTATTGGTAATGGATTGTTTAGCCCAAAACTACTTGTTGATTTCTTTCATGGATTGTTTTGCAAAATTCATTTAATATTATTTTATGTAATCATTATCTGTGAAAAATACAAAATATCAAATACAATATAGAGAATGGTAATTATATACAATAGATCTCCAGGAGTTACTCATGTCATCAGAAAAGACTAAGCGAAATAACTAATAGGAAAAGTAGCAATGACTCGAATTACATCAATATAATTGAATCTAGTAGAAGGAATAAATTTTTTAACTCAAGAAGGAAAGAAATTAAAAAACAAGAAGAAATTCTATCTTAAAATAGAAAGTTACTTACTAAAATAGTGAATATCAAGTCTAGTTTCTATCGTTCGGTTATATATTGATCTAGTTTAATAGTCATCTAGATAATCCATCAGTAGCAATGGTTCTAAATTATCAGCCAGATCAATTGAATTAAAACAAAAGAATATTTAACGTATCAGAGACAATCAAGTTAATAGACAAAAGATATCTTAAATGTGTATTAGCTGATATAATATTTCAGTAAGTCAACTTTCAAGTCTATACCAACAGAGAGGACCAGCCGAGATTCGCTTCGAAGACCCATATATCAAATAGAGGATGTTTACAAAAAATAGAAATGTCTTCAAGTCTCAAAAATAAGTCAAGTACGATTACTATCCTTTCCTTCTGTGAGAAGCAGTAATAAGTCCAAGATTTCGAATTCAGATAACAAGGCCATTGCCTATACGTTACCCACAATCAAAAAACCAAACTAATAAATCATAGCAAGGATGCTAAAAGATAAATTGAATAATAACTGATTACTTATATTAATGAATAAATATTTAAGAAAAACAATTAGATTGAACAAGAAAAATCATTCTTCTACCAAAACCCAAGTCAATTCACGATATTTCAATCTCAACTAAACTCAATGAATACAGATAAAGTGTTAAAAGAGATTTTAAGATAAATATAGAATCAGAAATATATAAAAAATACAGAAATTCTAATTTCCTGTCTCAATCATCAAAGAAACAGAATTTGATTGTTTATCCAACCTAAGGTTTAATAACAAAAAATGAGATTCAAAGTTGATTATATGAATGAATTTTTTCCCTCTAAAATATTATTAAAAGCAGAAATGATTTGATTATGATATCCACCTAAAATAATGAATAATTTATTTTTATTCTAATCATATACTTACTCCTATTAAGTTAGTCTATAAAAAGTAAGAACTCGATTTTGATAGATTTTTGCCCAATAATATTTTATCTTCCTACTTCTCTTCATATACTCTTTCAACATATTCCAACATTGACTCTAATAGTAAGATATTAATTAGTTTGATTTAGAAGTTAAAAACTAATGGATTGATTCAAATTTGAATAGAACTTTAAATATAATTTATTAAATGAATAATTATACGAAAATTATTCCAAATCGATAATTCCCCAACAAATTACTTACACAAATTCATACTCTTGAGCCCTAATAAATTAGACTCATAATCTAAAAGGAATTTTTACAAGGAAAGCTATGCCTGGATATTTAAAATTATGTCTTAGTCCAAACACCAGATTAATTATATTCAGAATTAGTTTTATTTTGGTTTCTCAGAAAGGAAATCCCTTTAGAAAGTGCTCAAATCTTTTTAAGCCAGAGTAACCCTAACTACTTTCCATTCCAACTCATGTAATATTTTATTAATCCATAAATCAAATTACCTCTTCTAAGATTAATATTTAATACACAGAATATTTAATTCCTTAATTCATCATTAGATACAGTATCGATGAGTTTCTAAACTAAAAAGGAAGTCTCATCTCTACTACTTAGTTTTGATGAATAAATACAATAGGCTGAAATAGATTTGATTTTATGCAATTATCCTAAATTGAGCCTCTTGGTTTCTTATCATTTAAGAATCAATCCAAAATTCGAGGAGTTCAGTAGTTTTGACACCAATTTAATAGCTATTACAATAAAAAGGTCACAAACAATTAACAAAGGCATTGAAACTCTGCTTAATTACTTATTATAATGTGATGATAAGAAAAGCATAGTTGACATCTTAATTTAATTGAACTTTTAGAATGACACAGTTCTAAATTTAGGAATCTTAAAGTCTCCCGAAGAAGTATAATTCAAAGAAGAATACATATTTTTTGAGAAGTGGACCTAAACTAAAAGTTTTAATGAAAAAATATGGGGCAGATTCACATCTTTAGTAAATCAAAAGATGATCAAGCTTGATGATCAAGAATTTACAGTCAACAATCTTAATTTTGCATAACCACTTCTCATAAAAGCATTATTTTCTTTGGTTAAAAGACACACAAGCAATTTCATTATAGAGAATGCTATTAATAAGGAAATCAAAATAAAATAAGCCCTATTTTTAGATTATCCAGATTTCTTTAAAATATTTTTTATTGACTACACTTCATTGTTGGATCCAAATTATAATATGTAAATATTTAAGTAGAATCTTAGGTTAATTTTGGAATCCTTAAACGTCATCCTTACTCACATTGAAAGAACTGCTAAATAGCCAATAGTATAACATTTGGTAATTTTGTAAATATATCAAATTAGAAATTGTTACTTTGTTAATTTTTAGTTCAATGTATCTCCAAGATGGTGAATCCATAGAAGATTGAGATCAGCATTTATTAATTTATCCAATAATTACTTGCTAAGGAGAAGAATTTGAATTTTTAATTTGCAGCTTCACTCAAGTTAGATTAAATTGAAAAAGCTGTAAAGCATATCGATTGTCTATTTTTGTTGTTATCTGATTTGGATTTACTGTAATCGAAATTACGAGATAAGGAGCGTTTTTACTTATTTTGTAAATGTCTCTAGCTAAAACATAAAAGTGAACTTTTGGATAAACCGTTAGAGAACTATTAAAATGAAAAGCAGTTGAAACATAAATATAATACCAATTTAATAATGAAAAAGAAGGAGGAGAGAGTGATTGCCCAGTTATTTTGAACTTCTAACTTGTGTATTAACTATAAGTATATTGTTATATTTGATAATAATAAATGACAGCAGTTATAGAGGAGTTTAATAAATAAATGGTAGGAAGGTAATGTTATATGCTACCTGTAAAAAGATGCATAATAAGTTTTATTTATATAAATATTATATTATCTATACGTTAAATAAATTTATATGAAAATCAACCAGCCTTTTTAGGTTTTTGTTCGTATACGATCCCATTCAGATTCTACTAATCCAATCGAAGTTGTCAATGAAAATATCGTAACTATAAAATTTGAATGATTAGCTTAGAATATCCAATAGAGAAATGAGCTTTTAGAAAATCTTTACTGAAAACGATTCCAATTTATCCGTTTATGAAGGAGTATTATTGTTTAATTTAGTAGACTTTATCGAAATTTATAAGCAAAATATTTGAAGGGTTCAATATGACAGTGTTGTGTTATGGAATGACAGGATCTGGCAAGACTCATACAATGTTTGGGAACTCATAGGTAAAATTAAATGATAAATAAAAAAGGATCATTATGGCATTGTGTATTAAGCAGTTAAGGAACTATTTCAACTGAAGAAAAATGGATTTATAAAAATTAGTTTTTATGAAATATATAATGAATAGATTATTGATTTGTTAGATTAAAGTTCATAGAATTTGTAGGTGTAGGAAGATAAGAATGGGGACACTTAGATTCCAGGCTTATCCTAATAATGCATAGTTGATGAAGACCATCTAGTGTAATTGATTTAATAAGCACAAAAACGAAGATAATTGGCTTCAACTGCTAGTAATTAATATTCTTCTAGATCACATGCTATCGTCTAGATACAAGTAGTCAATTACGACGAGAAAAAGAATATCAAATATGATGGCAAATTAATTCTGGCTGATTTGGCAGGTAGTGAAAGATGTTATAACTACAAAAACGGAGGAACATAGAAGATATAATAGGAGGGTTAAAACATTAATAAATCTCTATTGGCTTTGGGCCAATGTATTATGATGTTAAATCAAAGCAAATCACACATTCCATATAGAAATTCTAAATTAACGAGAATTCTGAAATAATCTCTAAGTGGTAATTCTATGACTCTTTTTATTGCATGCATAAGCAAATAATATAGTGAGGAAACTGAAAATACATTGAAATATGCTCAATAAGCATGTGCTATCAAAACATCATTAACTTAAGCAATGACTTCAATAAAGATGGAACAGCCTAAGCGATCAATATCAATAGAAATATAGAATTTAGAGTAATAATTGAATAGTTATTTTGTCATTAATAATGGGTTACATAAAAACTTAAATACATTATATTAGAATGTGTAGAAGGAATAGGAAACTAAGGTTATTGTTTAAAATGTAGAATAATAAATAGCATCAAATATGAGAAAGCAGAAATTAATAATAAATCAGATCAAAGGACTTATTGTTGAAAAAGAAAACTAAGACAAATCATTCACATATCGAGGATCAGAGGTTAGATTTTGTGATCTGAGCAATAAGAGCTCAATAATTTCGTAAATCCAACCTCATACTGCTGATTAGAGTTGTCAAACTGAAAGAGTTTAAGATCCAATTTATTTTGATGTAAAACATGGACGCAACAATTCCTAATAAACACCCAATACTATTGAGATTCACAAGATTCCAGAATCCAAACGATTTTCAAATCCATTTCTTAGTACGATGGTGTAAGAAGAATAAACTAAAAAGGATATTTTATAAGATAGAACCAATAGATTCAAGATCAAAATAAAATGACTTATTTGTCTATACTTTTTATTATTAGTAAAGAATGTTTCATTATTATTCGTGGGTGTTTCAAAGGAAATGCAAGGTTTCATGTTATGGACTTGTATTTTATAATAACTTGTTATACAAAATGATTTAATACAAATTTATTATTATTATATATTATTTCTTTTCTGTATACAAATCAACTTATTGCTCATGTAGGAAACTAACAAAGGCAGAACTTGCAAACAAAGAAGCTCAGTTCACACAAAAGATTAGAAAATAAAGACTGAAAGGTTTTCATTATCAAATATCATTGAAATATAGACGTAGTCTGAATGTTGATATGAATAATTATACGCCTAAGTAACCCAAATGGGCTGAAAAGACTATTAAAAATATGAACAGATGTTCCTTTACAGATCTTAGTGAATAAGATAAGAGGGGATCTATGAGCACCGTAGCTACATTAACAACAATGAGCACCGATTTTTATGTTTAAGATGACGATCCTATTGAAGAGTAGACATCTTCAAGCGATGAGTCATAAAGCAACGTAAAATTTAAAACAGAAATGTGCAAAAATTGGAGTATGTTGGGTAGATGCAATTATGGAAATAAGTGTCAATTTGCACACGGTTAAAATGAGAAGATAAATCGATAGTGTAATTAGAAATACAAATCCAAACTCTGTCGATCTTTCCATTAAGATTATGTATTAAACACTTATTATTAATTTTAGGTCTGCTTTTATGGAGCTAGATGCTAATTTATTCATGAGAGTAGAAGTGTTGACCAGATTCGAAAGGATTTCAAATCTTAGACATCCTTTTATTAGCCTTCTTCAAACTAATTGAGATTGAAATCTTTTCAACTCATAACAAGCGATTGGAAACAAGAAATTCCATTGCAAGAATGTTTTCAGCTTTGGAAGACTAAATTATTATTATAGATCAACATATCTTCAAGTAGTGATTGAAGATTTTGTTAAGGTTTATGATTATTTATTTATAATTTAATATATTAAAATGATTTAAGATTAATATTTGTTAATGCTCAAACAGAATTCAATATCTCCCTAACTAATCGAGGCTTACTTACAATAGAAACAGTAGCTAATCAAGTAAAATCAACATAATTACTAAGCAATGTGATTTCTTACTTTGCGAATATAATTACATACGGTCCAATAGCTTTGTTTAATGCTGAGAAAATCTGCTCTTCTAAATAGTCATAATAGTTTGTCAGTACAATTAGGAAAAATTATGAAACTATGTTTGGTTTAAATGATTAACAAGATTCCCAAAGTTTTATTGATAAATCTTAGGAATAATTTAAACAATACTTTTCACAGCAAATATTAGATCAGCACTATCTAAGCTTTTTAAATGACTTAAAAGAGTGCTCCTACGTTAAATAATTGAGTCGAAGTTAATGGCTGGATTAACTCCAAGAAATCATTGAAATTTCTACCATTTAAGAAGTAAACCTTGAGTATCACTTATTAGATCAACCAAACTTAAATTATTAATGAGTAGTTTGAGAGTGACACTTTAGCTCGGGAACGAAAGAGGTAATCTTATAGTATCACTTAATCTAATAGTATTTGTTACGATGGTGATGAGGAGAGAACCCCTTAATAGAGTGAAGAGGATGAGTAAAATAAAAATAAAGTAAGTAATTATAAAGAAATCAAAAAAGTATTAAAAAAATAAGAAAGAAAAAGAATTATAAAATGGAGAAGGAGGTGAAGAGGGTTACGATGCCAGTAATTCAGATCATAAAACGAAGATCTCAAAGTTGCCCAGAAGAATCATCTAAAGGAGAAAGCAAGCAAACAATTAAGAATTTGATACAGACAGAGAATATGTATGCATTTTATCATATTTAGAAATAAAAAGAATGATCAAAATTAATCAATATGTGTAATTATTATATATATATATTTTTATATTAATTTGATAAATGAGACCAAATCCTCGTTAACAATCAAAAAAAGAATCGAAAAATGTGTAACAACCTCCTCCACCTCCTCCTCCTTAGAAACCTGTTAAAGAGGATAAATAATTCAACCCAGATATATATGTTAGATAAAATTTAAGTAGGGATGAAGTTATTGAGTTAAAGGTTTAGTAATTATACAAATGTTATTCTTTAGAAAGCCTTTGATCTATTTGATGATGATGGAAGTGGCACTATTGATCCTGCTGAATTAAAGGGAGCTTTTGAAGAATTAGGACTTAGAGCTCAAAATAAAATGATTTATTAAGTTTTAGGAGAGATTGATCAAGACAACTAAGGAGGGTTTTCATTTGACAATTTCATCAAATTAGCAACAGCCAAGCAAAATTTAAAAGAGACAAGAGGTTCTTTGATGAGAACTTTCAATTTGTTTGATCTAAATCGTGAAGGTGATCATATTGAGTGACTTTAGGTAGAATTACTTGGGATGAATTGAAGAGGGTCTCAGTTGATTTGGGGGATGACTTGAATGATGAGGAAATTAAAAAGATATTCAGAAAGGCTGACCTTGATGACGATGGTTTTGTTACCTTCGATGATTTCTACAATATGATGACTGGAAGAGTCTATTATGATTGAAGGAATAACATTATAATAAAATTAAAGAATTAAAATTTCAAACTTCTTTCTATAAGAAAAAATCTTCCTAACTTAATAAATGTCTATCACTCCAATATATGATATTTTGAAAACAATAATTTTTATTTCTTGTAATAAGCTTACAAGTTTCAATGAATAAATTTTAATATGTATATAAAAAAATTAAAAGAGTTGATATCAACAACTTTGGACGATTATCGGAATGAGAGATACAGTGTTTAGCATAACTAATTGACACTTTAAAAAATATGGCCAACCTTTATTATTCTGGTCAAATTTTATGCTATTATTGGACTTATATACATAATTATTTACAATTCCCTATATTTCAAGAGCTTTAATAAGGCTTACACTACATTTTATTTATATATTTAACTTGCAGCTATCGTTTTGTATGTTGGCATTGTTGAAAGAATTACTAACTGCTTAAGGGAATCGTATAAATTANGAGAAGGAGGTGAAGAGGGTTACGATGCCAGTAATTCAGATCATAAAACGAAGATCTCAAAGTTGCCCAGAAGAATCATCTAAAGGAGAAAGCAAGCAAACAATTAAGAATTTGATACAGACAGAGAATATGTATGCATTTTATCATATTTAGAAATAAAAAGAATGATCAAAATTAATCAATATGTGTAATTATTATATATATATATTTTTATATTAATTTGATAAATGAGACCAAATCCTCGTTAACAATCAAAAAAAGAATCGAAAAATGTGTAACAACCTCCTCCACCTCCTCCTCCTTAGAAACCTGTTAAAGAGGATAAATAATTCAACCCAGATATATATGTTAGATAAAATTTAAGTAGGGATGAAGTTATTGAGTTAAAGGTTTAGTAATTATACAAATGTTATTCTTTAGAAAGCCTTTGATCTATTTGATGATGATGGAAGTGGCACTATTGATCCTGCTGAATTAAAGGGAGCTTTTGAAGAATTAGGACTTAGAGCTCAAAATAAAATGATTTATTAAGTTTTAGGAGAGATTGATCAAGACAACTAAGGAGGGTTTTCATTTGACAATTTCATCAAATTAGCAACAGCCAAGCAAAATTTAAAAGAGACAAGAGGTTCTTTGATGAGAACTTTCAATTTGTTTGATCTAAATCGTGAAGGTGATCATATTGAGTGACTTTAGGTAGAATTACTTGGGATGAATTGAAGAGGGTCTCAGTTGATTTGGGGGATGACTTGAATGATGAGGAAATTAAAAAGATATTCAGAAAGGCTGACCTTGATGACGATGGTTTTGTTACCTTCGATGATTTCTACAATATGATGACTGGAAGAGTCTATTATGATTGAAGGAATAACATTATAATAAAATTAAAGAATTAAAATTTCAAACTTCTTTCTATAAGAAAAAATCTTCCTAACTTAATAAATGTCTATCACTCCAATATATGATATTTTGAAAACAATAATTTTTATTTCTTGTAATAAGCTTACAAGTTTCAATGAATAAATTTTAATATGTATATAAAAAAATTAAAAGAGTTGATATCAACAACTTTGGACGATTATCGGAATGAGAGATACAGTGTTTAGCATAACTAATTGACACTTTAAAAAATATGGCCAACCTTTATTATTCTGGTCAAATTTTATGCTATTATTGGACTTATATACATAATTATTTACAATTCCCTATATTTCAAGAGCTTTAATAAGGCTTACACTACATTTTATTTATATATTTAACTTGCAGCTATCGTTTTGTATGTTGGCATTGTTGAAAGAATTACTAACTGCTTAAGGGAATCGTATAAATTAACACTTATCATATTTACATTCATTCTAATAGAAACCTCATTTCAAATATTTTTGGTTGAAGTGTATTTATCAAGCGATATAGAGAATGGAGTATTAACTATTTGTTAGTTGTTTATTAATTTATTACTTGTTCTAGGAATAGTCAGAACAATTAAATTAAGAATTATGATATTACTGAAATTTTATATGTATTTCTTTGCTAGAGGGATTACATTCCATTTTAAGAGCTTACAATCCTTAAATATCATATTTTTTATAATTCTGATTTTATTCTTTTGGGATCAACAATTAATAAATCTGAGCAAAGTTTCATAATTTACTGACCAAACTTTAAAAAGCATTCCTAGTGCAGTTTGTGTATTAGATTAGAATTGCCAAGATGTTCTATTTACTAATAATTTTACTAAAAAATTAATACATTCTCTGAATTATGGAGGTCTTTCAGGAACTAAATCTTATGGTGTTTTGTAGAATTAGGGATTTCCCTCCTACGAATCTATTAGAAGTTCGCCATCCAATGAAATAATCTCATTTTTCGAGAATTTGACTTTACCCTAAACTGAAGTCAAGGAACAATTGAATTCTGAAAACTTACATGGGCTTGATGATAAAATTGAGTCTACTGATCAGCAGCAAATAAATCTAAATCAGGCTCTCAGTTTGATTAAGATTTAAGAAAATTAAACCTCTGGTTGTATATATGCATTAAGATGTTCATATAACTGTTAAACCTATGAAGATGAATACCCTATGATAGTAGAGGTTAGAATTAAAACTAAACTGCAATATGGTTTAAATAAAAATGCCATTCTTTTAAATCTTTACGATGTATCTCCTAATTTTAAATCTTCTTATTATAAGAAACTTAATTCATTCAAAAGCCAAGTCATTCGTTCAATCTCACACGAATTAAGAACCAGATTAAATGTTATTCAAGGTTTCTTGTAAGTAATTCAATGCAACAGCATCAATTATGATAAAGAAACAAATAAGTTATTGAGAGCTGCATTTAATAACTGTCGAATTCAGAATTTGATCATCAGTTCAATCATCAATTACAATCTTATAAGGGAAAAGAAGTTAGTCACAAAAATAGAGAAGTGCAAATTGATATCAGTCATCTAAGAGGCCATAGATCTATTTAAAGAAGAAGCTGAAATGAAAAACATAAGAATAACCTTTTAAAAACTAGTGAATTAAGCTTAGAATGAAATGTTGGATTACGAGAAATTTCAAAGTATCTTAATCCATATAATTTCAAATAGTATAAAATTTAATAATAAAAGTGGATAAATTATCATCACTATTACAAAAGAGAATTAAGAAAAAGACAAGGCAACTCAAAATAAGGACAATGATAAGAAAATTATCCAGCCTTCTTATGGTTCTCAATTATATAAAAGTTCTTAGGATTTAAATGATAGTTCCTTTCATTTTCCTTTAAGAAAAAATACAGTATTTAGATAATAATTTATTAATCCCTGCAGCTCCTTTTCTAATGCTGCACCTCAACAACAAACCAATACTAATTTATATGAATACTATCTAATTGAAATTCGAGACAGTGGAATGGGAATTAACCAATAAAAATTAGAAGCCATATAGAACTTGCTGAAAAATGAGGAGAAGGCATTCTAGGATTTAGATGGAGATTCTGCTTCAGGAATGATGTTAGGATTGAGAGCATCAAATGCCTTAATTAAATATCTTAGTGGGAAGGAAGAGGATAATTATATAACAATAGATTCGATCATGGATCAAGGGACTACAGTTTGTATTCATTTGAAGTGTAGAATTACATAATTGACCGAGGGATTCATGCCAAGTGATCTATATAATAAAGAGAGTTCTCAGATTGAATTAGAAGGGTAGGTACCAGATATTGAGAGCCAAATATTTAAATTCAACATTTGGACAGATCCAGATATTAGCAGTAGAGCCAATATGATAAGTAAAAATAAAAAATCTTCGTAAATCAATGTGAATTTGGCTAATAAAAGAGGGAGTGGATAGGTGTTCTCTAATAACAACATATCAAGTTTTTATAAAAACCTAGAAGGGAGTCTCTTTAAAGGTTCGAGTTGTGGATGCGACTAAAAAATAGTAATAGTAGATGATGAACCATATAATTTGTTAGTTTTAGAATCTTTGCTTAAATAATTAGGCTACCAATCGATCAAAGCTGATAATGGCAAACAATGTGTTCATTTGATCGAGAACAGCATCTCAGTTTTTGATGAGCATAAATGCCGAGGGTTTAAGGCTATTATTATGGATTATCAAATGCCAATTATGAATGGGTAAGAGGCGACTAAACAACTTCAGTGCTTATTTAAAGATTAACCACGAATTCAAATTCCTGTTTTTGGACTAACAGGATTCTCCGGAGAAGATGATCTTATCAATTTAACGGAGGCTGGAATGAAAGGAGTCTATATCAAACCTATTACTCTTAAAACCTTGGAAGAAATGATAAATAATTTAAGTTTGGTTGAATGTAGAGATACACCATTAATGTCTTCGAGGCAATTTTAATGTTTCGAATTAGATTATGCCGATGACTTATAATAATTAGCACATGAATGATAGTTATTAATTAATTTATATGTAAATTAGTAATAATAGTTAACAGTTAGCACTCACAAAGATTCAAAACAATGCATTTAATGTCTAATATTCTCCTTTTAGACTCTTAAATATCAAATACACAGAGGCCTCTACTCAAAGATTGATTGAAGAACCTATTCATTCTATCCAAGTATTTTAGATCCAAGGCAGTAACTATGAAATGCATTTCAACACCAAAAATAGCAAGCAAACAAAACAGACAAAAGAATCAGTCAAGGTTATATCAATTGATTTGAAACTATAAAAGAAAAAATTAAAAACAGGGTCCAAAGAAAACCTATCAGATTATCAAAGAAAATTAATCAGCGATATTTAGAAAATAGAATAGGAAATCCTAAGTCTCAGTTGAAATCCTTTACTTTTTATTTAAACAAACTATATATTCATTTACATTAACCTTAATTCCCTTATTTTCTTGTTTAGTAGAATTATTTAAGACTTTTAAGAATTACTTACATATAAAATTTGATCAGCCTCAATTTTCATATTAATCCTTATTAGAATTAAACCAAATTAGATTTTTGAAATACCTTATACCTTAGTTTGCAAAGCAGTAGTTGCATTAATAACGATCAATTACTATTAATTAAATCCGATTCTCTATTTTTCTAATAATTATAGATTTAAATAGAACTAACTTTTCCTTAATAACAATAATATATAAAGGATAATATTAATAACAAAATTTAATCATAATTATAATAAAATTAATTTCATTTATCATTTTACTTTTTATTGACTTTAATCATTTATTGCAAATCGTTGATGACTTAGAATTTTTTATCTCTCTACATGCGTTATTATTCTTCTTGACTTTTTAATCTTTCTAACTACTCTTTTTCACTTTTCATTCTCTCTACTTCATGTGTATATGGTTATTTCATCACATTTTCTTTCTAAATATTAGCTAATATGTACTTCTGGATATTTATTCACTGATTTTCGATTATCTTGTCTATTACTTAAATATCTAGTTTTATAATTTTCTTTTATCCTATCAATTTAATCAACTTCCCTATTTAATTGTTAAAGTTGAATTCTAAGTTATTTATTGGTTTCATTCAAATGCTAATTTTCAGATTCAACTTCATAAATTTAATCATGAAATTTAGTTAATTTTATTTCATTCTATTCAATCTTTAATTATTGTCTTTCTATTTATATTCTTTGATCATTAATTTAATTTTTCAATTCTTACTCTTACTTAGTAAATATCCTTAATTCACTTTCTACTTCATTTATTCTTTATTAATAACTGTATAACATATTTTCTTAATTTTTTTATGACTATTCAGCCAAAAGTAATTCTTTCTATCTATTATTTTCAGTTTCTTCAAATTGCTTTTAAACTCTTTATATAGTAATGTCCTTTTCTTCCTATAATTAAGCTAATCTGGCCTTAATTTATTCATTGGCTTATTTTTCAAAAGATAACTCTAATTCTAATTATTTTAAGTTGTTTTTTAATTATTCATTTTCGACTTGAATGTTTAGTAACTGTTCTTAGGTCTTAATCAAAAACTATCTTTCGGCTTACAATTCTTAGTTAACATCTAAAATTAACAAAATAATTACAAGATTCCGCATTATTTAATTTATTAAGAGAGAAATTATTATCATAGAAAGTTTAAGAGATCGAGGATGAATTGTCCACTTTTTATTCGAGTTCTATAATTTTCTTCTTTAAAGTCAGTTCTTTTTGTTTGTATTCATTGAGTTCTTTATCCCTGTTCTCAACTCTCAGATTAGCAATTCGTAATTCTTCTTCTTATCTCTATATTTTTTCTTAGACTTAAAACGTTTACTCTTAATCTCCTATTATTTAGTATTTCATCTGATTAAGCTATTATTCTAGTATTTAGATTTTTTAATTTGCAGTCTACAAAAGCACTTTAGTCTATGCCAATTCTTATTATTTCATTTCAACAGTTCCATCTACCTCACTTTTCTTGAAATTGAATTATTAAGCCAATTCCCTATTATTTAGCATTTCCTTCTCTAATTATAACTTAAGTTTTAGATTTTCCTCTCTAATTTTATCTATTTAATCTTTTAGAGTATCTACTTCCCTTTAGAGCCTTTGAGGTACATCTTGATCAGAGGGTTAGTATTATCTATTTTAATAAATGTCATTTTCGATTTATTGTAATTTTGATTATATATCTTTATAATCATCCTTCAACATTTCATTTTCAACTAAGAGTTTTTCATTTTGTTCTTTCATTCTTTCATAATCATTGAAAGGAACAGGATTATTTTCTTATTAATTATAAGATTTTCCAAGTGAATCTAATTTACTACCATAATCAGCTTAAATTAATTTGAGTTCCTTTGTTTTAGCTTTTAATTCTTTTTTTAACTATTTAACTTGAGTTTATTTTTGACTTAACATTTATTTGATTTCATTTAATTCATCACTATATATCAAATTCTACTCATAATACTCACTTAATAATTTTCTGACCTCTTTACTTCTATAATACAAAACTCGATATTCTCGTAATAATTTTTCTTTTGATATTGATTCTAACTTTGTAGTCAACATAAGATTTTCCTCTCTACTTAGTTAGCATATTTCAGTATCCTAACCTTTTCTTTCGCTCTCAATCAAAGTTTGATATTTAGATAAAGTTGATTTTGGATTTACCTTAACATTAATCTAATCTATTGAATCACTAAATTCAGTAATTGAACTTCCATCATCATAATAAGCAGTAACTGCTTTTTTGTTCTTATTTTTTTTTTTTGATGAATTGTACGATGACCTAGACGGACTTCATAATAATTTTAAATTTTACCTTAGACTACGATCTGCATTATTTTTAGACCCTCTTGATTCTGTTATTCTTACATTTGATCTTTAGTTTTCTTTTTATTGTTACACAACTTTCTAAAAGTTACTTAATTTATTTTCTAATGACTATTTTGTAAATTATGGAGTTTGTTGTGTTTTTAATGACCTATGTCCTTTTGTGCTCTTTTTTGATGATTTACTTCTGCTCTATTCCAAACTTTTCATTTACACCCTTGATTAGGTTTATTTGCTTAAAGTCCTTTTGCTTTAACTATTCACTGATTTGCCTGATTTAGTTGATTTTCTACTCTTTTTATCAGAAGCTGGACTTTTCATTCGATCATCTGCAACTCTATTTAATTTTTTCTTCATTTTTCCAATCTTTTTTGCTAGTTATGTTAATTATGTAAGAGTTGAGGTTCTTCCTCCAAATTCACTTTATTTTACTTCTTCATACAACTATTTTTATTCATTTTCTTTTTCTTTTATCCATTATTATGTTAAATTTTAAGGCGGATTATTTACATTCTAGATTAAAGTTTTAATTTGTTATTAACATTGACTTTCACTCTTTATTTTATGCTTTTAACTCTAACTCTGTCGAGCTATGGACATTTAATTAATTATATTGTTAAAATTTGAATTTTATTAATATAAAGTACTTCTGTAAATATTAATCCTTTCTAGAAATATATTATGCATAATATGCCTGATATTTGTCTATTCTTTTATTCAGATATGGTTAAAATTAATAATTATATAATTTAAATCAAGCTCTCGAATAAGGAATTAATTTTAATAACATATGATTGTTAAAAATCGATAATTTTTATGAAAATAATATTGAAATTTTGACTAATTCAATATAGGAGTAACGAAAATTATTACAATTAATGTGAACTATGAGTTTAATTAGAATTCAAAGAAGTTTATTGTCTTAATTTGCTTGCATTCATAATAAAAATAGTGGAAAATCTTGATTAAAGAAAAATATTCCCTTTTTATTTATACTTACTCTCCTACTTATTGCTAAATAATATGAGGTTTATGAATTATAAAAGTTAAAGCGATAATATACTTGGAAGTTGGATATAAGAAAGAAATATTAAATTATTGATAAAATTAAATAAGGTAGTTATGTAACTTGATAGGAATTTCTTAGAGATCTTCTACAACTTAAATTACTTATAGATTAAATAACGAACTTTATTAGATTTATTGTATTATTGTACTTATTCATAATAATCATGATTATATCAATCCTTAGGCTTCTTCTTGATTCTTAATTAATTTGAATGTCCACATTTTCTTTTTCTGCAGTTATGAGCTTTAGGTGGTAATCTAATAATAATTTTAATTATCCTACCTTGCATAGCAAACTCTGCAAATTTTTTTTTCAACATTGTACTTTTTGGCTATAGCAGCGATTGTTGGCTCCATACCACCACCTCTTAATCTCAAAACTAAGTGGAGAGTAGATTCTTTTTAAATATTATAATCTGAAAGAGTTCTTCCATCTTCAAGTTGCTTTCCTGCAAAAATCAATCTTTATTGATCAGGTGGAATTCCTTCTTTATCTTAAATCTTAGCCTTGACAGCATCAATGGTGTCTGAAGGCTCCACATCAAGTGTGATAGTTTTTCCCGTAAGGGTTTTCACAAAAATTTACATAATATTTTAAATTTTATTAAAATCTTTAATTAATTTTTTATTTCTAGTCGATGATCTATGACAAAAAACTAAATATCATGATGATGAACCACGTTATCAATCGTATTTCTTCATTATTTTTGGACTTTCTTAATTTTTTTTAAATAATTGACCACATTCTAATATTCATCTGAATTTAGCTCTTTATCTTGTGATTAAAATGATTATAATAATCCATCAACGCTGTAAATATTTTATTTTAATTTAATCCCTTCAATACAAGTGTAATACATTTATTAATTTTTTGGACACTAGAAAGTTATTGATTCAAATTTCTAATTGTCCTAATTCCCTTTCTCCTCTTTTAACTTTTGGATTTTTTTTAGATACTCAATTTAATGAGAAAACAGCTTCTAACTATGATTGTTTAAAATGTAAAGAGCTCCTTCAAGACTATAGGGTTGACCTTAAAGATTAATACTCTCTAGACATGTTATATATGTTTATTTTGTTATCGGACAAACAAAAGTAACATCACCTCCCATTTAAGGATCCTGATATATTAATTGGGTCTGTTTTTCAATACTAAGATTTAATATTTCTATTACTTTTTGAGAATTTATTAATATTCTTCTTTGCCGTACACCTGTTATAAGATAAGATCAGATATTTCTATAGATTAAAGTTCGTAATCTTTGAAATCTTGAGGATTATTGAAGTGTTCCAAAATATTAATTTTGTATATTTTCGCAAAGGATTATTCGAATGCACCATTAATAAAGCAGTATTTTTCAATCAATTATTTTAACTTATGTTTTAAGACTACTATAAAATGTTTTGGCTATATCATTAACTTGATCGTGCTTTATTCTCCAATAACCTCTCCAGAAAGTTAACAATAAGTCAATCCATCATATTCTAACTATCCAGATTTCCTGCTGCAGAGTTTTTAAACCAATTCATGCAGTAACTTTTCATCTAATTTTTCTGGGTCATTGATCATTTTGATTAATTTAGTATCGTCCTCCGACATTTTTCTATTAGAAATAAATTATTTATAAGCAACCAATTTTTATATACACTTTATAATATATGAGATGTTTTATAACGAATAAATTTTACTAGTGAATGAACATTAAATATCTATCATTATATTATTGATTTTCTAATAACAATATCAATTGTTCTTCAAATATATAAACTTTAAACTATTTTAAATATTTGAGCGATAGAAATTTATTATTCAAGTAATTCTTTGACAGATTGAAATAAATAAAGTGGAACCATTTTAACATTGTTAAATATTTTTTATAATATAAATATTTTTATCACCTGAAGAAAAAATGAATACTGTGCAGGTTATTGAATTTTCAAATAGAGTATTTGATAAATACGACACTGATAAATCAGGATTTATTGAGATAGATGAATTAACTTCCTTATTGAATAACTTCGCCAAAGAAATTAAATCACAAGTATCAATTATTCTTAAAATAAGCCACCCACTTAAAATGAGATTAACTATATGGTACGTTACCTAGATAAAAATAATGATCAAAAGATTAGTAGAACTGAGTTTTAGAAATTAGGATAATTGATGGCCAAAGTTCTAGGGAAAATGTGATTATATGTTAAGATATATAGAATTGTTAAATAATTTTTTGTTTCCAAATTCAAATTTCTTTAAGGAGAAAGTCAAAAAGGCTGAATTATAAAGCATGAGCAAACTTCAGAAAAATATGATGAAATTAGTCACAATATTTATAATTATTATTATAATGAAATGTGTTTAAAATTTCAATGAATCAACAGCATCCTCCTTATTTGGTCTATTTCTTTGGGTCTTATTTAGTTAATGTCACAGTTGTAGGGAAAAATCTAAATAAGAATGATAAACTATAAAGAATTACATTTCTTCATCTTTTTCTTAACTTGCAGCTGCTTTTGCAATGTCTTGGAAAGCTTATTCTATATTTGTGGCATCTTTGGCTGAGACTTCAAAAAATTGTATATTTCCGTGTGATTTACACCATTATTAACTTTTGGATTCTTAAACTTTTCTTTCTGTTGCTTTATCCAATTTATTTCCCAAAACGACAAAAGGAAAATGTTCTGGATCTTTTGGTTAACCTTACATTAAAAATTCATCTCTCCAAGAATCCAAAGAATCAAAAGATTTTGGATTTGTAATATCGTAAACCAATACACAACAATCAGCTCCTCTGTAAAATGCACCACCTAATGATTGGAATCTCTCTTATCCTGCTGTGTCCCAAATCTAACAAAATTAAAAATTTTCAACATACTTAAAGGGTAACCATGCGATCATCTATCATAACTTCCTTGGCCATAAAATCTGCACCGACTGTAGCTCTATATTATTGAGTGAACCTTGCATTGACATATTAATTCATCAAAGATGTTTTTCCTACTCTAAAAGTTAAGTTAGAAATTAATTTTACCCTGAATCACCTAAGATGATGATTTTAAAAAGTTGCTTCTTCTTGCTGGCCATGTGGAATTAATTATAATTATTTATTAATATAAATTAATAATTCTGATTGTAGTTTTAAATTCTTAATATCGTATTTAATAAGAAAAAAAAAATCTTAAATTCAATTAATATTCACTTCTTAACAGCCATAAAAAATATACAATTATACTTTAAGTATTTTTAATCTAATTTTGAATGATTATAAGTTGATTCTTGCATCTACTCAAATTATATCTCAAATCCTTTTTATTTTATATAATGTTTTAAATCTTCAAAGCTTAATTCAATGCTTGTTTCAGAGAATTAGTTAGCAAAATGATATTCTAAAGGCCCAAAATTTATCCAACATCCTTTAGGCTTTAAAATTTCATAAATCGTATCTATATAATCTAATACATTATTTGCTGTATCAATAAAAAAGCAGGTGATAATACTATCCCAAAAATTATAATATTTAGCTTGATGATAGACAGTAATAAATTCTCCTGCAACAAATGACATTTCATCATTTTCCGTTAAAACTTCTGCTGGGGCCACATCAGGCACTTTTACTAATTCAAATTAATCATTTTCACTAGAATTTAATATTATAATACCTTAATCTATTGCAAAAATTATTCGCAAATGGGTATAATTAATACTATTCTTTTTTTTGAGTGAGATTAATGATAAAATGAGAACTCAAAAGCATAAAATACGAGAATTCATTCCCTTAAGCTGCGAAACCTCTACTTGCCAATTCAAATACTAGTCTTCCCAAACCAGCTCCAGGTAATAACACTTAATATTTAACATCTTTAGACTTTGCATCTGGATAATACTACTATAATCTATCAATAATGAGCTTATATGATTAATCTCTTTCTGCTTAGCCTTGAACACTCCAATCTTTTCTTATTATTTATTTAATTGTACCTCGATAAAATTATTTCAAAGTGATCCTAAGCTTTGCAATATCACCATGCTAAACATGATGAAAATATGGTAAGTCTGATACATAAGAAACTTGACTTAAATCCATTTCTGGAAACATATCCACGTAGGCTGCAACTATTAGGAAACAAAAGTGAGCATTTTTCTTAATGCAATAATCCAATTTTTTAATTCTTTCTTAATAATTCATTATTAGGTTGTTTCTTTGTTCTGGCTTTAGTGTCTCAAAATGAGTTTTTATCCTTTGAATCTCCACCTTCATATCATTAGTATAATTATAAAAGCATGCAACCACATTTTTAAAATGTTAATATTCATGGATATCATTTTATAAGATTTCATTATTTGAAGGATGATAGCTCGCATATTCCTTATCAAAATATAAAGCATCCATTTCCTTTATTTCAATTTCAATTTAATCCATAAAAATAATTTTTGTTAAATAATTAAAACAAAATATTTGGCAATATAGAATAGAATGAACTTTCTGGGTTTTTTTTCATCATCCACCAAACAATAATCAAAATTATAGAAGATAAAAGTATGTGTAAACTCTGAATTTAGATCTATAAAGATGAATAATGTTCAAATTATTTCTAAAACTTAAACATTGAAGATAATACTTAATGCTAAAAAATTTTAGATCAGATTGATATTTAAAATCAACTTGGAGATGATGTTATAATTATAATATCTTTAGGTGAGGAAAGTGCTTCTTCTATTTACTTGTCAGAAGGATAAAAAGTGCATTTCGCAGAGAATTATAAATAAATAGGAGCAAATAGCTAAAATTTTACAAAATGCACCATAAAACTTAGAGCTTTACATAATTTATTAAGAAATCAAGCTTTAAAAATTGCAAGAAACTCAATCTTATCATCAAAAAATTTGGAATCATATTAATATAAGTAGAAAATAATTGATATTTTTTAAGATTCTAAGGATCATTCATTTAGATAAGGGACTCTATTGAAAAAAAGCAAAACTGGACAATTTAGAGAGAGACTCTTCAAACTATAAAAAGACACCTTAATTTATGAAAAGTATGAGAAACATGAAAAAAATAAAACAAAACAAAGTTGTATCTCCCTTGATTCTATGTAAATTGAAAAACAACCAGATAAAAATTTAACATTTTTAATAAAATGTGATTAAAAGATTTATTAAATTAAAGCCTAAAGTAGAACTGATTTTGATGGATGGTAGGTAGAATTCATAACGAATATGTAGGTTATATTCATTGCATAATTAAATTATGAAGTGGAAAGAAGTGAAACTACTATTAGATTACGATAAGAAAATTGAGTAATGTGCCTATTCCAAAGTTGAAAAATTGAAAACCCTTCCTACCCAATTCAAATCGATAAAGTTTATTGCTTAGAACAATTCTTACATTACAAAGTTTAAATCATGAAAATTTTAGATAATTTTTAACCTATTTGGATGATAAGAGATCATAATTAGAAAAGAAGCTTTTCTAATTTTTGTAGTAGATTTATGAGGGTGAAATTTTGCCACAAGGTTCGAAAAGTTTAAAATAAATCATTGATAAGAGAGACTTATTACAACAGGAGATATAAGAGATGGTTAAAGATGATGACAGCTATTCTAGATTGGAAAAAATGCAACAAAATCAAATGAAACAAGAATTAACAATACATTTTGATAAACAAATTGTCCCAGATTTTCTTTAACAAAGTAATTATATATCTTTAGTGACTAGTTAATCAGTCTTAAATAATATTAGATTTTTCTATTCATTAGTTTAAATAGTTCTATGAATTTCCATTGTTTGATTCATCTGGTTTTTATTAAGATCCTACTGATAGTTAGATTCCGAATTAAGAATGAAAAATGAATGAATACTTATAATACAAAAATAAATTAATAAATTCTTTTTAATATCATTAATGGGTATACCAGAATCAAAATCCACACTTGAAGCCAATTATACTGATTATAATAAAGTGAACCAAAAAAAGCAATAACAGTAACCCCAATCTGTTGAAGCTGATTGCTGTGATAATTAGAAAAATGATTATATCATTTTGATAAATTGTGGCCATTTATATCACTTACATTGCTGGCAATAAAAATAAAGAGAATAAAAATAATTTATATGCTTCTGCGAAAGCCAAATGCAAACAAAACTTCCTTTTTTAGACAAGCCTTGTTATTGATTACTATGAATAAATAATTCTAATATTTTTTAAGTTATCTTTGGGTTGCTTCTTCGATACTCGATTAAATAAATTAAACCAATGTCAAAAAATAGAAAAGTAGAAGAATCTTAACTTCTGAAACTGCAATCTGGAACAAATAATGAATATATAAGTTAAGAAATTTTCAATTATTAAACAGGTCTATTTGGTTTAGAGCGAAGATCTACATTGAAAAGTTAAAAATTATTGTCATAGGATTGACCATAGATTATCAAAATTTTTTTTTAAGTTCTAGAATTACTTGATAGAAAATTGTTTTTTTCCGATGAAAAAAAAACACATTATTTTTATAAAGAATTCATAATATATTCCAAAAATGTTTTAAATGAAAATAATCACAAAACGTAGCATTCCTTAAGAAAGGGAGCTCCTTAATAATTTCTATTATTTAAGTGAATTCACAGTATAAATAATAAAATAATAAGATTTTGTTTACTGAAAATTAAAATTGATTAATAATTTAGAGATTGATGATGATTCTCTTCTTTAACAATTAATTACGTAATTAGTATATAAATCTCTAAAAAATTAATACTGACTTGAATATTTTCATAAATACAATGCTTAAATATTCTGCAGAATTAGTAATTAATGAAAAATTCAAATAATAAATTTAATTTTCTCTATATTAAAATTCTTAATTAATTAAACCTTTAGAGAAGTTCAAGATTCAATCAAAGAACTTTTAAGTGTGTTTCAAAAATTCAACATAAAAATGACATAATTATTATGATAAAATTAAATATTTATCATTTACTTTCACAAACACTTATCCAATCTTTTCTAGGTTGATCTTTTTAAGCAAATATCTCCATTAATTAAGACTTTGGAAGCAAAGTTTCAATTGTTTAATAAATATACTCTTTTGATTTTTCAGATTTTTTTCCATTGCTTACAAAATCAAATAAGACATCAGGAGTTCGTTAATGTCTTAATTCTAATTAAGTCTTCTATTCATCAAATTTCCTAAACATTATCAAAACTTATTTAGATTAATTTAAGACTTTAGAAGGGCAATTCAAGATCAAATCCTTTACTTAAACCTTTTATTATAAAAAGTTAAGATTATCTAAGACAGCCTCTTCAGTCTGTTCAATTTTCATGTGTTTATTCAACTCCTCTAAAGCTTTCTCAAGACTTAATTGAACTACAACTAGGTTTTCAATATATGTAAATCCTTTATTCTCCATAATTTCAAGAATTTCATTAATTAGTCCCTTATCAGACCAAATGAATAGAATTCCATTAGAAATTAGCTTTTTGGAAAGATCTAAGTTTTTCTATGAATATTTTAAGTATATTTACTAAATCTTTTCTAAAAAGATTATCAATAAAAATTCCTTAAACACCTTTGGCATATTGGGAAAGATCTGTTCCTAGAATCTTTTTAAGGACAATAATTCTTAATTTAAACAATAAATGGTTACCTTCTTTGATCTGTTTCATAAGATTGGCACTTAATTGACTTTTTCCATTATAACAACACTTCTAAATTATCACACGTTCTAATTAGCTAACATAATGTACATTTTTTCTTTTTTTGATTTTGTTTTGTATTTCCTAATTTTTTTAAATGCCTTGTATGAGTCTTAATCATCTACATATTCTGAATCATCTTCTGTAACATCATACCCTTAGTTTAGCTTAAAATAATTAATTCTTTTATTCTCAGAACCAGGCTCACTATATCTCAATCTCATTTTTATTGGTTCCCGCTAATTTTTTTTTCCCATGTTTTTTTTTTATCAAATTAATCAAAAAAATTCACCCATTATATTAAATTTAGAGGGAAAATTATTAATTTTATTACAGATATTAAGAAAATATTTATGATAAGAATAATGACTTTTAAATTTGTATTAAGTATTAACGAAAATCACTACTAAATTTTATGTTCTGCAAATGACCATCCTGCCAAATGGGATTACTCTAAAAAACTACCAATTTCGAAAACATTATGTTCGACCTTGATAAATCTGGTTTTTCTACTCAGAATAGGCATTTTAATTTATTTATCTTTTACTTTATTCCAGTCTATATCGGTAAAATAAGGATGAGCTTTAATTTCTTCTGCATCTCCTTTACCAGAGCCCAATCTTTTTGCTGGATTTCTCTGTAATAGCTATAAGTAAATAGAAATTAATAATTTACTGCTTTCAAAAGATTAATTCCATCATTTGATATATATGTTGGTAACTTTAGATCAGCTTTTTAAATGTTATTGAAAAGCTCTTCTCTATCATTTGCATAATAAGGAGGTTGTCCAACTAAGAGTTCATACATTACAACTCCTAATAAGTACCAATCGACAGCCTTTCCATGGCCACATCTTTTGAGCATCTCAGGTGCCAAATATGCTACAGATCCACAAAATGATCTTGCACCAGAATAATGCTCTTAAACTCCCTCCTTAGATAATCCGAAATCGGTTAACATAGCAAAACCATCTGCATCCAAAACAATATTGTCAGGCTTCAAATCTCTGAAAATAATATCTCTTTTATGTAAATCCTCTAAAGCAAGGATCATTTAAGTCAGATACAATTTTACTCTTTCTTCTGGAAATCTTTATTCCCTTCTTAAATGAGAACTTAGATCTCCTCCTGGACAATAGTCCATTATGAGACAGAGTTTATCAGAAGTCTGGAACGCATATCTTAATCTTACAATAAATGGATGTTTGGTTAATGATAACACATTTCTTTCAGTTAATGCATATCTAGTGAGATTTTGTTCTGATATTTTAATTATTAATATTACTTTATATTTTCGATTTATGGAGCACTTTCATAGCTAATAATTAATTTGTATCTAGCTTTTCAACCAAATACACTTCTCCAAAACTGCCTCTCCCAATTAGAGCATGCACTTTAAAATGATGTGGCCCTACTTTATCTTCATTAAAGGAATTGCTATTTTCACTTCCAAAATCAGTTCTTGCATCATATATTTTAATTGAATTATTATTTTGTTTTTGCATCGCTTACAAAAAGATCTATTGATTGGATGAATAATCCATAGCTATTTTGTTCTCTTTGTTTCTAAGATGTAAATAATTCAATATACTTTAAATTGAGATTCAAACTTTATTTGTTTAGTAATAAATCTATGATTTTTTATCGTTCATTCATTGTTGCTAAATGAAGACAAGTATTTTTGTTAATATCTTAAGAGTTAATGTCAGCTCCTGCTCGAATCAATTGTTAAGTAATCTCTTCAGCTCCTAAACTACAAGCAATCATTAAGGGAGTTTATAATTTTGAATTTAATGAATCTATTTGAGCTTCGTGATATAAAAGCAATCCCACCAGTTTAGAGCTCCCAATCATCACACTTATATGTAACACTGTATTTCCTTCGACATCTCTGGCATTTACGTCAGGCTTCTCTTTTAGAAGTATTTCTCTGGCCTCATCATACGAATTGTTTTTCACTGCTTTTATCAATTTCGCATTATTTGGACTCTTTGTATTCCTATTATATAAAAATAAAGAAACCAATTATTTCTCCAATCCTAATAACGAATATCAATAACCTTGCCTGTATCTTGATCTCGAATACAAAATTCTGGATATTTACCTGAAGCTTTTACCTTGATATTTACAATTATTACTAATTTATTAGGTGGCAACTTTTGAACTAAAACTGACCCTTCATCAAGAAGACTTGGTGAAAGCATTGATCGTTCAATTCTATGCCCAGCTGAAAATTATCGATCAGATTGAGATGGTTCTGTTTTTATTATTTTGGCTATATTGTAGGTTTGCATAGGTGAGCGAGATGGAGGTTTTGTTATTGGAACCTATTAAACGTTCATTGAATTAGAATATTTTATAAATAACTTAATAATGTATATTTTCTTAATTATTTTCTCATTGAATCCTCATATTGTATGCAAAACCTATTAAATAATTCAACACACAATCATACAACTAAATCCTAATAAATCTTGGTTTTGATTTGAAGAATTATTTCATTTATATATTTGTTTGCTTTGAAGAATAATTCATAATTAATTCAATAAATTCATTACTACTTTGTTTAATCAGTTCAGAATTAAATCTTACTCTCTTAAATTATCTAAATATTATACTTTTCAAATGGATCTCCTAAAATTCTCCCTTAGAAATCCTTATTTAATTGTACATCCAGACTTAAAATTTCGTTCCTAATTTGAAAAATTGTAGCATTCCTTAAAAATATAAAATAATCATGATTATTAAATTTTTCTATGTATTCTAATTAAGACCCCGAAGAATAATTTGAGCTGAATGAATTGATTGGAGAAGGCGCTTATGCAAAAGTTTATAAGGGGAAACACAAGAACGGCTAAATAGTAGCTATAAAAATAGTTCCTTCCACTGGTGAGATACAATCATTAATCAAGGAGATCCAGATCTTAAAAGTATTATGACTTATGAAAGTAGGAATGTTAACATGCCCATATAGTACAATATTACGGTTCCTTTTATAAGGATGGAAATTTATGGCTTGTGATGGAATATTGTGTGGGAGGGTCAATTATTGATCTGTTGAAAATCACCTAGAAAACCTTAACGGAGTCAGAGATTGCTGCCATTTTATATCACGTCCTCCTTGGAATTGAATATTTGCATGCGAATAAAAAAATCCATAGAGATATCAAAGCTGGAAATATTTTATTGGATGAGAAGGGAACAATTAAAATTGCAGACTTCGGAGTAGCTGCACAACTCATATATACGAATGCAGACAAAGTATTTTTACTCTAATTCAAAGGGTACAGTAATAGGCACTCCTGTTTACATGTCTCCCGAAGTTATATCTAAGAATCGATATAACCATCTAACGGATATTTGGTCTTTGGGAGTGACTGCTATTGAACTTGCAGAAGGAAAGCCCCCATATTCTCACATTCATCCTGTAAGAGCGATGTTTGCCATTAAAAACAATCCACCTTAGGGTTTAACCAATCCTGAAAAGTGGTCCAAGGAATTTAACGATTTCGTTAAATCTTGCTTAAAAGTACAAGTCTCAGAAAGACCCAGTGCTTAACAATTACTTTAGTCTCCCTTTATCAAATAAGGCAAGCAAGACTAAAAGAAATTAGTAAATCTCATTGAAAACTTTCTCAACTAAATTGATGAGTATAGGTAATCAAAAACCTAAGGGAATTTAGAAAAAGTTTAAACCTTAATCTCTAAACAAGAAGCTAGTGAAGATGAAGAATAGTCATGTGGAACTGTTGTGGAATGTGGAACTCTTGTGATTAAAGAAGAGGAAGCCTAGAGTAAAAGCAAAAGTGAAAAAGAATTGGATTTTGTAGCTTATGCTAAAAAGGAGAAAATAATAAATGAAATAATTGATGAACAACTAAGTGATGAGTAATAAATGGAAAATATGAATTAAGATGACAGAAAGAAGTTTTTGGCATTTTTGTAATCACAAATGGAAGAGGAAATCTCAAAAGTAAAATAAAAGTATATGCCTAAAATTGAGATGCTAACTCAAAAAATTAAACAAAACGAACCCCCAGAATTGCCAAAGCCATAGGAATATATTCCTAAGATTAAACCATAGGAATATAGTAAGCCTTAGGAATAAATTAATTAGAGCAAACCTCAGCAATTGATCTAAACTCAATAATCTCAATTAATCTAATAATAATAACAACCATAAAAAATTGAAGTTTCAGTTCCATTTCAAGTCAATCCAGAAGTTTTATAAAAATTATCAAATATGAAAATCCCTCAAATCAAAATGTAGAATATAAGTTCTCCAACAGCTTAGTTAAGATCTAATCCTAAATAAAAAGTAAATCCTGAGTATTTAGTAAAATAAAATATAAATTCTAATTATTGATTAGAATTTAATTTAAACTATTATTTATTCTATTATCTATCTTAATCATTTTAATAGAATAACAAATTAATCTTTCTGACTTTAATTCTAACATAAATAATATAATTTTACTTATTTATATCTTAATTTACTTAATCAATCTTAAATTTAATAAAAACCAAGTTAAAGCATATAAGTTATTATTATGAAATAGATTCAATTAAAACCAAAAAAATAAGGATTTCTATGATAGAGATATCGTATGTTTATATTGTATTCTGTGTTTTTCTTTTCAATAAGTGAATAGATGAAGATACTGACGATTATTTGATATACTAAAATAAATAAAATTATTATGGATTAAGAAATTGTGGATTAACTAACTCTCGATTCTATTCCGTACTACGAAGAGTAACTGTATGGGGCATTATAAGTCATAATTGATTTATAGTAAAAGGTTGAATAACATGAAATGATTTTGGATGATGTACAATTGAAATGTTATTAGAAAAGGATAATTCCAATGAAAACTTGGCTGAGGATGTAGAAGGAGATCTTCAAGAAATAATTTCAACCATATAATTTTAATAACTAAAGGAATTATAAGATATTGATGAGATGAGTTAAAAATAACAAGAGGATTTCGATTAATTGTTTAAAGTATGGAGCTTATTTCAATTTAGCAATTACATGAGTTGGAACAAATGACTACTCAATACTAATAAGAAAACAACTAAGATGAACAACACATAAAAATTACACAGCAAATGATTTTTGAAAGATAGCAATAACTAAAAGAATTAAGTCAATAATTTATGATGTAAGACATTCACAATCAAGAAAATCAAAGGATTATCTAAAATTTACAATAAAAACTGTAATTGGACACTATCATTATGCCTTAACATGGTTCTAAAGAATAGACTATAGAAGTTAATTAAATTGTAAAACATCAACGTTAAGAATCAGAGGAAGATGTTGATTATATCTAATATCTTTAACTGACTGATTATAAGTAAAAACTAGAAGAAGAATTAGAACAAATCGCTAATTAACCTAAAGTTTTGAAGGATATGATCGAGGTCTCTACATAAACCAATGAATAAGAGTTTGCAATTAGAAAAAAGAATTACGATGACTTTGCTTACTCTATCAGTTGTGTTTAGCCTACTTATTCGTTGGAAAATACTCCAAAAACAAGTCAAATACTATTGCATTCTCTTTTAAAAGAGGAGAAACAAAAAAACAGAGGATGCTGTTCAGATTGCAGAATTTACTGAAAATAAAATAATTTGATAGATCATTTCTTTTATTGCATTTTACCTGTTTATGGTTTAGATTTATTTTCTAGAACATTGAGTGTTCCTATTGTTGGGTTCACATTGAACATTTTGTTGTAGTTATTATCTCTATTAATTAATTCTAATTTAAAGTATTTCATCTATTCATTAACCTTTTTGATCTCCTCATCTTTCAAATTGACTTAGGATTATAACTATTTAATCAATTCTAAATCTTCAGGTCGACTAGGTCTTTCTTCATAGAGACGAGTTATTTCTTTATAACTATCATAATAATAATAAGTACTCTTCCTCAAGCATCTATAACTTTTACATTAGTAATTGTTGGGCCTATTCAAACTCATTTTTTAAATTATCAGCAAACTCTTTTTATTTTATTAAGCTATCCTTTAATTATTAGTTAAGAGATTGTCGTAATTATTGCTCTAATTATTTAGCTTCATCTTTCATCTATTATACCCATACATCCTTTTCTTTTATTTGCTTTGAAAATTCTACTTCAGCCTATTGATATTTGATATTTAAATCTTTAATTTATTACTACAAAATCTTAATTTACTGTTCATATTTATCCGAAGTGTTCTTGTTTAACTCTAAAGAGTTTTCTAATTACCTTCTTAGATCGGAGATAATATCTTTAGTTGCTTTATGATCAGATTACTCTTATTCTAGTTTATTTTACAACTATTTTAGTTTATTTTCAAATTCTGAAATTTTATCATTTAACTATCTCTCATATCTTTATTAAACATCTTATAATTAATTTTCGTAGTTTTTAATCAGCGATTATTTTTAATTTTCAAATTCTCTTGCTTACTAATTTAACTTATTCTGAGTTTCTACATTTAAATCATCTTTTATTTATTAGATTTCTTTTTCATAATATACTTTCATTTATTCTTTCATTTATGTATTCTTTTTGTCCAGCAACTAGAGAAATAACCTATATTTCTTACTTCTATCTCATAATTGTGTTTTAAGTTAATTTCCTTTAGCATTTACTCAAATTCTTCCTCTTTTAATTTTAATCTTCTTGCCCAATCCCCTTATCCAGTTTCCATATCCTTTTTGAGAGAGGTGATTTATTATAAAAGCCTTGCAATTTCCTCTTCTTTTAACTACAATTTTCGTTCAAAATCTACTTTTATTTATTTTTTTTCAGCTTCATATTATTATCTCAAGCTAATTAAAATAAATTATATGTATACCTATCTATCTATTATTCATAGGATAGCTTTTATTGGTTTAATTGTTCATCTTTCTCCCTCAATAGATCAATCCTTTGTTATTTGATTTATTATTCTAATTCTTAGATTCTAGTTTATAATTATCCTTAATTGCTTGAGCCTTCTGATTGTATTTATTTAATTTTATCTTCTAATTCAGCAATTCTTTACAATAATTATTTGATTTCCTATTCTTTGCTTGTTATTTGATTGAGATTATAAATAATAGTTTATTCTAACTCTTTGATTTTATTTTACAAATTTTAAATTTCACTTTCCAATCCTGATATTTTAAGATTGGCTTAATTAATTTAGTTTTTCAAATCATTAATTGCTTAGCCAGCAGATTTTTCAACATTAGCCCTTTCATCATTTAATTATTACTCTAGTTGCTTCAATCTTTTATTAAAATCATTTTTAATTGATTCAATCTCTTAAGCATGATTACTCTCTAAATTTTTAATCTTATTTTCTAATTCTTCCCTTAATTCTTTTAATTTTAATTCATATTCAGTAGTAATTTTTTATATTTTTTCCTCATATCGTTTAATTAATTCTCTTTTCTCTGCCTCAATTTGTTCAATCTTATTCAATAAATTTTTTTCTAATTCTCCCATTTAATTTTTTGCTTAATTTTACAATTTCTCAATTTCATCTTCCAATCTTCTGACATTCTTCTTTAACTCTTCAATCTCTTTTAATTTATCACTGTTGCTCCTATCACTTGCATCTCTAACTGCATTTAATTCCATTTGCAGCATATCTGCCTTCTTCTATAATTCATTCAATTTAATATGAAGTTCTCTTATTTCAAAATCTTTTGATTTAAGTTATTATTCAAGGTCACTTAACTACTTAGTTAATTGAGTTTCCTTCATTGATCCATCCTATTAATAAGCGTGTAATTAGGATTTAAGATTTTCAATTTATGAATTAAGTTACTTAATCTTGTCTTCCAAATCGCTGTTTGTCTATTTCAATTTACTATTTTCATTTTTCTATGACAATATTTCAGTTTGAGATTGTTAATATTTTTATCCAATGTCCTTTAGATCAAGAGTAAGTTTAGCAATCTAATCTTTAAGCTGATGAATTTCATCGGAAAGATTATGGTTATGCTTAGTAAGATCATCCTTCTAATTTTTAAGATTGGTAACTTCTTATTTTAGTGAATTTATTTCATTTTATAATGATTGCAATTTTTAATCGAAATTTTACTTCATCAAATCTTACAGTCTATCCTAAGCCTCTTTAGATTTTCTCTTCTCTTCCTCTATCTTTTTCAATAAATCATCAATTTCTAATTATTGTTTCTGGAGTCGTCTATCTTTATCTGCTATTTAATCATCCAATTCAAGTTTTTTTCTCATAAGTGTATCATACTTTTCCTTCCATTCTTTAATAGTGTCTTCCAACTATTTCTAGGATCCTCTCCTTAACTCCTCTTATTTCATAATGACTTTGTCAACTTACTTTGAAAGATCATCAAATTTTTATTTTTAAAATTCTGTTTCCTTCTAAATATCTTTTATCTTCTTTTCATACTGAGTTACAAGACCTTATTCTTTCTCTTCCATCCTTTTCCTATATTAAGAATATTCAATTTATGCAGTCTATTTCTCTACTTGCACTTTTTCTTGAAGTTGTTTTAGTTCTTATTAAATATCATCATTTTTGTTCTACTTATCTAATGCCTGCTTGTAAGTAAGTACGATCTGATTGGCACTTAAAAATAAATTGAATTTGATACTCTTTTACAATCTAATCCATTTCTTATTCATATGCTTAAACAACTGCTTTGAGATTACTTTCATATTCATCATTTTTGGTGTTCAAGAAGAAAATAACTTTAGTTAGCTGAGCAATCTTTTTGCAAAGTCGATGGTGAAGTTCGCCTAAGTCCATCAGTTAATAAATCAAATTATTAAATTGGATATAATAATAATCATAACTGCAGTAATTTGAACGTAATACAACTGTCCAAATAATCTTTACCATATATTTCCGGCTTTGTCTGTTACCCTAAAACTACTCTTAGCTTAAACTATTGCTTATTGTGATGGTATTGTTTCTAAAATTAGATTCTGCCAGTTCATTGGAAACAGAAGGTGTTGTTACTATTTTTGGAAACGTAGAAGCATCATAAATACAAAAATCTCGTATCAAATGCTTTCTTTATTCCAATAACTTTTATTTATATTGTAATACTTAAGATAACAACTATTCTCATTAATAATTAATATTATAAACATTAAAATGTTCTTATAAAATAATTATATTATTTACTTTTGAATTATTGAATAACTATGAATACTTTAATGAAATTTATTTTCTCTGAAAAGTAAGTAAACTAAATTTATCATCAATCAAGATTTCATCAAAAATGATTAAAAACATAACCATATTAAATGTGAAACCTATAGGTAGATCTTAAACGGACATTAAACAATGAATAACACTCTTTATATTTTTAATTGATAAATCATCATTATTTAACCGAAGTTGAGTTTCTCTAAACAACGTATTTGTAGAATACTGCAATTGCTTCACCTACACCCTTAATTCTTTCAGCTTCTTCATTTTGTATGTCTATAAATTCATTTCTTGAAATTATTACCAAACCCGAAATTTTCTTCCAAAGCTACAACCATTTCAACTGCATCCAATGAGTCAAACCCTAATTCTTCAAATGTAGCCTACATATGAAAACTCTTTTTTACTTTATCAGATAATTTATCAACTTTGCATTTTGCTGCAGATTTCATGACTTAAAGCACTTTTGCTGTAACCTCTTCCAATAACTCCTTGTTTTAGGTTGTTGAACAGAATCTGAATGTTCTATATTAGAATCCCATTGGGTTTATGAGACGAAGAGCTCTGACAAACATTATTAAGAATAATTAGATTTTATTTATGAATTTTGTGGTTGTTATAAACATATTTTTTAGATTTCAAATGTTAATTATTACTTCACTACAGAATAAGGTTGAATAATAAAATTACTCCTTTCCCATATATTAATTAGTATTTGTAATTCAATAAGAACAATATTTGTTGGACCTTAAGGTGTTTGAAATAATTATTATTATTATGAACACATAATTATTATTCTACCAATATATTATTAGAACAGATAAAAATTATATTTATCTCTATTTTATCAGCATAATAAGTAAATTATATGAATATGAATATCTTACCACTATGAGGGTGGATTTTCATTTAGAAAATGAATTTTTGAGAAGTTATTTCTTGGGTTAAACAGTAATAAATTTCAACCACTTTTAATTTTTGAAAGTTAACTTGATTTCAAATAAAAAATAATATAAATATCATAAAATGAAGGGGTTCTGTAATTTTTCGAAAATTCTTCTTCATTTCAATAGATTGAATTCGTAATCCATGAAAGTGCAGCTAAGAATGTAAGAATTTTCAATATTTATAGAGCTAATTAATAAGTGAATAAGCAATTCAGATTTAGTTCTTTAATCACATCATCACAATACTTTACATTTAGTAGAAACAATCTAATTGGGGCTATCGAATTGTTGGAAAGTAATTAGTATAAAATATTGACTTTAGTAAATAAAATTTTAATGTAATTGGAAGTGGAGAGTTGGAATCGGAAAGGAAATCAAGTTTGATATGATATATTCTGATATTTAATATAGATTTGAGTCTTATGTTATTCAACATGATAAAGTTGTTGATATTTAGTTAGAATTAATTTTATGAATAAAATAACTTCGTCAGATCAATCATAGCATGTCCATTATGTAGAATATCCTATGAGATGGATACAATTAGGACTCTTTTTGTGTGCACTGCTCTCTAATATCATGTTCGGATTTTCATTATCTCCAATAGTAAAGGAGATGTCAATCATCTATGATGTGGATAGCAGGTGATTATTTGAAACTAAAATAGATATTTGTAATTTTTAACGATAAGCTTCACAGTGTTTTCAGTAATAATGATCATACCTGGAAATATAATTAATGAGAAATATGGAATCAAAATTAGTATAATGATAGGTATGACAATTAACTAATTAGGATGTATTTTAACTTTTGTTGGGTCAGTGAGTGCAATGCTGATAAATGTTTCATTTTGGTTTTTCTTTTTGGGCTAACTATGTTCTTTGATAGGATTTCCATTTAGATTAATTAGTGCTTCTAAATTTGTTGCAAATTGGTTCTATCCCGAGAAAAGAATCTTGATTATGGTAATCATTGCTTTGTGTTTCAACGCAAGTTCTGGGATTGCCATTAAAATCCCTTTGATTATTTTGGGAGATTACGAGATTAAAGATTTGCATACCTAAGCTGAAATTGATGAAGGTAGAAGATTGATGTAGAATTTGATGATCTTTCTATTTGGTTTAATGATCTTGTTATGTATTCCACCAATCTTCTTTTTCAAAGGCAAAGCTCCAACACCACCTAGTTTTACAGCTTCGGATGTAAATTATAATGTTTTATTTAAAGCAATGTGTAAGAGTTGACTATCGAAAAGCTGGAATAATTGTAGCCAAGAATTTTGATTTTATGTATTTAACTATAGGCTTTGCATTTATATTAGGAACTATTACATTATTTACATTATAAATGGAATACCTAATTAAGCCTTTTGATTATACCTTGATGGATCAAAGCAATTTAGTGTTGGCAGGTGTAATTGCTGGTCTAATTGGAGATATTTGTGTAGGTACAGCAATAAAAAAACTGAGATCTTTCAAATTAGTATTAAGAATTTGTAATGCTTTAGTAACAGTGCTATTTGCTATTTTGATTATAGCAATACATGTGAATAAAACATTTTTCTTTATTATGTACTTCCTAGTTTGTGGCTGTTCAGCTATTATGGCATTAACTTTTGAGTTTTCTTGTGAGTTATGTTTTCCAATGAGTGAAAATACAACCATAGCTATGTTGGGATTATTTGGTAACCTAATCAATTTTTTTTAAGGATTGCCAGAGATCTTAATATTAAAGGTAAATATCAAATTAAAGATTCAAGGGTGACAACAAATTCTGTTCCACTATAACTATGGTTTTAATGCTTTGTTTAATTGCTGGAGCTAATTATTTCACAAAGAATGTGGATGAAAATTTGAAGAGACAAAAAAGAGATTTTCAAGAAGATGATGAGGCAGAATAAAGAGAAAATGCAATTAGTATGTTAGAACAGTCTATTTTAAATTGAATTAATTTACAATCATTATTAACTTAAACATTTAACCCTAAAGACTTTATTGACTCTAAAAATATTCTAATAATAGTTTAAATGTTCTTGAGATTAAAGAAATTATTATCCAAATATTGTTGTATAATCTAAGAGAATAGAAGAAGAAGAGAACATAAGTAATGTGTATTTAGAAATTACATTGAAGTAATAACGATTTGTATTTCTATTTATTGTGTACGATATTTTAGATAACTTATCATCTGAAATAATATAAAGCTCTTGCTGTTTAGCCTTAGACCTTTGATTCGTCTTCTGTCTATTGAGTCCAGTATTCTTCAAACAAGGCTCTGTCTTCAGGTTTGGTTGCATCAAGCTTTGTAAGTTAAAGATACTCGAATGTTGGGTGATCTTTCTAGAAATTTCGAAAAATTGAATACCAAATATTATGGGACTTCAGTTCCTCTCCAGATCCATGCACCACTAATATCAAGATTTGGAACATCTCCATAGACACCATGGATAGCAAATGCCCATTTCTTGAAGTGTGGATCAGCTCTTTGTAAAAATCCATTGCAATTGTTTCTGAAGGAAATAAGAACTTTTCCTTCACCTTCTGCCTTAATGTATTTGACAATCCAGATAGACCATCCTTATGAATCAAAGACATTCCAAAAGTGTTAGAATTCAGCAGCTTAGTCCTTTGATGCTAAGAATTGTCTCTTCCAATCATCGATATTGAAGGTTGATGGGGGTAAGGCATCAAATTCACAGACTTACTTCTTTGGTTTTTCTTCCTCTTCTTCATCAGCCTTTTATGGTTTTTCCTCCTTCTTTGGTTTCTCTTGTTTTTGTTATTGTTATTAAGGTTATTTCTCTTTCTTCTCCTTCTTTTCATGATGTTCATGACCATGAGCTTGACCGTGGTGGTGTCCAGCAAATTACAATGCAGGGAATGGCTTCTTTGTATATCTTGTTCTTCCGAATAACTAAATATTATTGATTCAAATACATCTAAGAAAGCTGGAAGTTCTGATACTTATTTATACCATCTGACAATATTCACTAACTTAACTCTGTCATCTTCTCCATAGAGGAATTAGAATATTCCTTAAAAGTATGAAGCTAAATTAATATCAGCAATTGTCAATTAATCACCCACCAAGTATTTACTATTGGCGAAATGGGCTTCCAATACTTTGAATTTCCAATCCAATTCAGCATGAGCTTAAGTAGCTTATGTTGGATTGATTGGAAAATGTCCAAGGACTGGCAACAAGAGTTAAATCAATTATGGCTCGATTTCACCTGTTGCAAAGTCTAACCATTATTTGACTTTGGCTTATTGGAATTCATTGGCTCCAACCAAAGGAGTTCCTCTGACCACATATTAAAGGATAGCATTGCTTTCGCTCAATATTCCTTCTGGGGTCTCTAGGATAGGGACTTTACCCAATGGATTCTTTGCTAAGAATTCTGGGGTCTAGAATGAATGAAGGTATTGAATACTTCTAAATCTTTCCATTCTAAGAGGTGGGAAGCAACATCAACATTGGCGAGTTTAGCAGCAACGAGGATTTTATTTGCTCTTGGATTGCCAGCGATATAATTAAGTTTTAAAGACATCTTAAATCTTAAATTTATTTATTTCAATAGGAATTAAACCACCTTGATTTCAACAATGTTTTTTCTCCATTTAAACAATAGAATCTATTTCAAATTCACGTCTCTCTCTCTCAATCCTAATGTACGTATCACCTTTACCAAGCGAAATTCAAGATAACCTCCATTTCCAATTCAGCTAACCGTATTCTTATATTAAATAATATATCTTACTGTGAGTATCCCTTTTTTAATTCATAATATCCCATAATTCCAACCATTTTTTCCAATACTTTCAGCTTATTTTTGTAATAAACTTAGGATACCATAACTTCAGTATAAAATTTGGATAAATTTTTTTTCTAAAACAAACATCCTTATTAATTCATTTATCATGTTATTTTGCCTATAAATATTAAGAATTAGATCATTAAGACACACTCTCATTTGCATTATTAATTATTTATTTTAGAGAAATTTTTAATAATATAACTTAAATATAAGAAGTGAATTAAAAATCATTATTGCAATAAACAGCCTGGAATTGAATCTAAATCTATAAAGCTAATTTTGATCTAATTTTTTTAATATTGAATTCTATTTGTTAATCCATAATGAGATAGTAGAAATTTTATTATTGCAAAAACTAAGCAAGTTGATTTGCTTGAATCCATTATTTCTAAAAAGTTTATATATGAATCCATGATTCTTTTAAAATTTTAATCATCTAATTAGGACTTCTGCTTTTAATAATATTTATTCTCTTGGAACAAATGAACTAAATTTTATCTAATCTTCAACTCCTAAGCTTCAAAAGAAAATTCAAAGTATCTTACTTACTATATCAATTACTCTGATATTTTGATTATTACATTAGATTTAGTTTAAGATTGTATAAATTTAATAAGATTGACAGATATAAACATAATGACTTGAAGAGATGATTGGAAAGAACTCTATTCGTTTTTAAACTGAATTTAAATTGATTTTTTAAATATCTTCTTGAGTTGATCTTCCACTTTATTAACACTGACCTAGCTTCTATTTTAAACATATCTGCTGGCATTCAACCATATAAAGGCAGCATTAAAGTAGTTATAATCATCTATTAGGTTATGAAGATTCAAGTATTTATAAGAAATTACTTTAGCAGTCTTTTCAATCAAACGTAGAGATTTATTTGTCAAAGATCTGAAATAATTCTCAACTGCAAGATATTTTTGACAAACCTCCTTACATTTTTATTTCTCATTCTAGAGAATCATTATAATCATTTTTGAATCTGATAAGTAATACTCCACTAATTTCACCTTCAAATACCTTCCTGTTTATTATTAATATCCTACATATGTATAATATAAAGAATCCTTTAGACTATTCATAGTATCAAATTTGCAAATCTTAATGCTCAGAAACTATAGAAGGATATCTTCTAAAGTAATTAAACCTGATTATGTTCTTTAGGAACTTGTTTATTCGATTTGAGTCTATTTTAATAATACTGATTTATTACGTTTCTTAAAAATAAACGAAATTCTTGGTTATTTTAAATCATAAATTCAGATTGAGCTGCTTTGGATTACTGTACTAAAAATAATTAATCTTAAGATTTATCGAATTGAACAAACATTGTCCACTTTTTGACGATCTTGTCCATAATTTAGAACCATTTCATGTTTTCCCTATACTTTAAATAACTTAATCTCTTATTTCTTTCTTGTTCTCTTCTACAGAAAAACACCACCACAAATACAATGACTATTTAAACGGTTATGTAGGCTCCATTTGGACTTGAAAAATCAAATCTAGATATATGCCAAGCCAAAATTCCAATCATTGTTATGGTCTAGAAACACAGAATTGTTCCTTATAAATATATGCCTTTTTAATGAATTAAAAAAAAAATACATATGTGGCTAATCGCTGCAAAAAATCCGTAGTACCATTGGTATTTGAAATACATTTATGGTATATTGTCCTAGTTTTTGCTCAAGGCGAAAATGTTATAGATAAATGTCACAGTAATTTGCAAAAAAGGATAAACGAAATTGGAAAATTAAGGATATTTACTCACAAAATATCTTGAAAGCATGACAGGGATACCACAAATAAGACCGTATAGAGCATAATAGTAATTAGATTCACTAATGAAGGACAAAACAATAAATGTTCCAACAAACTAAGTATATTATGTATTTTATTTACCAATATGAGGGTGGTCAATGTCTTATATTCATTTATCATATATGGTTAATAATTTATTCTATACTCTTACTCTATCTCAGGGACAATAAATGTGAGGAACATCTTGTGAAGCATTTTAGTAACAAATAATAAATATTGATTATTGAAAATTAAAAATATAGATTATTAAAATGAATCTTATCAATTATTTAATGCATGAAGTTAAGAAAACATAAGAAATCATTAAATATTATTTACATTATCTTTTTTATAAATAGTCAGTTACTATATTTTTAGGATATTTTAGTTTTTCTCCAATTAGAATTAAATAAATATAAAGGAATACTAAACAATAGGAACTGAAAATAAAAGTTTCTAATTAATAGAAATAAATAGTTAATTTATTAAATGAAATAAATTCTATGAACTAGAATATACATATTTCTAATAAAATGCAATGTTATCATGCCGATCATATTGATTAAATAGAAATCAAATATAAAAATATCATAAATTTATATACATTTCATAATGTAACTCAAATCTATAATTCTTAAATAGATTAATTTATTGTTTAACAATAATTTGCTTACTCTTGACTATCAGTTTTATTTTTAGTTTTTGTTTTCAGTTTGTTTATGAACTCTTAATGCAAAGGGTAAATTTATCTTTTGTTCATTAAAAACTATTTTATTCAAGAAATTACTTTCAAAAATTTAGAAGTGATTAATGAATTAGCAATCGATTCCTACAATTCAATTTATTTGTTTCGTTGTTGCTTATTTACCCTATTGAAATATTTAAGCATTTTCTTATTTTATAAATTACTGGTTTTTCTTTTACTTATTTATAGAATCCATTATTCGATTTCATTCTGCATCGTAACTGGATTTCGTTTACCATAATCATCCCATATAAACATCTGATTGTCCTCAAAAGTTGATTGCGTTTCAGGTTCCTCCATCTTAATAAAATTATCAAATATCTAATCCATTGGAAATAAATATTGAGCAATCCCTAAACTCAATTGAAACCAAACCAAATAATGGATTTCATCTTATAGAAGAACTTACCAAATGCAGTTTCCTATAGAGAATAACAAAATTGCCAACTCTATATAAGTATCCACCTATTCATCAGCCAATTAACTGCCTATTGTTGGACCCTTAGAATAGCGATAAATTAATAGATATTTTTCAACCCAATAATCGATAATGATAAAACTTAAAGATATTAAGACCCCTAATGGGATGAGTTGAGCATAAAAAAAGGAGAGCATCAAAGTTTTTGTTATTGTAGCATACTTTTTCGATAAATCTCCAGGTGAGCCTTCAAAAAGTAAATTAGCTTCTCTCTATGTTAATGCACAAGTCTATCCCTAATTTTATGATTTTCTAATTTAATATTATCTGTAAAAATAATATGGATCCAATAAATTAAATAACCAAGGAAATATGGCATTCATGATCAAGACCAAACAAACATCAGATATTAATCCTCCATCTTTCCAAGTTTAAGTTAATATATCCTGATCATTTAATGCTATATTTACTAAAAGTGGAACGATGGCTGTATTTAGAAATTGAGCCTATTTTATTATTCAAATAATACGATGCCTAATTTATTAGCAAAACTGATATTAAATTCGGTTTAGGTTGAATGCAACTCCAGGGATACAAACTTTTTGATCAGCAATCCCATAATGTTATTTAATATTGAGATTATGAAGGAAGCTATCAATCCAAAAACTGTTATGTACAATTCGATTGAAGTAGATCGGCTTTTTTTGTCTGATTGATTTAGTTTATCCTTTGATTATATCTGTTAATACCTGATACACAGAAACACCTAATATAGATCCAAAACATATGGCCAAAATAAACAAGGACCCTAAATTTGTTAAAATTTAATATTTAAACTAAATTAGAGGGTTAATACCTAAATTTTCCCAAATTACATCCCCTGGCTCTGGTGCTCTAATCACATGAGGGGTCTTTCCTTAAAATGTCTTAGTAGATTCTAAAGGGTAGAAAAACAGTAATTTTTAGAGAATGTACTAGAATTTGGTTTGAGTGTGATATTTCCTAATTTACTTAGCTTAAGTCGAAGTGTTATAGGTGATAAATGCTACGCCACTAAATTTAAATAATTGAGGGTTTTGTTGGAATTACATAATTTTAGTATTGATTTCATCTAATTGTTACTCCAGATTTAATGTTTATGACCCCAATGAAAGATTTTATCTATTAAATTTCAAATAGATAAATTTACTATTCAGAGAGAATTGATGTTATTCTTAATTCATTTTCTATTTTGAGTTTAGTTAATTTATAGTATTCTTACATGTCAAAACCTAATACAATTTATACAATATTTAATTTTGAAATGGAAGATCCATTTAATTTGATTTCTGAAAAGTAGTCTGAAATCTCCTATTTGGTTGAGGTTAATGGCAAATTACTTATTTGAATGGAGTAATCAGATATGGAGATATTCTTCTCATCGATTTTTGCAGCGACAATATTCAAGCGTCTTCTATAATAGATTGAAAAGACAATCATAACCAAAATATTGCAGATGTCCAATCCCAGCAATATAACATCAGGGGTTCTAATATTGCAATGGGAAAATACCTGGAGCTATTTGTAAGTGAGTAAGTGTTATAGTAATTCAATTTGCAGACTGAAGAATTAGTTTCACATTCTGATCCCTTATAATTATTTAATGCGTTGTACAACCCAGATATTAAGCTAAATAATGATGATCTCATTCTTACAAGTTCAAGGATAGTAAAATAGCTACAAATAGCATGAATTCAAAGAATAATGGTACTCCTGCTCCATTAAAAGCCAGCTCTTCATTTTTGCAACAAAAACTTAGTTGTGATTCGATTATAGGAAATCCACAACAAGGACAATACTCGATATTGTCTATGTTTTCTATTTCCTTTGAATAACTAAATTTATTGGCTTTCTTTTAAAATCATCAAAAATATATTACTGCATGATTTTTAGCTAGTTCAAAGTTTGGAGGCCTTCTAAAAGGCTCGTAATCATCATTTTATTCTTCTTAAAGATCCAAATCATTAATTATAGATTTTAAAAACATATAATTATATTGTGATGACATCAAAATTACTCTATATCAAATTATTTCTCCTATAATTATCCATTTTATACCAAAATAGTGGCATTGTTAAGGAATCATCCTTTAATAAACTTCTGGTTTGGAATACTTCTGTAGTTCAAAAGTGACAGGATAAGTTTGCTTGTGCTTTTTTTCAAGAAGATTTTGAAAGGAACCTTGCAAAAGACATTAACATTTATATAAATAATAATTGCTATATCTCCTACAATTTAATTATTTAAATGAAATCTATCATTATATTTATAATCAATTAAAAAGAACATTCACAATCACTCATTTTAAAAAATGACAATCAAATTGTAACCACTGTTAAATTAAACACTTAGTATAACAAATATTAATGGTTTCCTTATTTAAAATTATAATACTATTTGTCTTCGAGTAGTTTCAACAATCTCTTTATAAACAAGTTCAAGAAATTTAGATAATAAGTATGACCTTATTTCTAATTTCCTTGTAATAGTAAAGAACAGCTCAATATTATAATTAGAAATTAATTTATTTATTGTCTAGGTGATAGCAAATTCTGTGAAAACCAACTTGTAAAGCTCATTTGTAATGCCAATAAATATCTTTTATGTATTGGGCGATAGATTTAGAAAGATACAAAGGTAAGAGTCAAGAGTCTCACATATTATAATTTATTAATTCCAATAAATATTGATAATAATTCATTTTTTTATCTTGATATTAATAAATCTTTTCTGTTATGATGGTTCATGATCGAAATTGTTTTAAATCAGAGCCATACATATAATGCAGAAAGAGATCAGTCTCCGAATGATTGAATTAACGATTCAAGAATTCCCATCAAATTTAAAATCACCCAAAGTTAATATTTTTGAGTATAGCTTATGAGTTTTTGTGTTTACATGTATCTATAATATTAATATTGTGTTTCATATGATTTAAGAATACATTAATTAATAAAATGTAGAGTTTGTAATCTGATCTAAAATATATAAGAGATGCTCTTACTCTACTAATTGATAAACTCTTACCCTATATAGAACAAAAGCAAATACTATAATTTTGCAAGTCGTTGAAGAATAAAGTAGCTGACGATAAAGTTACTGCCTTTTCGATATACATGGAAACTTAAAAAGGTTTTGAAGCAAGTTAAGTAAAAGCGATTAAGTTGAATAGTACATCGGATGAGAAGTTTACACTTCAAGTTCTCACTAAAATAAGGTAGGCTTAGACTGAGTTCAAGAATAATACTCAGCAATTTGCATCTATTTATAACTCAGTGAAAGAGAATGTCGAATCGGTTTATGTTTCTAGCCAAGAATTATAGACGATGATGAATGAAAAGTAGATCTAGAATAAGGTGGAATCAAGATAAGAGGAAATACGACGGGTCTCGATATATAGCAAATAAAATAGATAAAAAACAGAGTAAGATATATCTGAAGAGAAGGCCAAAAAGTATAAAATTGAGGTTAAGCCAGAATAAAATAAGGAGATCAAATCAGATAACAATAAATTGGGTTAAAAAGTTGAGTAGAAATCTGAAATGAAATTGGAGAAGGTGGAGAAATCAGATTCAAAATATTCATTCGAAGGATCTAAGAAAGATATAAGTTCAACTCAAGATTTATTATAAAACTAAAGAATTATTCATTAAAATTAATCGCAACAGTAAATTAAATTAGAGAAACAGCAAGTTTAGTTGTCTCCAATAAATTATTAACAAGTAAAATCATAAAACATATCGTCTCAACCATCGTTTAATTATCTCCATACACAACCTCATTCATACACTCAGGTGCCTTTATCAATGAACTCTCTAACAAATAACTTCACTTATGTGCAACAATCATCCTAATCCTAAAAGTAAATTTTATATACCTAAAGTGATTAAAAATCGAATTCCTAAATGGGAGCCTATGTTCCAAATTATGATTTGTTGGCTAGAGTGGACCAATTGCTTTCAAAGACCAAGAGTAATATTTAAACCTAAAATACGACTCATTGTTTAACAAATAGAATATGATTTCATAATTATATAATTTCAAATAATATCATTATCTATTCGTCATATCACAATTAATATAAGGCTCTCATGGGAGCATGATTAATGAAGAAGTTCAATAAATAGGCAATGGGAGCTTTTGTTTGGGCAATAATCTATTGTAAAGTCCAAGGATATAATAAAATTTTGAAGATGACAATTATTGGGTCAAATAGGATGTGATTGGACAGGTAGGAAATCAAAAATTATCTGGCCCAATTATCAGCAGTATCTATTTAGAGTCCAATAACATTGTAGAAGTAATAGATACTAAATTAATGATATAATTGAATACAAGCATCCTCCTAGTATGGCGACAGTTAGACAAAATCCAATGATTTTTTCTTATATCCATCCGTTTAATTCAGCTTTGACAATTGCCAAGAAGAATACTGATATTTCTCCGATAAAAATAATCAATAGAATGTGTTGAATTTCATTCAGATACGTGATGGTATATGAACTAACAACGAACATTACCATTAATTTCATATATAATTGTAACACTCTACTTGGTCTTGAGAACTTCGAATCGTAGTATAGGAAGATGCTTAGGAGTTCATGCAATTTCTAGAAGTATTATTAAATGTATTACTATCATTCCAGTAAGGACTAGATCTGCAGAAGTGTATTTAATGCCCATTTCGACATTAGTTTAAAAGATGGGTTCATATTAAACAGCTGCATTGTGAAAATCATCCGATTGCTTTTGTTGTTTATTATAATTTTTATTAAAGATGGTCATATGAGAGAAATCCTCTTCCTTAATTGATTGATCAAATAATTATTTCGCATCGTATTTTTCAGTCTCCTTATTCTTGTACCTAACACTTAAGACACTTGATTTCTCTGGATAAATAGTTGACTATTTGATCTTGGTAAAATCAGCCGATTTATCAAACATCTTCTAATCCACATCATCCTAATTGCCATGATCACTCATAATGGGAGAGGATACAGGTAACACAACCCTGGAGGATCTGAGATCCAAAATAGCTGTGATTATAGTAAATAGAATCATGATTCCTGACATTATTCCAATAGTCAATCCAATAACTGTGAGATGCATATTCTCTATGGATACAAATTGGATCTCCCTCAGATCTACAGGGATATATTCTTCCATGAGGATTATATCACTAATGTATTTACAAGTGCAAGTATGTTAGGAAGTCAAGACTGATTTGGTACAATTGTCACCTGTGAAATTGGAAACAATTGATGCACATCTAGTGTTATTTTCAGAGTATTCAGTGATGAAGGAATGTTTAAATTAGAAATGTTCAAATTGCAAGACTACTTGGTAATCTGATCCATTTTGAACTATAAATTACGGACTGATATATTTCAGATTGTTAGAAAATTGATTCCATTTAGCATAGTCATAAACTTCTTATTTCCAGTAGTAAGGATTGACAGAGAATGTAATGATCGAAACTAAGTAGAGATAATTTGGGTTAATTTGAAACATCTCTACTTCTGATAAATTTGTGAATAGATCTCTGTTCTCCCACATGTAAATATTTCTTCGAGCTGCATAATTACCACTATCTGTTTTATTGGATGTATCAATTTGAACTTCGAAATTAATTGTGTCATTGTTTAGATTCCAGTACCCACTGAATACCGGAATGGCTACTGCATCCAATTTCTCATCTCCAAACAAGCTCACATAATACTCGTCTTAAGAGAGGTATTATAACACATTCTTAGTGGTGACTCTAGTAAAGGATATGTTGAAATATTGAAAGTTGCGATATATCACTTTACCGTTGGTCTCAGTGTATGAATTAATGATGAGATTCAAGACCTACACCAAACTTATGAGTCTTGTATAACAGATGTGGATCAAATCAAAATGATCCAAAATCAGAGTTGAATCCTGTATTAATTGTGCTCTAAATGAATTGACACTCTCATCTGAAGAGACCAGGTCTGACTCTTCGACTTATTTGAGTAACCTGTTCTTGTTATTTGTATCAGTTAAATTCATAAACAATTCTTTTAAATAGTCTGTTGAATTTACATCTGTGGTATTAGCATTTTTGGCTTCACTAATAGTGTCAGGATTATCAATAGTCATCCTACCTAAAAATGTGTCAAAGACATCATGGACGTCATTTATGATTTAACCAATCACTCCATACAGGGGTTACAATTCCAGATACAACTCTTAGGCTGTCACATTCCCTTTGTATTGTCCAGCAATCATTTACTTCTCGTTTATCTGAATCATGGAAGTGAATTTAATGATGTCCTTTCTGATTTGAGTTTAAAACTAAATTAAATATTACAATTTAAGGTCTATTGTATCTTCACCAATGAAATTTATTCCTGTGGATTCAATCTATTGATATATAAACATAGAATAAGTACCACATAGATGGCTTTCTGCAACATGATTTAATACTTGTCTTGGGTCTTGAGCAGAAATTAGTCACTATAGAACTCTTTCAATTTTGTTAGTGTTTGATTAACAGTAACAGCATAAGCAACTTTATCATCAAAGGAGAAGGACTCATATAGGTACTTCAATGTGAGAGATGCACTCATGATTTTTGTGATGGAAGTTTCAGTATCAAGTGATACAAGTATTTCATCCAATTTGGACTTGGAGGTTTATATGGTAACATTCTAAGAAATTATTGAGGTCGCTCCCAAACTATCTTTCAACTGACAGACTAGAGTGAATTGTCCCACCGGCAGATTTGTGGAGTAACTGCTCGATTCTATATAATCTGTTAATTCATATTATCCGTTGATTGACTGGATGTTGACTGATTGTCCATCATAGAACCAATATTTATATAAAATTGGGCCGTGTGTGTCTGAGACTGAACTTACGAGGATGTTCATGCCATTGGTTTCATCGAGTTTGATCTCACCATTTCTTGGGGGGTAATTAATGCGAAAAATTATTTCGTACTCTGCAGGATCGATATAGTTTTATAAAGAGTATGTGAAATGAATCCTGCATAATCCTATTTCTTGGGCATTGACTAAATCTGGGTAAAAGTAGCTTGCTTGAAAACGGAGTCTGGGGTATAATTGCTAAAACTTCGAGACTTAACCGTCTAAATATATAGCCACGGATATTTTGGAGTCATCTGGGGACACTCCATCGTCTAGTTGGATAGAGAAATCAATTATCTCATCAAAGTTGACCAATCTGGACAGGATTGAGTATGGATAGGATATATTCAAAAAAGGAATGATGTTCTAATTAAGTTCCACATAATACTTATGAAAAGTACAGTGTCACAGTGCGGTTAACTACATAATCTCCAGATATCAAGGCTGTGAACTCATAAGACCTCTTTGGAGGTAAGGTGGATTCTGGAATGACCACGGTGTAATTGAACTTGTCCAATGACAATGGAGATCCGTCTGTTTTTTTGCAAGTTGCATTCAGGGTCAAATCTTGGCAATTCCATGCCACTGTTAAATTCTTTAACTACATATTGCTTTAATCTGTCTCCATGTTCCATACAAATAGATTTATCTGCACTTTCTCTTTCCAAAATACTTGCCGATCTCCTTATTGAATCAATGAAACCCAATTCGACTCAAATTAAAATTAATGAATACTGATTCTTAAGCTAATAAAATATAAGTCTGGGATAGTAAGAGGACCACATAAATCATTTCAATTAGATAATTATTATATTAAGTGTATTATTTGGCTTCTATTGCTATTTCATAGTTTAATTTATTAATCTTTCAAATGGGTTCGTGCTAAGGCTCTACGGTGGATTTACAACAGGACTTGAGAATGAGAGAAGTCATGACCAAGTTTTAAGTTCCCATGCCCTATATCGATGAGTATTAAATATTCTAGACTTTGAAATAGGTTGAAATGTAATTACTCAATAATATTCCCCTTTTAGCATTCAGCATAATAGCATCCCTCATTTCGATCTCATTTACTCAAAAATGGGCGATTCATCAGACAAAATGAAGAATCTTGTTAAAAAATGGAGGATGAAATACCAATAGCATAATCATCCAAATTTATTGTCAATTCACAATGTCTCTATTCTTGAGTCCATGAAATTATTTATACCATACACTGACATTATACTCCTCATAGACAAACCACTCCAACCTTTAACAAGGCATAGGAAAGTTATAATGAAATAGCCATTTTCACAGGATGAGATATTGTTTCTCTTAGATTGCGTTGTCTCTGGTCTAGCATTTTAATAGTAGAACAAAATATATCCATCTGGATTCGACATTGATGACATCATAACTGTCAAGACTCCATTTAACACCGAAATTTACAAATTAGTAGACAGGTACTAAAAACCAATTCGTTCCAATTTATTTTAAGATTTCATTTAGCTCTACGATGATAAGCAAAGTACTTATAATTTCTATTCATAACTTAGCACTCAACGAGTTGAAAAAAACAGCATTCTTTTCACCTGCTTAGATCGAAGCTATTCCCAAAAAAGACAAGGTAATTACATAGTTTCTATATTTATAGTATCTTAAACACAATAGGTATAAATCAGATGTATTCAACTTCGCACTTATAATGATTTATTTAATATAAGCCAAGCATCCAGAAATATTTGATTGGAAGAAATGGACGATCGATGATTTTGCTTTAAGAAAATCTTTAGATGATCTTCAGATGACAAATTTTGATGAAAATTTATTACACATTATCGAACTTATGTTGACAATCGAGGAAGATAATAGACCTGATTTTTTGGAACTGGATGAGATGGTCAGTAAATTATTTTCAGATCTCTAAATCTAGCGTTTATAAGAAAAATATTAAATACAAGATTTTTTTATTATACCAATTGATAAGCCATCCGAATATAATAATTAGATTCTTATTGATAATATGTATCAATACAAATAGCAATAATAATAAATTGTATCATAAACTATGTCTTAACACTAAAGAAATGATTCTTAAAAAATAAAATAAATCGATTAAAGCTAAGTCTCTATTAAGCCTTAAAAAAATGAAATTAATAACTCATTTGATAATAATATAGTTGTAACATAAGGGAAACTACATTATTCAAATGGATTTTATTATGTTGGTTAAATTTGTAACAGAAGAAGACATGGTTTTGGAGTTTACTATAGTTCGGATAATCAGAAAGTCACTGAAGGCACATGGATTTTCGACATTCCTGAAGGAGATGTGATACTATATAATCAACCCGAGGAAGAGAAAGAGAGGAGTCACAAAAACATGTCCAGAAAAGATTGGGTCCAGTATAAAGGGCAAATGAAACAGGGTCAAAAACATGGGATTGGAGTTCTATACTTTTCTGATGGATCTAAATATATGGGCAACTTCTCTTTTGATTAAGCACATGGGAAAGGCCAATTCGAATATTAGAATAAAGAATAAATTATCGGAACTTGGTAACATGATGTATACAATGGTTGATTGAATTTGTAATTTATATTAATATGAACTCCATAATTAAATATTGAAATTTTATTCGTATTTTATCTAATTATGTTTTTATATTTATAATAATATACCTAAACTCATAATAAAAAATCATTAAAAGTATTCATAAATCAATAAATAATATAATGTAAAGCAAACAAGGTCATTCATATCTATGGTCTCATAAGAGTTCTAAAAGTGAATGTATTAAAAAAACAGTCAATCACTTAAACTATTCGATTCCATGTATCAATTGTGATTCTCTTATTCCAACTGTTGATGTTGATAAACATACCTAATTGTGTCAAGCCAATACACCACCTCACAGTTCTTAATCCAAAGATTTAACAGCAATGGAAGAAACTGACATTAAGCTCAAAAAATTACGATAATCAATTGTAATTTAATCTAAAACTGAAACAAACACACATAATAAAAAATATCTCATAAGAGCGGCAGATCTTTGCACTTAAATCTTGAAATTGTAGAATTTGGACAACAGGGAATTTCAAAAAATATTAGATATTTCAGAGGAAATAAAGATGATAACCGAATCATACAAAGGAGTGTTGCTTGTTCAATTATTTTTAGAAAGATTACACTCTTTATCATTGGTCAAGCAGTAGAATATGAAATCTCTTATCTAAGAACAGTATTAATTGATAAACAATTTATAAAAAAGAAACATTCAAGATATTGATAAATAATCATTTAATTTCTTAATAAATAAGGAAGAGCAGACCAATGTTTAATAACGTCTTGGTTATTAAGCTTAAACTAGCACTAACTATTTGAGATAAAATGAAATATTTCGTAAAACATAAATAACGAAATTTTCAAGGGAAAATTAAAAATAAACTGTGTGTGAATTAAAAAGTGAAATCTTAACTAAAATGTCTAGTTCATAATGTGAAGAAGAAGTTCAGGGGGGTGAAGATATTCAAAATTCTAATAATTATTAGAGGCTATTCTATTCGAAATGCCTGAATATGAAGGCTCAATTATCTAATATTGATCCAGCTTAAAAAGTTCCGCTTTGTGTGCTGTTTAAAGAAGTTCTAAGTAGAAGGATTCCGATTACCTAATGGAATTAGTTTATACTATCAGCTTTTGATAAACCTTCATAATATTTAGAATAGTAGAAATAAAACCTATTTAATTAAGCATCCGCATTCCAAAATTCAGCTAAACAATTTGCAATCAATAGTAATTTCAAAGAAAGATTAAGAAATCTTAAAATAATATGATTATTTAATATACATTTCAATATTTCTCAAATACTAAACTATATAAATTATTTTTACATCTTAAATGATCTTGATAACCTATATATCAACATATAAAATTATAACTTGATAATTAAGTTGATGTAAAAGTTGATTATAAACCATTTTTACTTTAATTTTATAAGATATAGTTGGATAGATATCAAAATATTGTTGAAGTTATGAGATCCTTATGAATTCAAGATTTTAATCAAATTTCTATCACATAAAGAAGGAATCCTTAATAGGCTATTTAGATTCTTGATATGATAAAATCAGATATACATCTTAGATGATTTATAAGAATGAAAGATAATCAACTTGAAGAAACAGATTAGAAAAATATTTGTTGAAAAAAACTTCTTTTATATTATTGCCTATGAAACAGTCTAAGAACCACTTTTAGGATTTAAAACGAGAGAACAAGGAGTTCTTAAATCAAGATTATAAGAAATTGTAAATTTAGGGATGGTAATCCATATCATTATCAAATCGGATATTTACAGATATACAAAAAATATTATTTGAATAAAATTCAATTTTTAGAGTTAAAGGACTGCTTCATTATATCCTAATAGATAGTTCATAAATGNGAAGAGCTTTGCACTTAAATCTTGAAATTGTAGAATTTGGACAACAGGGAATTTCAAAAAATATTAGATATTTCAGAGGAAATAAAGATGATAACCGAATCATACAAAGGAGTGTTGCTTGTTCAATTATTTTTAGAAAGATTACACTCTTTATCATTGGTCAAGCAGTAGAATATGAAATCTCTTATCTAAGAACAGTATTAATTGATAAACAATTTATAAAAAAGAAACATTCAAGATATTGATAAATAATCATTTAATTTCTTAATAAATAAGGAAGAGCAGACCAATGTTTAATAACGTCTTGGTTATTAAGCTTAAACTAGCACTAACTATTTGAGATAAAATGAAATATTTCGTAAAACATAAATAACGAAATTTTCAAGGGAAAATTAAAAATAAACTGTGTGTGAATTAAAAAGTGAAATCTTAACTAAAATGTCTAGTTCATAATGTGAAGAAGAAGTTCAGGGGGGTGAAGATATTCAAAATTCTAATAATTATTAGAGGCTATTCTATTCGAAATGCCTGAATATGAAGGCTCAATTATCTAATATTGATCCAGCTTAAAAAGTTCCGCTTTGTGTGCTGTTTAAAGAAGTTCTAAGTAGAAGGATTCCGATTACCTAATGGAATTAGTTTATACTATCAGCTTTTGATAAACCTTCATAATATTTAGAATAGTAGAAATAAAACCTATTTAATTAAGCATCCGCATTCCAAAATTCAGCTAAACAATTTGCAATCAATAGTAATTTCAAAGAAAGATTAAGAAATCTTAAAATAATATGATTATTTAATATACATTTCAATATTTCTCAAATACTAAACTATATAAATTATTTTTACATCTTAAATGATCTTGATAACCTATATATCAACATATAAAATTATAACTTGATAATTAAGTTGATGTAAAAGTTGATTATAAACCATTTTTACTTTAATTTTATAAGATATAGTTGGATAGATATCAAAATATTGTTGAAGTTATGAGATCCTTATGAATTCAAGATTTTAATCAAATTTCTATCACATAAAGAAGGAATCCTTAATAGGCTATTTAGATTCTTGATATGATAAAATCAGATATACATCTTAGATGATTTATAAGAATGAAAGATAATCAACTTGAAGAAACAGATTAGAAAAATATTTGTTGAAAAAAACTTCTTTTATATTATTGCCTATGAAACAGTCTAAGAACCACTTTTAGGATTTAAAACGAGAGAACAAGGAGTTCTTAAATCAAGATTATAAGAAATTGTAAATTTAGGGATGGTAATCCATATCATTATCAAATCGGATATTTACAGATATACAAAAAATATTATTTGAATAAAATTCAATTTTTAGAGTTAAAGGACTGCTTCATTATATCCTAATAGATAGTTCATAAATGATATTAATCAAAAGATTGATAATCAATTCATATGCAAGGAGAAATTTAAAATAAATAACATAAAATAATGAAATCATGAGCATATTTTAATTTAAACTGTTTTAATAATGTAGGAAAATCTTAGAGCAAACATTAGCTCATTAAATTATATCTATAATGAAATATGAAAGCCAACTATTAAAATAATAAAATTGTTATAATTTTAAAGATTTTCTTCAGCAAAAATTAATGACACATGGTATGCTTTAAATTCTATACTAGTCCTATATTTTGGAGTAGGAGAATTTGCTCTATAAATGCAAACCATAACATTTGAAAATTAAAAGTATTATAATTGTTGACCATTTAGATTGCAAAGAATAATTTTCCCTTAAAACAAATATTCAAAAGATCCAAACAAAACATATAGGAAGGGAGAACAAGAGTTATGTTTTATCAGTGTGCATTGTTGTGAGTAGAACACATTTCTGATAGACAGTAAAGTATTAAGTTGTATTCAGATCAATATAATCTGTGGGGCTTTGGAAGTTCATAGTTTTCATAATTGGGATTATAACAGTCCTCAGTAGTGAGTCCAGTTAACATCTCGTAAATCACTTAAAATTTATATAAATCTGTGAGTGCTGGGACTGGCTATGTCGTAGCCTATTCAACTAATAAGAAACTTTATGTTTGGGGAAACTGGCATTAGCTAAATTATGGGGAAGTCTTAAAACTATCAGAAAAGTAAGGCTATTCTGAATAGATTGACTAGCAATATTAAATTAGCTGTCTAGATATAACCTACAATTTTTCAATTATAAAGAACATGGAAAATGAAAGAAGATAAAGTCATTTACCTAATCATTAAGCTGAAATTTTGGCTTTGAAATGTGTAGGAACAACAACATATTTATTAACTCCCAATCAATTATATTGTTTAGGTTTATAATTACAGTTTCCGGTATAATTTGTTGGCATAGCTTGTGGTAAAAAACATGTTTTGAGTTGGGATGATTTCGGAAGAGTATGGAGTTGGGGTGAATTTGCAGATGGTAAATTAGGATACATGGACTTCAAATTACAAGATTAGAAGGAACCTAAGCAAATTGAAAACATTACAAATAACATAGTATCTTGTGCTTGTGGGTTAAATTATAGTATAGCACTGGATGCCAAAGGGGATATATATGGATGGGGAAAAGGACCATTTAAAATGGATTTGTCGATAGCAGTTACACCCACTAAGTTGTGTCAAAAACAGAGACCTTTTATAAAGATAATGGCTGGGGATTCTCATTTTGGAGCTCTTGATTTACAAGGCTAACTTTATGGATGGGGAATCAATCAAAAAAATTGTTTAGGCAATTTAAAAGATAAAACCAGGTATCCTCAACTTTTTGAATTAAAAAATATCAAAGTTATTGATGCAGCTATGGGATCAACCTCAACTATATTAATTGTACCCAGTAATGAGAATTATAAAATACCTAATTTGAATATAGATCAATACACTTCACATCAATAAAAGAGAATTAAAGAGGAAACTGCTTTTATGAAAGAATTCGCTGATCGTAAAAATAGACTCGATTAAATCTAATTTAAATCTCCAACTTATAACTATTGTGACACTCCAATCTCATTTAAAAGTAGCTCGAATTATGAAGAAGCAGTTTTCCTTTTAAAAAGAATGAAAAGTTAGGCAGACTCTTTAAAAGACAATCAAAGATTTAAAAATACACCTAGTTCAGTTCATTTTACAACAGATATCCCTACTTCATAAACTCAAACCACTTATCAAGATTATGATGATGTAACAGCTCGATTAAAGTAATTGGAATATGAGAATTATTTATATATACCATTATGTTAAAGCACTACCCCTATTACTAGTTAACCTATTAAATAAAATGATGAGCATGAAGATCTTTTGAATTATGAGAATGATATGTTGAAACTATAATATATACTTATGGTGAAATCCTAAGATGAATCAAAATTGTTGGAGAATTTATTAAATGATCCAAAGAAACAATAATAAGAAACTATAAATTAATTTTTTTTGAAATAAAGGATTCTGAAATATAAATAAAATGATAAAGGGGTGAATGATAAAAAGAAATTTCATGATAAATATGATACTTTTGATCCCTATTTTTTAATTAATGTGAAAAGGGATGTTAAACTTTTGAATGAATAAAGAAAAGAGATTTTTTTTCTTAAATAAAAGCAAAGAGAATAATTAAATAAAGAAATTAGTGAAAAAATGCAGCTATAGAAACTTCCACTCTAGAGCAGGGATGAAATTATTAAATGCATTTAGCATAAAGCACTGGAGAAGGAGTAAAAGTTAAAATTGGTGCAATTAAAAAAGAAAGAAAATTATGTTGGGAAAATGAACTTTTTGTAATAACAAATTTTAGAGAAAACTCCTGAATTCAAATATAAGAAAAAACTTGATACTATCAAAACAAAATAGAACTTACAAATATTAAATATGATTTTAATCTATCTAAATACTGAAAACATATGTTAGTTGATTTAAGAGACTAGTCAACGGGGCTTGGAACTCAAAAGAATGATGTTCAAAGAACACATGAAGGCAAGAGTCATCCAAAATACTATTAGGAAGAGAAATGTTATTAAAAGAATCAAACAAAAACTAGGATTAAGACAAAAGAAGATATTACTATCGTTTATATTTAGGTTTAAAATCAATTTCAGAATTAAATCCAAATACGAACATCTTAGAAAAATAAATTTGTTCCATATAAAAAATTAGCTCAGGGTTAAAGTAGCAATAAATTTAAGAACAATTACTCTTAAAACAGAAACCTTATAAAAGTTTTGTAAGTTGTACAATAATATGTTTTATGTGTAGTTAAGTTATTTAAACTACAAATGGGATGAGTATCTGAAATACTGCTGTAAAGGAATTATGCCAGAAAAAGAGAGAGATGAAATCAAATAGTATGAAATACCAAACTTACTTGAAAAATAGAGTCATTTAATTAAAAAACTAACTGTTCCATTAAAATGTAAAAACTGTTTTATAAGCGAGTTAAAGTTACAATAAAGACCTGTTTTAAAAGCTACAGAATTGAAAACAAGTTTATTGAAAAAAGTGAAAACTATTGTTTAAATTGATGAAGATTTTTAAGATGTGGAAGTAAGGAGTTCTGACAGGGTTCTATTGCCGTATACTCGATACGTTGAAAATATAGCACTTTCTGTAGCATCTAAGGTTAGATTTGACTATTAAATGATGACCTAATTGGATGTTCATGAGAAGGTATTTATGGAAGAGTTGAATGTAAAATTTGAGGTCTTGAAAGACTAATTAGAGAAAATAAGAAGAGATCATTTCCTTTCAATGAGAGAAGTAAACTATCAAATATATATTAAAGTTTTATGTTAAATTAAATGAGTATAAGGAAAATCATAAATAATAAATCAATATCGATAGAGGAAAAGCAATGATTAGATTCAAAGTAGATGGTCCCGAATTCAGAATACTCAAATAAAAAGATGATTAAGATCTAAAATTAATCTTATCGAAAAGGGAAATGGCTAGAAAGAGGTATGGGCAAAACTCCATAAAATATAAGGATATTATATTTAATAAAATTAGATAACTTCAATAAGATCAGCATCCATTTCCTAATTTGATAATAAAATTAGCAGAAAACATGTGTGCAGATATCAGGCCCAAATTTAGAGTAAAACTAAACCAACTAGAATGGACAAGATTATTCAGTTAGTACCAATAGGAACTTAAATAACGATATACTCTCATAATGAATGAAGCAAGAAAAAATATCTCAATAAAGACGAAGTAAATAAAATCAAAAAAAGTTGTTTAGAGAACAAGAGTTCTTAAAACAGAATCTTGATAAGTAATTAATTCTATAATTTATATCAAAAATTTATATTATTAGTATTTATATATATATTCTAAAATTTCTCATAAGTATTATATCAGAAATATAAAATGTATATTTCAATAAATCAAAACATGTTGAATTATTTATAAGAATTTTGACTTAATTCTGATTAATCTATCCGATTAAGGTTAATAAATCAAAACATATCAGAATTTAAGATAATCTGAATTTATAACTACTATGTTTTGAATTTATTATTATAATTAATCACTGATTTTGATGAAACCATTAGCAATTAGATAATAAATAAAAAGTAAGAATTAAGACAGAAGTAAACTCATGGTGACCAAAAAAAGAATTTCAAAGAAAAATGGGCCAAGATTCACCAGAACCATCAAAGAAACTATTGAGAATGCTCAAACCATCCAACCCTCTGCTGGAACAAGAAGATTACCCAGATAAAATAGAAGAAATAAGTTGGCTAGAGTGAATGCTTTAAAAAGAAGAAATTGATTGCTTATCAACTTATTTTATAATTATTGTTATTATTAAAAATAAATATTATGCTCCCTAATTTAGCGAAATAGTATTCATTTACTCAGGAAGAAATAATTATGCTCAAAAATAGATTTGATAGACTTTGCGATAGAGGAATGATGACAAAATAACAATTTAGAGATTCATTGGGAATTCTGGGATTAGAACAATTCTTGGCTGAAAGAATATTTAATTAAATTGATGGGAACAAGGATGGAGTCATAATGTTTGAAGATTTTGTTAAATATTTAAGTATGCTACTAAATGGGTCTACGATCGATAAAGCATTATGGAGTTTTGGAATGTTATCAAGTAATTTGAGCAAGCTTAATAGATAGATAATAAGAGTATATTAGAATTGGAGGACATGGAAAAAATGATTTTTGAGATCTGTTACTTGTGGAATTCAATAACAGGGTCGAAGTCAATGCCCAAGAAAGAGTTGGTTTCTGAAATATTTCGAATATTTGATAACGATGATGACGGCATTGTTCAATTTGAAGAGTTTCGAGTTGTTTACTAAGAAGGAGTGGAATTGATTGGATGGTATGAATTTCTAAACAATGAAGATATGAGTACAAATAAAATAAAGGAGGAATGGGAGAATGTAACAAAAAATAAATCAAGAAAAAAAAGAATGACTTTAATTAATCGTTAATTGGATGAGTAGACTCCTTAAGATCTTTTGAATAGTCAATTAAAAATATTGTAATCAGAAATATAGGGGTGCAGTGAATTAATCAAATAAGAAAAGGAGAAGGAATAACAGTAAAAGTAAATAAACTTTTTGGCTTCCTTTTATTTTGATGATAAATCATAAAAAACTCATGGTCCCATTTTTAATGATGGGTAAGTTTAAAAGTTATATGGGGATGATGATCCTGATTAGAATGATGAGCCTTATTTTAAATAGTATAATCTGACTTCAACAATCAACAATGATAGATTTTAAAATAACATCATGAATAGATTAAGGAATTTGTTAAAATTAACTGAGGACATCAAAAAATTGAACAACCAATAAATAGTGCCTAAAATTCCAGAATAAAGTGTGATAAAGCAGTTTAAGAAATCATCTCGATCCCCATCTCCCATATCTGTTAATTAGACAATGGATGATATTTAGTAATAATAGTAAGAGAATGTTCGTAAGAATTTATCAATTTATTTTGGACATGAAAATTGGAATTTGGTTTTGAATATGATGATTGGGATACGTAAAGCAATAAAATCATTACATCCATTGACAGATGATATCTTAATTACTGCTGCACATTTTGAAGTGAAAAATCAGTTTGAAATAATTCCAAAGAGGACTTAAGTATGATTTTTCTTTATTAAGGGAATTTGATTGGAAGAAATCTTGTTCATTTTATGAATATTCTCCTTTGATTTTTGAAAGAATAAGAAAGATGTATGGGATATCAAATGATGATTTCTTGAGATCAATAGGACCTGAACAATTATTGGGAGACTTGATTTTTGGCAATTTAGCCTCATTAACAGAGAAGGTTTCAAGTGGAAAAAGTGGTAGTTTTTTTTATTATTCTTTTGATGACAAATACATGTTGAAGACTATATAGAAGGATGAATTTGTATTCTTCAAAAGTTTAATAAAAAATTATTATTAGCATTTATTAGATAACTATCATTCAATGATTATTAAAATATTTGGACTTTATTAAATTAAAGTCAACAAAAGCAAAACTAAGTACTAAAAAATATATTTTGTTGTGATGCTTAACATATTCTATACTAATGAGGACATCAATTTTAGATATGACTTGAAAGGGTCACTTTATTAGAGAACATCAAGAGTAAAGGGTTAAGCTTCACTGGATCAAAATATACCTTTGAAGGACTTAGATTGGTTGGAGGATAAGCAACAAATTTAGTTTGATCAAAAGACTTTAGAACTCTTTAAAACTTAGTTAATAAAGGATGTAAATTTCTTTAAATAAAATAAAATAATTGATTATAGTTTCTTGATTGGAATCGTGGATAATTATAGAATGAACAATGATAATGTGTAAACTCAATGCAGATTTTATGAAAGGTGGAATGGAGGATGTATTACGAGGGATCAAAAAAGGTTGTATTATTTCGGCATAATTGATATTTTCACTGAGTACAACAACAAAAAGCAATTGGAGCACAAGGTGAAAAGTACTTTTGTTAGCAAAGATGTGTCTTGCATTCCTCCTGAGAGTTATGCTGACAGATTTATTAAATTTATTTTGCATTCATTAAAGTGATATAAATTAAATTTAGATATTATTAAAAATAACATAAATGAAAATTCATAACACTTGGTTTGCTTAAGCCACCTATTTAGGAATTATCGGTGCATTAGTTTTTGCTACAACAAGATTTACAGTCCCAGAATATAGACTCTATTACAGAGTTGCCAAAGTTTAACATCTTTGAGACATTCATTATATCAATTATAATAATCACATAAAATATATTCACTTTTAAGTTTATGCAAGCTCTTGTTATATTTATTCTGCTTATTTCTTCAACTTATGGGCTTACACTTCCTTTTTGTAATTCTCCAGACTCTCTAATGGAATTAAGAAATATTCATTAAAATTCATTTGATTGATTCTCATTGCCAAATCGAAATCCACTTGAGAAAGTCCATTCAAAGACGGAGAGAATCTTCATATTTCTAATTATTACAATTCTAAAGTAAGTAGCTCTCCTCCTACCAAATGTACACTTGGGCAATTCTTAGTGGAAAGAGCATCAATCTTTGAGACATCTTTTATAAATTGTATTCCAGATAAGTAGTCTTCAGTATAGAAATATTTAAACAATCTCAAATCAGTTACCTTCCACCCTAAAATTCAATTAATTTCAATGAAAATACCTTCAATCATAGGTTTCATAGTTTCATACAACGCCTTAACTTGAATAGGCGTAAGTGGTTTTCCATCTTAATTATATCTGCAGCATTTTTTGAATTATTTTTTGGTTATAATCTCACTAAAAAAAGCAGAATATTTAGGCTTAAAGAGCAACATAATTAATTATAAAATTAGTATTAATTGTGGGAAATTTGATTAATTAAAAATATAATATAAAACCTTAGACCCTATATATATTACCTGAGAGATTGTGGATTGCAAATGAATTAAAAAAATGAATATAATATTAATAATAATATTATTTCAATTATCTTCTTAAACTTAAGGATTAGATTCTAGAAGTTGTTAACTGCCATCTGGCTCTGCCTAAGGTTCTTAATTCTAAAATTAATTTTATTGTTATGGTTCAGGTTCACTTAATTCTGATTAATTTTCTTATTCATTAATTTTACTACTTTGCTGATGTTGTTGTTATTGCTAATCAATCAACTCTGTTGGTTCTGGTTCTGGTATCAATTCATTTTGTATTACTTCTTATTATGTATTAATAGTCTAAGCTGAATTTTCTGCCTCTTAGATCTCTTAATGTTGTTCTTGTACTTAATGATTATCATCAAATTAATGTTGATTGATGCTAGCAATCTGTATGGCATCTAATTGCAGTTACTAGTCATTATCTTCAGATTGAACTCTGTTGTTTTAAGTATCAGGAGAGGAAATCTGTATGGCATCTTATTAAATTTACTCGTCTTTATCATCAGATTGATCTTCATTGTTTGAATTCTCCTATTTTTCAGCATCATCATTTTGTTATTAATTGATGGGATTATCGTCATTATTTTCTACTCTTCTTATTCCTTAATATGAAATCAAGGGATCAGGTCTGAAGGGACTGGAAGATCCAGAATTGATTTATTCCTTCATTCTAGGATTAACACCTAACATCCATTGTAATTCTTTTTGGTTTACTTCATTTAATTCATCTATGTATTTTTACCAATCTTCTTTGATTTGATCAATGGAATTAGCTAATTCTTCTGATTAATTGATGTTAGAATTAAGATAATTAGTAATTTTAGTTAGAACTCCTTAATAAAATGGTTTTTATTTTCTTTACTCTATCCCATTATTTGAAATCAAAAATTTTAAAATTAATTAGTCTTAAAATAAAAGTTGTTAAAGATGAGAAACTTTGCTTTAGAGGACTGTTACAACAAGTTTTTCGAATAGAATTTACAATTAGTTATTGGAGGAATATTTGAGTATTAGATTAAGGATATGTTAAAAAATGGTTGCTTGTGTTATCTCTTTTGCTATTTCTTCCCTTTAACAAAGTTAGATAATGAAAGAAATTAATGATAATTTGGAATCCCCAAGTGGATATACTTGATCTCCGTTTGAGGTTTTAAAAGCGACTTTAAAGATGTCTTATTAAATTAAGGCTGAGGGCAATTATGAAATCACACTAGAATATAGTTGTTTTAGATCAACTGCATATTTTCCATCCTCTATTACTTCTATTTTTGTATAAAATTCAAATTGTATGTTTAATAAATTATAAACCGAAGTGTTTTGAGTTTAATTGGCAAGATTCATGAGGTATTAGGGTGAGGGAACGCTAGGTAAAATAGATCTCAAATGTGGTGTAGAGTCAATTGTTTATAATTCTCTCTTATATAGTTCGATGAAGATATCGCACACATTAGATATAATAATATTTGAATGGGAGTTAGCAGTTAAAAACTTTTGCAGTCTAATAATTAATTCTGATCTTTCCTTGAGAAAGTGCTTGTCTTCATTTTCCTCTTGATTTGTATCTAGAATGATCAGCTTCTCAATGATTTCAGTTATATGTTTAAGTTCTGCATGCTTGAATAGGTTTGATATGATATTTTGATTTTTTATTATATATTCCCAAAACTATTTTAAATGTAATAGATTTTACATCATGCCCTCTTTTATGGATAATGGCTCCGATTATCTTATTAACATAGCCAGCTGTAGTGATTACGAGCGCATCTTTTTCTAAAACTTGAAGGAAATCATCAAGTAAGTGTTATCTAATTAATTCTTTATTTAATTATTCTTGAGTAGGTACGGGATCAGTTTATGAATCTTCCAAAGGATTTTAAATTTCTTCTTGGTTGTTTTCACTTGGTTTATCAAATAAATAGTTAATTAGTTTTTCATTTTCTGAACCAAATACCTCACTTATTATAAATTGATATCTAATGATGAAATTGATAAATTACTTAATGTATGTGTTAATATCTTATTCTTGTGGTTCGACTTCATCAATAATGTAATGGATCATTTTCTAATATTCATTTGGATGCGAGATAATGCTAAAAATATTATTTAAAATTTAACAAATCAGCAAATTTTTCTGAGCTTGACATTTTTAATTCTTGTAAGATGTCCTCTTCATTTAAGATGGTCTCTAAAGTTAAGTTTTCTTATTTAAGCAAATTATCTAATTTAGATTGGAAACCGAATCCAAAGAATCGAGCAAAACTACTATTATTTCAATAAATTTACTTAAACATGAAATGATTTTATTAATTTATTTAATTAATAATTATGCATAAACATAAATAGACTAAATAGTGCTCATAATGTGGTTGTTTGGATCCGTAATTCAATTTAGGAAGTTAAAATTTAAATATTTATTCTAGAATGTGGACACTACTTTTGTCAAAATTGCTTATTAGCTTTTAAGAGAGAAGTAGTAAGTTCTAAAAAATCCTAATTCTCTCTCAAATGTCCTTTGGAAACATGCAAATAAGAAGTGGATTTGAAGAAGCTGTTGAATTATTTGAGTTTGCCTAACGCATGCAAGAAGTGTAACAAAGAATAATAATACACCTGCAGCTAATGCGTTGTAAAAGAAATTGAAGAAATTGCAAAAATCAATTATTATTCAAAATTATTAAAATTAGATCAATTGATAGAGTTGGACTCTTAGAAAGAACTTTGTGAAGACTTATAGAAATATGGATTAATATGTCAAGGTTGTAAGGAGTTCAATTAAATACCAGTGATTGTGTGTTTATAAGGACATGAAATTTGCAAAGATTGCTACTATAACATCAGAAGCGTTGAAGCTTTCAGGTAAGTGTGTCCTCTTTGTGGACTATAATTGTTATCAACACCACCAAATAGTCTCAGAGCATAAACACTAATCTAGAATTTAGTTATTAAATGTCCTAGTGAGAATTGCAAATAGTAAATCAAGTTTACTGAATTTGTTTAGAATCATTATAGGAAATGTAAATTTCTTTGTAGTTTAAGGTTGTGAATAAAAATAGGAATGTCCAGATTGTCATGAACAAGTGGAGCAATTGTTCCAGGAGATACATCAATCTAATTATTGCATGGGAAGTGCATGTCCATTGAATTGCAATCGAAAACTTGGAGTAACTTACCTCAATAGTTTAGGATCATCAAAATAACTTCATCATAGAACACCTACTAAACACAATGAGATCCAGCGGAGTGTCACACTCATTTTTACATAGAATTTAAGTTGTTGAAAAATTCCTATTTCATGGATTCTTTGGAATATGTCCAGATTGTGAAGCTTCCTTTGCTTGGTAGGTTGATATCGGAGGAGTATAATCGACATTTTGCTTTTAATGCTTTAGATTCACAGGATGATTAAATATAATTTATATATAATTTTATGAAAATTAATTCTGAGTTAATTCAGGGGTCACACCATTTTATTAATCCATTAAATGAACGGCAACTAGATTTAAGAGGTATTCCCTTTATTCATATGTCCATAGCCAAGAAAATAACAGCAATTGAAAATTTGGGAGCCACTTTGGTATCATCATTCTTAATTATAGGATTTTTTTGACCACATCGATTTAGGGGACAATGATATCAAGAAACTCGGAAATCTCACTTTGTTGAAAAGGTATATTAGTTGTTCCATAAACTTCAGATTAAAAACTCTAAATTTATCCAATAACAGAATCGTGAAATTGACTGATATTTCAGACTCATTGCCCAACATTGAAAACTTAATTCTGATGAACAACAGACTCACAGATATTAATGAAATGTATTAATTAAGAAATTGCAAAAAGTTAAAGCGCTTGATTTTGCATGGTAATCTCATCACTCAACAACCTGATTATCGCTATAAAGTCATAGCCATTTTACCCAATCTCAAGGTTTTGGATTTCAATAAAGTGACATTGGCAGTTAAGTCTCTCTTCTTATGTTTTAGGAACGTGAAAAAGCAGTTGAATCCTTCAAACCTGACGAATTGACAGATTACATGAATTTGGTTAACTTGAAGGATGCTACCATAGATAAAGATCATATTAAGAAATTACTAGAAAACGCAAAGACTTTTGATTAAATTAATTAATTGGAGATGTTGCTTAAATAACAATAAGTCAAAAACTTATCAATCCTTAATGATTAATGAATGATTATCAAAAATATCTATTAAAATTTATTATTCACAAAGTTTAAAAATCCTTGATATAAATATTCTACTAATATTCAACTATCCTAATCTCCTTCTTGTATTTAATTCCTTATATAATCCTTGATCGATCTAATTCGTAAAATTATTTTTAGAGGTATCATCAATATCATGGCTCTTGTGCTCCATATATCCTTGGCCATCTTAAGAGCTAATGGCAGCCATAATAAAAAGTATATCACAAAAAGTAATACTTCAAAAAGTATAAAAATTGCTAATCTTTATAATTTCAAATTGTCCAATTCGTTATTTAGTCCTTAAATAAACTGATTAGTCAAATATCTAAAAGCATCTAAATTTTAAATATTTCATTACTTTTAAAATAGTGATGCTAAATCTCTCGATTTTCTTTGGCATGCAAGAAATTGTTAAGATTCAGAATGAAATTAGTGCTGTTGTCACTATCTTTTGTAATGTTTTTAAACGACGCAAAACCTCTGGCAAGTAATGTGAAGTTAGCCATTGGATTCTTATAGAATTGATCATATATAGTCCTTAAATATCTTGCATTTTCGAAAAATCTTGGAACACCAACATTCAAACCTTATGAAAAACCACTATCCATAGCTATAGAGCAAGACTACGCATCAATTGACTAATCCTATTCAATTACTATCTGACAAGGATCCTCAATGTATAATGAATTGAATGCGTCAACGAAGTTTTGTTATAGCAAATCAATATTCAATGAATGAAGCTATTGCATATAAGAATTATGAGAATATAGCTCATCCTAATTTTCAACTACAGTATCATAAGGGTCTTTTTCAAGTATCTTCATATTCCGAGAATAGAATAGGGATCTTTAACAAATTTCTGCAAATCTATAAAATTGCTCAGTTCTTGCTGTCAAATTATATTCACTACTAAGAGTGTGGATATTTTAGATAGATGCTCCACTTAAAAAGTATGTCAGGATAAAATAGCCTTATATTAGTATTAGGATGAAAATTATGATATAAATAAAATACCTATATTCTTTATTGGCATTTTTATATCTCTTTTTTGTTCTTTTAGATTTTAGAGTCTTTTGCAATTGTGCGTTTTCTTCCTTATCTATGTTTTCATCATTCTCAGACATTAAATCGTCATCCTCTCCAATTTGGAGATTGGTAAGGAAGTTCTCACTCTTATGATACAAGTATCGAATGGTTTTATCTGGGATGTCTAAGAATAGACTTACTATTTCACTTTGAGAACGAGATACAGATATGAGAGCAATTATTAATAGAAAGAGTCCAATATTAATTGTCGATATAGACACAACCAACAACACTACAAAGATACCAATCTTTTCCATTGTCTTTGATACTAAATTGTCAATCAAATTATTTGAAGATTCCTTCAAATACAACTATATACTATTAAGCCAATTTCTAATAACAAAATTGACATCTGAATCCTCGAGATTTATAATGTTTAGCTTCTTGTCTCTTATGGCTAAAGCTTTACTGAGAATCTATTAAATAGCCTAATTCAAATCATAATATTCGAATTGACCTTCAGAGTCAACTTAGACCTAGACATTTTTCTAGGAAAATTCAAAATCATAATTTGACTATGTTAAACTACTTGCTTTAGCCACAATTTCTTGATTCAATACGTTTACATTATTTATAGAGTCATTTATATTAGATCTCTACTCTAATTCATACGTTTTAGCTTAACTCTCTGTTAGGTTGAAAACATTCCTATTCAATAACTATAAGTTGAAAATTGAGCTCAAAATAATACCTAATTCGCTATTTCTGAAGTTTCCATCCTTTACCAATAAGATTGTATTAACAATCTCATCTGTTTAGTTGATAGTAATGAAATAATCAATGAAAGAAAGTATTAGAATTATCAGGATTATTATATTGCTAATCCATTTAACCTTTACAATAACCCTGGGTGTTACATTTGATGTAATAATACTCTCTAAGTTTTTTCTAGAACGAAAAATGTTGTTTTCAACTTATTCTTGATCATTTATGGGATTTAAATCTTGTTATACTTAGAATACACTTTCTTTCTCTTCATCATCAGATATATTATTATCTTTATCATCGATTTCCTATATTTGATTTTAGAAGAGTCGCAGAACCCTAATATTTTCAGCATAGTTAATGATTGGTTTATCATGATCTGATAATCTTATTGTTCTACGTCTGTTAGATTCTTAATGGGTAGTTTCATTATTAATTTGATTTGAAGACCCTAAAGAAGATTAGTCAACTTAATCCCACAGAATGCTTTGGGATAACTTTGAATTATTGTCATCAACAAATTCACCCAAATACAATTTCTAATTTATTATATATTTAAACTAAAGATTCTATGAAACCTACTTCAAAGGTAATAATAGTTCTTTTGAATTCTAAATAAATTATTCACACAATTCCAATTTAATATAAAATCCCATAACTTCATTCGTTGTGATATTCACTATCTCTCTCATAGTGCAAATGAAGTCTTGTTCTTTTTCAATGGTATTTTGGTTAGACAATGAGAATTAATTAAGAAAATTGTCTTGATCATACTTGATTTTTCCTCCTTATTTTGTCATATAAGTTGAAAGATTTTCAATGAATTCAGGGAATAATAGATCAAATCTTATTTTCTTATTAATTACATGCTTGTTTTCTATTCCTAACAACTAAATTGCAGTTGCTGAGATGGAGTCAATAATGTATTCTTGATCTACTATTATGTAGCAACTGGGCTTGAAGGCCTTAACAGTGATAAATTAAGCTGCCAAATTCACATTTTCATCAATAGTATGTAATATTCTTAAGACTATGTAGCAAGGCAAAATATAATTTTGTTTATCTTTTAGAAATATAAATCTATCCTTATTAATATTCTTTATATCGCTTGTAATGAGAAATCTTTCAATATATTAATCATGAAACTTCTAAAACAGGTTGGGCATAAATAAATTAATTTTCCTGTTGATGATTTCCTATTTCGTATACCCTATTAGGTGACAACAAGATTAATTAAGCGTAATAACTAAAGCAAATTTTTCTATAGATGTTGATACAATTACTGTTGCCTATTGCTCAAATCCAATTTCATCACCTGCAATGAACTAAATGATTTGCTTCTTTCTTTATTGAACTTATTATTAGAATAGTTCTGACTTTTTTAATAGCTGCTCTCCATAATCTTCATCTTATAATACATCATTTATAAATTATCCATACAGTCTCATTGCTTTAGATATATTAGAAGAAGCCTTCTATATTTTAACCCATAATTAATCAATCAAATTCAATAATTTATTGATCTTCTGTCCAATTTAGTATACTTTAGCAAGATCTGGGAAGTCTTCTTGTAGAATTGACCAAAATTCCATTTAGGATAAAGTTGTTTATTCTATGTATTACACTAATTATCTATAATTGTTTTGAAACGATATTTCTGAAGCAACGTCAACCTTCCCAAAGTTTTCATTCTAAAAGGAATCTAATTATTCTTATATAATAAACTTCTTTCTTAGGATTATAAACTCTTCATCAAAAGATGGACTAATCTGCTCAGCCTAAGTAAGTTCATTAAATGCCTGTTACAATTATCTCATATAATCAGACAATAGGAAAGAGTACCTAATCCTTAATGTAACTGATTCTGGGAATCGTTTAATTTGGTTATAATAAATTTAACCTAAGACAAATATTAAATCTGTTTCTCTTTCCGTCAGCGTGGAATCCCTTAATAAGGAATTAGACAATCTAATGTTTGGCTAATTTTTAATTTTAAGGTAACAGTCTTCTCTTACACAAGTAACTCTGTGAATTTCCAAATAACCGTCAACAATAATTTAGGCATCACTGTCTGTCTTAATAAAATGCAGTAATTTTATGAGGTAATTTGTTTGGTTGATTATTTCTTAAACATCGCCTACCTTAGAGTGATTGATCAGTAATAAATCAAAATTTAGCTTCTCCATTCTAAATACAATTAATATGAGCAAAGGCAATCCTGTGATAAAGGCATAGATGATGCCATTAAATATCACCTTCTCCAAAAACATTGAACAACAAAGTAGTAAGGTTCCCCAAACGTTTAGGGTTACTGTGATAGACCAAAACTTTTATATTATCTTTTGATTATAGGGTAATTCAGTGTGAAATTTCTAAAAAATTATGAAACTCCCACCCATTAGTAGGATGAACAAAAAGTATTAGTTATTATTCCGATCAACTAATTTTTGAAAAGAAGTTTGGATTAGTTGATATGTAAATAATACGATTAATGGTCTTCCACTAGTCTTTGAGTTTGGATTTGTGGGAATGTACTTCGATTCATAATAAAGCATTGCAAAAATGATGCAATAACAATAGAATAAAATTGAGAATACAATTGCTACTATTCCATGGAGAATATGCGTATCAACCCAGCATTTTTATTCTGAAAATTAATTGTGAACATAAACTCCATTTTCATCAAAGCCGCAGTCAATTATCGATATAAATACATCAATAATTGGTAAATAAAGGATTGATAAGAATAAATTGATCAATATCTTTAAACCTTTTTTTATCCAATTATTTTCTTATTTCCTTTTATTTAGCCTTAGTCCTACAAAAAAGGTTAACATCGTTGATAAAGTAAAAATTCCAATACAAAGATAGAGTAATATAATAAGTGATGAGTACGAATTTGTGTAGGGGGAGAGGAGGAAACACCTAAAATTACTAATTAAATTTATACTAGAGAAAATAGCTGATCGCATCTGAAACAGGCTGATTTTTCCAGATATTCTAAATCTTTGAATTGAACATTAAATACGTGAGCTAAAAATATTAGATAATAATCCAGAGACAGTTGATGCTTAAGGGTTGTTGATCCTCATGTAGTAATTGCGACGTCACTATGTAAATTAAATTCTTGGCCCTATCAACATACAATTGGAATCCGTTCCTGTCAGATACTCTTTTACTAAAATTCGATTGCAAATCCATTTTAATATTGAATATTTAAAATTGTCATTATTTATAATATCTGCTCTTATTTATATTGAATATCATTTAGGTTTAAAATTTTATATAGTGTTTGTTTGAAATATAAATTAACAATTTTTTTATTAACATTGATTCTTGGTTAGATCCACAATTCTAATCAATTATTTATCTATTTTTAGTCAATTATTTATAACTTAAAATTAACTCGAATAAAATTAAAATATTTTATTAATAAAATTAATGCATTACATCTCAAACAAAAATCTACTTCCAATCTAACTTATTCCACCCTAATCTAACTCTATTTTAATAATACTCACATAACTCTGCAATCTTTCCAAGATATTCTATACTCTCTATTTTGTCAGATTTAATCAAAAATTGCTACTTGCTACCTGTCTAATTTATAAACATTGCTGACCTCTCTACTGATATAACTTAATATACAATAACACCTTCATGTCACTAAGAATTTAATCTCATAATTAAAATGATCTTCATTTAATTTTTGTATTTAGACATCAAATAAAATTGATAAAAGTCAATATATATTATAAGAACAAGACAAAGGGATTGCTAAATTGATGTCATTTATATATGTATTTATGATTTGATATTTTAATATGATAACACCAATTAAAATCAATTAAATATGTCAATTTATAATTACATTTCACTATCAAACAGGGCTTAATATAAATTAAGATTGTAATTAATTAGTTTACTCTATTTGCACCATTCTAATAACTATTATGGATCTTTTTTATTAAGAACCATTAAAAGTTGTTGATCTTGCTTAACTTTAAGATTTCTAATTATAAGTAGGAGAGTCTTCTTTTGTAAATCCTGTTTCATTATGGGAATTAGGTGAGTTTTACAATAGATGTTGGTCAGGTGATAGAATAAATTATTTTATGACACTTCCTTAAAGTTTAAGATGACTGAAATCGATTTTTCTCTATTATCATGAGTAACTAGATGACTTAAAACATTTTAATTAAATTTTTGGAAAATGTTATTGGCGATGTGTGCTTAATGATAATTAGGTAGATTAAAGACCGATAATAGTTTAAAAGTACAATTAAAACTAGATCATTAATGAGATATAAATACCTTTTTTAATAAAGTTATATGATATCTGAATAATATGTTGCTTAGTTTTTATTTGTGTTCCATACATTTTATTGAAAATACATTTTAAAGCATTTTTAAATGCTAACCCTTACACAGATTTCAATAATTTCATCTTTTTGATTTTAAGGAATAAGTTGATGATTAGCAATAAGCTCTAGGAATTATTTGATTTTATTCTTAAAATTTTTTGTTGGAGTAGACAATAAATTTGCGGCAATCTTAGCAGATTTTATTAAAAGAGCATCATCTTTGATGGTTTGAAACAATTTAATCATTTCATCATAATTCTAGTTTTTGATGGCATTCATTATCTTTTCCTCATTATCTTAGGATTCATTTTCTTATTCAATCGTCTCTCCTTTTAAATTGGCAATAGCCATCTATAATTAAACTCCAATATTTTCCAATATTTTATATTATTCATTGGTGCTATTGATTTACTTACGAAGTTGAATTTTCTTATTGTGTTACTCCATACACACATTGATGTTCTCTTCTAAGTATTTGGTCATATCATGTGATGTTTTGTGAATTTGACTATTAATTTGACTCACAATATAAGGGAGTTGATGCAAAGGTGTTTGTAGGATTCTTTCAGGAAAGGGATGTGAAATCATATATAAATAAAAATAAAGTATAATTTATTTCAAATAATTGTTAAGCCCTTTTTTGAATAAATTTAGGTTTTTTCTCTATTGTGTATACTCTAGGCTTAAAAACAGTATAAATTTACAGAAAAACAGATGGACGGATATTATATGTAAGTACTCTCAATAATTGATAACTTGATATATATTTAAAATTATTTTGAAAGTTAGATTTCATTATTCATTTTTATCATGTTGACAGTTAAGGCATCATCTTTATTTAATGTTGGCTATTTCTTTAATATTTATTAAACATCCTACTTAGTGATGTAAACTATATTCTGTTTAAAAAATAGTTGATTTACATTGTAAATATTAAAGATAGTTGTTATGTATTTATTTTTTCATTATTTATTCTATCTAAATAGTTACTACTAATGTCACATAAGGAAGTTGAAAACAAACCAATACATGGAAATCCTCCAGACGAGTAATTGGCTAATGGACCTATAGAAAACCGCTCATGCCGTGACTTGATCTGTTTCATTTTATTTGTTGCAGCAACTGTAGCATTTGTTGTAATAATATCGATGGGATTCAATCAAGGGAAGCCTGAAAGACTGAGTTATGCGTAATATCAATATTCTAACGTTAGATATGACCCTAATGGCAGAGCGTGTGGACATGATGATGGAGTTTTTAATGCTCCTTACATCTATTTGGTTGCACCTTTGGTAGGGTATCTAAATAGATCTGTTTGTGTTAGTCAATGTCCCAATTGGAAAGAAGGAGCAAAATAACCAACTCGGTAAAACAAAATTTGAATTTTAGGTTAAAATGTGTTGTAAATAAAGTTATAACAAACTGCTCAGAAAGGTATTCATACGATGGAGTGAATGATATAAGAGACTTCGATGTAGACTTCTTGATCAATTCCAACAATTATGCCAATGAGCCATCAGTTGATAAATTATTTAACTACTCAACATTTATCTACAATTCAACTAGTGTTTTGAATAGATTGTGTATACCATCAGGGGATGAATACGTTAGCAAGATCTATGGAAATATGGATGATATCGCCTCTGTTTAAGTGTAATCTATATATATATTTAAAGATTTTAATAGTGGGTGGCTGATATAAGATTGACATATAAAATTCTCTTTGCATCAGTGGGAATAGCATTTGCGATTGGACTGTTTTATATGTTGGTCATGAGATATTGTGCAGGTACATTGACTTGGACAGCCATATTTTTGTATTTTGTTTGTATTGTGCTTTTCATCATTTATCTAAACGATAAGGCTAATGCTTAGTAAATTACTTTGTATTTACAATTTTAATAGCAAGACTCGAGCAGCCCTCAATACAGCTAAAGGCATAGCGGATGTTGATAATCAAGACTTGTAGACCTATTATGGGTTGAAAGGCTCCATGATTGGAATGTGTATAATAGGAGGGTTGTCGTTGTTAGGATTGTTGTGTTACTTTAATCGAATCAGAATGGCCATTGCAGTTATAAAGACAGCTGCATTGTTTGTGATGGAAGTGCCTTCAGTTATGTTGGTTCCTCCAATATTTTCCATTTTGGTAATGGGATATTGGGGATTGTGGATAATTTCTTTTTTTTATATCTATTCAATGGGAGACATCAAAGGAAGCAGCGATACCCCCTTGGCTACAGTTGAATGGAATGATAACATCAGGTACTACTTGATTTACCATCTATTTTACGGATTATGGTCTAATGCTCTTCTATAGGCGTTCTCCTAATTTATTTTGGCATCCTCTGCATGTCTGTGGTATTAGATAGTTACAATATTTAGGTTTTACTAGCATAGTGATGGGTAGTTAATTCATTTTTATGTTTTGGAGTCTGTTAAAAGGTCTATTATTTATCATTTTGGCTCATTGATTTTTGGGGCATTATTATTGGCCATAGTTCAATTCATCAGGTTTTGGTTGGAATATATCAATTATTAAATGAAACAATTTTAGGGTGATCCTAAACAACCCGTAAAATGCTTTATAGACTGTTTAAGATGTTATGCATCTTGTTTTGAAAGGTTTGTGTCTTTCATTAATAAAAATGCCTTTATTTAGATCGCTTTAACAGGGGAGAGCTTTATTACTGCAGCCAAGAATGGATTTTACTTAGCCTGGAATAATGCAGGCTAGTTTGCTGTCACATCTGGAATAGGAAGTGTGTTTTGCAATCTTTGCAAATTATTTATTGCATTTTCCACAACATTTTTATGCTACATGATTATAACAACATCTGATGCTTATAAAGATGAACTCAATTCTCCTATTGTGCCTACATTATTATTCTTTATTATTTCATATGTAATAGGAGATCTTTTCATGTCAGTTTATGGAATGGCAATTGATGCAATTTTATAGTGTTCAATTACTGAATTAGAATTGGTTAAAGCAAAACCTGGTTTATTGTAGAAAAAGAGAGCTCCTTAACCTATCTAAGACTTTTTGGAAGAGCATAAAAAATGATGATAAAATTAAATATATTTTTTTTATTAATTGTCATCTATCTTAATTGATATTGAAATTAATTTAATTTTTTTGGGAGTTAGATATTATAGAGAACTCATTATTCTTAAAATCATTTGAATTTTCATAATTGATATTATGATTTAGATATATTAACCAAAAAATCTTATAATAATTATATTAATGTAACAGTGTAAATATTTCAAATAAGAGAGTAAAAACTTAATATATAATGTAAATCACAATTTATTTGGTTAGAATATTATAAATTAAATTCATTTGAGCTTTATTTTTTTTGGGAGAAGATGCCTATGAAAATATCAAACATTCAAATACACAAAAAATCCATTTTTTATTTTATCATATTGATAATGTAGAGAACTATCTGTTTTTTAATTCTCACTAATTTCAACAATGTCAAAATCAAAATAATGCTACTATTCATCATTCAAATTTTCTTCGCAAATGGATTTCTAATAGTTAGGATTGAGAGATTAGCAATAATTGATGCTAGTTTATTAGGTGAGACTTGAATTCTTACGAATATCATCTCGCTGAATTGTATTTCTAGAAGAACCTACAGGAGGAGGAGCCAAAAGATTATTAGAACTGAATAATAAATGGAAGATACCCATTTTAGACGAGTCCTGATAGTTATTTCTCTATAGATCTTTTCATCTCATTGGAGTTAAGTGGAATGTTGTTTCGACTTAAATTTTAATTTGTATCAGTCTTATAATGTGTTGATGATTTTATTTCAGTCCAATCAAAATTACCATCAATCACAGTATTTGTGGAATCTGCAGCTCTTTTCAATTCCTACAATATCATTTTATAATTGGGTTCCTACTTAAATTGCAATTTCCTTATATAACTATTAAATCTTTATAATGTTGTTACTCATATATTCTTTAAAGCTCTCCTGGCTAATCCTTAAATAGACTGCTTTCAAGAGACAATTTCATATCCCCAACTTTCTTTGTTCTTTCATCATCAGTAACATTAACCATATTCTACCAAGGTAGCTGTCTTTATTAATACATAAAATAATACCCACGTAAGAAGTATAACAATATGTACATAAGAGACTCAAGGTCATCTTTTCTACCCAACTCATGTCCTAAATGAGCAGCAATTGAAGCATATCTTGTGGTTCCTAAAAAGGATTTCTATTCCTTAAAAGATCTATGTATTTAGTTCTCTATCTTACATGTGTTTCCCATTTGAATCTCTATATATTTTGCTTATGCCAAAGTCAATTAAGTACAATTTAGATATGTCTCTTCCTATACCAAGGATCATGTTCTCCGGTTTGAGATCTCTGTGAATCACTCCTTTTTAATGAGATCTCTCTAATATCTACACAGCTTGAATCCCAAGAGTCAATACTGTTTTTAGTGAAAATTTCTTTAATTGTTTAAAATGATAAGCTAGGTCCTTACCCAACAATTAAATTACCAAAATATTATAACCTTAATCTTCACCAGACCAAAGATATTTAGGAAACCCCTCTGCTCCATCCAATTTTTTTAGAATCTGCACTTCTCTCTCAAGTGAACGAACTTCCTCATTTTCCTCCTTCTCAACTTTTATTGCCACTTCATATTTTGACAACAAGTCTATTCCCAAAAAGACCACTCCAAATGAACCTGATGAAAGCTTTTTAACTATCTAATATTGATTATTGAAGATCTTTTAGCTTTGAGATGTCTTCTAATGCATACTTAATTTTCTTTAAATAAAACAATTATTATTTATTTTTATCTATGTCAATACTCATACGTTTAAACCATAAATATCAACAATTAGCCATCTAGCTAGTTGACTTTTAGGATATATAAAATCCAATTGATTTCATGAAAAAAATTACATTTTGTAAATAAACTCATAATAGGTTTTTATGTTTTTTTTCAGACTAATTTAATAGAATGCAAATATTAAAAATTATTATAATTTATTTAACTTAAAAATATTAATGAAATTCATTAATAAATTGAAAATTCATTTAAGTTCATAGAGTTTCTATGTCAAAATTTAAACCTTAAATTTATTAAATTATTTTTTTTAATCTCATTTACATTTTTATTTTCAGATTATTGAAACACATATTTTATAAAGATGATGAATTATAATTTGTATTCAAATTATGTAGGCTATCTCTATTTTTGATTTGATTTGAAAATTATTTAGATAATGAATATTGTTCTATTGTTTATTTTTGAATCCTAATATAAAAAGGTGTTTTATCATAAATTAATAATTCTCCAATACATATTATGATTATATTTAAAACTTTACAACTACATTTATTTCATAGATATTCATTTATAATTCTATATGAATTAATACATGATGATTCAAAATAAACTCCAAATATTAATCAATCTATAATATTAATAATTTATTCATTTAAATAAATTACAAAGTTATTAATTATATATTTTGAAAATTTATTTATTAAATATTGATCATGAATAATTACAGACACATTGATGGAGATAGTGGATTGATGACTTCATAATTTCATCTTGGAGATTCACCTAAGGCCATTATCGATTATAGTCAAAGCGAAAGGATCGAAACTCTAGTTTAGAAAGGGATCATGAAATCAGAAATTAAAAAAAGTAGAACAGGTGAATCTTAGAGTCTGATAGATCATTCGAATATGCAATTAAATGGCCATCTGTTACCACAAATAACTTTAACATGCCAATCCCCAGCAGTTTTTGATTAAATAGCACTTGAACTTAAATAATAGTAATTGATATTTTACTAATTTAATCAAGTAACTACACTTGTATCATGCGAGAAGCGAATCAAATGATGTTTCTTCAAACTAAGTGTGACTCATTTTGCCAAAAGATTATAAAAAACGTCTGTACCCAAACCTACATAGCAAGTTAGAGCAACAATAGCCTAATTTTAGTAAAGTATTCTAAATAGAAGCTGAAAATAGATGCCTTGTCAGGGGTATATGCTTATTAATAAATTAGAATTACAAATAAAATGAAGATGTATTGTTATCTGTTTGCACTGTGGTTAAACGGTATAATCAAATGCATAAGGATTTTGAACCTGTAGATGATATGAGCCATATCAATCCTTTTGCTATCACAGCTATTTCGATGAATAGAATATATGTTTACTTGGATGACAATCAAGAGTTTAAATCAAGATTGGATTCCCTTCTGTAGAACATTGATTCAATAGCCAAACCAAAAAAATAATAATTGTAGAAATACTTGCAAGAAAGTTCGTAATTGGTTCTTGATACATTTTAGTAGTTTAAATAAAAAACGCTGAAATATGATTAACAATATTATTTAATGGCTATAGAGAAGGTGGTGTTTGAATCAGTTTATGATAAGCTATTTCCTTTTTATGTTGATTTCAATGAAAAGAATGAGAATCAATTTAACATCAAAAAGTATTGATAAATGAAATTAGAGATAACAAATAATTGCCAAGTTTAGTGAACATGACGCAATGGAATTCTTGGAAATAAAAAATAAATATAGATTAAATCAATAATATTGGAACGGAATAGCTGAATTAAACAAGGTGGACAGATCTACAAATCCTAGGGATAAACTTAGATCAATCTAACAAATGTTGTGTCTAATAAAATGTATATATATATGTAAATTTAATATGGTTAGCAATCATATATGAAAACAGCAATTGTGAATTATCAACGATGGACGATGAATTACCAGTCATGATCTACATAATCTTATATAGTGAATTTTAGAATAAATTCGCATCTATTCATTATGTGGATGACTTCTGTAATACCGATCCCACAATAGAAACTGAGAAAAGAACAGTAACAACTCTCAGAGTGTCTTTGGAGTATATTGCTAATGAATGGAATATTTGATAATTATATCATTAATTTTATAAAATTATAATGTCTGAAAAAAAAATAAGAAAGAAGTACCATGACAAGATAGACTTCAAATTGGATCTGCCTGACACAAACAATAAAAAGGAGAAAGCAAGATAAAGTGCTAAAAATACCAGATAGAGAAAGAAGGCATACATTGAAAGTCTAGAGTAAAAGGTTTAAAAATAAATAAAAGTGTGAGGTGGCTTAATTGACAGCTCAATTGAATTAAAATAAGAAAGTAGAATCCAAGCCCAGTCTAATGTAATTGATGGAGCAGTTTTTGATTGATAGAAAATAATAATTCGATATGTTGGAAAAAGCATATTAAGAAGAAAATGAAGCTAGTATAAAAGTTATTACCAATTCATTAAGATTTAAATATGGTATCTCTGGTCAAGGTCGTTTGATGGCAATAAATAAAGTATTTGAATTGCTTATAGATTTATTATTGCCTATGCATATGAGATACCTCTTTTGGGTAGCTTCAGAAGGTGATTTAAATTTTTAATTATTTGTAGATGTCGATATTTTCAAGAGAGAGAGACAGTCAGGTGAATTTTATTCGTTTGATATGAGTGATAGCTAAATAAATTGCTTAAATTCATTTGGATTGGATGATGATCAAATTCTAAAAATATAAAATATGCAACAGACTATATAAGAATAGAGATCACATTACGACAATTTAATAATTGAGATATATAAAATACAATAATCAATAATCAAAGAGAGTGAGAAGTGTTAAACCATAGTGGATGAAATATGGGATGTTTTGGAACCCAAATAAGCAGCAGGGTTATTAATTACATTAGATAAGGCAAGTTTATTTTATAAAAGTAGAGTCGAATAGAGTAATTCAGAGAGAAGAAAGTCTATCCTGATTGTGTGATTTTAACGCTTTAAAAGAGGGCGAAGGAGGAGATCTAAAGATAATAGCAATATTCTTATTTTGACATGAAAAAAGAATAAAAACAGGAGGAACTTGGATTGAATAATTATTTTTAAGCAGAATATAATAATTGATTTATTATAATTATTATTATAAATTGATTTGATTTAATTGAAATGTTGATTATACAATCATTTGATTTGTATCTAATTAAGACTATTGCAGTCTTACATATTTGGTAATACACTTATTGAAGGTATCTACTTTTATGAGGGTTGGACAGAAGTCTTGTCACTTTTGCATTTGGTCCTCATTATTCTAGACTCGACTAACTACGTTCCATATCTTGATGCATATATTCTCTCCTCTGCATCTACGATATCATTAACAGCATACAGTAACTTACTTTCAAGGTCACATTTTTTTTACTTAATTTTATTATAATTAATTCTTACTTTATGGAATTTTGGTTCCAATTAGATGAAACTTTTAATTCTTTATAAAAGTTAAAATTGTGGATTTTCAGCAGCTTTGTTTCTAGATAGAAGTATGAAATAGAATTCTATCTAGTATTTATAAGATACTTATTGTTGCATCATATTCGATTATGAATTATCCGAAAGTGGTTTGTATACAGAAAATATGAGATGTTTTTTGCGTTGTTTCTAATAAAATATTTTCGATTCTGACTCTTTCTTCGATCCAAGTCTTATCATTGCTGAAGCCCTTCCTTACAAACATTAGAAAATATTATTTATTTTTGTCATACAACATAAAACCGCGGAAGACTTTCAGATATTATTCATCCAATAATTATTTGCTTGAAAAACTCTACAAATCATTGTTTTCACTTGATAGCGTTGTACAAGTTAAAATTTTTTGGTTTTGTTATTCCTATAAATTGGGCTTTGAGCTTGACAATTTGGAAATGAAGGTATTATTCAACTTTAATTGTTCTTCCTTTGCCTTTATTAAATTTTCTATTTTAAACTTTTCCAAAGCTTCGAGTTCTTTTATTTTGAGCTGATTTTAAAAACTTAAAGATTACATTTTTGTAGTTTGGGACCTCACTCAAGTATGCATAGATCATAAGTAGAAGCTCCGCTTAAAAAATGTCGTCTACAAACTCATGCGATATCGATATCAGTAATCGATCTAAACATATTAGTTAAATAATACTTGTAAAATAATCATATTTGCCTCTCACTTTCCCTAACAATGATTGAGTGGAGAAGACCTTCTCTTCCATTACATTTTATTCTCCAATCTAATGCTGAATCTCTTTTATGGTTTATTACCACAAAGGAGTTTATTCGATATCCCTTCTTAATATCAAATAAATTTGGTTGAGCTCAAAATCAAAGATGGCAAATGCTCTGAAACAATGCATGAGTTTATGATATAATTTATTTCTTTTTTTTTTTAATCGAGAAGATAATTTACTTTAATATCAATTTAAGATCAATATTATAATTTAAGCCAATTCTTAAAGTATTCATAGCTGAAAAACATATTTGTTTCAATTCTAATAATAATAATTTTATATAAAAATGATGTGCTTTTAATATAATGGGGGGAAAAGTAGAAATATACATGGAAGAGTTGAACATTTAGTTAATGGAAAATGGGTTAGATAAGAAGGAAACAAAAAGATAAAATAGGTTATTCAAGAGATTGATGAGGATTAAAACTAACAATAATTTAAAATTCAAAACTAAGAACAATAACAATAAGAACCAATCTAACCAATTTAGTAAGACAAGCCATAGGATTTGCAGCAAAATGATTAGCCATAAATTCAAAAAGAATCATCGTGACCATTTTATATGGATTATATATATAACAGGCGCATAATATTATATTTATAATATTACTAATTATCTTTATGGATTTGGTTAGAAAACACGCTTAATATCTAAAACTCTTATTATTCTTATAAATATGTAGATACTATGAATCTTATAAAAATATAATTGGTTGTTAATTAAATGAGAGGATTTAAATACTTTTGGAATAGATACAAAGTATTATTAGCAAATTGTTGCAATTATATAGAAGGAAAATAACTAAAATTAAGAAATATTTATAAAATTAAAATATGTGAGGAGAAATAAAAGAAGATAGTTAACTATAAATAAAATTTATTAATCAAAATAAGTATGGATTATTTAAAAATTAATATATTTTAATAAAATCATCCTGTTTATTGTTTTCAGAGCATAAAATTAAGTTTATATTTATGAATTGAAATTCAGAAATCAATTGAAGGATTTTCTTTAAATTGCAAGATAATTATTTCTAAGATGTAAAATCAAAATATGCTACAAACCAGATAATAAATACAATATAAATTGACAAAATCAAAGATGGTTTAATTCTGATATGAAAAGGAATAAGACTAATACAAGGAGTATAATACTAAAACATTATTAAACTTGAGACGTATTTTTATATGTATTTGATTAATGTATAATTATTATACTAAAACATTTGAAGGCAAATTTTAATTTTAATTATTTATATTACTAAAGTCTTAGTTCATGAACGGAGAAGATTTCAGAAGCAAATTAAGGGAATTCCATTTAAGAAGTAAAGAGTAAAGTTCACAGGAGTCTAGAGTAATTTTGGAGGATGAAAAAAAGATGAACAATGCTTGTTGCGTAAAACTTTATTTAGAGGATCACACTATAGGTATGATTTAAATTAGATGTGTCTTTTAGGTAATTTGACTCGAATGAACCTATTAAAGTAAAAGGAAGTGACATTTTCTGGATATAGACAGATTCATCCACTTTAACACACTATTGAAATTAAAGTTCAGACAAATGGATCCATAAAACCATATGATGCCCTATAAAAAACACTTTAAGATTTGAGCGATGAATTCAAAAATTTAGAAGAAGAATGGGCACGAAAAGTTGCTGAAAAAGAGAAACATTAAATGAAATTAGAAATATGAATAATATTATAAATAATATACATGTAATAATAGAATGTAATTTAAGATGGGCAATCTATTGACGAAAACATTTCAAAACTCTATCAATTATTGGAGTTTAAAGGGAAAGGAGCTTACGGAGTTATTTGGAAAGCAATGGACCGATAGACCAAGAAAATAGTTGCTCTGAAAAAGGTTAATAAAAATAGGTATCATGAAGGTTTTTGATGCTTTTTCAAATGATACTGACGCATAGAGAACCTATCGAGAAGTTATTTATCTATAATAATTGACGTACCATGAGAACATTGTTAAATTGCTACACATTCATAGAGCAATGAATATGAAGGACTTGTATATGACATTTGAATATGTGGAATCAGATCTCCATAAGGTATTAAATGGAGTTTATGTTAGGTAATAAGAGCGAACCTACTTGAAGGATAACACATGATCTACGTCCTCTACTAAATATTGAAATGTCTTAAGTATATACATTCAGGAGGATTGATCCATAGAGATTTGAAGCCATCCAACATTTTAATAGATTCTGATTGTAGAATTAAGTTGGCTGATTTTGGATTGGCAAGATTAGCAACAGACATAGATGAATTTACTGTAATGACAGATTACGTTGCTACAAGGTGGTATCGTTCTCCCGAGATTCTTTTAGGATCTCCTATTTATAATAATTCGGTGGATATGTGGAGTGTAGGTTGCATATTGGGAGAAATGGTTCTAAGTAAATCTATCTTCACTGGTTAATCAACCTTGAATTAACTAGAGAAAATAGTGGAAGTACTTGGCAAGCCTTCCTAAGAGGATTTAGAATAGATAAATGCCCCCATAGCTGAGAAAATATTTAGAGAGATACAGATGCCCAGAAGAAAGTCATTATTTACTTATATCAAATCTTCGGATATCATCATCGATTTCATTAGTAAATGCTTAACTTGGAATCCAAATAAAAGAATGACTGTTGATTAGGCACTCTAACACCCCTTGTTGAATGATTTCAGAGGCACTGAAAGAGAAAATAATTATCCATCAAAAATTACTATTGAGTTATCTGAGAATGTTAAATTGGATAAAAAGAAATATAGAGAAATCTTATACAAAATGGATGTAAATTATTAAAAATAGTAATATATCAAATAATTAAGTAATGAAGAACAAATTCCATCAGCTATCAAAAGCAAAAAGCTTTCAAATTAAATTCAATAAACCTATCAAAAATATTTAAATAATGGAATCGACTCTAAATATTAAAGAGTCTCCAAGTCTTCATCTAAGCCAAATCAATTTCATTAAAATTTTTAATCTTAAATGGATATTTAAAGTTAAATTCTTTTAACCTAATCTATCTAACAATAAAATCAATAAATCATGAAATAAAAAATGTTGTAAAATAGAATTAAGACACTCCCTGAAAACTATGTTGACATCATTATTCCAACTGAACCAAAAAGTCCGAATAGAGAACGCTATTTTTCCTAGATTAAGATTACTTCTACTCAACCTCAAATCCCTCAATCCTCCACTCCCATCAGAAGCAAATCAATGAAAAATAGACTATATAATGAATCTGCTGATCATTGTGTGTAGCCAAAGGAAAATGACTCCAAAAAAAAATTACTTACTGCATATTTGAGTCAAAAACCCAAAAGACCACTTCTCTATAATTTTAAAAAGACGATCATTCGGAATAAAATCAGCACGGATCAACAAATTATCAAAAAGCATCTTGCCCACTTAAATAATATGGATACTTCAAATCTGGTCTCAATTGCTAAATGATATATACATTTTTGGAAATTAATTATGCATATAATTATTAAAAAACTTACTGCTTTGCTTTATTTAGTGTTTATATAATAAACTATTTAAAATTAATTTGATTCCATGGATATCCGAAACCTCACTAATAAAAAACCCTAGTTAGCAATACTGCATACTAAAAATCTAAGCAAACAATTTTCAATGAAATCAGAGAAAAGAATTAAAACAACTACATCAGATTCTAATAGATCTGTAGATACAAAAAAAATCTTAACTGATTTCTATGACTCATGTAAGCGAAGAAAAAGTATTTAACATAAACTAATTAGTTACTTCCTAATTTATACACGAAAGAAATAAATCCTAATAGCATTAAAATGAATCACTCTTTTAGTCTATTGATAGTTGGCGTTCTTTTCGACAACAAACCTCTACTTCTCATGTCTCTCCTCCAAATAAATTCTTTCTATTTAATACATGCGAGAAAGTGCTTTGCTAAAAAAGTAATGGGTCTAAGCGAATTTAAACCCAGTATGCTGAAAAGCTTTTCTTATAGCAACTGAATTCAAACAACAAGCAAGAGTTATTATTGAAGATTGAACAGTATATCCGAGATTATTTTACTGATGAATGTAGAGAGATGGCTAATTTATTTGACACTTTTATGAGGGAACTTAATTCATAAATTTCGGATTAAAAATTCTAATTAACCTTGCATGAAAAGTAACTTGAAATTCAAAAGTTAGATGAGATTATTAAAATGAATACAAATCACACTTGGGCCCATTAAGACATGGAAAGATAATTAAAGTAATTATAATCTTAACATTGTGAATAAATGAATTTGATTGCAAAGTATGAAAATGAAAACAAAGACTTGTAGATAAGGAATAATCAATTGAAGTAGCAATTAGATATTAAGCAAAAAGAAATTGTCTTGAAAAATAAAAAAATAAAAGAATTAGGTTATGAAGTATTATAATTGTAAAGAAAATTAGAATATGTTGAAAATAAAGTCTAGAAGGATCATCGATAATCAATTTAATAAATAAGGTATTCAATATTTTAGAGCCAATAAATTGGTTCAAATTCAAATTTAAGTTAAACTGGCAATAATAATAATAATTAGCCTAATAAATTTACTCCTCTTATTGAGGAATTAGTAGAGGATTCTTCTCCTTCTTTAACAGAGTAAGAAGATGAAGAAGAGAAAGAGCTTAATCAAATTGAATTTAATACTGAAAGGATAGTAGAAACAAGAGAAAAAGAATCATAGGTTGAGTATGATATCATAAACAACTATACAAAAGAATAAGATACTTAAACTTGCTTAAAACTAGTAGAGAGAAAATTTGATGACTTGACATAAGATCTTTGCGAGCAAGCTCTTAATTTCATAGACTTTTTAAATGTTCATTAAGATAAAGTAGAAATTGATATGAATTAAGTAAATGCTAATTTAAGTAATATTAATCTGGAAAAGGTTTCAGATGAAGAAATTGTGAAATATTTTGATCAATAAGCACTCTTACAATCTAATTTATAATTATCTACAGCTTCTTAAAATCATTCATAATTAGTTAAGCAACCTTCAATCAGAGGAAATATGAAAAGGACATCTATGATAATTGATAGACCATCTATCCAAAATTAATAATAATTACCAAATTAAATAAAGATTAAATCGATGATTACATTCATAAAAATGTAAGGTAGTAAAATGAAACAATTAGAAACATAGTTAAAGGAAGGAATGTAATAAATCGAAGGATTAAAATTGATTAATAATAATTTGGAAGATCATAATAAAGAAATAAAAGAGCAAAATTCTAAATTGCTCGATTAAATTACAAATCTTCACGTTAAAGTTAATGATCTAGAAAATTAGATTATGTCTGATGCAATGGATATCAACTAGGTTTTGTCTTAGCAAGAAAAAAGACCTCCAAATATTAAATAAAACACTTTTGCTTAGAGAAAGACCAAAAAAGCAGCTCCTCATTTAGGATAGAAAGTATATTTAATTTATAAGCTAGATTACAATTAGTTATGATTTTCAGAAGAATTAGTCAAAATTGCTTATTGAAAAAATTAAATCAAAAAGCATGGGAAAGTTCTCAAATTATTTACCATTAAAACTTGTTTTAAAAATGATAACCACCTTTTATTTTGAAAAAATCTCAAACCAAAAAGAAAATAAATAGTTGAGAGATTAGGATATGTCATCATATATATATAACTATTACTTGTAGTAGTTTGGATATACAAAAGTCACAGAATAAAGATTCATGATACTTGTTTTGTCGGTTAAAAAGTATATTTCAATAGTAAGAGTTAATCTGTTTGCTAAATTTATGAATCTATTGGAAGAAAAGAGTAATTATAGAGTGGAAGAACTCTAAAGATATTTGGAAGCACTTGAATATGTTTCAAATATTTAGAATTTGGGTATAGCTATAAAAGACAATGAATAAGAGTAGAAACACTATATTCCATATGTAAGAGCTTTAGCTTATTTGGGTCAGTTATAAAATTTCAATTTTACTTAAGAAGAACTTAACTATTTGAAATTGGAATTAGAAAATCAAAAGGAAATTGACCCAAAAAATATGAATAAAGCTGGAATAATAGATTTTGACTTATTAATGATTAGAGTGTTGACAATTTTCAGGAACAATGTCGAAAAAACAAAGCTTTATGTTATTAATGCTTTTGCAGCATGTGATCTTGATGGAAATGGGATGTGTAACATAGATGAATGGTTGCTTTTGATTAGACACATAGAGCCAGAGAAATTTGATGAGGAAAAATTTATTGATATTTTCGAAGAGTTTGCAGATCTAGTAGAAGAGGATGAGAAGAATCTATCTTTTGACAGATTTTCAATTTTATGCATGGAACATGAGTTGTTTAGTGATGCTCAATAGAACAAATTCTTAAGAGTCAAAAGTATGACATAATTTATAATTATTTTAGGCAACTAAGAAGCCGATTAAAAATTGGAATAGATTAAATAAAATTGGGGTTAAATATACATGGAACAATTAAAGAGGCTTAATGAAATTAAAATGGAAGAGAACGAAAAGTAGAAATGGCAAAAGATTCTGGGAGTGCTTGATAAAAAATTATCAGATCAACATAGTAGTAAAAAACCTTTATTGATTGCATATAAGATATTTTTGGAAGAATCTAAGTGACACTCATGTACTGTATATATATATAAATGTAATAAATTGAATCATTCTCAAACATATTGAGTAAAATTTATTAATATTCCAGTTATTATAATCAGATCAAAAGTAAATAATCAATATGGATGCTTAAAGACCAATGACTACTCCTTCTAAATCTATTTTCTCTGATTATTTAAAAAGATAGAGTCAAAGCTAAAGCAGATCACATTTCAGAACCTTAGGAGAATCAAAGAATGAAGAAGCCAATAAAATATTATCAGATTTCATAGAACAGAGCAAGCAAAGACAATGTAAGAGCAATAAAAATTTTAGAAACTAGTTAATTCTTAAATTCTCGATAGAGAACTTCTTAAGAAATGCTATAAAGTATTGTGTCTCATTAATCATCTACAAATAAATTTTATGTGCCATTTCAATCTGACTTTGCTAAAAGAAAAAATAATTCCTTAAGCAGCTTTGAAAAAGTTGGATCTTCCTCTAGGATTGGCAATAGGAGACAGCAAATTCAATAGACTGAGCAATTCTTCCAATCCTAAATCACGCCTTCAAATAGACAGGAATATCTAGACAAAATGGAAGATTTCATTACAGAAATCCTAACGGAAGAATTCAAAGAAATATCTTCTTTATTTACTACTTTCATGAAATAATATCAACTTTACATTGATGATTATTAATTATAGTTGTCTATTAAAGAAAAGCAACTTGAATTAGAGAACCTTACAGAATTTGAAAGAATGAATAACAAATATTCTAAAACAAGTCAAGATTATGAAAACTAAATTAAGTCACTCAATTATAATGTTGAACAATATAACATTGATATTCATAAATTAAAGACAGAGATCTAAGATCAAGGACGTAAATATAAAGAACTTCGCTAGAGATTCGAATTGAAATAAAGAGAAATTGATATTAAGAATAAAAAGATTAAATCATTGGAATGTGATATCCAATCCTAGTAAAAGAAGATCTAATATTATGAAAATAAGTTGCAATAAACATTTGGAAAAGATTAAATGACAGATATCAAGCAATCTTATCAAGAGACCTTCTAAAAGAAGAACAGTACCTCTAATTTAAACATATAAACCCATAGTTAATAGACCCCAAGTAATAACCTGATTCCCATGAGAGCAAGTGTAAAAAAGGTAAGTATTGTTAGTATCCTAAACTCTCCAATAAACCAACCTCCTGATTTATTGAAAAAGAAATCAACAACTCAAAAGTCTGATTCAAGCATTGAATAATTAGAAGAAGAAGTTGAAGAGTAAGATAAATTGAATTAAATTGAATTGAATTATGATAGAATTATTGAGTATAGGACATCAGAAGCATAAGTAGAGTATGATTTATAAGAAATGTATTGTAAATCAATTTAAATCTAAACTGAATTGACGATGATAGGATAAAACTATGATTCATTAAAATAAGAAAACATTGAAAATGCTTTAAAATACACTGAATTTATCAAAGAAGTTAATAATAAAGGAGAAAATTAATAAGATTAAAATTTTGACAAAATGTTTGATTAATTGTTGAAGGATGCAGAAGATGCTAATACCTAAAATGGTGTATAGGTTGTATAGAATACCCAACCTCAGGTTCAAAGTAGCAAAAGACTATCTATGTATGGAGCTACATCTAAAGATTCCATTAACCTAGATGATAATTCATAATTGCAATAAAGAAATAAACAGAAGAAGGATTAGTAAATAAAGCAATTATATTCATTTTTCAATTACTCTAAAAGTAGGTTGGTTGAATTAACTGATGATAATGATTAAAAGAAAATAACAATAGTTTCACTTTAATTTTAAAACGAAAACCTATCTAATCAAATTAAACAGTTATAAGAAGAAATTCACAAATTAAAAATATAAGCTATAGATGATCGAATTTTAATTTAAGATTTAAAAACGAAATAAGAACATGCAACTGTTGTCCAACACGTTAATGCAGAATAAAACCTGATAACTTCATAACCATTATCATAATAAAATGAACATAAATAGTAAAAATAGTAATAGTAACCTAAAAAAGGAGTGAAAAATAGAATACCTTAATTAGGTTAGAAGGTAATTAAATATTTCATTTTTAGGTAACGATTTCCTATGACTTTTAAAAAAATTAGTCTAAATAATTAATAGACAAGATCAAGTCCAAAAATATGACAAAGTTCACTAATTTTCTACCCCTAAAAGCGGTGTTAAAATATATTACCACATTATATTTTGACAAGATTCATAATTAAAAAGAATAAAAATAATTAAAAGATTAAGATATGTCAGCATTTATATATAATTACTATATGTAATAATTTGGTTACACTAAAGTCACAGAACAACGTTTCATGATTTTAGTACTCTCAATTAAAAAAAATGTAAAGTTAGTAAGAGCCAATGTGTTTGCTAAGTTTATGGGGTTGTTTGAGGAAAATTAAAATTATAGTGCAAATGAATAACAAAGATATTTAGAAGCTTTGGAGTATGTAACCAATTAATAGAATTTGGGAATTACCATAAAAGATAATGAATCAGAATCTAGATATTTCATACCTTATGTTAGAGCGTTGTCGTATTTATCTTAACTTTAATAATACAACTTTTCTTAAGAAGAGTTTAACTATCTAAAATCAGAGTTTGAAGAGCTGAAAGAAAATGATCCAAAAGGGCAGAACAAATTGGGAATAATAGATTTTGATTTAATGATGATCAGAGTATTGTAAATATTTAGGAATAACGTTGAGAAAACTAAAGCGTATGTCATAAATGCATTTGCTGCAAGTGATTTAGATGGAAATGGAATGTGCAATATTGATGAATGGCTTTTGTTGAATAGACACATAGAAGGAGAGAAATATGATGAGGACAAATTGGTTGATGCCTTTGAAGAAAATGCTGATTTAATAGTTGAAGAAGAGAAAAACTTATCATTTGAAACTTTTTCAATCTTATGCATGAGTTTAGAATTATTTAGTGATGCTGCTTAAAACAAATTCCTAAAAGTACGAAGTATGTTATATAAGTAATCTTAGACAACTAAGATGTATTAGTTAGATTTCAATAATTATAGACTATGTGGAATGAAGAGTATACAAAATGCTTATAAAAATTGAGTGCATCTGAACTGGAAGAATAGGATAAGCAAAAATGGGGAACCATATTGAACGTTCTAAATGTTAAAATATTATCCAATCCAGAATAAGTAAAACCACTGTTAATTGCTCATAAAATTTTTATCGAAGAGATCAAATGAATATCGGATTTTTATTTTATAATTAAATAATGTTTAATAAACCACAGTCAAATTATTTAACCTTAGATTTCAAAAAGGTTAAAATTAAAGATGTGCAGACATCCTAGCCTCAGACTCATCGAATTAATACATCCAGAACTATCTTGAGGAAGCTTAGAATGGATGGGTACTATTCTATATTTAGTTTTAGATCCTAAACAGATAGAGATAAGAATACTTATCAGGAGGTCACTAATTATACTCAAGAGAAGTTGGTTTACAAATAAGAGTTTGAGGATGAAAGAAAGAAAAAGCTCGAATAATTGAGATGTGAAGTGGAAGAATTAAAGTTAGATTATGTATAAAAATAAAAGGAACTTATTCAAAGTAGGAAACAAGTAAACAATGCTCTCAAGGGTCTAGTAAATTCACACACAAAATATAAAGATTATCAGATTGGAGATATTAAACTCTATCAATAGTATTATCGTTGCAAGACAGAAACTCCCTTTCATCTAAAAAATACCATTTATGATGCTTAGAAATATTAAAACTATTATGGTAAATTGTAAAAAGCCAATTTAAAACTTAATCATCAAGTTCAATTTGCTATGATTCAATATCGTAAACAACTAGAAGAATCTCAATAAAGAATTCCAAACTTTTTAAAATCTATCCAATAAGTTCTGTGAATGATTATTTTAAACACTAGATTATGATTTGAATGTGTGTTTCAACTATTATTTAAATAAATGGTCTTTCTTTGTGATCAAATACTAATATTCTGAGGAAAATTAAAATATTTTGGCTGAATATTTATTTATTAAATTTCTTACATCTTAAGAGTGGGATACAATATCTTTAAAAAATTTAATTAATTTATGAAATATATTAAAAAACTAATCCTAACATTTGAGAGCAAGAGTTTAGAACAACAATATTAATTGGAAAAAAAAAACTAAATCTAGCTGCCAGTTTTCTTATTTATAATTGTACTCTCTTTTATTTCGAACTGTGTTGTTCTTGGATTCCATTTTTTCAATTCAAAGATTGATACTTGGTATTTGAATGTTGCATTTAGCATTACAACACTACTACTGTTCATATTTATTGTAGTTATGAAAAAACATTAGTATCTATAGGATGCGATTACTATATCAAATCTCATTTTGGGTTTTTTAGAATTAAATGTAGATCCTGCTTCATCCGATTAAATCGAATTTTACTCTTATGGAAATACATTTATGTAACTAGAAGCAGTTTTATACATTGTGTCTAATTTTGGTCATGCTACTCTTCAAGTCATTTTTCATTTTATTCTGCGCATCGCCATAACAATATTTTTATCAAAACGGACAGATTACCTATTAATCTTTATAGGTTTTACAAGTGGTGTGATAATACTGGTGACAATATTCTATAAAGAAAAAAGCTCTAGAAGGTTGTTTATATAAAATTTGAAGGAAAATCATTGGGAAAATAACATTTCATTCATTATCCAAAAACCTTATTTTAGAATTAATTATTAATAAGAGTAGTTACTATTTAATTTAATAAAAGATAATAAAATTGAATAATTTCCTGGTTACGATAATTTTTATTGTGATGGATGTAATGTAAGAAAGCTATTAAGATGCTATTTCATCGATAAAAATTTAACATTAGAAGAATATTTGCTTAAACAAAAGAATCATATCTCTTAAAAACTTATTTTAACTTTTAAGAAAAGAAAATTTATTTTAAAATTGTGTAGTTTGGATGTTCAATAAATTCAATATTTGTTTATTCTTGATGAAATCAGCATTTAATTTAAAAAAGAAGAAGACAAAAAAGTAAAGCAAAATGATTTGATTTAATTTCTCAGGTCAAATAAAGCATTTAGTTATTAACATTTTTTTAATTGGGGAGCACAATCTCTATTATTCTTAAACTCTAAGATTATCAAAAAGATAAACTTATAAGAATTAATGATTTAACTCCTCCACATATTTAAATCTCACGTATTTAATTAAATTTAAGTTAAAATAATTACATATGATTAGAATGCTTCTATTTACACTTTTTATTATTAAATTAAAATATTTATGATGTAACTTTTTGAAGTACTATCAATGATTCAACGAAATAATAATCTATAAAACTAAATCATTCTCAAAAGGAAGGGATGTGATATTTTGATTAAAATTACAAATTTGGATATAGAATCTTTCGGATAAATGTTTGAAGGCAATTTCTTTTTAAAAAATCTTTAAAGCTTATTACTCCACGAAATTGAAATATAAGACGGAATATAATTGCATTTTCGAAACTATCCAATAAAATCATTTGCATTTGATATTTGACTTTACGCTAATTCTTTTAATTTAAAATTGTATTTAAATTATTCATAATCCATTTAAATCTTAAATTTGAATTTCTAAAATTCTTTTTTTTAATCATCATAAACAATTATTAAAGAAATATAATTCACCATTCCTTTTTTATATTATAATTTAAATATGATTATTTAGTTAGATAATACTAATCACAAAAATTAAACCTACTAAAAAGTTCACAGGAATTAAAGGTATTCATCGTCTACATTTGATTATAAAATAATTTTTATAGCTAAAATTCAATCTATATAATGCTAAGAATTAAATGATTAAATACTCAAAATGTATCTGCTAAGTGAAATTAATTAAGTAGGGAGCTATTTAAAATTAAATTGTTTCAAATAACAATTGGAAATTTTAAGTCCATTTTATCAATTACTAAAAGGTTTAGAATTTCATTAATGTGTCTCAGAGTTGAAAAAATCAATTTGAAAAAGTCCTTATATCACATTGCAGCGCTGTAGCTTCATATTCTAAAATCAAACAATTTGACAAACCAGCTTTACACAAATTGAGTGAAATTTATTTGAGCAACTGTCTATTTATTTTTTCAATTAGTTCAAATTTAATCTTCATCAATTTTCAATAAGAAAACTTAGAATTATATATTGATTAGCCAAAATTAGAATGCATAGATAGAAGTTAAAACATCATAAAATTAGGCAAATTTAGTAACAAGAAGGTAGGCATAATTCTTATTTAATTTAAGCCTATTAAAAAATTTAGTTAAAAGCCTTAATTAACAATTATTCAAAGATTAAATTGAAATAATCAATAATAATTTAATTAATTTTGAAGATAAATCGATTTTTCGTTAACTTACAAATGATATAATATTTAAGGTAATAGATTCTGTTTATTTCTGGCCACGTCAGCAAAATTATGTATTAGTACATATTCATTCATTTTTGTTAGAATAATAAGTTTAACTAAAACTTTAATAAATGAATTTTATTGATTAAGATGATTGTAATATCCCTTTTGATTACGAGGATGATTTGATTTTTCCTCCCTATTATGAAAATGCAGAAACGCCTGAACATAGCAAATCTACTGATTTAGAATAAAAGTTCAAAAACGATAGAAAAGAAAGGATTTTGAAAAAAAGAATAGAAAAAAAACAAAAAACCATTTCTGATTCTAGTAATAATCTCTCAAAAGAAGAGATAAGAAAATTAAGAAATAGAAATTCTGCTTAACAGTCAAGAGATAGAAAAAAGCAATAATTTGATGCTATGCTATAAGAGAACCAAAACTATTAAATCTTACTAAAACAAAAGGAAGAGTAAATTTAATTACTAATTGAAGAAAACAGCTAGTAAAGATTAAAAATATAATACTTGGAAGAAATAAAGTATTTAAATAAAAATATTAATTAGTTAAAGTTATAAATGCATGAATTGTGCTTAGGAAGCAAACCAGGAGATGATAAGAGTGAATGTCATTTCTAAATAGAAGATGATGAATTATGGATTATTATCTTTGTTGACAATAACTTGTATTTTGTCAATTGTCAATAATGAATACGAATTCTCACCCAAACCCATATCACTTCATTAGATTTCAGAATAAAAATATGAATTTTTAGCTCCTAAATAATAGTAATAATTTTCAAATCCAACATCATTAACACTCTACAACCATTTAAATATGCCTGAACATCAATATAATAATCAAACACTCTTTTACAATTGCACAGGCAATTAAAAGGAATGTCAATCGTTTTTAAATATCATCAAGGCTGAAAATACTAATAATTTATATTTTGTAAATGATGCTTAAGAAAACTTCCCCGCTGAACAAGATCATTATTTCGAGAAGGGAGAAAATGTTTATTTAATCAAAATCAAACAAGATGATGAAGACAACTTTTAGATATTTAGGGCAAGATGTTAAATAACCGAAAGTAATAAGTTGTTTTTCGAGAGGGACGATTAAGATTCCTATAACAATAGCTTGTAATACTGATGATATTTACTCTTTTCATTTTTTCATTTCTATTCATTTTTTTATTTATAAAAATTAATTTAAGTACGCAATCTTTATCATTTTAAATATTTTCAATAGGGATTATCATAGGTAATTGACAATATTAATAACTTAATCAGCATTAAGATTATTATTTAATTCAGCTTTTGTCAAGGCGACAAAATTTTATCTAACTTTAGTTATAAAGGTCTATGAATAACTATCTCTTTTTATCAATTCTCCTCTTGTATACAGAAAGAAGAGAGCGTATAAAGCAAAAACACCACAGTCCTACACTAAATTAATAGTTTACTAATGATCCACTTTGCATTGGAGTGTTTTATAATATTTCCCAATTAAAATTTGTTGTGCATTTATATTTTATAATTCTATCAATTCCAGCCATAATGTCTGTATTGTATCCATTTAGTGAATCCTGATATATGATTTTACCCTCATTAAAATAGACTAATACGCTTATCCAATGATAATTTCCTAAGTTAATTGGAAAATATGCATAGTCGTAATTAGCAATTGAACTTCCTTTTTAATAATCATTATTTAAAGTTTATTGAGAAAGGAGAGTTTCTAATTAAGAAATTTTGAAAATCCCTTCATCTACTTATTTAATTTAATTAATGCTTATGATTTCGAACACAAACTTTTTCTTTTTAGTCTCCTCTAATTAAGCTTCTTCCTTAGCTTTTTGAGTTGATAAGCCACTTTTAAAATTCCCTGAATTGGAAATGATATTTTATTAGTAAGTCTTCTTATCCTCTATCTATTATTTGATTTTATTAACTTTTTCAAAGTCAATCAAATTTTTGGATAATTAGTCGGTTAGTTTTGGCATAAATTCAGCAAAGAAATAGCAATCAACTAAAAATATCTAGTAATCTTGAAGAATTTACCTTTCTTCTATTTTAAAAGTATTTATTAAAAACATTTTAAAAAAATGTCATATGTGAACTAGTCAAATATTATTTGTTCTCAAGTATATCAATGAAGGCTTTATCAATTGTCACTCCGTTTTTTCTATTATCATTTTATTTTATCATATTAATCTATAAATATTTAATATTTAATAATATTTTAAAGAATAATTATTAATTAAAAGCAACTCAATTAACATAAATGTATAACAGTAAATAAAAAAATATGGTAATATTAGATAGTGATCATAAAAGATAATAGAACAACGAAATTCATTAATTTTATTTTTCTTTTAATTAAATTTTGTTACTAATATCATGTTTACTTACTTTATCAACATGATTTTTCATTTTCAAATGATATATTTACTTGAAGAATTGATTTCCTTAGCACTATTATTATTACTGTTATTATACTATTTCTGTTAGATTTTTTAACCACAAACAATTAGGTTTGAATTTAAAAAATAATTCTTTGCTATTCTATGTTTATTTACTGAATTTATATTTATAGAACTAACTAGAAGATAATAAGATTTTAAATGTAAATAAAATCTGGAAAATAAAAAAATAGGCTCGATAAATATTTTTATTTATCGTTATTAGGAAAACCATTGATATCTGACCTTTTTTAACTCCTATTATTATATTAAAATTTACAATAATTGCGTATTATTTATATGATAAACTTTTGCTAACTGTATTTAGCAGATTAAAATAAGAATTATTTATTTTCATCAATACATATTTTTATTAAAGAAGATTTGCAAATATTTAAGAATATAAATTAATCATAATTAATACCTAAATATAAATCTTGCCTATTTAGATGCTCATTAAAGATTAAAACTCAGTTATTAAAGGCTTAATCTGAATAATTATAGATAAATTAAATTATTCTTCATTATTTCTATCAAAGCCGTTATACACATTCCACATTCATAATCATCTACTTTATAAATATGAGACTACTCTCAACTTAACATTTTATTGAACTTAGATATTTAGCATTACCATTTTATTTAATAAAAGAATGTATACTTATAAGCGAAAGTTGAGATTGTTATTTATTTGTTTATTAGTGAATTCATTTGAAAATTTAAGATTTATAATAGGGAAGATTACATTATTGGATTTGTTGAAATTATCATTAATTTTGATTTTAAAATCTTCAGTAGATAATCTCTATAAGTAGTAAATGTATTAACGAAGCAACTAAATTTTTAAAGGAATTAATAATTGTATCTGTCATTTAGCAGGGTTTTAATAGAATTAAAAATAGCTTTGGAATTTAGATCAATATAATTATAAAGAGCTTTTTTTCTAATGAGATATAAATTAATCAAATAAAATATTTAGTATTAAATTTGATTTTTTTTAGTAGTAAAATTAATTGTCAATCAATCTTAAAAAATTTGTAATTAAAAATAGAATTCATTGTTTAAACTGCTTTTGCAATTTTTTATTGTATAAAGAAACAGGATACGTATTTTTCTTTTTATAAATAATTTATAATCAGCCATTATTAAGGAGTGTGAGAATTAGAGATCATTTTAAATAAATTATAGTAAATATATTCAAATGAGTAAAACTTCCTTTGCTGAGCAGCTGTAATCCGACAGAAGCCAAATTAGCTAATCAGAATCATCGGAGTTTAAAGTTGAATTACGGAAACAAAGGGGTAGTTAAACAGCCAATGCTGACGCTAAACGTTACCATAAAATTCCATTAAAAACACAAATTTTATTGTTTTAGATGGTCTTTTCATAAGGAAAACGAATAAAACAGGTCAAGACCTTCAATACTATATTTAGGTTGCGAAATAATTAGGAATGAATTACTCAAGTGCAAAGTCTTTGATTCATTATTACAAAAACAACAAGAGACCAACTCCCACTGCTATTTCTAGCATAATAAGCTTAAACAAAGCCTGTGGTATAAGGAAAACGAAATAAGGAAATAATAATTTTTTCGTTGATATACGAATAAAAAAAAAAAGGATTAGGAAATACAATTATTATGAGTTTTTAACCGAAGAACATAATAAAACAACCAATTGAATTAGAAGGAAAATGATTTATAATTATATCAATTATAATTTGCTCTTTATTCAAACCTTTATATACTTTTGTTAGATAAAATTATTTTTGAAGGTGTTTACCAAGCAATCCTCGGAAAATATTATTTTTAGAGAGATAATTCGTTTTTGACAATTAATTCTAGCATAGAAATTTTGCATCAATAACGCTTTTTAATAAATGAAAACATCACAATCATAATTATAAAAATTAATTATCATAATATATTATTGTAATTTAAATAATAATTGGATATTCGAATTGCTAAACATTTTATCTTTAAAGTTAAATTGCTATTCTAAACGTAATATAGAAATGCATTTCGGAATAATATTTGTAGATCATGATGAAGAATTAAAAAAGATGGATCCGAGTAATTTCAAAGAAAACTAATTGGAGTTCCAATACTTTTAATTATTTATTCATTTTTATCAATGAGAATGGCTTTCGATGGTAATTTAAGAATATAATTCAAAAGATAGGTATACCTTTATAATAAAAAATTTATGATAAAAAATAATTTCAAGTTTAATAATTTTGAAATTCTCATATCTTGTTTCGAATCATTTGATAATGTATTGATCAAAATTACAATATAAAACTTAATAATTAAATATATGTTTTTATTTTTTATTATACCGATTGTTTTTACAAGTGAAAATTATCAAATTCCATCCTATTACGGATCAAAAGAATTGGATTTTCTTTTGAGAAAAAGCATAATAAATGGCAATTTAAGTTCTTTTTATTGGCATCCAAGTGTTTCAAAGAATGATAATACTTCTACATTTTACTTGGGTTATAAAAATGCAATATTCGAAATTGATAAAGGTACTACTAGTTCCAATTTTAGACAATAGAAGCAAAATAATAGCAGGCTCTTCTTCAGGGAAGTCGGGATTTAGAGATGGTGATGCTGCAAGTTCTCTATTTAATAATATCAAAAGTGTAATATACTTTTGTAAAAATGAAACATTAGCAAAGTAAGAATATACTAAATAAACAATAATTTTGGTTAACAATAATACAGAATGTTTAACTGCTGATTCTTCAAATTATACTCAATGTTTAGATACCTAAAGTGATCCAGTAGATCCTTATAAAATAAAGGATGTATATAGAGAATAATCAGTACCATAAGAGGAGTTCAAAGAATTTCTCTATATAGTGGATTCTGGGAATCATTGTATAAGACAAATAGATTTATAAAAGAAAATAACAAAGACGATTGCTGGCATTTGTGGATAGAGGTAATATAGATAAATTAATTTTAGCGGCTTTAAAGATGGATTATTGGGAATGAACTTGTTTAATACACCAGATTAAATGGGAATTGATGTTTTAGGCAACATTTTTGTTAATGATTTTAATAATCATTTTATTCGGATGATAACATTAGATGGATATGTTAATACATTAATAAGTGGAAGTTGCAGATAGGATGTCAGATATTAGGACATATAATTTGATAAGTTAAATTTAAAGAGGGTCATTTGTTTAAAAAACTGGATTAAGACATCAGGCTAGCCTTCAGATCACCTAGTAGTGTAAAATTATAATATATGTACTTAACATATTATAGATTGTTAATGATTAATTATCAAAACATAAAATTTAGTAAAAATTATGACTCTCCTTAATAACAATAATAATCAACTAAACTTCCTTTGATAATTGATCTGCACAAAAAAAAAGAGCATTAAATCAAAAATAATAAAGTCTAATCTAAATCTATGCATCACGGTGAAAGGAAAAACAATTTTATTCTAAACAGCATTATAACAGATGTAAATGAAATAATTAAATAATACCATGTTTCATTGTTTAGGGAAGACTAAGGAGATAAATCTGTGAGAAATTAAAAAAAAACCAAATAATTATGGTTATAAGAAAATAAAAACAAAGATAATAAGCTTATAACTTAATATCAATTGCTTGAGTTAAGATTAAAATAACATTAAATAAAGAAAGATAAGTCAACAATTTCTATATAGGGAAATAGACTATAAACTATTAGTACAATTACATATGACACAATTAGCAAAGAATGACAATCAAATATATTAATATATTATAGAGAATTATTGTTTCACTTATTAATTAAATGAATCATCTCTTATTACAGGATTATTATCAAAAATGAATTATATTATAGTCCTCCATTCTTCAGATCATTTATAATTTTTTTGAACTAAAGATTTGCAAAACTAGTTGATTTTTATAGAAAATATACCTCCAACACATTTTTATCAATTAATTTGATTTTCGAGATTTTTAAAAAACAAAACATATCTTATATTGTAATGTATGAAATCAACATGTAATGTTAATCTAATGCATTATTAATACATATAAAAAATTCTAGAAAATAATTATGGATTATATGGAACATTTATGATCAAATTTATAAAAAATATTCTTGGTATAGTTTATAAGATGTCATAAAAACGAATCGATGAAGCACTCATAATCAAGAGGATTTAATGCTGTGCTGTTATAATCAACGTATGGGTTTGGAGAACCGATTTTTGATTCTTAAAAATCTAATTCTTTTGAACATTTATAGTCACCTAACAATTTATTGGTTTGAGTATCACTTTTATCTAAAATTAGAGAAGGAAATACTTTCTTATCTTAATTCCTCATTTATGGCATGCAGCATCTACCCAACTTATTTAAATTTTACTTCGATGTCAACACTTTGATTGTAAACAAACTTATTATATTATCTATCATACATGATTTAAATTCTGCATTTAATCAATAAGATATGATGAAGTTTCTTATAATAGTTTCATATCTTCTTTTAATTTGTTATTAGTTTCCTTTATATCAAGGGCGCATTCTTTAAACAAGTTTTATTCCTCTTTGATATTTATGGCTACAAAATACTATGATTATAATACTTGGTTCTTCTTATATTTGAGGTGCCTGAATGTCTTCTTGATTTCTTCTTTTTATAAATTGTAACATGGATCTACAATACTTGTAACAATATTACTTCATTCCTTTTTTGAAGCATTTGTGCTTAAAAATTTACCCTTCATTTGATCGAACTTTCTTGAAATTATACAGGTTTAACTATCTAGAAGATGTTTATTATTTGTCATATACCTCACAAAGCTAGAGTAATTACTGTGTTTAAAGAAATTTTATAACACTTATTTTTCCATTTGCTACTGATTGTAAACTATGAAAGCAGTGCCTTGTGCAGTCCAGCTAACAATATTACTATTTTTAGGTTCCTTAATAAATTCTAACACTTGATTACTTCGAGCATTTGATAGGTTTTTAGAATGAAAGTAGGTATTGGAGTTCTAGTACTCATAATTCTAAATATAATATTATTATTTTGCAAAAGAAATAATCCAATATTTAAATTAAAGTGACTTGAATATTTGTTCTTCACTAAAATGTGTGAGAATCAAATTTACAATTCAAATCAATACTTTAGTTATTTATTATTAATTCCCCACTCCAAATAATTCATCAAATAAAGAAAAACTCTATTTTTTATATAACATAAAGATTTACAACAAATTTAATTCAGATTAATCAAATAATTATAGTGCTGCTTATAGTATTAGTTTTTGAATTGATCATATATTTTATCATTAAAAATAGAGAACCATTTTGTTAATTATTGATTGATTGATGAATAAATTGATTTAACTAAAAATTATATTTTATTAACTTAATTAATCATGATAAAAATAATTTATGTTCACTAAATAAAAAATAAAATAGTTTTAGGTTTAGAATAGAAATTTGTTAATCCTTACTTTTAAAATCTTAAGATTCTCATTTGATTCCTCAAAACTGTGATAAATATAATAAACTAATTTAATACAATTTCTTTTATTTTATAAATTCTGCTAATCAATTCAAATTTAAGAATATATATTTGAGTATAAGTTTCATTTTTTTAGATAGATTAAATTTACATAAATTGCTGATCTTTCTTGAGCATTTTGATAAAACAACCTAATAGAAAGTAAAATAGTTATAATAATTGACTTTTTTATATTTTCAGTTTCATAAATCCAAATTTTGAATGTTTTGATCATTTTATTAAAATTAAAATTGATTAGAGACATGAATCAAAATACTTAGAAAAAGATTTTAATTGGAAAAATATATATGGTACTAATTATTTAATTAAAAAAATCAAAATAAATTGATATTCTTTTGAATGGATTAATAAATTAATAAATTTGGTGAATAATGTATAATATATTGCCATTATAGAAAACGTATCACTTGAACAAACTAGACTCTTTTTTCGAAAATTATTTGATATTTATGATAAGTTATCATCAATTATAATTTAATTAAAATTCTTTAATTCAATATTAATATATTAATTATTAAATTTATCAATTGAATATTACAAATTTATTGACAAGGTTATACTCATCAATTCATTTTATTCATAGAACCATAAAAGATTTATTCCTAATATTTGCTTTAAATTTCTCAACCTTTATAACTCATTATAATTGATGTCAAATTCAATATTATATATTTATAAACATATGTAAACAGATCTCTAACTTAACTAGCATGATAATTGATATATTATATTATAAAATCAATCAACATATCTTTAACATTCTTACATTCTTTCTAACTAACTTTTCATGTTATAAAAAGCTATTAAGTTCCCTAAAAACTAATCGTCGAATTTTTCGCCTTATCGAATGTTATATAGATTCTTAAAGATACTGTCACTGATTGAATAAAGCCAATCTGAATTTGCTCTATTGGTAGCATTTTAATCAAATGATTAGAAATTGTTTTCAATTTTAATATGGTCCTACATATCAGACTTTTAATCTGAAAACTATTAGAAATGATTATTGAATTAATCATCATCTCTTTTTGCTTCTGTTTTTATTTTCTTTTTTGATTTTTTTCCATTGGATTCTTATTTTATACTATCGTAAATTGGGAAATTTTTCTTCAGCTTTTCAAAAAACTAGGATAATTTCCTATTAGCTAGATTTACAAATTCTTCAACTTTAGTCTCGTCAACAGACCAACTAGATTCATCATTTCTTTTAAAAACAACTGCAGAAAGACATCCTTTTACTGTTCTCGTAGCCATGCCTGTGAAATTCTTACCATTTTGTCTTCTTAAGAAAGGGAGATAAGGCTCTGTTACATTAATGAGGTTGTTCAAAGTAGCGTTACCATTTTGAAGTTGAATTGCTTTAATTAAATGGCCAGTCAATGACATCTAGTATAATTCTTCTTTGTCAATCATATCCTACCATTTGTTCACATCAAATGCTCTTGCTTGCTACCATTATTATACAATAAATATTACTAATTTGATCGCCTCCGAATGATGTTTCCGTTCTTCTGGCCGAGGTTAGTTTAATCTAATATTGATGATTTAACTCAATAACAAAGGTTTACTTTGTTTAAAATACTTATTCTAATTGTCACATAGATCACTCTACTTTATAATATTTTTAATATACTTCCACTTTAGTTTTTTAATCCATTGCCTTGTTTTTATATAAATTACCCCCTTTAATAAATTAAATAACGGGGATCATATTCCTCCTTTAACTTAAATAGTCACCCCGTAATCATTTATTTTAAACATAGATCATATAATTTGATGTATAGAAATGAGAGATGAGATGAATAAGACTGTCCACTATATTCAAATCTTTAAATAATTCTTGAGAATTAAAAAATAAAAAAATAATCAAACTCTTTCTGACATTCATATAAACAATCCATTTTTAAGTGAAGATTCGATTGGATAAGCATATAAGCTTAAAATACTTATTCATTACATTTAATTAATTAAGTAAAATCATCCAAAAACTCATTTTAATCTTAAATGAAATCTAGTTAATCTGACAGCATTGAAGAAGAATCAGGTAATTGGAATCTTTCTAGTCCTCAAGGGCCATAAATTTCTTTAAGAAATACGTTTGCAAATAATTAACCTGATTCCTCTGTTCACTCATATGAATCTGAGAGAATTTAAGGAAAATCAGAAGAATAAAAATAATAATTCACAATTGAATTTAACCCAGATGCTTAACCTATTATCAAGAGAACTATTATAAGAACCAATCCTTTATAAAAATTGCACCAGATAGCTGCGAAAAACAGATTGGTCAAATAATTCAAATAAAATCTCTTCATGAATTCATATATATTGTCAAAAGACTATTAGTAACAATTGATTTTATTTAAATAGAGACAAAATTTTGTAGTTTGAATAACTTTCATAAAATAAAAATTTGGATTACTTAATCAGTAAAACTTAGAATTCAATTTTACCGGTTTTGGAGGCCTATAGTAACTTAATGAAAGTATGGGATGTTATAATGATTCTCTAATAATTAATAAAATTATGGTTTCTACCCTTTATAATAAGTTTTTACGGATTTGATTCGAATATCTACGTAATAAGAGAATTTTTGATCTTTATGACAGTATTAGATATTATTGTTTCAATGAACAGAGAGATATTTTATAAGGGAAGTTACATTGGAAATCGTCGATAAATTTTTCGACAGTATACAAAAAATGGATTAATTGGAGATATAATTTAATTAATTACTTGGTTTTGTTTCTTATTTATTTACTAAAATATAGAATATAAAGCCTACTTAATTTTACTAGGAATTCTAATGGTAGTTTGTTGTATCAAATCTCTATTAAGAAAAACTGAATATTACATTGATAGTTATTACAATAAAGGGAATCTTAGTAATTTTTTGGATTTATTTATATTGATCCTATAGATTTATTTTGTAGCACATTATATGGCATGTATTTGGCATTTTGTTGGGCAAATGGGCATTTAAGTTGAAAAGGCAACTTGGCTTAGTGAATACGGGTTTCTCGAAGAATCCATCACTACCAAATACAATTATTCTTTTTATTGGGCCACTATGACAATGGCTACTGTGGGATATGGAGATATTACTGGTAGAAATAATTATGAAATACTGGTATCTAACATTATGATGATCCTTTCAAGTTGCATATTTGCATATTCAATGAACTCAATTGGGAATATATTAAAAAGCATAAATGATTCCAAGTTGAATTACAGGTATCAATAAACAATAAATCTTAGGAGGATGATATCATCAATTAATAATTACATGCAAAAAAACTAAGTTGATCACTAAGTCTAAGGAAAAGTGAGGAATTATATTAAATACTTAAACTAAAAAGAACAAGACTCTACTGAGGATTTTGAAAGTTCAGTTTCTTATTTACCAAAAGGTTTATAAACAGAAATGAAAGAAGACATTGCATAAAAAATTATTCAAAAAATAAAGATTTTATAATAAAACTTTTCTCATTCCACTTTAAATTTGTTAGTTTAGCATCTTAAGATTTAAAACTACGCTCCTGGGGAATATATATATCACTAACATGAACAATAATATTGTTTTTGTTATGTGAATTAAGGAGAGGTTTAAATTAACGAAGAGCAATCGTAAACTCAAATATAAGTACTAAAGCAAAATAGTAGTTTTAATGAGTATTCATTTTTCACAGAATAAGTAACTAAGAGTAATGCTTTGAGTGTAGGATTTACATAAATTGTAAAAATTGATAGACGAGCATTTCTAACTCTCCTAAAGGAAAATTAAAAAGACTTAGAATAATTTTATAATATTAAAGACACTATGCTATTGTATTAAGATTATTCTTTACTTTAGAAAAAATGCTTTTATTGTGGATACATTAAACATGAAACTATTGATTGTCCATTATTAACATATCAACCTAAAAAGATGAGTGTAATTCAAAAATATTGTAAATCTTCTTAATTGCAATCTAGAAAGTATATCTAAAGGCATTATCATTATATTCCGTCAAGATAGCAGTACTAAGAAATTAAAAATACAATTTCACATGCACGAGAGTATTATTTTTCAGATTTATTAATGAATGACTCTCAACAATTTAATAAAATACAATTATTATAAAAAGATGAAGGTCCTCCAGATACGAACATGAATGAGATCATTTCACCTAGCCAAAAAAAAGAAGAAGCTGACTAAACTCCTTAAAATATATCTAAATCAAGACTTCCAAGCATTTCAGCAGATGCAAGTAATTTGAGGAGAATAAGTAAATTTTAAATTCCTTTAATTCCAAATCCTGATGAAAAAAGACAGTCAAAAACTTAGCTTGACCTTTTTTAATTTAACTTTTCTGGATTAGAAATTGATTAAGTTTAGAATTATGAAAAATACATGATTCAAAATAATTTAATAAACATTTTAAAAAGTTTCTAAAAGTACAAGAGAAAAACCAAAATAGCAACTAGAAAATAAAAATTGATTGAATCATTTAACAATGAAGATTGAGTTTTTTATATTATTTAATTATTATAATTAATTAGTTGAAGATTAAATTTGGATGACGGAAAAAAAAGGTGAGTCTTTGTAGGATTAAATGAAAAACCTTTAGGGGGAAATCAATAAGCTTCATTCTGAAATTGATTCAAAGAAACGAGAAATTACAAAATTGAAAAATGATAATACGTTGAGATTAGAAAAAATAAACTGGATTTAAGTAGATATCTAATAGTATATAGACAGGAAAAAGTGAGGAAGATGCAAAGAGAAAAGAAAGTGTTGGAATTAAATGATTAAACATTAAGCGTAGGACATGCTACTTCTAAGCATTCGACTACCACAAAGGAAGTTTAGCAATAAAACGATGTTTAAAAACCCCCTTAGCAAGAAATATAATTAGAGAAAATGCAGATGCTAGAATTTTTTAATTAGTATTTGGATCAAACAAATAAACAAATGGTTAAATTTTAAGGAAATAGGAATCGAAAAAACGGAGAGAAGGATGAGTATATCAATCCATATCCTACCATCAATATCAAATATACAATTGAAGGTATAGAATAAGGTGAAAGTTCATCATTTCGTTTGGATTAATAAACAACATTTTAAAATTTAAAGGAATTGGCCTTTTACTATTGGAATTTGGCTCCATATTTAAGAAAACTTGATGAAAAGGATAATGAAATTATGGATGACTTAGAGTTAACTGATGAGAGTCATGCAAGGATTGAATTAAAAGAGAAGGTTATTGATTTTTTTACAAATAGAGGAATTTCTAATATTTCTTAGATTACTTTATTGTTATAAAAGAAAAAGACAGTGAGACCAGCCTTGAATAGTTTATAAATAGATAGTATCAGAATTAATGGGGGAAACAAGGCAGCTACTTATTAAGGATCATTTGCTGTTCATAAAAATAGAATTAAAGCTATTGATACATATAATCTATTTTTTGAAAAGTTCCCAGGTTTAAAATATTATATTAGTGAATTGTAAATTTAAAAAGAATTTTAAGAATAGTAAAAAGAATTAGAAAAAGGCAATCTTGAAAAACCAGAAGAAAAGAAGTTTGATTTAGATGACATGAATTGCCTTATATTAAGTTCTATTGTCGTCATTCTTGTGTTAGCTCTACTTAGCTACACAGCTTATTTGAGTCCTAAATTTGTAAATTTAAATTTCACCTTTATTAATAATTTAATTGGAATCACTACGAATGGAGAATATAACAAAATAACTTCAATTCCTGAATTTTACTATTATATGGAAAACTTTTTGGGAGCAACAATGTATAATTCTGATAAAGGAGATAATCCATTTCGTTCTAATTATGAGATTATAGGAGGAATCTAGCTGAGAACTTTAAGAAGTGATTTATATGAATGTGAAAAATTTGTTAATGAATTACAAAGATTTAGTTGCTTTGATGTTGTTTATGATTCATCAAAAGCAAATAAATCCTAATTCTTAAATTATACATATCAAACAGCAGAGGAATTAGGAATTATGTATTTCCCAAAAGGAAACTTAACAACATATACGGATGGTGGTTATGTGGTGGAATTTAATAGGGACATGACCACGGAAGCCTTCTTAGAGAAGATAAATGGTTTAAGAAAAGAACAGTTTTTAGATGCAGCAACTGCTGCTATCTTTCTCCATTTTGTAATCTACAACCCTAGTATCAATTTATGGATCTAAGCCAACTTTTTATTAGAAAGAAATGCGTAAAATAAATTAACACCTTATCGAGCAGAATTAACAGGATTTATTCCAAATGTTTATTATGGGGAGGATGGTCAACGTTTATTTTAGATTGATATAACAAAATTGATCATGGCTAGCATTCTGTTAGCTTTCGTTGCGTACAGATTTTATAAGATTAAATTTAATACAGGTAAATTAGGACCTGCATTCTTATATGTAACTATGGAAATAGGATTTTTTAATTGTGGAGTTGGAATTTTAACTATTATTTCTGTTGCAATGTCATTGTAATAATCACTGTAAGGTAGAGATCCTTAAGAATTGGTTAATTCAGAAGATTTTGTGGTAAAAATTTTAGATAACTTTAATAGCATTTGGAACTAGAGGCAGATTTATATAAAAAGGCAGAATTGTTTTTAACAATCAGTATAATGTTCTTGTTTTTAAGATTATCTTATGTTTTGAAATTAAATGATAGAATAGCCATCATCTTTTTAACCTATAGTAAGAGTTTCAAAGAATTGCTACCTTTTTTGGCTATTGAATTTCCTTTGTTTTTGGGATTTGTTATGGTCTTTTAAATAATTTATGGGAATGTATTTCCTTAATATTCATCATTTACCTTAGCAATTGCCAGTTAATTAACTATGGTATATATATAATATCTATATATTTTAGATATAAGGGTAATTAAATATCACATAATTTGTAAACTATTCACCAGTAGTTTCAATGATTGTGATTCTATTTTACTATTTCTTTATGTTATTCTTCATTATTTCATTGTTTTAAGCAATATTGATTGAATGTTTTAGGATTGTTATAATGAAAAATGGATATCCATAGGATAAAGACTAAGGATTGTCAATTGGAGACTTATTTAAATGGATGTTTTCTTGGACCCAGCTATTTATTAGTAAAAAGAATACTACAGAAGAAAAATAAAAAGCTTAGTAGTAAATCAAACCTCCTGCAGACTAAGAAGAAAAGTAGGGAATAAATTCTGCAACAGAAAATTGAATTAATTTACGCTAAAATATTAATCATCTTTTTTATTAATTTTTATTTCCTTAAAGAATTCCATGAATTAAATTTCTAGGCCAATTATGATTTCTCTATCTCATAGGCTCTTATGTTTATGGTTGTGGCAGTTATAGTTATTAAATTTCTGGGATTGGAGATGGGGAAGAAAGCTAAATTTCTTCTTGAGGCTATTTACTTAAATGATCTGAAAGAGAATCAATTTATAATTCGCATTCTAGTATATTAGATTTTGATTCATTGGATATAGAATCTTATCTAACTATGATTTATTAAGGAACAATTTAAATTAGATCTTCTTCAGAGTATTTCTTTTTGTGTTTTTTCTTTTTTTCTTTTTTTTATTTTTTCTCTTTTTTTGATTTTTTTTTTTCATGCTTAATTTTCTTTTTTTCTGACACTTCATCAATCAAATGATTACTATCCTTCCTTAATAATTTTTCTAGTTCTTTTTACCATTAATTTTCTTGCTTTGGATAGTGCATAACAGTCTCAAAGTCAAAATAATCACATTTTATTATCAACTCTTCTAAATACTATTTGTAATGTCTGTAGATATCGAGGATTGCTTCATTAGTAAATATTAAATCTCCTTCATAATCAAAGCTTTAAAAAATCAATGCTTCCTTCTAGCAATCTAATTCTTCAGGTAAGCACTCGGAAACTGAGCTTATTCCAAGCCCTCCATAATCTATAGGAATATTATCCTTAAAGATTTATGCTTTTTATTCTGTAATTCTAGCAGTATATTCTTTTTGCAATTTACTTAAATTGAGATCAGTTAATTTATTCAGCTTTTGGATATATAATTTTAAAGTGGCATCATTAAATCCATAATTAAAGTAATCTGTTATATCAATCCCTTTGGTCAACCATTTTTTTGAATTTGCATTCAGAAATTCCTCCTTTAACACATGTGGGGTTTATAATTTATAAAGTGGTGCAGATTATCTCACTCTCAATAGCTTCTCTCTAATGTTCATTATTTTTGAATTATATATAAAATTAATATTATATTTTTATACAACAATTTTATCAATTTTCAGATGTATCAATATGAACACAGATTTATTAAATACAATCGATATTCTCCATTACTTGAACTTAATCATAATATTAAATATCAATAATGCTAATTATATGTAAACAACAATTTTCCATTGCTATTCATGAAAATGTAAATAACTTAATCATGGGTGCAATAAGGATTCAATAAGGATGCAATAAAAATACAAGCCTATTAAGTTAATTATTCTATTTGTTACCAAATTTACTTACATGCAAACCTTTCAAATTCTTTTTCATAAACTTTTATCATCTTAAACTAGATCAAATCTTAAATGCATTTGGCTCCAATATTAATGTTCACATTTATCTATTTTATTAAACTTAAATAAGGTTTCACTAATGATAAAAAAAGCTTTATTGATAAATTCAGCAATAAATTTTTTATACTCAACTTTTATTTTGATTAAATTAAAAATTATGAAGATTCTAAATTTAATACTTTGATAGATATGTCGATACTAAACTAGAATTTATTCTTTGTTATCAAATTAGTTTTATAATAACCAGATATATTTTGGATATTACATAATAATATATTTTAATAGCGTTTAGAATTATTAAATGATAATGCTTAAAAGGTTTTAATCATTCATAATTTATTCATTTATTATATACAAATTTGAGGATAAGTTAAATTTCGTTGTATTTTTGTTGCTTTTTTAATATATAACCTTCAAATCCTTTAGCTTTAAAGAATGCAATTATTTCATTAATAGGATTATCCTGTATTACAAAGAGATAACTAAGTGTTATTATATTCACTATACATAATTCCATTAGCATTCATCAATTTGGTTACTTTCTCTAGAATTTTCCAGGTAACTTCCATACCATCCTTTCCTCCTGAATATGAACAATCAATTAAATTGACTTTGGCAACTTCTTCAATTAGATCTTGACCTCTCAAATTATTGGCATAAGCTTTTGCGAATAGTTACTATTTTTCTTTAAAGTATTTCTTGCATCTTTCAACTTCCTCATCTTCAGTTGGAACATAAGGAGGGTTGAATATAAAGACATCTATTCCAAATTTGTCTAAGCCCAATCCTTCAAATCCATCTGAATTTATACAATCAAAGTATATCTAATTTTCTTGCATAATTCGCGATGAAGCTATACAAGCATCATAATTGATATCAATGCCAATGCACATTAAAGCTCTGTTATTTTATTCTTACAAGAGTTTGCTTACATTGCCAATCAAGATTCCTGATCCACACCCCATTTCTACAACGATTGCATTTTAAGGAAAGTTTTGGATGTCTTCCTTTAAAGCATCCAAAAATAAGTATGAATCATCATTTGGAACATATACATTTTTGTATTCTGTTTTATTTAAAGTGATTTTCATTATTTTAATATTATGTAATTAATATACGTGAATCATTATTTCTTTCCTTAGCCCTTTTTTGGTTATTATTTCTTAGTTTCTTTAGCTTGCTCTTTTGGTTTTTCCTCTTTTGGTTATTATTATTTTTTATCTTTCTTCTCTTCTTTAACTTCTACTTCTGCATCATCCTTTAATTTCTTGATTCTCAACATACCTTATTTAGCAGACAATCCAGCAGGAGTACTAGAAAATTAATAGAGCTATTACTTCACTTCCCAAGCTCCACCAGCTATTTATAATCCAGTTTGTGTGCATCTCCAAATACCAATTGCTTATCTCTTCAATGAATGCTAGAAAATAAATATTATCGTCATACTGCTCCAGTAAAGGTATTAAAATATCTTTAATGCTATGAAATTTCAAATTTCTTAATAATCTTTCTTAATGATGCACCATATCTTGTGCCATACTTTCCTGTGATTCCTACCTTCTTTGTCTTCTTTGTCATTTCAAATAAAAAATAAAATCTTTAATTTATTTACTCTTAATCAATATATAAAAATATCTAGAATTATTTCTTGGATCTGCATTCTGATTTATGTATCTGGGAAAGGAGATAAAACTATTTTAGATATGATTTTAATTAATATTAATTTAGGGCGTGATACATAATTCTCAAAAATTAAATTTATTTGAAATTGTTGCATTTGAAATCTAGGACATATTATTTTGATTTTGTTAATATGTAACACTTTAATTACGAAAACTTCTCTACTAAACTAATATCAATTATTACATCCTCTTGTAATGGTATTGGAGATGTATACTTCGTAAAAGTTTGACTTTTTAAGGATGTTATTCCAGGCATTTGTGCAGGTGCTTACACTTTCGTTTCATTCAAACATTTATTCAAGTATTATATCATTTAGTTATTCGATTCAAGTAGTTTTTAACTCTCAGCTAATTTGTTTTTCAAATCAAGGTTCATGTTCTCTTGATCTTTCAATCGAATTTCTAAAGAGTCCTTCTCTCTTCTTACTAATTCTATTAAAAAACTTTACATTCATTAAGTTATTTATGATTTTAATCATTTGCATCTTATAACTATTGTACAGTTTACTCTTATTAAAGAAAAACCGTATTCTTTAACTTTATTTTATCTTTTTATTTACTAAGCTCATTCTCCAGCTTTTCTATAATTTGATTTCCTTTATTCACTTCTTCACTCATGACACTGATTCTGGATTCAAGTTTTTCTATTTATTTTTTTTAGTTTGCTACTTATTCTTCAAGAATAGACTTAGAAGATTAATGAATATTTTACATTCTATTTTTTCTCATTATCTACTAATTGTTATTTATTATTCAAATATTCTTCCTTGTCATGTATCAACTTTTCAAATCCTTCCTTTTAAATTCTTAATTCAATCAACTATCTTTCTTAAGTAAACTTTAAAGTGTCCAATTCTTTATTTTATAATCTAAATTCTTAATTCTCCTTTTAAAATTATTAATTTTCCTATTAAAGTATTGTTAATTTGTTTTTGAGTTCTCTTTCCTATTGAATTAGTTATGACTTTTAATCAGAGATCTCTTAATTAATCTATTAGAGTTGTGTGTACTTATTCTATAATTCATATACTATCTTATCGTATTTCTCTATAATGAATTGCTTTTCATTTTCACTTTCTCTTTTAAAATTAGTTTCTTTGCTCAAGGATTACTCTCTAAAATCATTGAATTTCTTCTATTCATCTAATAATAATTATTGTATTGCTGTATCTTTATCTTCTGTGAATTTCCTAATTTCAGACTTTAAATTTTCGAGTTCCCAATGTTTCTCTTCCAATAACTCAGTTAACTTTTTATTTCTTTTTTATTGTTCTTCATTCTCTTGTCTTTCTACGGCCAATTTATTTGCTAAAAATGCCTTTATTAAGTCATCTGTTGCACTGCGTAATCTCAAGGACAAATGGGTCAATTTTTTAAACTCATTATTTTCAATGACTGCAAGGGTTGATTCTCCATTCTTTGTCTCCAAACAAACATAAAAACTAAATAATCTCACATTTTATACTTCACTTTTTCATCTCTTTAACTATTTATACATAATTATAACAAATCTGCAAGTTTCATTGGAAAAGTGGCAAAATCAACATGCAAACTTTATTCATTTTTTAACGCCAAAAACTCACCTTCTGTCAAATCAAGGATCTACAAAAACTATAAATTGCTATCATCTGTCAACTCAATCCTTAGGGTTTAACCATGAGCTTATTAACTCTATTGCATAATCATTTTCAAAGTCAATTATGTATTCCAATCATCTGTAACCTATTTCACTTTTACAGGAATTTACAAGGTGAAAAGCTCTTTTGAGACAGTTGTGACTGGAGCATTAACAAAGCTGACATTGACAGATTAAGGTCTATTGCTCATTTAATCGTATTTCAATTTTTAAGAGGATTGAAAATCATTCATATTTGTCGTCGATTTGGCTGGAGTTTATTAAATACCAAATTCAATTCTTTTGAAATTCCCCCTATAGTCTTACATTATTATATTTTAAATTTTAACTGTTAATTAAAGGAAAAATTTTGTATAAATCAATAACAAAATACACTAATCATGGCCTTCGTATTATGGATAGATCTACTTTTGAGTTCGAATTTAATTTATTTCTACAAAAATTCTTTTTATTTTTGATAAGGAGATTCTTATTGCACCGATCTATAAGTAGAATTGACAGCACCTTTTGCGATTAACAATTCACTCAAGCAAGATTGTAATTTGATAGTTTGTTTTCTGCTTTTAACAGAATTAATGAATGGAATTGAGCTTAATTTTATTTTTCTGGATTTCGAATCATTCTTGAAGCAAGAAAACTTTTATTATTGCCATTCATAAGAACTACATTTAAGAGAACTATGAAGCGATAACTTTTAACTAACTTTAAGAGTTTTATAATTTTAAATCGTCTTACATGTCGGAGGTCTTTCCATTGTATCATGTTCTTAAGAATTTATAATATAAATACCAACAACACATTCATCTTGAATAACTTTATTTCTTGATGTTAGACATTGAGGAGAGTTTCTTTGACTCTTTTTTAATAATTGTGTAAAGCTTGAAAGAGCGAATTCCTTCCCATTTATTCTTCTATGCATTTCAATAACAGTAGGGAGATGATCAATTTATTTTTATTGGATATTGCCAAACAAAGAACCATAACATGATTTTCTTCTAGGAATGGCGTTTTTTGTTTAAGATGATATTTTTTGGACAGCCTTTCTAAATGGAATTAATAAGGAATTTTTGTTTGGCTAATTGTATTGATTTTCATTATTTGATATTTAAAGTTCTGAAAAGGAGGGTGGTGTCGATTTAGACCTATAGTGCTATTTGGTTGCTGATTTCTAATTGGTTTTAGGTATTTAATCTGTTGGATCCTAACAAATATCTAATACTTTCATAGGGATTCTTTTGCCATTGAACATAAAAGGAGGATATTTTTCTAGTTTCTTTATGATCACACTATTACATATAAAACTGCTTTTATTCATTCTTTTATTAATTTTGTGAAAATAAACAGATATCACTATACTTATATTAATTTAAATTCGTTTGATTGCGATTAATTCAGAGTATTAATATTGTTGTATTTTTGAATTTAATGGATATCATAACTTTGTTGAGAATTATAAAGAGAATAAAACTGTTTGAAATTAGAAAAAGTAAGAATATTAAATTATTAAATTTCATAGGAATATTCATCTCTCGTTGCTGATTGATGTAAAAACGATAAAAATGATAGAAAGAGTGCCATAATTCAGATCAACCTAATAGTATCCCACTTAAACAAATATGGATAACAAAGTGACTGCCCCTGGTAGAACCCACATTTGTATGGTTTTCTAGGCTTAAATCTCATTCTAAGCTATGTAGGCAATCATTTATAAAATAGTCATGCAAGTTATTTCACTAAAAATAAATCAACCTATAAATTTACAGAAAATAAGCTCCAGAAAATATATTTTACACCTCTTAAGTCATAAGATTTAGTAATATGTAAACTGGCAGACCAAAAAGACTTTGGTATAGCATCGAAGTAAAGAAGGGAAGTTATTTGTTCATCAGAAATTTGATTATGTGAGAGAATGCTAAACATACTGGTTATAGAAGGCAAACGAAAACAAATAATAGGTTTTGACCGAACAATAAGGTTGATGCGGTTTGTACTAATGAAATTAACAAGTTTATTTGATTTCCTGCATAATAAAGAAGGTGGTTGAAAACCTAAATATAGCCTGGAGTCAATTGATGAAAAGCACATATTTCTGAAAAGGGAAAGTGAAACCTACATTAACTAATATCATACATTGCCCAAAATCCTATTAAAGACGCTATGACTTGACATCCTGCCATTGCACCTATTACTCTGATACATGATTGATCTAGCTGAAAAAGGCGTTTGTCGAAAAATTGTATATACATCAAGGTTATGATTATATTAACGATGGATCTTTAAGTGGCAATTGTGATTGCATCAATATTTTAAATTAAGGAGAATGCAATCATTAATTGCAATAATTAACATAAGACATATATAGCACCCAATACCTATGGAGGTAGTTTAGAAGCATCGGGTATTTATTCTTATGTTTCATTCAAGAGGTTTGTATTATTGAGGTTGACATGGAAGCTTAAGGTTGATTAAGCCCTACTTAATTTTTCAGACAATTGGTCATCCATTTTATAATTATTTAAATTAATTGTATAATATCAAGGGTCTTTAAAGAAGGAACTACAAAAAATAATACACATAAGCCATAAAAAACCTATATCTATAAATATTGATCTCAATTATTAGAATAAATAATGAATACTACTAACTAATATTAATATATGTCAAGCAACATAATAAATTGATGAAAATATCACTCAGATAACTATTTATTTAATTTCACTCTAGACATCCATTCTTTAGAGAAAATTGGTTTATATATGTATATTAATTAATATTTAATTAAATGTCGCTAAGTTAACTGTCAAGCAAACCAAGAATAAATTATGCAAGTATCGCATTTAATAAATAAATTCAAGAGAACTCAGACATAAAAAAAGCCCAAATGATTAATAGTCATTTGGTTTAAATGATGACTTGTTTAAGGAAAGTTTATAGAAGATTTAATCTATGAAACAGAGAAGGAAACCAAGTGCAGACTAGAAGCATCAAAGGGCCAAATCAACCCTTGAAAACAAATAGCATTCTTACAGGCTTAATAAACCAATTAGTGATAAGGAGGAGTAAGATGGTGAGAAGTTATTTGACCAATTTTTTAAACTCAATAATTCAAAAAGTGATAGTGATTTTATGAAAGATTCTATGCAGAGAGAATCAAATAACAAAAATTTGGAGTAGCTAGATTTTTTAAAATTTGTTGAAAATGCCATTGAATATCATAAATCATCAGAGGTTCGACTTTTTAAGCCTTCTACAAATAATAAACATTCTCATTTGGAATAGAAACTAAAAGAAGCTACTTTATCAAATAGATTGTTAATTAATTAGTTAAACTAATACAAACAAAAAGAAATTGAACTTAAACACAAGTTGAAGTTGATGTAAAAGGAGTTTTCCATCTAATATAGTAGTTTAATATAATAAAATGCTTGGTTAGAAGAATTACTGGCAAAATAAAAGATTGATAATCAAAATTCATTGTTAGCTGTGAAAAAGGCTGTAGAAATGCTTTAAATAAGGTGTAAATGTTAAAAAGGAATGTAATTGTGTGATAAAATCTTAAGAGATGTTAAGAATTAGGAGAAAATACGTTAGTAGTATGAGTGGGAAGAAGAATCCCATAAAATTTAATCATCATCTGAATTTACAAATAGTCATGAGGATGAGTAGAATAATGAATTAAATTTTTAATTGTTTGATAAAAATAGAAAAAAATCGATATCAAAAGCTCAACATAATTCAATTTAATCAACTGAAGACTAATAGGAATAATTGGTACATAGCTATATCCAAGGGACTAGCAAAAACTTGAGAGAATACACAAAGGATTATTTTCAAAAGAAAAGATAACTTCAGGAGCCTTATTACATAGAGGAAGAAAATACAATCAATAGTAATTGAAAGATTTTTATGTCAATTCTAATTGATAGTAAATTACAATTTTTCAAAAAAAGATTATATTTTCTACAAACATATATATAATTATATCTTTTCCGTAATTCTGTATTTGCCTTACTGTTTTTTAAGTTTTCAAAATTGACTTCATTTATTCTTAGCCATTTGGAGTGTTGGTTTTTCTTCAATTAAATTTGATTAGAGATAGAGATACTTGAGATGATTTTTGTTTAAAATTTTAAATAGAATTCAACTTTAGAATGAATTTAATTAGGTAAGCTACTCTAAATTGGAAAAAGAAACAATTAATAAATAGATTATGATATTTCTTTATATGTATAATTTCATTTTGGTTCATCAGAACATTAAGGTAATCAAAATGGACATTGCGCATAGATAGAATCCGTGGCCAGTAGTAACTGGATCAGTTGTATTGGTTTGATTGTTATCTACAGTAGTGTTATTGTTGTTGTTAGAAGCTCCTGCTCCACAAGCAATACACTTCTTTGTACTGGCATTCCAACTGTAGGTATACTAACTCATCTTATAGCAGGTATCTTAAGTCAAGGCACTTGGATCTCCAGTCACACATTTTCCTCCTTGAACTTAACAAACAGTGTATCTCTTTCCATCGAAACTGGGTATGGTGACACATTTATTGGTGCCTTTAGCAGCTGAATCACATGTGTGATTGGAACATGAACTAGCAGTAGTTCCAACAGCAGCAGTCCATTTGCAGGTTAATGATTTTAATTGGCAAGCAGTTTGATCAGAATTGGCATCTGAACATTGAGAGAATAGTTTGCATGTTCCAGTTGTAGTGGATCCTGAGGCTGGAGTGAATGCACAAGCTCCATCTGTTCCACCAGCATTGCAAGCTTCTTTGGTGGTGTAATCTGCACATTTTCCTTGATCAATGCATTTGGTTCCATCAGATATGCATCCAGCTAAGGCAGCAGCACATTCAGAACTCTTAGTCTTTTTAGTATCTGAGCAGGTCTTAGTTTTGCAGGTTTTGGCAGTAGTATCCCAAACACAAGCCTTGAGTGAACTATCGATGACACAACCAGCTTATTTTGTATATGAGGCACAATCAGCCAAAGCAATACATTTAGATCCATCAGTTGTGCACTTAGAAGTTGAATTGATTTAATATCCGAAACACCCATTATGAGTTGAAGTAGATGTACTTGCATCTGAACATTATCTCAATCTGCAAGCTGAAGTATCCTTATCGAATTAACATGTACCATCAGTTCCTCCAATCTTACAAGCAGCTTCACTATCAGCATAGGTAGAGCATTCAGCCATATCGATGCAGTTTGTTCCATTACTAATACATTTAGTATTGAAGGCTGAACATTCTGTACTTACCTTAGAGACTAAGTCTGTGCATTGGGTAAAGAGTTAGCATTTCTTGGTAGAGGTGACCCAACCGCAAATACCATCAGTACCCTAGGAGCATTAGATTTATTTGGTGTAATTGCTGCAAGTCTTTAGGGGAGTACATTTGCTTTCATCAGTAGTGCAATATTTAGAGGCAGCCTAACAGGTTGCTACTGTTTTCAAGGATAAATCGGAACATCTGTAGTATTATTGACAAGCATTGTTGTTCCAAAGACATGGTTACAATGAAGAGTCTTGGAGACATTTAGCTTAAGTCTTGTACATGTCACAAGTGAAAGTGGATTTCATGCATCCAGCACCATTACTGACACAACCTGAAATGAATGCATCACAATCAGCATCATTGACCAATGTAACTGCAGCATCTTAACAATCCTTGGCTCTGCATCCTTTAATTTGAGTTCCTGTTACTATAGTTTCATCCCAAGTACAACTTCCAATTGTATCTGTTGATTTTGCAGCTGAACAAACTTCCTTTCTTGTATAACTGGTACATGCTCCCTTGGTGACACATCCATTTCCAACCCCAGCAAAAGTACAAGTATTAGAATATTCTGTGCAATCTGTTTCTGAGCCTACAGTCAAGGGTAAATCTTCACATTTAGCCTCTGTGCAAGCACTGTTCTTCCAAACACAAATGCCAAATCCTGATGAAGATTCTGATGAAGCACAAACACTCTGTCCACTTGAAGTGAAACTACTGCATGATGTTTGAACATCTCTGCATTGAGAAGCCCAAGTACAAATAAAATCATTTCCACTCTTAACAGCAGTACAAGATGATGATGATTATATATCAGCGCATAAAACTGTTGAACCACAACCATGACCATTCGTCTTACATCCTGACTTATATGTATTACAATCAGTATCAGTACTCAATGTAGTTGGAGCATCTGAGCATTTGGCAGCAGTACAACTTGTTGGGGTGTCAGTTTAAAGAGCTGTGCCAATACATGGTCCATCTGAAGCTACATATTAGGCACAAGTGATGAAGTTGCCCTTCAATGAAGAACATGTTTGGATGACATCGCATTTTGACCCATTGTAATGACATTATACACCATAAGCTTAACATACTGACTCAGAATAAGAGTCAACAGCCAATTTAGTGCAATCTTTTGCTTTACAAGATGTAGTGGCAGTGGCAGTTGAATCATTGGTACATGATTTACCATTACCCACAGCCTTCTCACAATCGGCTTAGACTCCTTAATAGGATGAACATTCAGCTGTGGATTCAATACAACCTGGTCTCTTGGTGACACATCCTTTCATGAAGGTGGCACAATCACTATCAGTAGTTGCTGTTGTGTTATGAGAACAAGTTCTGTCTATGCATGCTCCTTTGGTAGTCAAGGACAAACTCCAACACAATTTACCATTTCCAGTTAGTAATTTACATCCATCTTGATTTCCCCATTGACCAGAACATGGAACTGTGGCAGCAATACATCCCTTACCAGTTGTAATGCAACCATCCAAATATTTCTTACAGTCTGCATCTGTTGTAGCTGTTCCATTGTCTTGACATCTTCTGGCAACACAAGCACCATTGACAGATGTATTACCTTGGCATTTTGATCCCAATGCCAAACCAGTAAGTAATTAGCAACTCTCAGAAGTTCCTGACATTGATGTGCATGCTGTTGTTATATCAACACAACTCTCTCCATTAGTCTTACAAGTGGGAAGCCATGCCTAACAGATGGCATCCGTGGTTCCATCACTTTTTTAAACACATGTTCTATCCAAACAAGCAGCTACACCTGCGGAACCATGTGATTAGCATAATCTGTATTCCCATGAAGATCCAACTTTGTATTTACCTGTTAAAGTCAAGCACTCAGCTTAAGTACCCTAAACTTGAGGACATCCGAAAGTACTTCCAGCAGCATTATTCCCATCGACACAAGTAGGACCACCAGCAGGCTTTGAGTATACGCATAGTTCGTAATATGAGTTGCATTATGAAAAGGATGAGACAGTAACTCCAAGATGTGTATTTGCATTTGCACATGATCTTTCTACACAAGCACTTCCATTATGGAAACATAGTTAAGCAGTTGCAGTGCCTGCAATAGGTGTGGCATATGCTAATTTTTTAGCCTTGCAATCTGTTGCACTAGCAGTATAGGCAGAACAGACATCATCTATGCAAGCATTTGTACCTGTTGCATGTGCTTTGCATGCACCGCCATGAGAAGTGATGACAGTAGGACATGTACCAGTAGATGATGGGCCAAACGCACCACAAGTTGCTCCTGCATTACAAGCTGCTACACCACCCACCATACCATAATGGCATAATGGATGATAGTTTTGACAGCTGGTTTCAGCAGTTGGGGCGGAAACATTTGTGCATACATAATCTTCACACACTGAACCATCTGACTTTCTGGCACAAGTCGATTTATGGTCAGTACAAGTCTTCAGATCTGCTGGATTAGCAATCTAACTGCATGCTCTATCAGCACAAGTACTACCAGTTGTCCAATAACACTTTGCACCAGTTGAACTGACTAGATCCTTGCAAGCAGCCACTGAAGTTCCAGCATAAGAACTACAAGCTCCTAATATAACACATGCATTATTAATAAAGACACATCTATTTGGTAAGACTGCATCGCAACTTGCTTAATTAGCTGCTCCAGTGATACTAGCACATGTAACTTCAGCAGTACAGGCTTCTCTTCTAGCGCATCCTTTAGATAAGGCAGCACAACCTGATTGATTCAATCCTGTATAAGCATCGCAATTCTAAGTACTTGAAACACATAAAGTTCCTGTTGTCACACAGCCCTTCAAAAACTTACCACATAAATCATCAGTTGTATTGGTACTATCAGCATCAGTACAGGCTTTGTCTACACAGTTAGCTCCACTTCTCCACCAGCAAGGATTGGCTTAATTAGAACCAGTAAACTTTCCACAAATATCTGTGCTTGTTCCAGGATAGGAAGAGCAGGCTGCACTAGCTGCTATACATCCGGTTCCTTTTGTTAAACAGGTTGAATGGTATGACTTGCAAGCATCATCTGAGGTAGCATCGGTATTGTCTGTGCATACTGGATCAACGCAGGCAGTAGTATCAGAAGCACTGTTAGTGTTAGTACATTTAATTGTGAATCCTTCGCAGGTAGCCTTGGTTCCAGAATAACTAGTACAAGTAGCAGTTGATGCAACACAACCTGTCTTCTTAGTCAAGCATCCCTTTAAGAAGGCATCACATAAAGAATCTGTATTGTAGGTGTTAGGTGCTTGATCACAGGTTCTAGCCACACAAGTACCACTAACCCACCAACATGTGTTTTTATTCTATAAAGTAACTGTCTTACATAATATTTCAGATTTAAGATCAGAACAAGCAGTATTTGACACACATTAGGGTGTCCATTAACATGTTGATTTACCATCACATTAGCTGTTATTCAATAGAGTACTACAGGCACCAGCATCCATACAACCACCAGTTCCAGTTGCAATACAACCAGTTTGATAATTATTACAATCTTCGTTTGTTGTTAGAGTGGCAAGAGCATCTGAACACTTCTTTGGGAAACAACTACCACTACTAGCCCCTCCTGCACACTTACCATCAGTTCCTACGTATCCATCACAACTTGTTGAATCTCCAGTATAGGATGAACATGTTGATAAGGTGGAAACACAACCTTTACCTGTTGTTTTACATCCAGTTTGATATTCATCACACTTAGCATCACTATTCAATGAAGCATCGGCATCCTTGCACACCTTGGCAGAGCAAGCGGCTTCAGCATCTGAGGCTCCTTTGCATTTACCATCAGATCCAATGTATCCATCACATGTCGAGGAAGTACCCTTATATGAGGAACAAGCCCCTCTTGAAGTGGTACATCCTTTACCAGTTGTCACACACCCACTCTTGTACTTCCCACATTCATCATCTGTTGAATAGGTTTCTGGAGCATCTTTACAATCTACAACACTACAAGTTTTTCCCTCAGTTACTCCCTTACATTTACCATCTGAGCCTGTCTTATTTGCACACACCACGTCGTCACCTGTCTATGTAGAACATGATCCCAAAGGAGACTTAACACAACCATAGCCGTTTGTCACACAACCAATTTAATACTTACCACAGGCAGTATCAGTGGTCAATGTGGTCTCGGCATCTGTACAGACCTTGACCACACATTTGTCTTTTCCATCTACTCCCTTACAATAACCGTCGGATCCCTTCAATCCTTCACAACTTTCAACATCTCCAGTATATGATGAACAAAGTCCTAATGACGATACACATCCTTTTCCAGTTGTGACACATCCCTTGATGAAGTTATTACATTAAGCATCTGTGTTGAAGGCTACGTCTGCTTCAGTACACTTTTATTCTCGGCAGGATGTATCCCAAACACAAGTGCCTGAGCCTCCACTACTGCCTTTTCCAGTACAATCTTCGGCTGTTTTGTAAGTAGTACAAGTTCCTGGATCAACACAAAATGCTGTTCCATCTGAGTTACATTGTTTAGAGATGGCTTGGCATTCAGCGTCTGTTGCACCTTTGTAAGCAGAACAACCTGCAAATATTTAACAAACGGAATCTAAATAGGCACAACCCTTGGTTTTAGCACAGGTGAGGGCATCGGTTATCAATCCACAGTATCCTTCAGTGGAACTGTTGCCGGAATCCAGTTTAGAACAAAGAGATGTTGTTGTTGACCAACTGCATCCTTGTTTTGCTTTGCAATCAGCCTGAGAGAGAAGTTTCTCACAATTGCATTAATCTGAGACTGCTACATCTGTAGTAGATGCAGCCATAAGTAAAATACTTATTGTTATCAAAACCTTCATTTGATAATTTTAAATAAATAATGAAATTATATAAAAATCTGTTCTCCTTTTGAAACTAAGATACACCTTTTCATTATTAATTTCTTGATCTATGCTTTTGAAAATGTAGCTCAATGCTTTTGAAGTTAATAATTACAATTAAAGATATTATTTTTAATTGACATAGTATGATATTTTGTTTTTAAATGGAATCTTTTTTTTCTAAATTAAAATATCTAATTGTCAAACAATTCCTTATCCTTTGAACTATTTGTTTTAAGAATTTTACACCTTTAACGTTAATCACTTATTCTATCTGAAATTTTTATGAATTTTATTTTATCTATTCATAACTTATCATACAGCTAACGTTGTTTATTTCAAAGCCAAAAAACCAAACACTCTTCGGCTACTCTCTATTTCTTACTTGGACTAACAGGAAAATAATTTTAATACATCTAAGATCATGAATGCAAAATCAGATTTTTAGAATTATCTTGCGATTGAGGTTTGATGAAATTCATTGTAAAAGAGTGTTTACTCATCTAGTAACTTGTACTTTCAATTATTCTTCGACCCTGTTTTCCATAATTTTTTCTAACATTAATTATTTTAATCCAACTAATCAAATATCAGTAAACACTGGGGCAGCAGGTGCTTTAAATACATATTACAAAAATAATTCTTTTTCAAAAAAACAAAAGATGTTTGATTGAATGATTATGATAATCAATAATTGATATGGCCTTATGAATAACTAAAGAGAAGAGTATTCAAGTACTTTTATTATAATGTTTTATATATTTATTTAAAAATGTAATTTTTTTGATTAAGTAGTTCAGATAGCTTGAAACGTCAATTGGATCCCAAATGGCCTCGTGATACTCAAATGTCGTTACTATATATCAAAACTGTTTTTGGGTTTTCAACATATTCAATATTATAAAATAAAAACATCAACATAATAAAAATCTCTCTAATAACATTCAGACATAGATTATAGATAAATTCATTGTCGAATATTGAATTTCTAGGAAATTATTTAACCATCATCCTTTTTAACATAATAAAATCTATATATTAAATAATATGATAATGAATTTGAAATAATTTATATGCTTAATAATCTTCATATTCTATTTTGAAAGATAATATTGATATAATCACTAAAGAATTTTTTCATTAAAATAATACCCTAATTAAGGATTTCATAACGATATAACTATCCTACCTCCATAATCATGAACTATGGATTGATATTAGTTTGTTTAAGATAAATAATAGAAAAAATGGTTTTGTCTTGGTTTACCTTACAGTCACTCTTTCCTTATAATATCATCAACAAGCTAGGTGAGAGACCATGGCTCACTCCTCAATAGGAATATTTATAAAGCTAATATAAATAATCAGAATTTAAAGCCTAACCACAATTATATTATATGAGATAAATATATTAGTATGTTATTCAATAATTCATATGGAAATATTTATTATGATGGAAATTATTTTAAAAATCTATTTTTATGTCTTAACTAGAGTAAATCCTTTTATCAAATTCATCTGGAATTAAAACATAGTTTTAAATTGAATCTGAGGTATTTACATAATGTAATAGGAAAGAAAATTGAGGATCTCATAAATTAACTAAAAGAAATTAATGATCAAATTTAAGCCACCTAGATAACTGAATAGTAATTAAAATGTCTAATAAAATAGATTTAACTCTTAGCTTATGCCTGCTAAGCAGAATTTTAAAATGAAAGCTGATAATATTAAATAAATAGTAACATCTTTGGAAAAGAGCATTCGCGGCAATGAACAAAAGAACATTTTATCAAAATTAAAGTAGTCTTATTAAAAAGAAGTTGAAAGACAAAAAAGGATTCTCAAGAGTTCCATAAATTCTTCATATGAAAAAAGATTCTCCAGAATATCAATAATAAGATAATCGAAAATTAAAGGTTAAGAGATTCAAGCAGAGCAATTAAAATATTTTGTTGATTACAATTAAGTGAGAATTGGGTAAAAAGAGGAAAAGGAGATCAAGAAATATTCGTCAGTAAAAGTAGAGGATAACTCAAAAATAAAAACAATTTCAATTGATGAAGAGTTCACAGTGTAAGAATGGATTGATTTTGAGAATATTTTGATTGAAGAAAGGCAAAAAGAACTGGAAGATATTGAAAGAGAAGCATTTTAGTTAAATTTATTAACAAATTAGATGGCCAGTGTTCAAGGCTACTAAGATATAAATCTAAATTTTGGTTAGTAAAATATAAGTTAAGTCAAGCCTTAAGTAATAGTAACTTCGAACAATTTGGTCAGGGTTATTACACAATAGAAAAGCAGATTTAAAAAGAAATATTATATTATTATTGGAATTCTCATTTTAATAATAGTGGTTATGATAATTTTACTTATTACAATCTACTGATAATATCAACAAAAATTATTTGATTTATGGGTTCTCAAATTATTTGTTTGTTATATTTAATCATCTATAATTAGAATAATGTTATTTTAGATTTAATATTATTTTTATTAAGAAATATGTAATTATCTTATGATGAATTATGCTAGAATAAATTGTTAGCTTTTACTATATTTTCTAAAGTAAAAGCCCCTTATCCATTGATTGAAGTATAATACAAGTTTAAAAAAGCAAGGTGATACAGCTGAATTTAAATTGGCATTACAAGATCACAGATCAAGAGTTTCAACAACGCTCTATTGCTCAGTATTATCCACATTTACTTTTTGCTTAATTTTGAAAATGAGGAATCCTATTTATGCATTGACTGCAAGGTAAATATCATTTTATAAAATAAGATCATCATTTTTTGGAGTGTTAAAGAAATACTATTTTGTTCCTGTTTTGTTGTCACAACCATTCTAAACTTAAAATAAGCAGCTTTATGATGAAAAAGTGAATAAAATATTGAAAAAATATGATTTCACTACTCCTGAATTTCAATAGGCCTTTAAACAGATTGAAGCTGATGGAGGCTTAAAGAAATTTATGAAAAAGTACCTTACAGAAAAGGATGAAGAACCGTAACAACCAGTCTAACAAACATAATAATGAGAAATATAAATTTATTTTATTAATGTAATTTTCAGAGCAAATAACAAAATATATAATTTGAATTAAATAAATTATTCTCATCGTTAATGAAGAAAATTAGTTAATAGATGTTATCATTAATGAACAAAAATAACTAACTAGATTAACCATAACCTAATGACCTAAAAAAAAATAAAAGTAAACCTAAGACTGCAAACACAGAGAGAACTCAATCCAAAACTTAGAAAAATGATTTACTTGAGTATTTCAAGAAAGAGAGGAACACTTTAACTTAACTAGTAAACTCTTCTAAGATCAATTTATAGGGAAGCAAAAGCATTGATAATTTATAGCAAAAATGCTAAAAGAGCGAACCTTTAAAAAATGGCTAATTTAATGTATGTTCAAATATATCCCTATTTAGGCTGACACACGTATTTAAACTGATGAAGGGAATAGTACCAAAAGATAGATCTTAAAATAAAAAAACTTATCATTAGCTACCATTTCATTAGATGCATAAAGTATTGATAAAATGTTGAAAAATTAATTATCAAAGTAGCCACAGACGACAAAGTAATCTTACAACCAATCTCCTTAAAATTAAATTAAATCACCTGCTAAGACTTAAAAAGATTAATTGTTATTTGACATGCATTTAGTATCTAATAATAAATATGTAATCTAGTTAAAAAACACAGTATGCAATAATGAGTATCAGAATTATTTAAATCTAAAATTGAATAAATAATCTATTTAATCCAACAACTCATTAAATCATAGATAGTCAATTGAAGATATGCTTTAATGTTAAAAAATACTCAAAGGCTCTTAATAATGTTAAACAGGGAAAAACAAAAAGACTGAAAGTGAATCCAAGTCAACCAATTTAAGCCAAATTAAAACTGAATATTCTTCTGCTTCTAATTAATAATTTTTAAAATAAAAGAGCAAAGAAGAAACAACTTCATATGATCCAAACAAATAAATACTCATTATTCTCTATTATAAATAATAAAAGTAAGATATGTAGTAAAATCAATAGATACACTTATTCGTATGAATTTTTAAATTAAACTACTGATAATTTGTTCAATTATTTGATCCAATAAATAGCATGTATAGAGAGGTCATTTACAAAACTTGGAAGTGGAACTGGCTCAACTGAAGGAGATTAAATATAATAAGGTATATACAAGATACTATATATTTTAGAATTAAATAAAATATGTCAATTTTAAACAATATCAAAGAATATTCCTTATGATTACTATTTAACAATCTCTGGATAAACATTGGACGTTTTCAAAGGCAAAACGTTGCAGATTCAGCCATTATACTCATAACCAATAACAACAAAAAGAGTTGGATTGAAGGACTTTACATTAGTTAAATGTATAGGTGTTGGAGGATTTTCGAGAGTTTATATGGTAAGAAAGAGAGACAACGGTAAGTTTTATGCCTTGAAACTAATTGATAAGAAATTCATATTAGACAATCAAAAGGAGATCATCGTACAAAATGAAAGAGACATTATGGTTAGGATGGAGAATTAATTTGTTACTCCATTGCAGTATGCCTTTGAGACTAAATATTACATTGCATTTGTTCTAGATTATTGTGCTGGAGGTGAGTTGTTTTATCATCTACGCAAATTGAAAAGATTGAATGAATAAGATGCTAAATTCTATTTTGTAGAGATTTGCATTGGTATGGCTTATCTTCATTCCTAAAATATTGTTTATCGAGACATAAAGCCAGAAAACATTCTGTTAGACTTATAAGGTCACTTACTTCTAAGTGATTTCGGTTTATCAAAGCCTGATATGACACCAGATGATTTTGCTTATTCGTTTTGTGGATCTCCAGAATATATGGCTCCAGAAATGCTGATGAAAACTGGTCATAATTATTTAGTGGATTGCTATTGCTTAGGTGCCTTGCTTTACGAATTAGTTACAGGATTGCCTCCATTTTATTCTCATAATACTCAGGAAATTTATAATTCTATTTTGACTGAAAATATAGAATTTCCTTAATATGTTCAAATATCACCTGTTTTAAAGGATCTTATATTGTAACTGCTTTAAAAAGACCCTACAGAAAGATTGGGTTAGAATGGTGGCGTTGTTGAGATTTTAACCCACAAATGGTTTTAAGATGTTGATTTTGAAGCAATTGCAAATAAAAAATTGAAAACTCCCTACAGACCAGAACCTCTTAAATATAATTTTGATGAGGAGGAATTTAGTAAAGGAGATTCTGAATTTAGGAAGCAATACTAAACCAATATGCAAAAAGAATTCCAAGTATTGAATTATAATTATTTAGAATGTTGACACAGCAAACTATGTATTGAAAAACTTTTATTATTCTCGAGAATCGTAGGTTGGACTTGATAAAACTAAAAGAACCAAGGAGGTCAATCTAAATCAAATATAAAATTAAGCAATTCCTACTTAATCATCATCTCCTTCCAAAGTTCAACTATAATCAAAGGGAGAAAAGCATTCTCATTAGGTTGTTGCTTCTCCTTAAGAGGGAAAAAGAATTAATAGACAAGCAGGAAAAAGTGAAGTTTATGATTACTTTAAAAAGCATGATTTGTGTGCAAAGTAGTCTCAGTTACTATATTAATCTACAAAATTAGGTCATTCCTATTCAAAAACAATGCAATAAGCCCAAAGTTCTTTATAAGATTTGAAGGTAAATGATTAAGAATATGATTTTAGCAATTTAAATTATTTGTTGATTAATCAAAAGCGTTGTTATGTACAGATAGAACTAATACCATGCCAGATTAAAACCTTAAAAATTTTACAGAGAGACTAAAAACTGAACAATTTGGAAATCTATCATCTCCTAAAACCATTACTCATAGTTCTATGAACAAATTGACAAATTTTTCCAAACTATTTACATCTGAGAAATAAAAATAATGAATGATCTTAACTTATTAATTTAATATTATTAATGAAATACAATTATTATAAATCATCATCCTATCATTTTAGTACTAGCATTGATACGATATATAAAACTAATAAAACAATTATACCAGAAACTATTAATTTTACAATTTTATCATTCTGCTCAGGAATAGCAACTTATTTTTACTTTTGGGGACTGAAATCTTAAAATTCATGAATGTCTGGAGAATAGTTATTCTATCCATGGTTAGGTTTTCTCTACTTGATTTCATCAAATTAAAAATGGAGTGGTGTATTATTATCTTAATGCATATCTTTGAATTCCAAGTCTTCATTGCTGTTTTAATGTTTGTAATTAATTTAGTTTTTTGAATTCTATTGAATGCTATTTGATGGTTAGTGAGTCACAGGTTATTCAATTTAAGAATTTCTTGATGTAGCAGTATATTTTGATATGATCTTTTCTACTTCTGGATCTGGCCTATATGGTTAGAAAGTGCTTAGGGCTGATTATTTTAAAGGTTAGGCATTTTGAGTATATCGAACATTTGAATATGATTATGATGGCTATATGTAGGACTGTGCTTAGTAAATTTAAGGTATTGGTTGTGGATACATCGTTGTAGGATATCCAGATGGAACAACTGGGATAGTTTTGATTGGTGAATATTAATGAACAGGGGCATTTTGGTTGTAGTACATTAAATCGTTATAAATTTAATATGAATATTAATAATTATGTGCAACATTAATGTATTGCTCTATTAATAAATAATTCAAATTAAGATAATATTCAGATTACATAAGACAATTCATAAAAGATTTGGTTAAAAAACATACTCATTTTAATTTTAGTTATACCAATTCGAGTATAAAATTAAGATAAAGAACTTCGTTACTGTTTTTAATGATAATATTTTAATATCTAATTTTCTTTTAGTTATTGGTTTTTTAGCATTAAATTTTAGGTTAAATAAGAATAGTTGCATTTTCTAATTGAAAAAATCAATAAGGTTAACAATCTCAAAATAAAAATTTGTTGTATTCTATGTACTAATATGATATCATTTTTTCTTTTATTCAATCTTCTTGATGTAGAATTCTAATTCTTTTCCTTCCAATATATAACCATCAGCTCTTCCTGATTAGCCTGGTCTCGAAGTTATTATAACCAACAATCTTTGATTAGCGAATTGTTCTTAGACTAATTAATCAATAACATTCTCTTTAGCTCTTTGTTCAAGTTTTTTAATGAGACTTTTAGACTTTTTTGTTTATTCAACTGGTGCATCCTATATTAAATCACAATTAAGACCTTCTTTTTTTTTTATCCTAATTCCACGTTATATTTTTTGGCGTACCATTATTTAAATGATGTTGCATCAACTTAGACAATTACTCCTCTTGTTAAGGTTTTTGTTCTCACTAATTCATTATTTGATGGATGATAAACAACTTCAACTATTTTTGCTTTTTTAGCAACTCCTTGACTTCCCCACGAAATGTTTCCATCAGATAAACGAAGTGCTCTGAATTTAAAGTTTCCTCCTCTCACTCTAATTCTTCTAACTCGCTTTTCTCCTGACACCAATTTTGTCATTGCTGCCTATCTTCCTTTCTCAAAAGCTCTCTTCTTTTTGTGAATAGGCATACGACCTCCTGTAAGTCTTCTCTTATGTCTACTATCCCTTGAAATTCCCATAAGTTAATAAAAAAAAAGATTTTATTTATATTTAAAATAATAAACACCATTGTGTTTCCGCTATGCTGTGAATGTATGAAAATAATTCTTATTCTAGTTCTTAGAATCATATACAACATTAACAATAAAGAAAATGTTAAGAATTGAATAAAAAATAAATAATATTTATATTAATTTATTTAATTATGAATGTTTCAAATTTCGTTCTTTGTTCATCAATTTTAACTTTATTACTAAATCAATTAATGCGAACAATATATTTGAATATGAATGAAGACAATTATATTTTATTTACCTTAATCACAATATTAGCATTTATGATTGTTATTGTAACAACGATCATGATAAAAAAGTCAGCATTAAATATGCAGTACTTATAATTGATGATGATACTATATTTTTCCATAACTCAATTTGAAAGCTTTTATTATTAAATTGGCAATTCAACCCATTGTATTTTAACAATTTTACTATTTTTTGAAATGTATTTTATCAATACTTTAAAAACCAAACCTACTTAAATTATCACCTTTTCTACTGTCATAATAATGATGTTAATATCCTCTATAAGCTTTTAAAGTGTTAAGATATTAAGCTTTGAATTTTTAATGGATCTTATAAATTAAAAAATCAATATCTGCATTTTTATTTTCTTCATTTACTAATTCTTAAATAATCAGCATGAATATAGAGCACTGGATCCATAATCATAAAGGAAATCCAAATAATTAACACTCGACTAGGTATTAGTCCTATAAACACCAATAAATAATTCTATCTATGAATTATCGCACGGAATTGATATCAATTTTGGCTAAAAAGAATTATTAGACCACATCAATGAAGGAGTCATGATGGCCAAATTCTTATCCCCTGACGACAAAATCAGCAACTTATAATTTAAATTTTAGAATGCAGCTGCTTAAGCGATGTTTTGCAAGGAGAATGATGAATTACCATTGTTTTTGGATTAACTGGAGTGTGAAATACCAATGGAATCATGCTAATCACAATAAAATTATGCAAGCACTTCACCACCTCATTAGGATAAATCAGATTATCAAAAGAAATTGTTTGTATCCTAATCTAATTTTGGATTTAGTTTATAAGAGAAGAAATCATTTTCACCCAATTCCAAAATCGCTTTTTTTTAATAACAATAAAATTCTGATAGTGTAGTTCAGGTAAATAAATCGAATATTTCTTAGTGCAAGACTGTGTATTAACATTTGATTTAATTTGCAAAGTCAAACAAAAATTGTGTTGAAAATGAAGCATAATGTGAACCTCTGAAATTGTGTTGCACATTTGAAGATAATGGTAAACAAAAGTCAATAGAGTTTATTTGTTTATTAGGTTTAGGCAAGTAGATTATTATAATTACTCGAGATATAATTTATTTGAACTAATTAAAGGAGCTACTTTAAGTAAATCAGTAAAAATCTAATATGCTCAATTATGTAAGTCACGAATTTAGAACACCCTTGAATTGCATTATCAATATTTTGTCAAGTGTTTTAGACAAGGTTTAGGTCAATTAAGATCAATTGTTACATATAGCTTTGGAAAGTTCACAGCATCTTTTAAATTTGGCAAATGATTTACTTGATTTAGCCTAAATAAAGAATAATGTGTTTAATTTATCAACTGAACAATTCAATGTTTGCCAATTAGCATAGATGTGTTTGAGTTCGTTCCAAATTTAAGCTGCTGCCTAAAATGTGAAGATATCCTTAGCCGCAACTTCAGATTCATTATTTATTAAATCAGATAAGAATAGAATTAAATAAATTTTAATAAATTTGATTGGGAATGCTCTCAAATTTACATATGATGGTAAAATTGAAATAGTATTGAGACAATACGATTAATTTATTGATATTGGCGTTAGAGACACAGGTATTGGAATATCTTAGGAAAACATTAGTAAACTATTTAAGGCTTTTGGTAGAGTTGACAATGATAAATCCAAATCAATGAATCAATAGGGAGTTGGATTAGGATTACTTATTAGTAATAAGATTGCCAAACAGTTAAGTGCTGACAATTAAGGAATCAAGGTATAATCAACTGAAATGAAATATGAGAATCATGGTTCATATTTCTACTTTACTGTTAAGATGGAATCTCATAGGCAACACAAGCTATTAAGTTATAAGCCTCCGTAAAAGTAAATCAATTTATCATCTCCGTTTATCCCATCAGAAGGGACATAAAAGAAAAAATCATTTACATATACAAGCATTGAATAAAGATTAAGTCCTGAGAGAATCAAGGAAACAAAATGTTTCCATATTTTGATAGTTGATGATAATGTTTTTAATTTAGCTGTATTAGGGATGATGATTAATGAATATTTTCAAAATGAAATCTATTTATAATTATCAATAGAGAAGGCAAATAATGGAACTCAAGCAGTTGGTTTGGCTTTTTATAAATGCAATGAAAATTGTTAAGGCTTTTCATTAATATTTATGGATATGGAAATGCCTGGATTAAATGGATTAGATGCATCAAAGATTATCTTAGCAAAAAATAATTTATAGAAAATCATAATTCTAACTGGGTATATATTAATTTGATTGATAGCAATAACTTAAGTCAATAGGAAATTAAAGAATTGAAATCAATGGGAATATTCGATTACATAATTAAGCCTATTCAAAAATCTAAGCTACAAAGTATTCTTGAACAATTTGTCACAGATTGAGCTAACTTTATTATATTTAGTAATAGATTTAATAGTTGTTTTATAATAATATCATGATTATTAAGAACTCAGTTTGTATTATCATGTATAGGATTATTTGAATTTTAAATGTCTTTGAATCTGTGATTAAAATAACTTATTCAAGGTCTAATAAATTATTTTTTGTTATAATATCAAATAATTTAGCATTCTCTGTTTTCTTTTGGAAGAGTATCATTTAATCAGGATTTCCACAGCATAATGATATAAATTATCTTGGTTTCTTATTGATAATGACAGAAATACATAATTATTTATTAACTTTATAAATTATATCTGTCTTATGAATTAAATTTATTTCAAATTAAAAAGCATTTCAAAAGTGAAATATGAGTTAAAATGATGATAATTCAAGTCTCTCAGAAATAAATAAAACTCTAGAAGATAGAAAGGATTTTGTATTTATTTCAAGTATTTTTATACTCACAAGCTCGATTACTACTTATTTTTATGTGACATTAATCAAGCAATTTTTATCTCTTGGTTTGATGCCTTATGAGTTAAAGCTATTCGAATTGCTCCTTATACCATAATATCTCAAAATATTAATTTGTCCTATATTAGATACCTTTTTCATAAGAAAGTTTGGAAGAAGAAAAACTTACATTATCTTAATATTATTTCTGTTAGCAATTTATTGTATTGTACTTAGCATAATTTATGAAGAATTAATAACAAATTTAAAATTGGAAGTTGTTCGTAATTTAGCACTTCTTCAACTTATACTAGTTTTAATTTTAGAAATTGCAGCAGAAGCTTGGATTGTTGATTATGTCTATGATGATAACTATAAATTTGCTGCTGCCATCAAATACTCAGTCACTTTCATCAGTTCTACAGTAACAACTGAAATTTTCCATACCTCTGGAACTTACTTTATTATAGTCTCTGCATTTTCAATTATTATGCTCATTTATACATATTAATACAAAACTGAAAATGACTAATATTAATCAAAAATGAGGATTAAATCATTATGCAAGAGATTAAAGACTTTTTATGAGTAGATTTTCGAGAGGAGCTATTAAATTAAACTCTTTTTTTTATTTTCATCAATGATTGGTTTTGGATATGCAGAAGATATAATTGAGTAAGTAATTTTGTAGTAGGATTTCCTGAGTTTGAATCAAGTAAAATACTAATGGATGATGATAATTTGCATAATTTTATCACTTAGCATCGTAACATTAATATTAATGAAATTCAAAATAGCCCCAATATATTTAATAGTTGTAATCTTAAGAAACTTAAATAATTTCTTTTTATCAATTTGTTACAACTACTTTCCTTCGAAATTAGATGTAAGTTTATGTTTTTATAATAGAATATCATTTCAATATATAAATTAATGGAAGAATCTTCTAAGGCTATGCATTTTACATTGCTATATATTTTGATATACGATAGTGCTAAATAAAAATTGAGTGCAACTATGATGATTGCTTTTTTATTGGTATTAAAATTAGGACAAGATGGAAATCGATTACTATCAAACTATTTATATAATTCATTTGGATCTCCAGCAGATGCAATAATCGGAATTATTATATAGAGTTTTAATTTAATATTTGCAGTAGATTATCGCGATGCCATATTTTATAAATGATAATCATTTAGTAAATTTTGATTTAGTTATACTTAATAATTCTTACTACTTTTAGATATTTTGGTTATTTATTTATTGTTAAATTAATTTCATTTTCTATGTTCATCTTATAAATGATAATATATCAATTATTATGAACATATTTAGTTCATTTTACTATTCTTTTTAATTCAATTAAGAAAGTATTAGGAATGATTGGTATTACTAATGCTTTCATAAGAAATAAGGAGTTTTTTAATTTTGTTTCATATGATTTCAATGTTTACTTTTAAAGCGGAGTTAATTAATTCATAAAATCTTGAAACGCGTCTTGATTAATTAATATTATATAACATAGGGTATTTAGTTCGAAACATATGAAATCAGAAGGTAGTAGATTTTTATAAATTCTTATTCATATTCGTTATTATTTATTATTTATTATGAATTTAAGGCCATTTATTAAAACACACATAAAGACTATAATGACAAATTTTGACGTTTAGAGGGGACCCTTTGATTCCTTTTTAAGAGAATACTACAAAAATAACAAAACTCTTGGACCATCTGAGCGCTCAATAATTTCTTAAACAGCATTTGATCTCGTAAGAAATGATCTACTTCTTTCTCATTTTACAAAAGATGTGGATAGGAAATGTGATTTATTATCACATCTACCTAAATACGAAAACGACCAAAATATTCCACTGTAAGATTATATTTTGATCAATTACAAAGGAATGTTCGATGTAGCTGCCCAGAGATGTAAAAATACATTCTATTTCAGACTCTTCCAATTGGTTTCTGATTAATATGGTTAAAAAAGAGCTTATGAGTTCTTTATGGCGCTTAACACCAAGGCCCCGTTGACAATACGCATAAATCCAATTAAAACCACAAGAGAGAAAGTAATTTTCTTACTACTGTATATCTTTAGCTAATGCAAGAGATGAAGCACCTTTATTTCAAAAAGACCTTAACCTCACCTTATGGGTTAATAATAAGCAAGGAAAATAATGTAAATTTGAGTGATACAGATTAATTTAAAGAAGGACTATTCGAAATACAAGATGAGGCCTCATAGGTGTGTGCCCTTAGAGTCTAATGCAGGCCTAATGATAAAGTGCTGGATTATTGTGCTGGATCTGGAGGAAAAACTTTGGCATTTGCACATCAAATGGAAGGTAAAGGAGTGATTGAGATTAATGATACCAGAAGTGAAGCATTATCTAAAGCAAAAATTAGATTGAGAAGAGCAGGTATCATGAATTATAGTTTCTTTACAAAGAAGTTCAAATATGATTGGATATTATTAGATGTTCCTTGTACAGGTTTAGGAACATTGAGAAGAAATCCAGACTCAAAATATAGATTTTCTTAGGAAAGATTGGATGGTATATATGTGAATTGAAGTAGATTTAATAAAACTCCAATAAGACATATTTGATTAGGCAATAAGATACTTGAAATAGGATGGAGTTATAGTTTATACAACTTGTAGTTTTTTGAAGGATGAGAATCAGAATCAAGCGAAGCATTTTTGCAAGAAATATAATTTAAGTGTGGTGGATAACGATTACTTCTAGAGCTTGCCTGAAAAAGGGGGAATGGATAGCTTCTTTAGTATTAGTTTGAAAAAAAATTGAGTATGAATATAATAATACGATGCTGATTTTAAATGGATTGATGTTCTCTAATATATTGATGGAGAGTTTAGGGAGGGTGGAGAGAATGTATACAATAGTTATTAATACAAAATTTAAAATTATATTTAAATCTTTTTATGGGTAAAAACTATAGAAACAGATCAAAGACATCTGCCACACCAAGAAAACCATTCGAAAAAGAACGTCTTGATAATGAGTAATATTAATGAATAATTAGATTGCAAATCATTGGTAAGTATGGATTGAAGAATAAAAGAGAAGTTTGGAGAGTTCAACTCACATTAGCCAGAATCAGAAAGGCTGCCAGAGAATTATTGACTCTTGATCCAAAAGACCCAAGAAGATTGTTCGAAGGAGAAGCCTTGATTAGAAGAATGGTTCGCTTTGGTTTGTTGAGTGAATAAGAGAGAAAGTTGGATTATGTCTTGGGTTTGACTACATAAAAAATGATGGAGAGAAGACTCTAAACCTTTGTATTCAAAAGCAATCAAGCATCATCAATTCATCATGCCAGAACCTTAATTAGATAAAGACACTTTAGGTACAATTGACATTTGATCATATCATAGAGTTGGAAAGAGATTAGTAAATTCACCATCATTCCTTGTTAGAGTGGAAAGTGAAAAATTAGTTGATTTCGCAGTCACCTCTCCATTTGGATAAGGAAGAGAAGGAAGAAGAAAGAGAAAGAACTCAAAAAGAAAGCAACCAAAAGAAGAATGATCATTGTTATAATATACATTCAATAAGTACATTTCTTATGTTTTTCAAATACATTCTTCAATCAATCTGCTTGCAAATCTATTGCATATAAACCTGGATGGATGTTTTATTGATTTCCTAATTTCTTAACTACCCAACTTTTCGAAGGTTTCATCACACATATGATACTACAGCTCAAAATTCTAAATACCCAGTGAATAGTTTTGTTTAATCAGCACTACATCCATTCAAGCATTGCGAATTTTTATTCCATTGTTCTTAAGTTAGAATAAAGCCACAACATTGACAAGCTCTCAAGTCCTTAGTTTGCTTTGGAATTGTGAAAGCCTTTTCATCAGAGGACTCCTATCCTGAGTCAGATTAATTCATTCTTAGATTTTATATAAATTAATTACATAATTATGTCAATCTATGATTATTTAGATTTTTTCATCTATTATTGTTTCTGATTACGAATTAAATATTCACATTAGTACCTTTAAGTATAACTGCGGATCTGGAAGCAGAAAATGTATGAGCAACACTTAACTATTTTGAGATCAAAATTAAAATGACATTTCGAAATCATCTACTTGTTGTTTAAGTTAAATAGCTCATTTGCTTTTATTTTATTTTCATGATTAAAGTGTTATAACAAACTTAGAAGTAATCATTTTTAATATTATATTCAATGATGAATCCTTATACTCTTCACTTCTTAGATAAATAATTAGAAGAATAATATCAAGAGGCCAGAATAAGATAAGTCCTAAGACGAATTTTTCAAATTGTTGTGCTCGGCACATTCTTTCTTCATGGCATGAAAATTATTTATGATTTGGCTCTCGATAAACCAAATAAACCCTACATTAATATTGGATTTATTGTTTGGACTATTATTGCTTAGATCACTATCAAAATTAACAAGAAGCTAATAAAATTAGTCATAACTATCTCCAATATATCAACGCTTGTTTTACAAATGAACTTTGATACAAGTTATTCTTTGCCCCAAGATTATTATCAATTCGGATGCAATATAACTTAACTTTAATCTGTCCTTTACTTCTTAAGTGACTTTTTATATGCTTTTGTTTCTGTAATTTTTCACACTGTAGCCAGAATGGTGATTACTTCATATTACACTTAAAGAGTTGATGTTTAAGATTATTGTTTCTCAATTTTATGCGTTGCATTTGTCGTATCCATACTCTACAAAAATGATATCAATTCAAGAAAGCACTTTTTATTACGATTAAAAGAAGAACAAATTGACGACAAATTAATAAAATTAGTAAAATCACCATTTTTCTAATTTGATATTAAGTGTGATTTACAACAAATAAATTTGTAATAAGTTAAACACATAGAATAATTTGAGTTCGGGAGAGAAGACTTTTGCGATGGATGTAATTTCAGAAATCTACTTAGAGACATCTTCATTGATAAAAACACAACTTTGGAATAATAATTATTAAAGAATCATGAACAAGAACAAATTTACAAAGTCAAATATATTCACAATCATTAAAAAATGTCTATGGACATTTATTTTTGTAATTTAGGAATAGAATGTTCTAAATATATTTTAATTTTGGAAAATATCAAAACCAATAAAACCATCAGAAAACCATAAACTTATTCCGTTGAAGATGCTTGGAGCTAGATCAAAGAATAAATTAAAATAATCTCTAAATAACATTTTAATTTGCGAATCTTTTATTTTGGTGTACTTTCTACTATTAAGATAAATGACACTCTGATAAATTAGTTAAATTTAAAAAGGTAATTTAAAAAATTCAGCAAGCTTCTCAAATGCCATGGCTTTCTAGATATAAAAGGGGAGAACAAAATAATTGTCTAAACTTATGGAAATTAACTCAATATTTGGATTATCTAAGTATTACTAATTATATAGCAAATTACAAATAATAGAAAATAGAAATCCTTTATATTTTTAGAGATGCAAGATGATGTGATATTAATAAAATTCATATTGAAAGATCCCTCCTCTTTTATACTTAATTATTATCGTAATTTTTTCATCAAACAGATTTCCTCATAATTATTTTCTTATAACTTAAACTCCAAATTGGAACTTAATTTGATTAAAAATATTTAGCAAGCATTTGATATAATATGAAATTTATAATTTATCATTTAAATAATAATTCAATAATAATATCAAATTGGAATTTCAAATAAAATGACATCTTTTTTTTTATAATCGAAATTAGTCCAAATTCTTTACATAATTCTATATCTTAAAACAATATCAATTTAGGGGTACTCAATTAGTTATCTAGAACTAAAGTAATATAATTTGAAGAAGGTTGTTAAAATAAATTTTAGTATAGTTAAAGCAATTTTCATTAAAAATTGAAAATAGATAGTATTATGCATACTAATTCTAAGCTTATATATATCTAAATATTAGATTTTAAAATCGAAGAATCAATTATATAAGTTGTATTATATTACTTATTTTTTTAATTTTATCACTGATGTGTAATTGATTGGGATATATTAAGTTCAAGATCATTAACCTGCCATCTTTTAGAAAGTAAATTTAAATCAAAATTTCGAAGTTAAATTATGTAATAATTAGATATGTATATTATTTCTAATATTTAAATAATTCAATTTTATTACTACTAAGGGAATAATTATGGCAAACCTTAAGAGGTTTGTCGAATATCAGGTTAACCAAAATTTTGTGTATTAATTTTTGGTGGAATATTTGTTGGAATATGTGGATTATTTATTTTCAATAGGTCTTAGTCGTCAATTTTGTAGAGTTCAAAGTATTCAATATCAAAATATTATCCATTAGCTAAATAGGAATTTGGATTGGCAATCTTATATTCTTATCCTTTTAGGTCAAATGCTTCCCCTAAAATAGACGAGCATTGTTTAAAATCCTTAGGTATTTGTAAATCTTGTCCAAAAGTCAGGGTTGGTGATTATATCTCATGCTCTGCCATTTTTAACTCAAATCCTTATTTAACAGGTAAAATTATGTTTTTGTTTAGATTAAATAATAGCGACTCGCCTTTTCTTTTGGCATTGTAATAAAACCCAATGCTCTATTAAAAATAATGATTGATTTTACTTAATCTGTAGAGGTTTTTATTAAAGCAATAATAACATTATTTTTTATATCATCCTTAAATTTATACAAATTTTCTAATAAGTAAAAACTTGAACCTTAAATTAGGGGTTTTAATTTATCAGTTAATAGGTGCTACATTTTTTGAGGTTCAGCAATAAACTCTTTATCATGTTTTATTGATTGGAAAACCTGAAAAATGAAACTCTTATTTGCAATTTGAGTTTGATTAAAGGAATTAACTGTAATATAAGACTCTTATAACTCAGTCAAGGATCTTTCAATCATCTATTAATAAGAGTTCCAAATATTTAAATTAATACTTAAGTTATGAATAATATTTACTAAAAGGGTTGACTTTTCCTCAAAATATCTACTTTTTGTACAATTTTATCTTCTTTGAAATCATCGTTTTTTTAAGTCACAATTATTTTCTTGACAAATGCTGTAAGTGATTATTTTAGATTTTTTTTAGATTACTCATCATTGCTTTAGTATTTTTATAGACACTCTCTAAAATTATCATGCTCTGTTTTTATTCTTTATTCAGGTTCAACATAGGTCATTACTTTTTCTTTATAATGCTTTTAGTGTATTTCCAATTTCTTTTTCAACTCTTCTTTTGTTTAATCACATTTATAGATAATCATTTCTTTAAATTTGTCCATCATCTTTGTTTACTTAATAATATATAATTACTTCATCAATATCCTCTGGCTTAATATTGAAACCTTATTCCTTTATATATTTACAATAATAATTAAGATTAGAGTAATAATCACTCTTAAAAAATTCATATGCATTCTTCCAATCATGGAAAGTCTAATATTATTAATAATAAAGTTACATCATCGATTTTAAAATAACTAATCTTATCTTTGATTTCATCTAAATATTTTTTTGATGCGAAAATTGGATCTTTATTAGGAACCATTACAACAAATTTTGCCTCTTTTTTTTTATGTTGTTCACACTAAATCTTTTATGGCTAAGGCGGAACTTTATCTTGTTGCTACTCCATCTTAATAGAATTAGAAAATTTATTATTTAATATGTATTTTATTGATTAAAATCAACATAAATATTCAACTATAATAGAATTACAAGCTTTCATTTATTCTAAAACGAAATTCTCAATATTTAGTAATTACAAGAATCGAAATTATTCAATTAAATCTAAACTGAGGTTGCTGAAATCGATCTAAAAGTATAAACTATACTTATTGATACATAAGAAATTAAAGATCTATTATTCACAAAGCTATGTAATTCAAAGTAATGATCAAAAATTTCCATACCCATATCGTTGTACTTCTTGAACAAAAGAACAAGTATAAGTAATTTTCATTTTAATAAGGGTAACCTGTTTATATTAAATATATTTATCTTTATTATTATTATTAATGACTGAGAAATTGTAATTGCCTCTTTAATAACTTTATGATCCTATCATGATAATGTTTAAATAGATAGAGGGTTATGAACAGCTTTTTTAAGAGTTGGAAGCAAGACAAAAGGAATCTAGGAAGAATAAATTTGTCATTGAAAAATTGATAGCTATGCAAGATAAGAAATAAGTATCTGTATTGAATTTATTCAGTAATTAGAAAAAGAGAAGGTGGAATTCGATTCATTATATTAGAAATCTCATTTGACAAGAGAATAACATAAGCATTTAATTAGTCAAGATATTGAAGTTGATCAAGAGTTTTACTAAATTTATAAAATTCTAGATGAATAAGAAAACTTGGCAAAAGAGCTTGTTAATTATGATGATCCATAGGGACAGGGACCATCACCATTGAGAGGATCTTTAATTGAGAATATTGACATCATTAGATCAGCTGCATTAAGCAAAATAGTAGCACATCTAAAGAAACATTATGAAATGATTACTATTGAGGAATTAAAAGAAATTAATGAGCTATTTTACAATAAAGTGAATGAATAAATCGTTTTTGTATTGAGGTATAAATTCAGCAATCATCTCATACCTCTGTTAGCAGGTATCAATTCAACGGATGAATCATCAATAAAGAACTTTTTTAAAACACTTGACTATGAAATACAGTAAAAATAATTGCTTAAACAAGATAATCATTTAAATATACAGAGCAAATCTTTGAAAAGGGTGCTACTACAATCTTTCCTTAAGTAATCGATAATATATGTTGTGATTACGCTTAATAGTTAGATGCAACATTGAAATTTGTAGAGAGCTATTTTTTAAGTATTAAATAAAACAATATCGTTAGTTTATGAGGTAAATATACAAATCTAATAAATCATCAATTTCTTGAAATCTACAAATGCTCAAATGCAATGTATTAATGGACTAGTTAAATTGCAATAACTTTGTTCTCAATTAAAAACCAAAAGCGTTCAAATTATGTCCCATAACTTATAAGTCATTCGGTTTAATATAGCATAATTCTCATCTTATTAGCCTCTAAAAGACTAATTAGAATAATTGTATGATTTTCTAAAGAAAAGTAATTCAGAAGAAAGACAAGAAATATTATCAAATCTTTGGTAACCTTTTTAATAGCTGATTCAGATGAAATTAAATCAGAATAGTTATAATAGGTCATCAAAGATATTTTCAATTAATGCCTTATAAATTTATATTAGTCAATTACAAGGAATGAAAATTCAAGAAATTTAAGAGACTATTGATAACTATATTAAAGAATGCCAATAACTTTTGGTTGATTTAATCTAAAAGTTAAAGACGGAAAATGTATCAGAAAGTGCTTAGAAATTTAAAGTACAATAGAGAGAGAAGAATAATTAGTTGTCAAAGGATTAGTTTAAAAAGTTCTTGAGATAGATAGTGTAATTAGATGAAAACGGGTTTAGGAATGACTTATTTTATGAAATTGATTTGATTATCAACGATCAAATTAAGTCTTAGATATAACTGGATATTGCTGAAAGTATTAAATTAATATAGTGTACATTAGCATTTACGAAAGAGTACTATGAACCATTATATGAGAACCTCTTGAAATATTTAAGTAATCAACAGAGCGAGTTTACAACTGAGGTCATTTAGCAACTATGTTCATAATATTCAGTTACAACAAAGGACATCTATAAAATACCAGCTTATATAAGAGATCCTGTTTCTTATAAATTGAATATAATGAATTTTTAGAGTTTATGATGTATTAAGCATATAAAAATGTGACAATTTTAGTAATTTGCAAATGGATTGTAAATCTCGATTCTTGCCTTAATCTTTGATTGTTATAAGGAATGGGAATAGACATATAGGGAAATAGCGGGAATAAATAATGTTTATTCTACTGAATAATATTTATTAGTGTTTTCAATTAATTTTAATCGTTAACAGATGAATAAAGAAAATGAGGGATTTAATTTACCTGAACCAATTTGCAAAGCTCATCAGAATAAGAAGGTATCAATAGCTTAAAAAGTAGGCAAAATATAAAATTGTTGGTGTTCCATACCCTAAACCAAAGTTTAACTTGACTGATTTAGTTTGTTCCAAATGTGCAATTGCTCTAGTTAGTTAGGGATACAAAGTAAATTCATTGTTAATTATAGGTTGATGACATTGAGTCAGATTAGACATAAGTTAGATAAGAATAAATACAACAGTTTCTGGAAACTATTTCATAAACATTTTTAACTATAGATCAAAGTGAGCAAAGTCTTTTAGAGAAAAGAGAGGATTTGATTCGATTTTGCGAGAAATAGAAAGATAAAGTAAGAGAGCATTATCATATCATGACAACTACCTTGGATCACAAACTTAAAGAATAAATTGACTACTTGAATGAATTGTAAGGAAGAGCATTAACAATGTTTGAATAAAAGTAATAGGAAATCAAGGAGAGTCACAATGAATTACTACAGATGTATAGCGACATCGAAGTCAACCTTGATAATATAATTCTATAAATTGAATTGCTACCTTACAAATAGATTATGGGTCAATACAATAAGAGAGTCTAAGATATCCAATAATGTCTTGGTAAAATGGAGACCTAGAATGTTTATTTGGGACGAGTATATAAAAAGGCAACAGATTAAAAAATACTAGGAGGCCTATTTGAAGATAGTGAGTTGGAGATAAAAATAGTTTAAACATCTCTGCTGAAAACAGAATAATAATAGGGATAATCTGTATCAAGACTAATGTCCCCTTAATCCACTCAAGTGACAACACCAACAAATCAAACTCCTGACAAACAACGATCGAATAGTTAGCCTAGTAAATTCTTAGAGATTTTGAATAAGGTTAATGAGAACTAACTTAAAACTAATAATTTCTATACCTAATTGTTGAGAAGAGACTCTTCATTTGATTTAAGTGAAAAATATTGTTCACCTTCCTTCAAAAAGTGAACTTTTATAACTATATATATAAATTTTCATTACTTGTATTATATCAATTCAAATTATACAATCTATTATATTATGATTTACTTAATATTTTCATTGGATTAGGATTAGGTTAAATTTAATATTGAAAAATATCCAAAAAAAATAATTAAATTATATCATTTCATTTGTAACAACTTTTTTGACCTTAGTTTTTCCAATGAGGTGGTTTTGGAGACCTATCATATAGTAAGTCATCATTAACAATCCAATTATTATAATGTTATGGTTTTGGATCTATTAGTTTAGGAACGATTTCTAGATTTTTTTTTACAACTAGAATTGCTCCTGCATTTTTATGTTTGCCACATTCATCAATAGTACTACTTACAGTTATTAATTGACCACCTATATATAGAAGTACTAAATACCTGCGAATCTTTCGAATCCATCCATGACACATTCATGAGAACGAATTATAAGTTAAAGATAATTTTTTAACAGAAAATTGATGACTCTATCGGGACCAAATTTTACAAGGTTCAAATCGCCATTCGGATCTCTGGATAAGTTTGGTTATATTCCAAAATCTGCATCAGAATCTGTAGGATCAGACCATAAAATATCAATAACCATTTATTATTCAGAATTTGTGATTTCATGTATGACCTCAATAGGCCTCTTTATATTTTCAATTTCTTTTGCAAACTGTAATTAACTTCCAATACCACCATGTACACAGAATACTCTACCTTCAATAATTGCGGCTAAAGGTAGCCATTCAAATAATCTATTAACTCTTGCAAATGCAGAATCATCAGAATTTGGATCTTCATCTAATCTTCGAGCACATTCTTCCAAAAAACCAAATTAACTATTAACCTATTCATCTTCATGATTGCCTCTAATTAAATGAATAGAATCTGGATATCTAACTTTCAAAGCCAATAGCAAGCAAATAGTTTCCAGTGAGTGGCTGCCTCGATCAACAAAATTTCCTAAAAAAATATAGTCAAAAGCTTCAATATCACCATCCTTACCATCTAAAAAAGGAGACCCCCATAAATCAAAGAACTTCATCAAATCTGAATATTGTCCATAAATATCCCCAAAAATTTTAATAGGAGCATTGCACTTTAAGAGAATAGGTTGTTCTTTTATAATTGCTTCAGCTTAATCACAGAGCAAAATGATATCCTATGCTTTAAATTAAAATTTATTATTTTCTGAAAGGTTTATAATGGTTTTTGGTTATAGCAGTCTATTAAGGAATAGATCAGCAATATTGTTAAGTTGAACAATTTAAGGAGGCATCGGTTTTTTATTATGAGCTTTTTAGTAATTGTGTTCTTCTGCCACAATAGCATAATTACTGAAATTAAAAAAAGGTTGTTCAGCTTGTTTTTAAATATAAGGCTTCTGAGTAATAATTTAATAATTTTGTGTTCTAAAAGAATCTCTTTAGCGAGGACTCGTTTAAGATGTAAGAATACTTTGTAATGCATCTTAATATTAGGCAAACTTATTGCTTAAAGGTTTGCTTGGCAATAATAAGTTGTTCAAATTGATTTTAGAAATGGCACCATTAGGGATGTCAGGGGAGCTTAAGCCGAACCCACCATAAATAAATATATTCGTATCAACTAACCAAGAAGCATGTTTGAATCTCTAAATACTTTTGAATTTAGACCATTCTGAAGTTTCAGTGTCAAAAACATTTATCGTAAGCATTTCATTTAAATTCCCCGTCTTGCCTCCAATTATAAATAGCATGGTATAGAAAAACAAACTTGTATGTTAATATCTACCTTTTGGTTACTCTATATCAAGCTTATATATAACTTTGATCCAATCCCATCTTCCATCTGCGTGCCTTTTCAATTTCCATGCATCATTCATTGGTTGCTAATCCTTTGAACGGCCTCCAAATATTATAATAGTTTCATTTGCAATATCATTAGTACAAACACTGGCTGAATGATAAACTCTTGCCATCGGTTATTCAGATTAGCATTCTATTTTCACCCAAGCAAAAGATTTCCTTTCAACATTAATACACCCTAATGTCTAAATCGTTCATTCATACAGCAATCATTAATTGGTTCCATTCCTGTACTTCCTCCAAATATTATCAAAAATTGTTTAGTAAATGTTAGTGTATGTCCATACCTTCTTCCTGGAGTAATTCCAACTACTGGTACTACACTCCACTCTCCAATATCATCTGCTGATCTCAAATCTAACAAGTATAAATCATCTGATGCCAAACTACCACCTAACATTATTTTTCAACACTTGTACCTCCTGTCTCTCCTCCATAAATTACTATTTAATTCATCTTAATAGACACTGCTGCATGCGCTGCTCTTGGCTTGGGCACAGTTCCCTATACTAAAAATTTATATCTCATTACCTTTAACACTATTCCATTATTTTGTCAGCATCTCAAATGAGAATATGTCTTCTGCAAATCTATATATCCCAGTACTATTAGTAGTATCTTATATTTAGCACTCCTTGCCACCAATTAATATTGCTTTTCCTTTAGCAATATATGTCATTGTGTGGCCAAACCTATCTGATGGCAATTATCCATAGGCTTTGACTTTTTAAAAACTCTCCGTCATATTTAATTTTATTTTAATAAATAATAAGGCCCGTAAATATTAATTAATCTTTCTCTATTTACTTCGATTACCAATTCTTAAAATCATCTAATTTCTTTTATTCTTGTAATTTCATTTCTAGAAATCAATAAATTCTATTTTCAAAGTACTTTTCTTTTTTTCCTTAATTGATCACCACTTTATTTAGGAATATTAAATGACTAATTATTCTAGTTCAAATAAATAAATACAAAAAAAATGAATATTTTATAAATTATAATTATCTAGTATTATTAGCGCATCAATTTTCTATGTAATTGTAGAAGAATGGATTTTAGCTTCCTCTTAAGAAATTAGGACCTAATCCCCACCAAGTACGAAAAAATTATAGGATAGAACACAGAAGACATTAAATTTATATATATATATATATTATAATCGATAAATAATATCGAGATTCTAAAATCCTAAATTAAACTTAAATGGATCCTGTTCTGTTCTTATGTTTTTTACTGCCATTTGAACATTAAATCTCGATTATCCACCTCAATCAATTTATCAGTTTTTATTAATTAAATATAAGTAGAAGCTAAATTCATTCAGATTTTAAAAGAAATTCCAACATCGATCCTGGAGCCTACGAGATGTCGCAAGAAGGAGGGCTGAATTTTGATAATAAATACTCGTTAGTATTCACCCATGAGTCTAAACAGTCTTCCTTAATAATTTATATTACTTAGATAATGCGAGGGTGAGTCTTTCTAAATTTATGATTAATCATATACCTTATCTTTTTTTGCTATTTCATAATGCTAATTTAAAATTTTATTTTTAATAATGAATTTGTTAGAATTTGTATAGATATGAACACAGAATATTTATTCTCATCTTTTTAATTTTAAGAATAAATTAATTACAAGCTTAAATTAGATATATATTGTTTTCAACTATTTAATAAGATAAGATATAGTAAGAATTGAATTTAAAATATAACTTATGATTCTTTTGCCTTTTAGTAAGTAGAAACCTCCTTACGTTAAGACTTAAATAATTCATGATATTACTATATACGATTATTTGTATATTTAATAATGATCTCATTTTAAATTTATTTGATAAGTCATATATTTTAAAGAAGACTGCAAAATTAATAAACTAAACTGCTACCTTATACAAATTGTCTATTAATTGAAATCCTCTTATAATTGTCATTTTCATAGATTATGATAATTCTACAATCTGATTTATAGATTAAACAACTAGAACATCATTTCAATTATTACTATGCTGGCAAAATATTTGATTTTGTTTTTTAATTTCATTTTTTGAATCTTAAATCATTATTCTTTGTGTTAGAACAGTTCTTTATAAATCAAAATCGTTAGTTTCATTATCTATCGATATTTAGATAAAATGAAAATTACTGTTGCATGAGATAATTAAATATATTATTTTAAATTCAAATTAAATGGGATGCTGTTCTTCATCGAAATCTTCAATTAAAAATGTTAAAAAACCTATTTTCAAATCGGATAGTTTATAATCTGAAAATAGTTCAATATTTGTTGAATCGCAAGAAAAATATAAGGAGCAATCATAAGAACAAGAAACTTGTGCAAAACCAAGTTTAAATAAGAAGAAAACCAATTAATTAATATGTTTTTAAATTTAATAAGACATTATTCAAAATAAGGATAATCTTAATGCAGTAGATGATGAATTTTTTGAATAAAAAAATTAGAGCAACGTCTATAAAGTAGAAAAAAGAAATTCAGACTCTGATTATTGAATATATAATTTGCAAACTTTATATGAATTCAAAACAAATAAATTTAACAAGGTTTTTCTTATTTCAAATTTAATTAACTCTAATTTAAGTAAAAACATCTAATTTCAATACCATATCTAATTCTTAAATATAAACGAAAATGCCTTGATTACCTTTTGAGATTATTTACTCTGAGAAATACAGAGATGATGAATTTGAATATCAACAAATCATCTTGCCACATGAATCATATAAGAGGTAATGAACAATTGGAAGAGTCTTAAAAGTGCCTGAATTCAAAGGTTTAAGGTTTAAAATTTCTTCAAGGTGGAAAATTGATGATATTTACACCTCATTTTTCAATGCTGAGAAAATAATATTTTATATATACATATTTTATATCGCTTTCTAAAGAGATGATATTTATTTATAAAACTGTTTGAATGAATTAAAAAATAAAGAAGGATAAAACCCTCATCATAAATAAAGTTCATTAGAGCAGCAATGATCTAATATGTAATATAGTATAACTTATTATTAAGTACTTGATATTAAATTAAAAAATTTAGCTTTAAGATGAAATTGTTATTTTAAAGCAAAATATATTTATTTATAAATAAGAAGTTACTCTATTTTGTTAATCCAAATTCAAACCTATCAAGTAACTTAATTTAAATGAGTGATTTTTAAATAAGAATCAAATCTTAATAAATCTTTTTCAATAATTATAAATTCTCCTATACAATATTAATATAATCAAGATCCACTCTATCTGGAAGGGTCTTAAAAAGTTAAATACTGGTTGGAAAAGCTTTAAAAAATTAAAATCTAAAGTGGTTAAATTATGCCAACTGATGGATTTTAATATATTTCCATTCCGTTATAAAGAAGATTCTATCTTTTTTAGCCTTTTATAGCCAACTCTAAAGAAAGCCAAATTGCCTTGAAATTACCTTAAAACTTTTAAAGAAATGTAATAAAATTGGGAATAATAAATTTTTTTGTCCCTTTTTTGCTTCTTTACTTATAATATTTAGATGATTAATCTTAATCATCTAAATATCATAATTTTATTTAACTAAAAAATAGTAAAAACACATTATATCTTTACATAGCTAATTAATATTGTAAATAGATATTAAGAGTGATTTCGAAATTTTAAGCAAACATGAGATATAAAAATTAAAAATGAATATATTGATTCATACAAATAAATAATATATGAATAGAGATATCTTATTAAATGGTGTTGTAATTTAATTATTATGTCAGATTTTTCTAAATTTACACCTTCTGATTTAATCGCATTCAATTAATTCAGGCTTAGGTATATTAGTTTTTCGATTAAAATATTCATTCATATTTGAAATGATTTAGTTTTATGTTATAAGTTAAGTATTATACTCTTATTAAAAGTACATAATTGATAGATAGGAATCGTCATCCTAATTATAGAGGTGAAATTTTTTTGGGGTTATTTTCACTTCAAATTGTTATCCATTAAAATTGATTGCTGGCATTGAATTATTAAGTTCTCGATGAGCCCCTTGAAACATTCCTTGAAGAACTTTTAAAAATTTTTGATTTTCATTTGGAAAACACCAGGGCAATAACCCTGTTTGATTAACATAATCCTGCAACATCTCTTCATTGATTCCCATTAATTGCAGATATTAAACATTTATGGATTTTATTAATGTCGTTATTCTACCTTTTTGTTTCTTCTAAATATAAACCGCAAAAGAATTTTTAATGCTGTTTTCATATTCTTACACTTCTTACTCATTAACAATGGCCAAATTATCCAATTTTAATACATTGAAGTGAAAAAGCTCAAATTGTTCTCCTAAATTTGGATGATATTATTCTAATGTATTTTTTACAACTTCGAGAGGAGTGAAGGGCCTATCGATAGGCTCAAAATAAAATATATAGTTATTGTGATGTTTATCGTACCTAACAATTCTATAATTATATGAAATTGGATCTATAGCCAAAGCCCCTAACTAGAGATTGGGATCTGATTATAATGGAATTAGCATATCTGATTCTAGTCTAAAATATATTTGTAAGGAAATTTAAGCTGGGATTGTTTGACTAATTTGAACAATTTACTTGAGTTTTGAAACATCTACATCGCTACCAAATTTGAATTCTATTGTATATTAATTTCTTCTTTTTTCCTTCTTGATTACTTTAGATAAGCAAATGGTTTTTTCTTCCCTAGCTTCTTTTTGATATTTTAGAAAATTAGACATCTGTAATGTGTTTATTTTTAAATGATAATAAAATATGTAATGGAATTAAATCTTAATAAACAACAAATTTCATTGATATTAAAATCTCAAGTTTAGAAAATCAATTTATTCAGTCAAATAAATTATAATAAAATTAAATTACTGTAGAACTTTCGTATTAAAAATTAGTGAATCTTCAAAGAGTAATGTAGATGAAGACATAAATGAATAAGTTAATATGTAATTAAATACTCATTCTTGTGATCTCACCATCATAGCAGGAAGAACAGGTATTTGATTAGCCATATCTTCCTCTAATTCCGGCTGAAAATTGGACTTTGGAGATTCGATATCAGAGAATTATAGTTGTAATTTCATAGGACTATCTTAAAATATGTTTTCTAATTTTTAAGTGTTGCAATACAAATTCTCGAATAACTCCAGAATGTCCTCATCAAGAATGTCTAGAATTTTTTTATCAACTTCCGAAACTTCATTTTTTTGCTAGATTTTTACATAAGCAACGAAAGCCTCTTATAATCTCATAAATTCAGGTTTTTCATCTTGCAGAATAACCTTATAGGCTTATTTTTATTCAACCACTTTCATTTTTTTTTGGAATTCTTCTCCAAACATAGCTTCAGGAATAATTGGCTTAGGCAAATAATTAAACAGCTTTTATTATTATTCATTAAGTAAGATTAGCTTTAATCTATCAATTTCATAGACTTTTGAAATTAAATTTGCAATATCCAATTTATTCATAAATTTTTCGGTTGCATAATTAATAAGTTACTTCTCTTTCTTTTTGCACCCAAAACTCATCAAAATAATATCTCTCATAGATAAGTTAAGAGATTATTTCCTTTTTTTCAATAATTAAATCATCTGCTTATAATTATTGACTTTATCAACACTTTTAACAAAAACTGATTTGCTCATTGATTTTTAGCCTTGAAGAGAGCGTTTACTTGTAAAAGATTTCCGACTTTCAACATCTAATTATTATGAACCGAAAACATTAACTTTTATTGCAGATTAAGATTTTTTCACCTCTTCTTTTACTTCATCAATTGAATCTGAACTCTATTAGACTTGAAGAACTTCGCTATTTGAACCTTCAAATCTAAATAATTTATTAGCCATCTGTAAATTCATGAAGGTTGAAGTTAATGGTTACAATAATGCACTCATGGCTAAGAATAAAATCTGCCAGAGACCACCAACGTTTCCAAAGATATCTTATAGTTTTTAATATTCTCTATTATAAAAACCTTATCTTGAATCTAAGTTTATTACATGTTAGATAATAAATTAATTATTATAATTATCTTGACTTTCTCGATTTTACGATTAGATCAAACCATACTCTGTCTATATGTCTTCCATAATATATCCAGTATCTGTATCAGATTGAATAATTTTGAAGTCCTAGAATACCGATTTGGATGTTGAATTTGAGAATGTTGTGTATTATAGGTTAATTATGTTTTTAAATGGAGTTCCTGGATTTTTCATTTAAATTAGATTATCAATTAGATGAACTGCATAATACCCTGTTTACAATTCCTTCCATATTTTCTCTTTTGGAGCACAATCAGTTTTATTTGTGGTGTTCTTACATTAAGCTATTGTAATTTGTAAATATTAATATACTGTTCCTTAAACTGTCCCTTATAGTTGCTAAAATTGCATATAAATTAATATTACAGGGGGATTTTCTTGCCATTATTCTACATTCAAACATTAGACAAAACCAAGTTTTATTTTTGAAAAATAAGCTTTTTGTAAATCTGTTACGAAATGTTAATCACCGCAAGGCTCCGTTGGGTATGTGGTACAACTATTTAGATTAATAAAAAAATACTTTTAAGATATCACTGTTTTGTTAGTAGTTGGGTCTAATTATCTAACTCTTTTGCAATTCTAAACAGACATTGTAAAGTGTGTTCCTAATGTTTGAAGAGAGCCTAATGATATGTTAGCCATTGTTATGCCAATAGTATAATTTTTCATCTCCAAAGGGTATGCCTAAATTATAATGAACATTTACATTAGTATCCACAACTTATTCTTCAGACATCGTTACTCTAGGGCCTGTTTGAGCATATAAGTCTTACAATTGAATTAATGTATAAAGAACACAGACAATTGAAAGACCTATCGTAAACAAAAATCCCAAGGATGTTGTAAATTTTTCTTATTTTAAAATTTTAAAAGCAGGAGGCTATCCAAATAAGTCCAAACCTCCATACACCTTTCTGAAACAAGTCTAAGTTTAATTTTTATTCTTTTTTTGATATTTGAGCATTTAATTTATCAAATCTAAATTCTTTAATTTCAAACTTTTAATTTGTAGTTATATCAAGAAATTTTAATATATCCTACATCAAGGTGTTAAAATATGATATCAGATTTATAATTATATTCCATAATTATTAAAGATTAAGATAATTATTTATTTCATTTCAAACTTTATAATTCTTTATTTATATAATTATTTATTATTCTATAATCGTAATAAATTATAAAATTTAATGTTTCAAACATTTTTGATGGTACAACATAAATAATTATATGCGTACAATTATCTAAACTAAAGGAAAATGTTCCACTATCGTAGAATAATAATATAAAAAACAATTCTAAATTTTAGTTCAAACTTATTTATATAAATATTATAACTATAATTACGATATTTGTATGATATCCAAAGACCTCTGTAATACTAAATAGCCAAAATAATCTTAGCTTTATTAATATTATTCTTTTTAATGAATAACTATTTATAAATTGTCCAGCATTTTTTATTAAAAAACTTTATTTAAGTCAGTTTTAACATAATAATTACTTGCAATTTCATCCAGTCCTTACACGTTTTATTTTTGTAATTCCACATCAAATATAATTCTTTGCTACTATATTACCCAATTTATTTGCATATTTTGTAAGTTGGTAGTTTAAACGTTTTTAATTAAACTTAATATATTTGTTTCTATTAGTTTATATTTTTTTCATTTTTGACGTAACTATTACTCAAAATATTAGATATTAACTGTATAAATTTTAAAAGTACATAGAGTATCTAGCGAAGCTATATTATGGAGAGTAATACTATTTTATTTAATGTTTTCACAAATATCCCACCATCCTATTAGATTTTCTAACTGACTATATGTGTAATATTTATTTGATTCCTTTTATAGTAATAAATGTGATGTAATAATTGTCTTCATTAAATCACTCGAATGCCATTAGAAATAATATAATAAAAGCTTTAAATATAATCTAAGTTCCTGGTTAGAAAGAATTCAAAGCTTCTTATTTGGATGAAGGTTGATTTACAAGCTTCAAGTAAAAAATCAAATTCCATTGAAAGGGATTTGCTTATTTTATACCAAGTGGTAATTCTATGAAGTTTATATTTCGTATGGAAATATTTTAATAGTTAGATTTAAAGTTCCTTTGTTCAAATTGTTGAAAGAGTTAATTAGGTATCAACATAAGAAATTAGAAAGAATGGTCTGATTATTTATAATTTATTTTATGTCATGATTATTTTATAAACAAAAAAAGTGTTATTCGATGAATTTAAAGATGTCAATTAGGCATTCTGCATTTAATCAATCCTTGGAGAAACTTAGAGTTAAAAGAATGAATAACTAGGGGTGGAGACTTATTAACAAAAATAATTTATATATAAATTTATAAGTCAATTTCTCATGGAGTAACTGCTTGAAAGATATCAAGAATTAGAAAAACGTAATTCGGAAGAATTAGAACATGATAAATCAATAACTCATTTATTGTACATAGAAGGATTTAAGTGGGATGATTTAGAGAAGATAAAGAAAATACATAAGATTTCACAATCTAAGGTAGAAAAGAGAATAACTTTAGTTTAAGATGTAATAATAAACAAATAGTATAGTTTGGGTTATTGAGAAGAGATGTAGAGCCACATTCAACAGAGAATGAGTATTGTAAAATGTTGCTGAAGGACATCGACATGCATATATATTCGATTTTGTTTGAGATTGACAAATTGGAACAGTTGAAACAAAAGTCACAGAGATTCTTAAGATTATAAAGTTAACCCAATTTAAAACCTGAGACTGCTCCAACTGATGTAATGACCCAAACAGGAGGCTTGTTATCTAGTACAAGTGATGGCTAAACTCGGATGTATAAGAGCAGTTTTCAGTTTTATCGAGCCTAAAGGGATTAATAGATTCAATCACATAATCAGAAGTGGATAGAGAAGTAATATAGCATTCAGAGAAAATTAATCGAAGATGAAAAAGAGTTTTAGAAGTTTCGTTTTGAGATTGAAGCAAAGTAAATAAGGGCTGAAATGAATTTGGAAGAATATTAGTAATGGTAGGCTCGATAATTGAAAGAATAAGAGGAATTGAATTCAAAGAGATTGCAATTACACAAAGATCGAATGTTAAAAGATCAATAACAAAGGTAGGCCATATTGGAGGACAAGATGTAGAGAAAAGAAAAGCAATTAAAAAAGTAGATCTCATTGCTTCAAGATTTTCATGAAGAATAAAAATAAATAAAAGAAGAACACTTCTAAAAGATTTTGTAAAAGTCTATGGGGGCCTTGAATGACAAAGACAAATTTAATCAATATTAGAAGGAGATATCAGAAAAAAAAGAATAGGAAAATCTAAGGAAATTGAAGTATATAGAGGAATCAAAGTAATGGACTAAGCAATAATTGCAACAATAAGCAACCTTAAAGTAATAGAAGATAGAGAGAGCAAATGTATATGATGATTTTGTTATAATTATAGTTAATTTTAACAAGACAGGATATGCAAAGACGAGAGAAATTCGAAGAGAAGGAAAAGAAATAAATAACTTACATGGAGAAGTGCAAGAAGACGTTTTCAGAATATCAGCATATGATTAATAAAGAGAAAGAGGATAAAATGCATAATTTTTAGATTGTAATTTGTTGAGTGATGTGTTAATTAGAATAAAGCTATTGAGGATGCGAGTAGAGAGTAACTGATTAAGTATCAATTCGAGAGGCGATCCAATAGTTAGGCTTAGGCTTAGAGATTGAAGGAGAGGAGATTGAAGATATTCTAGGAGGAGAAGGCAGGAGAGCATTTAATAAAATAGTTAGAGATTAATCAGAGGTTGAATTAATTGGAGTGGGAACAGGAATGGAAGAGGACGAAACAATAGATGTTAGAGGAGGAATAGAGATAACGATAATTGATGATTGAGTATATATTGATAGTTTTAGACTGTAGAAATGATGCGAGAGAGACGATGAGGGAGAGGGAAAAGAATACTCGAAAATTGGAAATAGAAAAGGAGTTGAGAGAAAAGGAGATGAAGACTTTGAAGTATCAGAAGGTCTGAATGATAAGAAATTTAGTAAATTTAATTATTTATATTTGAATTTAATGAATAACAAACAAGACATTGCCAACTGTCAATTCTGCAAATTCAGGTAGATCAGAATTATGGAGAAAGAAATACATAAGAAGTATTTGATAAATATGAAGGAATAGATACTTTGAGTAGTTTAACTTCTATTTTGCTAAGCCGATAACAGAAATATTAGCAAATGTTCCTGTGGATCATGTCATTTTGTTTAAAGACTAATTGTACTTGCATGATGAAAACGAATACATGAAGCGTTTTTATTAAAGAGAAGAGTAAGATCCGAGGTTAAATTTACTTTGCAATTTCTACTTTGAGTAACATAAAGTAAATCATGAAACATTATACAAAAATAGATGATACAACCAAATCTATGTAAAGTTAATGCTCATAAGTTTATGGAGAAGAGATAGAATAAATTGCTAAAATTACAATAAAAAGCATAAAATAGTTAGAATCAACAACCAATTACTAAAAAGATGATTCCAGATCATATTTTTAGTGAAAATTATGTTGAATCCGTATCTGAGTAGTATCGACATACTTATTTAGTTCCTATCCGAAGGAACAAATTTCTTGGGACAGCAAATCTCATAATATCTATGAGATATCATAAGTTGAAGCATAGAAATCAATACCAATCAACAAACCAACACAATAATTTCAATGTTCAATCGTCAATACATCTGGAGATCATAACAAATTATTTAATTGTTAAAATGACCAAGAACTAGATAATGTCTTTAATGATCTAAATGGATAAACATCAAGGAATTTGTCAGCTGTTACTAAGGTTCCACTTAAGAAGAAACCCCCCTCAAGTTCCAATGCTAAGAAGAACCCTCCATCTCAATTATCTCAACAGCCTAAGATACCTGTTCCCCCTTTGAAACTACAAGAAAGTGCAAAATCTTCAACTACTGCATGTCCGAATAATAACAAATCCACTAGCATCTAATCTTTAATGAAGAAATACGATCAAATCTTACAAAAGCGATTTTAAGTCAAGGAAATACTCACAGAACGAAATGACACTCGTTATGGTACAAGTTGTGGTGTTGGTACTGTTAGAGGTGAAGGTGGATCATCAAAAAAGCAAATAACAGATGAAATGCTGCTTAAACTTATTTAAAATATGAAGAAATCAAAAAATAAATCTGATAACTATCAATTTCATGCATCTTACAAGAGTGTCGTCTAATAAGCATAAAGTGGACCCACTCAATCATGTACATTTGAGAAGGAAAACGAAAAGAAGAAAAAATATCAAGTTTATTTGGTATAGTTTTAGTTATTAATAGGATAGCCGAAATAGATAAAAAAGAATCCTTCGCAGATGTCATCACCCACCACTGTTTAGAAGTAAGGTATATTAAGTTATGTTAGTACTTGTTCTCCCTCTATGTTGTTGAGATCACTATCAAATCCTTCTATGGCTCCTTCACCGTTGAGGAGACTGGAAATAAAAGTCAATCTTAATAAGTTAATTCAATAGCAGGAATAAGAAATTGGGTATTGGACTTAAAGATGCAAAGTTCGTTGAGTTTTCATTTAGTCGATTAGTTGAATGAAATACAAATTATGTTTTATAAATTTATTTTAATATACTAACTACCTTAAAATCAAATTAAGGATGAGCATTAATTATGCCTGTAATGTATTTTAGCCATATTTAAAGAGTTAAGAAAATCCGGCAGAAGACAATCGGTAAACACAGACTTCATGCAATATCACAAGCTATCCTAAGTATTTAATTGTGAAGTATATAAGGATAAGACTTTCACAGAATCCTTTCCCGTATCGCTTCAAAGAACCAAACCCAACTTCAAGAATCAATTATCGTAACTAGAATTGTATGATTGATTATAATAATAAAGCGATGATCATTAAATTGACTTCAAAAATCACCCATTTACATTTTAGGACAAGATCAATTAGAAAACGGAAGTAACCAAAAAGAAATTCGTATTTGATGAGCATTAATCAACCAAATAAGGGGAGTTTAAGAATTTTATGAGTGCGATGGATGATTATATAAACCTTTTAAATGAAAGTTCTGATTGCTTAACTTTGAATTCAGAAAATTATAGTTAGTTAGAAAATATCCTATTTGCCAAATTCAACATTATCAGATAAAAACACGAGGAGTTGAATAAAAAATACAAGATGGCATAATAGAATTTTAAAGCTCAAAGATACTAAAATTAGTTACTCAAAAAGTAAATTGTGGAGATTCATTCTTTATTGGAGGAGGAAAGATAGAAAAGTTGTGTATTGTAAGATGCTAATGAAAAATTGAAAAAGAAGTATAGAGATTTATAAAATAAAACGCAGTTTGTTCAAAATTCATTTATATAAGATAGAATGAAATTCGATCATAAACGATAGAATTAATTTTAATAAAGCATATCAGTTGATGAAACTGATAGAGGTACAACATAGCAAACTTATGAAACAAATGATGATTAATAAAATGTAACTAAATTCTTAAAAACTTAAATGCGAAAATTGAGATAGAACAATTAATAAATTGATGATTATTCTCGTCTATATAAAAAAATTAGTGAACATAATAATGATGACTTTTGATTAATTTAATTTATTATATAAAGCTGTATTACTGTATTACTGTATTACTTGACTATAGATGAACACCTAACAATTGATTTTTATATACAATTTTTATATATTTATTATATCAATTCTACTAAAGAATAGCATCTTCAAACTCATTATAATTAACCTGTGCACTTATAAATTGAATTATCTAATCTATATGATTTATTATAAGATAGAGAAATGGTTGAACAACTATGAGTTGTAAATAGAAGAGAGTTCGAAGTAATTAAGATATTTTCATTTAATTAATAAATCTGAGAAGGAGGCAATAAGAATTTAAAATTAATATAGGATTCTAGTCAGTTCAAATATGATAATTATCAGATGAACTAATTTTATAAAAATTTGCCAGTTTTTTTATTATTTGAGTTTTAATCTCTTAAAACAGGCAATATATAGAATCTCAATAGATGAAAATGATATTGAAAGGTAGAGATTATAAAAAGGATAGGATAAGGTAACAACAAAATAATAAAGTATATGCTTGTATATAGAAACAATTTGATGAGATACTCTAACGAAGTTAAACATAATGAAGGAATGTAATCATAATACTATGAATGACTATATCATCATTATAATATGCACGCAATGAATATTAAAATACTGATTAAGGGTGCATAAGACTGTTCTGGCTGATTGTATTCTAGAATTAATAGTTATGTGTCTTGATACTATTGTGAAAGACAGTTAGCCTATATGGGTGAACTTGACCATTATAAAAAGTATTTGAATGAAGTACTATTGTAAGGTTGAACACTAAATTGATAGGTAGATTCTGCGTTTTAAAGTAGAGCAAATTATTCTAACTTAATTCCATTTCCTGTAATACCACGTCTTAAATTGATGGGAGATGAAAAATCTAGTTACGAGATGAATTTCTGAATTCCAATAAACACAAGTGTGTTTTTGTTATTATTGGTAATGTTAATGTTGATAAAATTCTATGTCATATTGGCTGTAAGAGTAATTTAATTTTATGCAGCTGAATAACTAGCTTCTGTGTAATTGACGATTGTAATAAAACGAAGCAAATAAGAAATTTCAGGATCTGCAGTAGTATTTGTAATTTTCTTAGCAAGTTATTAAATAGCGGTTGTATCATTAGCTAATTTATTAATGAATTAATATGTCTTCGCTATTACATCTATGTTCTGTGAAGTTAGGTAATTATTTAAATAGAAATAATAGTTGATATTCGAATCGGATTCAACCAAGGTTGTGTTTACTATTCCCTCATAGGATTCATTTAAACTAAGAACATCAGACCATGATTTCTTATTGTAATACAGCAGATTAGGATTACAGATTTGACATTGTACATCTGTAACATGATGGATGTTGAATAGTAGCAATTCTTTAATACTGCACATGAGATTGTTCACCTGGTTAATAGAAATTTACCTTGAAAATTGCAGAATGACGAGAGAATGATTTCTAGTTATTATATTATTGGATTTGGATAAATCGTGAGTTTTTATACTAGAAATCTTTCCGTATTGATTTTTGCAAGCAATTTATATTTGCATATCTTGTTCTACTTTATTTAGCTTGATGACTTTATTTGAGTTCTTCAGAATACTAGACATGTAATTGACTTTGTCCTCTCCTATGATTCCATATAATATTTATCTGGAGTACAAAGAAGATTGATAAGTAGGTTCCACAGTACTTTCTTTTTGTTTATAATACTATAGATATTAATTCAATGGATTTAGATATTGATACAATCTAAACTTGTATAAATTGACATCGATGGAGTAATCTGCAATAACCATTTGTCTGTTCTTCTAGATATTGAATGTGTTAGTTAGAGTACTCTTTGGACATATCGACCACAATAGTTAACCATCCATCGTACAATTGACTGTAATTTAGGTAGAATTAGCATCGATACTAGAATTAACCACTAACTCCTCGGCATTGCTATTTTTTATAACCAATAAGGAAATGGTATCAATTGAGAAAACGTTGGCTTCTTATCCTGTTAATTAGAATGTCACACTGATTTCATCCCCAATAGATCCTTTACTGGATGCTTCCAATTGCATATAATAATTTAATTGTTCTCGTGGATTGCCAGAATAGAATTGTTGGAGCTATTTGATACTCATTATAATAGGTGCAGGAGTGATGATGGGATCCTTCACTATGGGTTGGATGTAAAGTTCCGAGGTTGGAATACAGGTTGTTTGGAAATAGATTGGTTATGATTTTCCCTCTAAGGGTATTTTGTCACTTGAGATGCTGACAAATATATGACACTACTTTTGAGTGTCAATTTATAGTGCAATTGTAGGTATGATGGAATAATAATCTATGATTGAGTAACCTTCAACACTGATGGTCTCCTTTTTCGTGGTTCTCTTATCAGTAATCTCTCTGTCGAAATTCAGATAATAAATACCACTCCCGATGTCTTGCTTGGAAGATATATGGAAATAGTATCCATAGTCCCCTATTTCTATAGTCATTGTATTGGTGAGTAACTTAGTGATTTAATAGGTCTCTTTAGTGGCATCTTCTTCCAAATTTGGATCTACCAATTGTATATAATTGATCCCCAAATTATTATATTTATAAATATTAGATACTACTTCATTTGTACCGAAAATATTTATAATATTCTAAGTAATACTTATATTGACTTGTCTATCAAATTAGGTTTACTGAGTGTTCAAACCCAGAAACAAATAAATATCTTACTCAACAACTCCTTTGTATATAGTGAAAGTGGGGTATTGAGTCTGTCCAATCAATGGAATCAACTTTTCATATGAATTTTCCTGCTTATTGTAGATGTACCACTAGAATTGCTATTGATTTTCTTGTTATTTGAAAACTAATGGATTTGGCAAATACTAAATGCAAGGTGGAGCAATGTAGTTGATCGTTTGCATATTCAAATCTGTAATAAAGAATTGCACTTCAAATGGGAAATATTACTGTAGGTTATTCAAAGACACCAAGTCAGGAGTGATCAATGATCGAATTTCCAATTGATATTATTGCTATTGCCTTGAATTAACTGGATCATAGATCAGATTGATTTTGATTAGTTCTTCTCGCATAAATATGCAAGAACTGGTAAAATTAACTTTACTATTATCATTCAGTCGGTACAATCTACATTCAATTGTTAAATTGCTCACTCTTTTTTAAGGGACTCTGAACTCCTCTCCCAATTATATTACAATACATTTATCGAAGTTTATCGTTCTGATTGGAGCAGTAAAGTTCACTTTTAAATAGACTTTATTGATTCTTGAAATATACTAAGAAAACTAGACACTGGCATATGGCAACAACCCTGGCAGAGTAGTTTATATAGGTATATCTATGATATAGGATTGCTCTGAAAAAACATCCTTGTTGTTTGCCAATAACGATCCAATCCAAATCTTGCCAAATCCATCTAAGGATTTTGGTTAAATGATTGGTCCGATGCTTATATTGTACAATTTGTTTGGATTCATGCGAGAATAGAATTATTATTATGGCAATAAGATAATCCTTCTTTTGTTCATGGTGCAATCTACATTGACTTCGTTGATTGAACAAAAGAGATGCTGAGGTCTAACTACTTACCCTGCTGATAATTCTATGTAGATTTGATCACCATAAGTCATGTTGGTTCTAGATGGTGTGAATTGGAATTAATAATAGGCTCCAACACCTGCCACGTTAAGCAGCTTAACCAATTTAGGAATTGTTGTGTAGGTTTTCTCAGAAATAAAGTTTAATGTGCTGTATTCGATGTTTGCAGATTGCAATCCTGTATATTTGTTATCAATAGAGGCATCATAATATGCCCATATCAATATCAGATCCTCAGTGTTAGTGCCATCTGGATTTCTGATATTAGTGCATTTAATTTGGTACAATTACACTGAAGAATAGTATAAGGTTTTCAATTCAAACACTAATTATTTATTAGAGGAATCATATTTTAATGAGTTCCAATGATGATTCAATGATCCATCATCATTATAAAACAAGCATCTGTGATTTTAGGCAGACAACAATTACAAATTTGTGGATGCCATAAATCCTAATTGTAATTGCATACATTGGTGAAATTATAGATTGACTCTGTTATTGATCTAAAACCTCATCTGCATTCCTGATTTACTATTCTAATATTGATTTTCTAATTTGAAATCAAGCAACAATAGATTTTTCAACAACGTCTGATCAGAAAAACTTAAAGCCCCATCAGTTGCACATTGCTCTACTATATTTGTGTCAGTATTGATAGTCAATCTAGCTTAAAAGGACTACACATCTGTATCCAATCCAGAATGAGAAACATAAAATACTATCTACATAGAATCCTGTATTAAGTAATAATCGCTATTGTCATCAGTGTCAATGATTTAAGACTTAAATTTTATGATATTTCCACTACTTATAACACTGCATGTGATAAAGAGATTTCTATTGAAATAATTACAAAATGAATCTATGCTCAACCCATTTGGTAATGCACTTAATTCCAAAATCACATAGAACACTTAATTCAAAGTAAATTTATAATTTAATGTTGTTTTAAATGTGATGCTCTACTCTTACACTTTACTATTTGGATAGATGGGTACCCAATCGGTAACTGTGCAACTAGTAATGAATGCATCATTCTAAGTTAATTATATCTCATTCTAAAAGGCAACCATATTGCCAACATTGTTAGAAAAAGCATATTTAAAATCAGATAATACTGTTCCACCTCCCCATTTGGTAGGTACAATAAAGGATCCTGTAAGTGATCCAGATGCTTCAATATAAGCAATTTGGTCATAGGGACAAAATATGATGTCTTAGGCCTTTATGCACTTACCTCCTGACCAAGTAGTGGGACTGAAATTCAAGGCATTTGACATTAAAAACCCACTTCCCCAAAGATGTAAACTATTTGCACTTACTAAATTACTGGGATCAGTATGTGATGTTTAAATGGTTAGATCTATGGTACTGCCTGGTTTAATTTTTGTGACATCACTAATTTTATAGCTGGCAACCACATTGCCACCAGCTAATAAAGAGTTCCAATCATTGTTGTTATCCCAATTGCTTGATGGAAACTATATTCCAAAACTTTTGTAGTATGTACTACCAGTAGCCATATTATTAATAAACCATGCTCCTCCAAATATTCTTTCAGCATATACCACATCAAATCCATTAGTGTCTGCATTTAATTGCAATGAACCTACAACAATAGATTCTGGTTTGATTCCATAATTACGTAATCCAACAATCAAATCAAAGGCTGTTGATCCTGAAAAATCTTTAAGCAAAATCATTCTTTGATTGCTGTATATATCAGAATAAGTATGTGTTGTACCAGTTCCTCTGTGACCATACCAAATACAATTATCAATTGAACATAACTTCTTACTTGTTGTAGACGTGCCCAGATCATCATTCTCTTCTTGTAATTACATTGAATCAACCAACACAGTTTCCACAGATCCATCTATAAATATACCAACATGTTCATTTGATTATGTAACCTATCCCAACAATCGTAGAAATGTTGGAATCTTTTCGCCCTTATTTTATCCAGTTATTGTACCAGCTCCTGATCCAGCTGTGATGTAATTGACATATGAGGCAGATAAAGTTTTAGAGTCTGTCCCTATGACATAACCATGAATTAACTATTAACTGACTAGAGTAGCCATTGATTCTGAAGAGCCAGTTGGAGCCTAGTAAAATGCTACTATGAAGTCTAACAAAGTTTCCGATGGGTATAAGGATGGATACTTTTATATTTCAGCAATAAAACCAAATCCCTTGCCTCCATTCAGCAGTTGGGTGCATGAGTTGTAATTCTTGGAGCATTTCATTGATAAATACACATCATTATCATTATATTATTTTAATGATGAAGTACACTATGTACATGCACTCGATTATTCTAATGAGATTGTGGCTTCGTCATATTTAATGTTTTTTTTATTGAATAGCACTTTCATAAATAATTCTGGTTATTGACCTGCACTGCAATAGGAATATGAAGATGAACACATTTAATTAGGTAACACTTTAAGATAGAAAATGATTCTCTGTGATCCAACCTTCAAACCAACAGTTCTTGTGTTGGCAATAGAATATGCAGTGGCAAATGTTGCTGTGCTATCTCCAAAAGCTACAAAATTATACCCCCAATTTGTGAGACCTTAGGCAGCGGGATCAACAAATTCCTAACTTGTTTGCACTTTGAGGTTTTTACCAGTTGGTCCAGCTAATACGTAGGTTTTATAAGGTTTTGTATCTCTTGTAACTGATTTTATTGTTACTCTTGCAAAATTAGTTTATGTGGAAGTTGCGGTGGAAGTGAATGCACATTTGAATGTCACAAAATAATTGAAATTGTCTTTTAGAGAAGTAACGTGTTTGCAGTAGATTTGTTATTCAGTTTTCCTGAAATAGCATTTTACACTTGAACCTAAATTATGAGCTATTGATGCTTGTAAGACAGCATCTGCATCTCCTGTGGTAATAGTTATTAATTGCTCTGAGGCAGGAGTAGGAGAAGTCAGTGAAAATTAAACCTTCACACTGTTGAAAGGATAGCCCACAGAACCAGTGGCTGGTTTGTACAGAGTGATCAATTGATCATCCATAGGAACACCCCAAAGTAAAAAGATATCGACAGTCAACGACAATTTGGTTAGCTTAATTTGATCTTTCTTGATACCATATTCAAGATAACCATTTCCAACTGTGGAGTAGACTGTAACTGGAGTAGATTGAGTGGCACTGAATAATATTTTACTGTTTTCAATTTTTGTAGTAATAGTAGATGAGAGTTTTTCCTTTGCGAGATCAATACTGCATTGAATACTCATTATGTTTGATGATGTTATGGTACAAGAACAACCACTAGAGATTTCACATTCAGCTATTTCATCCATCATCAAGAATTAATAGTTGGAGTCTATTTCAATGATGAATTAGGACTTTTAACCAATAGAAACAGTTGGTGTAATTGTAATAGTAACAAGTTAAGACAGGCCTATTTTGGCTGGTTCATAAGAGAGATCCAATTTTAAGGATTAAGGGGGCAAGGCTTGGAGTGCCATTTAAGCGAATGCTGGGTTTTCATCATAAACTATAGATTAGGAATGCATGGAGGAGACACTCCAGAATTTAACTGGATTTTTATAACCTGGTGTTTGAACACTGGGATTGTTCGAGTAGATTATAATGACATACCAAGTTTTGGGTCTGATAATTTGATTAAAAGTGAAATAATAGATGTTATCGGTGTTTCCTTGACTCTATGCATCTGCCAGATCCTCAAAATTGATGGTATTATCTTCTCCTAATTAACCCAGATCCCAGTCTCCAAATTACCCATCAGATGAAGTCGTTATAGTTTATAGTTTGGCTTGGATGGAACCAATGTTGAGTGGGAAGGGGAATTGAATTTTGAGATACTCGTCCGCATCTAATCCATTCTCAAGAGCAAATTGCAGTCGAAATTGCAAAGCCTTAGTAGCAATTGGGTTGGTAATGGTGAGACCACCAGAGTAAATGTGTCCGGCTTGGACATAAAAAAGTAGCAAAATAATTATCATTTATAATAATATGCTTCAATTATTGTGAGAGTCATGCAATATATTTAACAACTTGATCTCTCTCGTTACATTCCTGGGGGAGAGGCTCTCAAAACGCCTTGTAACTAGAATAAGCCAGATAAAGTGAAACTATGGGAATTGGGCAAATTAAGATGCGTATCATATTGTTTCCAGTTCACCGGAAGGATGGCACGCGAACAAAGATTCAACATGTTCTGCACCTTTTTCAGATCCAAGTTACATGTACTTCATTCTAAACTAGCTTCTGATATGCATTGTCGTAACTTCATCAAAGAAATGCTTGACACTACAATCTCCATTTTTCTACTGACTGTCAGATACGAGTGTGGCGATGAACTCTATTAAGAAATGAGGAGATACTTCAGAATCCTAATTGATGCCATCGATCATCTAGTTACTCATGACTCTGTTGAACAAGTCACAGAAATCCTCACTTCAGAGGACTTCCACAAAATTATATTCTATCTCAAACTGCTCAACCTGATGCGGAACATAAAACAACGCAAGAAATTCTTAGAACATTACCCTCATGCTGCTATCAAAGCCATCCAACAAAGTTATCTCTACAATGTCATCATAAATGGTCCAGTCAAACATATCAAGTATCGTTTTGCTGTTGCCAACCAAGATTATAACAAATATGGATTGCAATTCAACATTCCAAGTAGCAACAAACTTGTTAGCAAATAAAGAGTAGCAGAAATCTGTTGGCAAACCTTGTATGATCTCAACATTGCTGCTGTTATCAAGGAGGGAATATGGGATGATTTAAAATTGTATTTATGATATCTATATCAACAATAACCTACACGATCTCTTGGAATGATCTTCAATTCTGAACCATGTTTCAAAAACACATTGCCTGATGTCTATTGAAGTGACACTCCAGTCCCTGCATTTGTTATTATGGCACTTGTCGCTGGATTCACTTTAAACTATTCTTTATTATGTGATTCCAATACCTCTTCAGCCACATATTTGACAACCGCACTAAATGGAGCTTCTTATGGCACTCTATTGTCATTAACATTTATAAATACGATACTGTCCTGAAGGCCAAATTTGGGTCTGAAGTATTTACTATCTTGAAAGTCACCTTATTTTACATATAATTTATATTAATGCAACACGACTCTGAAAGCGAATAATAATATTTCAACGATGCTGATGAATACTTTCTCAATCTACCACAAAAAAGTTGGGAATTCAAACGAGTCAGAGTGCCAAATGTCCTCCCTGGAGCCAAAGATATCTACGTCAAAAAGTGGGTCAAAGTCAATAATCTTTATGATACCAAATCATATAAACCAAGAATCAATTATTAAGCCTCAATCAATAGGACACATCAAGAATTGCAAAGACTTCTAGCCAACAGCACTACTAACCCTCAAGAATTGAGTTCATTATTACAAAAAATGACTCAAATGAAAAAGGTATCACGCCCCTCACTTTATTAGTAGGCTGTAGCTTAATAACCTAAAATAAAAAAAGTTGCCGCTCCCAAATTTTATGTGTGTCCTGTAACCACATGCAAAAAGACATTCTTTGACAATTCTAAACTCAGAAGACATCAATTGGTACACACTGGAGAGAAACCTTTCAAATGCGAATTGTGTTCAAAAGGTTTCTCCTTAGATTTCAATCTCAAAACTCATATGCGTACCCACACTGGAGAAAAACCCTATGTCTGCAAATATCCCGATTGCCAAAAGCGATTTAGTCAGTCCAGCAATCTCACAGCTCATTTGAAAAATCACCAGAATCCTGATTATGCTGGTACTCATTCGTATAGACTATATACTTAGCATCAGAGAGTGAAGAAGTTATAGAGGAACTTGAAGATGAAATTGCCGAAGAGGATGTTGATTAATGAAATTTTATAATAATTAGTTGGTAAAATTATTTTATCATTAATAATGGATACTAAGGCATACTCAGAAATCTCTGAGAAGGCATTGATTACTGAGTTGTATAGAAGATATCGTTGTCAAGAGGAAGGATTGAAGAAACGTATTGTATTGCTGGGGATGCCTGGAGCAGGTGAGTATAGAGTTTTATATTTATAGGAAAGGGTACGCATTCAGCAAAAATGCTGGCCCGTTTTTGTATGTGCCATCTATCGACAGGAGACCTTCTTAGAGAAGAAGTCAGGTCTGGTAGTGATTTTGGAAAGCGTCTCAAGGGTATTATGGATAGAGGTGAGTTAATTGAGGATGAAGTTATGTGTAATTTAATCAAGTACCAGTTAGCCAAGTATTTATTCACCTTTATTTAGGCCTGCATGTGCAAATGGAGCTATTTTGGATGGCTTCCCAAGAACTATACCTCAAGCACAGAAATTAGATGAAATTTTAAAATAGAGTGGATAATAGATTGATCAAGCTATCTTCATGAACGTCAGAGAAGATACTGTTATCGATCGTTTGGGAGGTAGATGGACCCATCTAGCTTCTGGAAGAACATACAACTACAAGTTCAATCCTCCAAAATAATACGGAAAAGACGATATTACAGGAGAGGATTTAATACAGAGAGAAGACGATAAAGAGAGTACTATCAGAAACAGATTAAGAGTGTATTAGAGCAAAACATCTCCAATTGTCGACTATTACAGATAGTACACATTTGATATTTATCATTATAGGAGGAGTATTTTGCATGAGATCAATGCAGAAAGATAAGTGGATGAAATTTGGAGAGAAATCAAGAACATTGTTAAATAGAAATGATTAGTGTATTTTAAATCTTAAATATAATTGAATTAAAGCAAATCTTATATATTATTTTCTAATAATACGTACTTTCATTTTATATTTACTTTGTGTTTAATAAAAATAATATAATAATGCTGATATTATTAATTATTACTGTAACAACTGGACGGCTAATTACAAATCTAAATAAGGGATGGAAATTCAGAAGGTCTGATAATAACTCTTGGTATCCTGCGAATGTTCCATCCACTGTTCATATGGACTTAATTGACAACAAATTAATTGATGATCCTTACTATGGTAATGTGTTTTATTGATAAATGCAGAGGACAATTTGTTGAGCATGTATGAGTTGGAATTGGAGGATTGGGAATATAAGTTGGAATTTACGAATAAGGAATTTGATTATGACATTAATGAATTGGTATTTGAAGGGTTAGACACTCATGCTGATGTGTATCTAAATGATATCCAAGTATATATATGCGGAGTAATAGGAAGATATTAAAAGCCAATAATCAACACAGAACCTGGAGAGTGATGATCTAAAACTTATAGGATTAAAACACTCTAAGAATATACTTTCATTCTGCTGCCACTCATGATCTAATGAAGTAGTTATAAGATAGTCCACTCAACTTGCCTTACAATTATACATATTCGAGGAAGGCAGCCTATCATTATGGATGGGATTGGGGACCAAGAATAGTAACATGTGGCATATGGAAAGATGTTTATCTAGACCAATATGATTATGGAAGGATTGTGAGCATGCACGCTAAAGCACTTAAAATATATGAGAGAAGTGTTGTTGTTGAAATTAATATCGAAACTTATTTAATAAATGTAGGTACTTACTCTATCGAAGTACAATTCAAGGGGTTGGATGAAATTACAATCAACAATCAATACCCTTTAAATATTGTGAACACCAAATTCTTATATAATATGTCCGATATAGAATTGTGGTGGCCAATAGGCTAAGGCTAACAAAAATTGTACTAATTGTAGGCATATTTGATTAAAAATGAATCATACGTGGATTATCTGAAAATTACAACAGGCTTTCGAGTTGCGCAGTGGATTCAAGAAAAGGATGGAGACAAGACTTAGTCCTTTAAATTTAGAATCAATGGAAGAGTATATAATCTTAATATTAAAAAAAGGATGTGTATTTGAAGGGTGCCAATTACATACCACCAGAAATGTTTTTGCCTCGAGCCTTGAAGAATCCATCTATTTATGAGAGAATATTCTAAGATTCAATTGCTGCCGGTTATAATGGATTGAGATTTTGGGGGGGAGGATAGTTTGAATATGACATCTTTTATGAACTTGCTGATAAATATGGGATTATCATTTGGCATGATCTTATGTTTGCTTGTGCCATGTACCCAGGAACTGATGATTTTATTGCCAACGTCTAGGCAGAATTAAAAGACAATGTCAAAAGACTTAGAATTCATCCTTCTATTGTGCTGTGGGGTGGAAACAATGAAGTAGAAATAGGATGGAAAGAATGGGGTTGGAAGAGGAATAGAGTTGAATAAGAGGTTTCGATGCTTCAACAATGGTACAATATATTGTTCTTGTAAGCTATTCCAAATGTTCTCACTGAATTACATCCAGAAATGTATATGACTGTTTATATTCTAGATATTATTGGCCTACATCTCCATCCACTTCTGTTAATGATGTTGAGCAATTAGGATCCGGAGACATTCATTATTGGGGAGTATGGGCAGCCAAGCATTAAATTGAGAATTATACTAAATTCATAGGCAGATTCAATAGTGAGTATGGCATGTAAGCCATGATTGATGTCAATAATTTTAAGAAGGCTGTCCCCAAACAGTATGACTTGAACTTCGATTCCCCAGTATTTCAGATACATGAAAGACATGTAAGAGGGATTCCCTTAATCAAAGAATACTTAAAAAACTATACTAATTATAATAGTTATGCTCATTCCTTTTTGCAATTAACCTATTTCTCCTAAATTATCCAACATTTATCTTTGCAAACTGCCATCACATCATTAAGATCTGCTAAACCCTACAATATGGGTACCTTTTATTGGCAAATTAATGATGTGTGGCCAGTAATCTCTTGGGCTTCTGTGGATTATTATGGTTGCTGGAAAGCAGGACATTACGCTGCAAAGAAGTTTCACTCAGACCCAGCTCTTACAGCTATTTAAAATGAAGATTAGATTCAAGTCTATTTAATAAATGATAATGTTGTTAATTACTCTGGAAATGTGACTTTAGAGTTGAGACAATATAATGGTTTTATTGTTAAGTCATGGGAATATAAGTTTTAAGAGATCTCTTAAAATGCCTCGAAGAGACTATTGAATTATTATATTCAAAATTACAACTAAACATACAGATCCTTATATTTGTAGATGAAGTAAATTCAAACAAAATAATAGTTTTTATTGCGATCAAAAAAACTGTGATTATCGTGGAGTGTACAATTTTGGCAGACCTAAAGAATGGCAGCTCTAGAAACCCGACATTTCTTATACTCAATAAGGTAATACAATTACTTTTATATCTAAATCATTGGCTAAATATGTTTATGTATTTAGTAACTCGGATTGCATCAATCTCTCCGATAATTTCTTTGATTTATCCCCTGATATTCCTTATATGATCAATATGAAGGAATCCAAAAAGTTTAGTTTCTTCAGTTATTATGATGTATTGGTAACTGCAATCAATAGTGACCTTCAATTATTGAGTGAAGGAATGGCAGCACTTATGTTGTATATGATTTTATGATTATCCTTAGATCTGAAAGTGATTGAGACATTCTTCTATATTAAATATAAAAAAGATTGATATCTTAATTAATTGGTTTGTAACTTTTCATTTGAGTGTTTTCTAAGTAAATATTCTAACTTTTACAATGGATGACCAAAAGAATCTTTATTAAATTATTTTATCTAAAACTTATTTTATTCTTAATAATGGATTCTCTCAATAGTAAAGATGATAAGTTTACAACCATGACTGACAGTGCTTAATTGAAATCATTTATCTTAAATAAAAATATCAATATCAAAGAAAAGTCTAAATTTGTGAAGATTATTCCTCAAAATTTACTTAAAATCTCATCAATTCATCAACTTAAAAAATAATTAACGCTGACTTTACCAACTGATAGATCAAGCAATTTGTCTAGGGAAAACGAATAATTTAATGATAAGTTTTTGGTAGAGAATATAGAAAAAAAATAGTAATAACTTAAGCATAAGACCTCTCGATTTAAAAATCTTTTAAATGGGAGAAGAATTAAAACATCTGGAGATCATTTTTAGGATTATAAAGATGAATATAAAAAGGTTGTGGAAGCTGGTTATAATGAAATAGAAGAGAATTTCCAATTGTAAATTATTATAAATACCTATATATTAGTTGCTAAGCTTCCTTGCATGAATAAAGATAAAATTTAATGAATGCTGAAATAGAGTTACAAGAAAACCAAAAAGAACTAGAGTTGCTTTAAGATCAAATTAGTACCTTAAAAGAAGCAATTTTTTTAACTAAAGGTTAAAGTAAAAAGTCATTGAATGACATTTTGTTTAGAAATCGATTAAGATAAAACAAGGAAAGAAAATTGACTTAAGAATTATTAGAATTTGTCAATCATCTTTCTATTTAATATGATTATCACATTTCTTCTTTGAAGGAATATTTATAAAGTTTCAAAACAGAATTGAGCGAAATATTAATTGAAAATGAATACACAGAGAAATCTTGATTTATTTGAAATCTTTATTTTTTCAATGATTAAAATAAGATTTATGTAAGCAATAATAATTGCTTCAATTTCTATTTCATATTTTATTTTTTCAGTATCACCAAATGTTTAGTTTCTTCATATAACCAATATATTAATTTGGTTTATAGAATGATAAAAACTTAGAATAGAATACAATTATAATTTCTATATGATCAAGCAACGAATTATTAGACTTCGTCATCATTAGTATACTAGGCTACAACGACAGAACTTTTAGATTTCTTTAATCTTTGAAGACTCCTCTTTGCATTCTTTTGAATTAAAACAGCAGCCATATATTGACCACTGTCAAATTCAGTTTCTAAATTAGAAACAGGAGAAAAGGCTTTTTCAATCAATGGCTGAAGTTTTATCTTAATAATGTCTTTGGAGATTTCAAAACTAAGAAATTAAATTAATTTTTACTTCGATATAAATCCACTTGATTCTAAGAAATCTTGAGCTGCACAAATTAGTGCTTGATAGTAAAAATACATATTCTTGCCATTCAAATTATATACAGGTAAGTTCAATTAAGCCATGCGAATTCTCTATTGGGCTGCTGAATATTTCAATTTGGACCACTAAAATATAAATGAACACAATTACTCCTAATGGTTGTGGTAAGGCAATCATAAATTACGTGAAATATTTACATTGCATAAAGCCAGTAGCATTCTTGTCATAATCCTTCCACTATTGCTGAAAGTTCTCAACATCTATCTTTTTTATAGGTGCATTTTCTTCCTTACTTGTATTTTAGAATCCCTATTATTTGATAATATGAAATCTTACTTCAATAATGATAGCAACAAATAAGTTCAACATAATCAAAGAAACTATGATCATAAATATAATCATCAATAATATTCCACCAATATTTCCACATCCCATAAACCCATATTCAGCATAATTAGCATAATCATTAAAATCAAAACAAATATCATTTGGCTATGCAGTTCTAGCCGTATCCATCATTACTAAATTCCAATCTTCTCCAGTTGAACATTTAAATAATGTAAATAAACTAACTCCAAAAGAACTGAAATTAGAATTTTATGTAACTCCTTCACCTCGTTTTACATATGGGAATAAATTCATAAAAACAACAGCAAATATAAATAGCATTATTCCTAACAGACCACCAACACTCACCAATCCAGGTAAAGTTACCAAGAATGTGCCAAATATAATTCTTAGATTCTTAGCACTCTTAATAAGTCTTAACACTCTGAAAATTCTGAATGTTCTTAAAATTGATGTGGCTGTACCAACATTACTCAAGACATTACTTTACTCCAATATTACACCTAGGATTGTGAGAAGCACAACTGTGAAATCGAAAACATTCCAGCCTGATGTGAAATAAAATTTTCTATAAACTATTAATTTCAGTATTGCCTCTACTGAAAAAATAGCCAAAAATATCCAATTCAAAATTTAAATTGCATCTGTTAATTCCTAGGGAGACCTTAAATATTAGATCATCATAACACCAGTGTTCAAAATTATAACACCCAAAATAAATATCTCAAATTTATTAGAAGATATGATATCATTGAGTTAACGAACAGTTTTGTGTTTTGAGATTTTGAATTTCTCTATTGGAACACTTGAATAAATCTTTTGTTATATTTCATACCATTCTAATTCCTACTTACTTAAATCCCTCATCTAGCTTAACCTATCCTTCTCACTCTAAAAAGCTTCAACTATAACTCCTGCAAATAAATTAATTATAAAGAATGAACCAACAATGATAAAAAATACAAAATAAAATGCCCATGCATATGCATTATTTTCCTTTGGATTAAGATCAATGCCTCTACTATCAATTCCATCAGACATCAAATTGATCCATCCTTCAGTTGTTGATATTACAAATAAAGTAATCATGGCATTCAATACATTATCAAAATTGAAATTTTTATTCGACCAAGATCCCCCCTTATCAAAGCATTCTAATTTATCATTAACCTCTTCTAAGTCACAATGGTAATAAGCCCCTTTGAATTAAGTTACTCCAAATATTCCAAACAATAAAAAGAAAATTAAACAAACCAAAGCAATATTCATCATCTAAGATAAACTGTTGAATAAAGCATTGATAGACATTTTTAAATCCTCATTTCTAACTATCAATCGCAAAGGTCTTAATACTCTAATCACTCTTAAAATCTTGATCTTTGAAAATGTTTATGCTTGACTTTCATCGAAGGCTAAAGATGAAAAAATGATAACAACAAGATCTAATATATTACCTGGAGATCTAATATAACTATCTGGTCCATTAAATAGGAATCCTTTGCTAACTATTTTTAGTGCAGCTTCACAGATGAACAAGGCTGTGATTATTTCATCAATTACATTCAGAGTTATATTATTGGATGACGAGAGTGGATCATCCAATGCTAATAAAATACTTGAGATTATGATAATAGTTAAGATAAAGAATTCGAAATATTTATGATTAATTAACTTGCTAACTCTAATTCTAATTTTATTCTAAGGCGGAAATATAAACAAGGATACTCCTTCTAGCTAAGATTAATTCATGGTACTATTAAAAACTATTGCAGATGCCATGAATTATGATGATAGATTCTTGAATCTTGTAGCCGAATTGTTGTTTGTTTATTAATTAGATGCAGACTTAATCACTTAAAAGGATTGTTAAACCTACTCCGGAGACACTTAATTTACTTTTATACTTTAATGATTTTCTGCCATTGATTAATCATGTCTGCTTGATTAAAGATTATTATTTTCTTCAAGAGATTAACTCTATTCTACATTAGCCTCATGAAAATTATTAATCAAAATAGCAATGAATAACTTCAACAGAATGAAGTTTCCAAAGATAATTACTACTACAAAATAAATAACTGGATATATAGATTCTAAGTCATACATAAAAGTATAGGCAATTGTATTCCAAGACTCATTGGTTAGCAACATAAATACTACCAACATTGAAGTCAAATAATTATTAAAGTTATATCTATATGGTGTCTTGTATGCAAATAATTCCATTCCCAAAAGAGCTGCAACTGACATAAATAACAATAATAGAATAATAAAATAAGCAATACCCCCTATTGTTGCTGCAATAGCTGACAGTAATTTCCTAAAACTGCTCCATGTACGAGCTAATTTAAATAATCTAAATAATCTTAATGTTCTAAATGCCTAGATGGCTGAGAAACTCCCTCCACTTGAATTATTGCCTGCACTACTAAGTATCCATTCAATCAATGATAGAATGACTATCACAGCATCAAAGATATTCATTGAATCCTTCAAATAATTGGTATCAAAAGCTATTAGTTTCAAAGTCATTTCAATTGTGAAAATTACTGTGAATACCTAGTTTGCTATATCCAAAATGTCACTTTCAGTTTTAGTAATAGGATATCTATCTAAAGACAAAGTAATTGTATTTAAAATAATAATAGAAGTGATAAAAGCCAAAAAATACTTACTTTCTATGATGACGATTAAAATTAATTGAAATTACCTGAAATTAGACTATTTTAATTTCAAACTTCTTTTTTTTGATTATCTGCGTGATTGTTAAACTTATTCAAGAGTGTTGCTCTTGGAAATTTGTTATAACTATTACTATTCCCCATTGTTTTAATCATCTGGATTTTTAATATGATTTAAGTCATTCATATTTTATGGTATTTGTTCGTTTATTTATTATTCCTGCTCTTATTGCTGATGTTATGTCTAATTTCCATTTACAACATTGCTGGTCAAAGCATTTGGATCCTATTACTGTTCTCCTTCCTCCTCATTCTATTCCAACTCTTCTTCTTCATTATCCTCTTATTGTTGAGATGAAGCTGATGCCTGTGAATTCTTAATACTTGATCTCATTTAAGCAGCGGTGAAACTTTCATTGATGACAGCCAAAATTAAGTTAACTACAAAAAAGGATCCCAAAAATATTAGCAATAAGAAATAAATGTAAACTATGGCTGTTGATAATGCTTCTTAGTAAATAAAAATTAACTTGGTCCAACCTTCTGTTGTTAAAGCTTAAAATATAGTGAAAGTAGCTGAAATAATATTATTGAAGTTTGTATATCCATAATTAAAGGTTTCATCATCTGATTCCTACTATGGTAGATTATAAGTATTTGGATTCCCACAATATGTTCCGTCAGGACAGTTTGAGGAATCCTAACATAATTTCGAGTAGTTTGAGGCCACCCAAACATTTCCCACAGGATATTCTGTCATTCTACATCTATTTTCTAATGCACCCATAAATATTTGCAATCCTAATATTCCAAAGAGGATTATGATAAATAGCAAAAAAATAACTACATTAACCAAAGCAGGCAAAGAATCTAATAATGTTATTATTAGAACTTTCATCTCCTTCAATGAGTTTATCGATCTTAATGGTCTCATTATTCTGATGATTCGAATTGCCGATACTCTGGCAGAAATGAAAAGTGATATGATTCCTGTTATTACTACAATAAAATCGATAAAGTTCCACCCATCTCTTAAGTATGTTTGTTTGTCTAGTAAAAACCCCATGGCTATCATTTTCAAAAGGAACTCTATTATAAAAATTGCTGTAAATATGTATTCGAAACTGTCTGTCCAACTATTTGGTGCTTCTGAATTTGTCTCTCTCCAACTGTAGTCTTATGTTGCCAATAAAATCGAATTCAGAAAAATGACGGTGATGATGAACCTTTCAAACCAGCTAATATGAAATTTATCTTATAATTACATCCACTCAATCATCCAAATTGCCCATAACCTAATTTTGTTCTCAGCATCGAATAAATTCAATGACTTTCTTGTATACTAAAGATAATAACCATCTACATACTGACAATAGTTTTCCATGCACACTAAATTCTACTAAATCGCCAGGATCATCCTTGCTTTGTGCAATCACCTAATTTTTATATCATTAACTTTTTACATGATTCACTAAACTTGATAGGTGATTGATTCTCTTTTAGTTCTATTAAGGCTAACTCTGCGTTGCGGCTTCATTTTGAACTTCTAGTTATGCTGAAATGTATTATACCTTAATCACTCATAATTTTATAATAAATGCTTGCAACTATTTATAATAGAACTCAACTAAAATTTTATAAACCAAATCAAAATCAGTTCTTTTGTAAATTTTGGAATAAATTACATCCAGTTTGAGTATTTAAACTAAAATTAAAAAGCCCACCTACTTAATTCTACTGGACTTGTTCTTTTGGTTATTGAGCAGACAGTGTATTACCAAATAAGGAAGTTCCCATGTTAGGTTATGGTAAAATTGAAATACTCTAAGCAGGTTAGGATTATTATAAAAACAAACTTTATTGATTATTATTAGTTTAATCTTGATTTATATTGGATGTTGTTTTTGAATTTTCTAATTATTCAGCATTATTATTATTTAACAAACTGTCAAATAATCCACCTTTTGAATTTGTTTAAACACTTAAGTTGATTCCAAATGTGAAGTTTGATGGGAATAAATTTTTGTTGACACTTGAGCCGTTTTAATTATCTTTATTTTATTAATCAAGACTGAGATCAGGAATTTAAATCATATTAGGAGGTTGAGTTTAACTTTGTTAAAATAAGGAGATTTGCTATTATTATCTTATTAATTATGGTTATTATAATTCTTAAGGTTAAGGTTAAGGCTATTATTACTATAATTATGATTATTAATTATCCACAACTTATAAGCCATTATTTGAAGTTTGTGTTTGAAGTTAGGGTATTTAATTTAATTAAAATTATATAACATCATTTGCATTATTTGCCTTTTATTTTTAAAATAATAGATTATTATTTTATTATGGTGATTATAATGTTTAAACTTTAGGAGATGGATACGCTGATTGCTAATATTCATTAGGTTTTTACTAAAACAATAACTTGCCAAAAATATTATTCTCTTATACCCCATTTAATTAATTTTGCTAATCTTTAGTCTAGCCATGAGTATTTTACACCTAAATTGGAAATTGCAATAAAACATTTTTATTCTCTGCTAAGCCTTAAGCATCTTAAATCTATTCAGCATGAGTAATAACACTTGTTATGCAATTATCAGATTCTTACTTAGAATCTTAGATTTCTGGTATTTCTTTTAAGTTCGAAGATTCAAATTATGTTATTTTTTTGTCAGAAACCTTATTGCTAGAATTTTGGAGAATTTATTTTGGGCTATCCAGAGGGAAAGAATCATCAATATTAATTTTTGAGTTTTTTCTAAGTCTCTTCGCTTCGTTTACATCTTGGTTCTAATTTGTAAAAGAGAATTCCTTGTTACTTTTATTTAGTTTGCTATCCCCTTCGTTATCAACAGGTAACATATCAAAGGGTTTTGTATTTTCAATATAAGTTTGCACTTGAAAATTTTCTTATTTTACTTTCTCTAAAATTGTTTTCCTTCTACGATAGGAAATAAGTTCAAAATCATCTGAACTTGAATCTGCATCCTCTGTATAAATTGGTTTTATTATTGCTTGTTTATCCTCGTTCACTTTTATTTTTTTGTATGGAGCCACATTCATAATGAGATAATCAGATTCTTAATCAATTAAGTTCTACAAGTAATTTTACCGCTATCTTTCTCTATATTTTTTTATTAACAAATAAACATTCCAACCAAAGAAACTAAACATAGTTGCTGTTAAGGCGAATTCCATTTATATAAATATAATAATAATTTAAAACATTTGATTGAAATACTAATAATCAATGGTATTCCGCTCTTCCCTACCTAATTACCCTCCTTCTATTCATATTTATTACCTAGACTTGTTGTTTCTTAAAAATACATCTGAATGGATAATCAAAATAATGTGATATATGCAGGATTCAAATTTGAATCCTTTTAGAACTCAAGTCCTTTAAAAATAACCTTTCTTTTATATATCAAATATTAATTTCATTAAAATTAACTTCCATCTTAGTATTTCTTTTAAAATTATAAAATTCATATTATTATAATTGTTTAAATTTCCATTTCTTCTTTAAATTTATAAATATAAAGTAAAATTTCTTGAAGTTGGTTCTAAAAATTTGATTTAATTTATTAGAAATATATGCATTCACCTTACTTAACTATAAAAATTAACTTTTTAATAATGAATAATATATAAAATAATTAAGATCTGTATTTGTAATTAAATTTATATTGAAATCAATATTAGCTTATTTAACTAATATCAAGTTAAACATTTAATTATCTACTTAATGAAGCAGAATTCAATTTATCTCTATTTGAAACTGAACTTAAATCATCATTCACTTTAGCTATTATATCTTCATTTTTGGAAAGATTTTCAAACAAATTTACTAAATCATCATCTAAAAAATCAAGTAATTAATGATCTGTATATGTTTTGTCCTTTTTATTTTTAAGTTTTTTATAACTAGAAAAAGCTTACTCCAATTTAAGTTTCATAGGCATTTCATCTTCAAGCATAAACAAATATTATTTTTATTATTCTAAAGCTTTCATTTTATCGGATACGTTTCTATTAAATAAATCAGCTGGAATGATAGGTTTTGGTATACAATTAAATATATTTAATTATTCATTTGAGAAAAGTACGTATTTTAGCTTATCAAATTCATAGATTTTACTTATTATTAATGCCACATCTAATTTGTGTTAACATTTTGTTTTTGCATATCTAATTTATTATTTAACTTTTCTTTTACAACAAAATGCGACTAACAATATATCAATTATTCCTAAATTTAATTGTTATTTGGATTGCGTTAAATATTTCTAAATTTCAGATTAATTTCTTCTATTTGATTGTAATTTATTTGGTTTCTTTCTTTTCTGATTTGAATTGACAACATCATATTATTATTATGAAGGTTCTTTGTAAATAGTTTAGCTTTTATTTATGTCACTTAATGATTCCTCTTTTATTTCATCTTTAAATAACTAAGACCTCTCATTGATTTCAAATCTAAATAGTTTATTTACAAGATGAACATTCATCAAAGTTATTACTATAGGAGTGACAAATATCTTAAATAATAGAACCGCAACATTCCAAAATCCTCCTATTTTTCCCAGAATTGCCTAAATTTTGATATAATTTCTTTAATAAGTAGATTATTTTCCATCCAAATAAATAAAATGGTTTATTAAAAATATATTATTGTAAGTAGAGGATTCCTCTCTCCATTAATTTTAAATTAAACCAAAAAATGAATTTCTATTTTCCTAAACAAATCCATCATCAGTAATTATTTGAACTTATTTTAGAGTTTAATAGATCGATCTTGATGTTTTTAAGGAGAATGAAGCTTATTGCATGCTTTGGATTTATGAAAAAGGCTATTCAAACTCATTCAATTATAATAAATTATCACTTAAATGTATACCATAATATCCTGCTCTTGCTAAATCCTGAATTTCTTCTAAAGGAGCACATTCATTATATGTAGTTGTGTTATGACATATTTGGACCTATATTTGAAGATATTAAAACTCCATAGCTTGCAATACACCCTATAACTTCTAAAATATTTATTTTTAATTTCTTACTGGTGGATTCGCTTGCCAAGCCTCATTCTGTAAGCATTGAACTGTTCCTAGTTAGAGTTTTCCAAAATACTCTTTTTAGCTATCAGTAACTGCATGATTAACCGTACAAGCTTCGATTGGATATTCTTAACATCTAAATAATGTAACAAGTCATACTATTAAATAACTTATGTTGTATTATCTGTTTTATTAAAAACCCTCTGTCTTTTACATGTATTTACAGAAATGTTAAAATACCTTTTGACATTTTTAAATGGTTAAGTGTTTAATCCTGATAAAGTTACTGCAATTGTAAAATTGTTATTCATCAATGGAATTTCCTAAGAATATTATATAAAACTTACACTACTTTCTAGAAGTTAAGAATCATATTGGATTACATTTGGGTCACTGCGATTAAATAGCTTTTCAAGTTCAATCCATAAATACAAAAGACAAAATCCAAAAATTATTAGTGTGGAAAAAGCTCCGAAGCTAGTAGAAAATCTTTCTTTTTTTAATATAGTAAACATAGGCAGTTATCCAAATATGTCACACTACATCTACAGAGCATTGAAAAAAGCTCTATACGAAGAAATATTTGACTTCTAATATTTTAGCATTATTACAAATTAATTGTTATTTATCAGAGCTTTAAAAAGAAATAAGTAACAATAAATGATTAAATTATTCAAAAGAACAATAATTATCTAAACTAGATAATCCATAATTAAGTTAAAAAAAAGATAAACTCTAAAAAATGGGCACGATTCACTCAATTTTCATTCTTTATAGTTTTTAAAGCGTATCTTATTAGAATTAAATCAATTTATTATGTATTATATAATTAAAAACGATATAAATAACAATAAAATCCTAAGACCCTTTTGATAAAATTGATTCATGTTTTAGAATACCTTAAATAATAATAAAAATAGTTTTGTCTGATAACGTATATATGAAAGTTAGATCTTTTTTAATCAACCCCACTATAGGAATCAATTCAGCAATAAACTACTAAGCTTAAAATAATTCTAACATATGAATAATATTTAATTATAGTTCAGAATTTGTGTATTTATTTACTCTAATATGTGATTACATTCTTTTTGTTACTAGTTAATAAGAAGTTTATTGTAATTGAGATAAATCTAATGTATTATAAATTTTTATAAAAAATTCTATAAATTTCTGGGTTCTGCATATAATTGATATTTGAGAAAAAATTACTTATGATATTTTTGTTTAAAAAAACCATAACATAAAGAATTTGAAGCTCATAAGAAGATAATGAAATATAGATTTATCGATGCCTAATCATGGAATATTTTATTTAGTATTGATTAATATTCAATAAATATATCAAAATTAAACTCTTCAGTTAGTATAACAATAAGGAATAGAGCAATTAAATTATGATGATAAAATTCTAAATGGACAATAAAAGACATTTTATTATTGTAAAAAAAAAATTAAGTGTTTTTAGGATTATATTTTCTACGCTGATTTTAATAATTGAACTTTATAAAGGTGGTAATCTCAAAGGGATGGCGATAGGGGTGAAAGTTGAGAAGGTGAAATAGTAATATTATGTTATAATTAATAATTATTTTGGGGGTATGTGACAAGATTTAATTGATTTAATTTGCTCTAGAAAAAGGAGAAAGAATTGTCATCGTAATCAATAATATCTTTTATTTATCTGTAAACACATGTCTGAAGAACACCCAGCAGTCGTTATTGATAATGGATCAGGTTAATGCAAAGCCGGTATTGCAGGAGATGATGCTCCAAGATGCTGCTTCCCCGCAGTTGTTGGAAGACCCAAACATCAAGGAATTATGGTTGGTATGGACAGCAAGGAAGCCTACGTCGGTGATGAGGCTTAAGCCAAGAGAGGTGTTTTGGCACTCAAGTACCCAATTGATAATGGTATTGTCAATAATTGGGATGGTATAGAATGTGTTTATAAATTTTGTAGATATGGAAAGAATCTGGCATCATGCATTCTTCAATGAATTGAGAGTCACACCAGAAGACCACCCAGCTCTTTTGACTGAGGCTCCAATGAATCCAAAGGCCAACAGAGAAAAGATGACATAAATCTTATTCGAAACATTCAACGTGCCATCATTCTACGTTGCTATTCAAGCTGTGCTCTCACTCTATGCTTCAGGAAGAACAACTGGTATTGTCGTAGATTCTGGAGATGGTGTCTCACACACAGTCCCAATCTATGAAGGTTATGCCCTTCCACATGCTGTTCTTAGAATTGACTTGGCAGGAAGAGCCTGCACCCAATATTTGGTTAACATCTTGAATGAATTGGGTGTTTCATTCACATCATCAGCTGAAATGGAAATTGTTAGAGACATGAAAGAGAAATTGTGCTACGTTGCTCTTGACTATGAAGAGGAAATGAAGAAATACAAGGAGAGTGCAGCCAACAACAGACCCTATGAATTACCAGATGGAAACGTTGTTGTCATCTAAAATCAAAGATTCAGATGTCCTGAATTACTCTTCAAACCAAACTTCATTGGTCTTGAAGTCGCAGGTATCCACGAATTAACATTCAAATCAATTATGAAGTGCGATATTGATGTCAGAAAGGATCTGTATTAATTTAAGTTTATATCTTAGATACGGAAACGTTGTCATGTCTGGAGGTACAACAATGTTCCCAGGAATCCCAGAAAGATTGAGCAAAGAATTAACATCCCTTGCCCCATCATCAATGAAAATCAAAGTCGTTGCCCCACCTGAAAGAAAATTCTCAGTCTGGATCGGTGGATCAATCTTATCATCATTGTCAACATTCCAAGCCATGTGGATCACAAGAAGCGAATACGACGAAAGCGGTCCAACCATAGTTCACAGAAAGTGTTTCTGAGAGATAAAAATATTAATAATCAATATAAATGTCATTTTATCAATGCTCATCCTATTTTTTATCTGTTTATTCCATATCCTAATTCAATCCTATTAAAACTTTATATATTCATTTCAATTTATTCTATGCTTCATTAATTTCTATTAAATAAATACCAAATCAATTTATTTTACATTTCTTCATCATATTAAGAGATCAAATACAATAACTAAAAGAATCCTCTCAATTATAATATCGATATTATGTAGAATCATGCTTAAGTAAATAATACACTTTTATACCCTAAAAATTTTTTCCGTCTTCATTCTTATGTAACTCATAAGTACAGGATTCTGATTAAATTAAGAAGCTCTCACTTAATAACACAAATTCAATAGTAAGTAATATAAAAAGTAATTAAAAATACATAGTTTTTAAGCTCAAAAAAATCATCAGATTCAAACCTGTTTGTATCAGAATCTTCATTCAACTGAGAAACTACTGGCAAAAGATTATTTACTTAGCAAATATTCTATGAAATAAATGATTAGATGATTGTATTAAGTATCTTAAACAAATATAGATAGCCAATATTGGTCTAATTACTATACGTTTATGTTTATTATTTATAAAAAAAAATTATGGTTATTTTAACACTGATTATTATAATAACCATATTTATTATCGTACGTTATGTCATGGTGTTCATACTATAATTCAATTAATTGAAATCAAGAATTTAATCAAGTAGAATATTTGTATCCTTATACTGTGAATATCATCTCAATATTTTAACTTATTAAAAATTTAATAATTATTTAATAATTGTTCCTTCTATATAACTATTTATTATTTATTCTCATATAATATATAAATTTATGATCATGATGATTTTCGATGAGATGCAAAAAAAGTGATTTCATTTTGAAGAAACTCTTAAATTTAATTTTAGTTCTTTAATAACTCTTGGTATGAATTTTAAAAATTCAGTTATAACATAAATAGTTATAATTTGAAAATTATTATCTTATAAACTAAAAAGAGGATAGTAAAACTATTAAAAAATATAATCAACAATCATAAGATGGAATGTAAATTTTGTAAAATTTTTGAAAATCTTGTACAAATATCCTAAAGCCATTCGGAATGTTTTTCTATTATATTGTGAAAATTTTATCTATCATGAAGGCCGTAGATAAGGGATTGCTGTTAATCAATGTTATCATCAGTTATGATTGAGATGTCCTACGATTTACTTATTTTTACTCTTCTCTAAAATAGTTCAGTCGAAGGTTCATCATATTATTTTAATTCAGAAAAGAAATCTTAAAATAAAATTTATAAAATCCCCAAAATAGAGAGAATCATAAACTTACAAAGCATCTTGTGA